ACATCCAAACTCCAGTCCAGTTCCTTCCCTCTACATTCTATTTAATAAGCCAACCAAAGAAAAAGGAAAGAAAATAAAATATCACAATGAAAAAAGAAAAAAGCTAAATTAAAGCCTAGAAAGTACAATGAGATCATCTTACACCAACCCGCAGATAATAAAACAAAAAGTGGGGGGAGGGGAAGGGGGAGGGGGGCAGAAAGAGGAAGAAGGTGAATGAAATATATGGCATTATTTTCGCAGAGTCTGCATCATCCATGCAAGAAATAAAACAAAACTCCGGGACCCTAAACTAGACTAAAGGAGGTGGTTGCATTGCTATACGTAGACAAGAAGGGGAACAAAAAAAAAAAGAAAGAAAAAGAAAATTGGAAGGATTACTGAAGTATACCCTCAATTCTTGTTCTCAGTTCTTGCGCCACATGCACTTGGTCGGGGGTGATACCGCCCTGCTGAAGGAGGAGAAGAGTTTCCTGGATGCGTTCAGCGACGAGGTCGCTTCCGAACACGACGCCGCCTAGACGGACCGTGTCGTGGAACCAATGCTCGATCAGGTAGAGGAGGTCCTTGGCGATGTACTTCTTATTGGAACCCTGGAAGGGAGCTTCGTCCGTGTAGTACATGGACTCGAGGACGGCGTACAGGGTCTCGTGGGCGACGTTTAGGTCGAGGAAAAGGTCGATAACCCATGTTGCGGGGCCGACGCCACGCTGGTGTTCTAGAGCGTAACGCTCGAGCATGGGAAGTAGGATGGGAATGGGGAACACAGAGTCGGACATGCGCAGACGGCTGCCCAAACTGCGCACTTTGTCGATTACAGCTTCGTAAGGAATGGGCTCGCCGCGTTCGACGATTTCGTCGTGCAGGTCTTGGAGGAGGTGTTGCCAGGTGGATTTGATGTCGGCGGGGTTGCGGTGGTCGGCCAGGAAAAATATCTGGAGACAGATGTCGTAGTAGCTTGCAGGGTCGGCGTATTGGTTGAAGAGCTGCGGGGAATTGTTAGCCTGGAAGAAGGAAATGGTAGAGGTTGGGCTGATGACGCACAGTGCTAATGTCCTTGATGGGTCCGTCCACATCCTGGAGGACTTCCGCCCTGCGCTCCGGCAGGATGCGCCGGTCGTCCTTTAGGCGTTGCAGGAGATCGTCCTGGATGTTCGCGATGTCGATAAGGTTGGAGGTTTCCTGCACCAGCCGCTGTCGGGCCTGTCGGCTAGTGTCGGGTGTAAACGTGGACGCGTTGGCCCTGGCTCGGCCCAAGTACTCAATTCTGCGGCTGAGAGGGAGTGTGAACGCACTCTGCGCCAGGTCCAATTGCACCTTGGCTGCCTCGAAGAATCGTTGCGATTGTGCAAAGTAGCGCCAAAGCAGATCGGCGTGGGAGATGTCGTCCGCCGATTTGCGCTCGAGGTAGGTAACTACGAAGGCTGAATTGGTCTGCAGCAGACGATCACTCCACCCCTGCTCCAAGTACCAATCGTACAGACTCGTCAAGAATACCTCATCTGTCGAGTCAGAAACGACGCCGTATGCCTCATTCTTCCGCTTAGCGATGATCGTTAATTGCCCGTCGACAACGCCAGGGTCGTGAGCTGCTAGGCTGTCAACTGCGAGGATGACCTTGAAAATAAGGTCATAACACTGGTTTCGGTAGAAGAAGTAGTCCTTGCGGGTATCCTGGCAGGAAAAGACGTTAGGACGATCATGCTGTGAAAGAATACCGAACAGTTACTCACATCCTCTGGTCGGCCATCCACGATCCATGAAAGCGCCATGTTGGCCTTGTCTGAGCGAGCTGCGACATTGAGAGCAAGTTGAATCGCGCCTAGGAGTGTTTATTAGCGTCTTAAGCGAATCCGTAGGTCGGGTTGGACTGTACCTGCAAAGAATTGATTCTGAATATAGCTCTCCACGGCGGAGACCAGGTAATCCATAGGCAAGTTATCCGAAACCTGCTGGAACAGATGAAGGCTCTCGTTAAGCAGATTGCGACCAAGCTCCGAGTTAAACCCGGCTTCGGTAGCTCTCTTCAGTAGCTCCTGGGCCTTGAAGATCACCACATCTTCAGCGCTGCAGAAGCTGCCACAACGGCGCCTGAGAGCATCGGCCACCGTCTCCACGTTAGATCCTTTCGCAATGTTGCGGTTAACGATTCCCTTCACCAGCTCTTTGGCGATATCATGACCCTTGCTGGTACTGAAGAGCTCCTCAAAGGTGAGCTTAAGGAAGCGCTCCTTGGATTCTGCTGGCAAAGACGCAACGATCTCATCCACCCGCTCGTCGAAAAGAACCAGAACAAATGAGATACCCTCGATTGTGTGGGAGACAAGTTGGACAAGAGAGTGAAGTGCGCGGTGCTCCGCTTGCAAAGCGGTTTCCTCCTGCTTCGTGGACACCCTTGTCAGGGCTTCAGGGCCGCTCAATCCTTCAATGAAGCTCTTGTTGGATTTGAAGAATTCCTGCAGGGCGGACAAGTCCCTTTGGACCGCTTGCAGTTTGGCAGCAGGCACAGACGATGCGACCGTCTGAGCGCCATTTGGAGCGCTACCAACCTGGGCGATTTCCTTCCGCCAGATCGACCGCAATAGCCGGGAGATGTAGAGCGCAATACCCGCATGACGTGGAGAAGGAACAACCGTATCAATAGCGAGCGTGGAATTGTCCGCGACGGCATTTTCATTCATCGTCGGTCGGCCACCGTACTCAATGAAAACCTTTCGCGCGAACTCCAAGACATCGGGATCATTAATCTGAGTTAGTCGCGAGTCAGTCGAGATCTCAACTCCTTGGCCACAAGCGACTGCAAGGGCAGTGGCAAGCGTCTCGCTCCGCCCATAGGTGCGGATGAAGTTCTTGACCTCGCCTTCCAATCCCTCATCGCCGGTGCCACCACCACGGACCAGCGCCGCAAAGACATCGACAAGCCGCCGTCTCCGAATGACGTGGATGCCAGTGTTGGTAAGAATAGCAATTTCCGCCGCTGGGTTATCGAACTGGACGGCGAGTTCGTTTCCGAATCCGCCAGGAGTAGTCGTAGCTGCAGTGGTCGGAGAGCAGAGGCCTACGTCTTCAGCTTTGCTGCCTAAGGAAAGCCATACCGCTGTTTCACCAGCTTTTCCAGGGATGACACTTTCTTGAGAGCGAGCAACGCGTCCAGAGTCGGGGGCGGAGATGAAAAGTGTGTCGGCTTTGTTTGTGGAATCCTTACACGTAAAACAGAGGAAATAGCCAGGGGGGTATCGAACTGTGAATCTGGTAGGTTGCAGCGTGTGTATCGGCACCCTGGATGCTACTGATGACTGGAAACGCTGCTGACCTTGGAGGTTCACGGGATATTGAGTAGCGGGCGCACTATCAAACGGGGGTGTCTTAACATGATGAGCCTGCATGCTTGTTGGTGCGTTGGCGCCGTTCGGTGCCGATGACCAGGTAAATGATCCAGTGGCACTCAAGTAGATACGATATCCTGATTCTGTTGTAGCCATCAGGTGGTACCTAGACGCCTCAGCGGCTGGAATAGAACTGATCGAAACTATCGGGACTTTGGGATTGAGGGTCTCGTTGGACGCAATGATGTGTCCAATGTTCGCATAGATGTCAAGGGCCGGCTTTGTGATCGCCAAAGCAAGACTGCCATCTGGCTTCATGTGGAAAACGCGAATCGTTGATGAGGTGGACAGCGTGTAGAGTAGTTTTCTCGTGTCGTCGATCTCCATCTGGCCCACACTTTCAGATGTCTTTTGCGTGAAGCTCAGACTGGGCGTAAACGCGGAAATACGGGAGCTGGTATGGTTGACTTTCGAGCACCGACCTTGGAACCACTTCTCCTCCTGCTGATAGATGAGCTCGTACACATCATTGTCCGAGCCACCGCCGAAGAAAATGCGACCGGTTGAATCCGAGGAGGCTATGACATGGATATCCAACCCCCGAATCGATGTTGACATGCCCGTCTGGTACAGTGTGACTTGACGCGCGCCTGCAGCCGTGACCTCGCAGCCCATTCCAAGCAAAATGACTTCTGCCGTTGTCGATACCACGAGGATGTGGGTAATTGAAGGCAGGAAGACGCCCGCTCGAGGTTTCGCCAGCTTGACTGTGGTGATACTGTTCGGTTGGTCCTCAAACCCAACCAACTGAGGGTTGGGGTGCGTATAATCCCAGATGTAAAGTGCATTGTCAATGGCAACCCAGGCATGATTCAACTCCGCAAAAAGCCCCATGCTCGTCGATACTTGCGCTCGATTGTACTGGTCGAAAATCTGATCCGGAATGTTGTACATCTTGACTTTCTGGAAGGGAGCCCATGATGGCGATGCGGGAATATCGTAGTCGGACGAGAAGCCTTCTACACAGGGGCGTTAACCCGGTCCCATCGTGGAAAGCACACGGGGTATACTTACGGGAGAGGTAGCTGTCCAAGTCGGGATAGCGGGCTTCTTGAGCAAGGGTGTCGTTTACTGTTCCTGCAGCACGCTCCTCTGTGCTCAAAGCTTGGCTCTTCGGTTTCAAAGCGGCGGGGGGGAGTCTAGGAAGCGCATTCGGTGAAGCTGGCTGCTCTGCGGGAGCCGCAGCTGGCTTTGTTGGGAAACTTGGCGCTGTCACAGGAACGTTGGGCGCAGGAGTCTGGAAGTAGGCTCCAGGTAACGGCTTTTGGGGGGTGAGTGCCGGCATCAGATCTGGATACGACATGATGTCAGTTGAGTAGCCCGTCGTCGGAGGCGTTAACGATTCGTCGCGCTCCCCGGCGAAGTGAAGATTCGGTGAGCGCAAGGGCGTAAAGAAGAAATTGCGATCACGAGAAGGGAGGGAGACTGGAGGGACGCGAGGTAGATGGAAGGTGGGGGGATAGGAACATCAATGGGCAGAAGAGCGAGCGCCGTGGTGAGGCGAGTGTTGCTAGACCGAATGACAGGCCTGAGCCGTAAAATGAGCAGGAAGAGAAACAAAATTGTGCACGGGCCTGGAGGAGAGGTCCTCCCAAGCTCTCTCCGCCTTTGCCTACTTTTCCTCCGCCCATGATTTCATGCCCGCGCGACCTACACAACACTCATTTACTGTGCCATTGGAGTGTTACGGTCATTGATTCCCCTGTTGTCGCCCACACATTCACATCATGCTCCAATCGTTGCGACTAACACCTCGGCTGGGTCTGCGCCTGGTGCGCTGGAACTCCACCGGTGGCCCGACTCTGCCGCCGTTGATAGCCACCCTCAGAACGGATCTCAAGACCGCTATGAGAGCTAAAGATACTGCTAGGTACGCCTGCTCTTGACGCAGAAACCCATTTGTTACTGGCCGGCAAGCCTGACCAGGTCTTCAACCAGGCTGAACGTTGTTCGCGCCTTGATCTCTGAAACCAACAACGCCGCCAAAACTAACTCTCCGATTGAGACCGACCTTCAACTCCTGTCTTTGATTCGGAAACGTATTGCTGCTTCCAAGGAGGCCGTCAAGGAATTCGAAGCCGAGAACCGTCCCGACCTGAAGGAGTCTGAGGAAAAACAGGTGACGATCCTTGAAGAATACGGTGCGCAAGTGGAAACAATGAGCTTGGATGACATCAAGGTGATCGTGTCCGAGGAACTTGCCAAGTTGAAAGAGTCTGGCAAGAAGGCTGAGGTTGGGCCTTTGCTCAAGTCTCTGTTTGCTCCTGGAGGTGCCCTAGATGGTAAACCTGCCGAGAGAGCCGAAGTCGCAAAGATTGCCAAAGAAGCCGTTGCTTCTGCTTAGAAGGCTGACATGCAGAGATGTATAATATCTATTTGTACGATTACATAGACCAAACCGGTTACCCGGTTGCTCTTTCAATGAAGTTGCTAACCAAGGGTCAGAGGCAATTTATTGATCAGTTCGTGGGGGCTGAATGCGAAGTCATTTATAACGAAACAAGCAAGCTACGTGGCAAAATTAAAGAGAGACCATGTAGCGCTCCAAGTGAAGAAGTTCCCAGCGCCATGCCGTATGCCATTCCCAGTAGTGCAATTCCTGGTTATCCCATCCCGATTGCCTTCCCATTAATATTCCGAACTCCAGATCCGTTCATAGACCAACCATTCATCGTGTCGCGCCGTGATTGTTACCTGCAAAGTCTCATAGCCTTCTAAGAACGGAGCAAGGTAATACCGCCAAGTGCCGTCATGAAGATACCGAGCCATAACCAGTTGTTAGGGTCGCCAACTTTCTCGCTGCTGACCAGGTTCTTTATGTTGAATCGACCTTCGGGATCCCCAACCTGGCGTTTACGTTTGCCGGAGCCTAGGGGATTCAGAGTCTGGGTGGGCAACATCTGCGGCGGCTTATACACAAGATACATTGGATGCATCGGCGATCCGTCAAAGGACTTGAGGTCGAGGCGTTGGACACCATGGTATGAGTCCACCGAAACAGTGAACGACTGGAATCGTCAGCAACGATCATACAGCACGACAAGGGAAATCATATACTTCAAAGTGCTCGGTTTGGTTGTATCTTGTATAGGCTCCCTGCGGAGACGAACATGGATCTGATAAGAGCTGGCGTCCATCAACAGCGATCGGAGTCAGGTCCAGGGAACCATCACCATTAGCTGTATAGGTGCCATGCTGCCACTGCATGATCCCCTTTGGGCAGGAAGGATCCTGGGCTGCTCATCAATCATGACGTGTCAGATTATGGTTCCTGCAAAGAAAATCATGGATGTGAGGTTCTGGGACTGACGATTGGCAATGGCCCGATAGTATGCTTCTTCGTAATGGCCATCCGCACTGAACGAGTATGAGATGCCGGTGAGATTTGGTTCAAGGAATTTGTCGTTAATTGGGTCATAGAAGCCCTGTGTATAAGCAAGCGATTAGCATTTAGCAAGCTGACAGTGCTAGCTACTGAGCATGGTAAACAACACGGCGCAAAGCATACCGGACCTGTCACAACCTGGCGGGACTTAGTCGTCCAAGTTCCTTCAAGATTGGAGACGCTGCTACTGGCACTGACGGCCGTTAAAATGAGACCGAGGAAAAAGTATTTTGCCATCATGATTGCACCCTGCCCATAGGGAGAGATACGATGTAAACGAACGCGAGAAGTCGATAGCAGAAGGGAAGGAATGCTTTGAAGGGCGCAATCCAGGCGACCCTTGAAGGGTGGAGTACCCGGTACGTGCGACTGGCCCTGCCGATCAACAGTGAACCGCCCATCCCATGCCAATCATCCGCCAGCAGGGAAACAGGCTCGTTTGCCCGCCAAGCCACGCCGCTCCTCCTGCTTGTACTCCGTACTCACTCTCAATTTCCTCCAGGCGTTATTTTATTCAAATCACCGTGCTTACATCTTGCCAGCAACTATGATGACTGGGCTGCAAGTTGCGAAGAGAGACCTCCGTCGGAGGATGCGGGATGTTCTCCAACAGCTCCCCGCGGACTCCATCGCCAACCAATGTCAGACATCGTCATTCACTTCTGCCCATGGTCGCCGCACGTGCTGACCTCTTACAGCCAGAATCGCCACGAATAGACTCTTGTCACTCCAGCAATATCGGGATGCGAAAAGAATTGGCGTCTACCTATCCATGCCTGCGGGCGAACTCTCTACGACGGCTATAGTGCAGGACGCTTTGGCCAATGGCAAGGAAGTCTTTGTGCCTTTTATCCATAGTCTCGAGCTATCCTCGCAGTCCAAGACCTCAGTCATGGACATGATGCTCCTGGAGTCGATGGAGGAGTTTAGGTCGCTTGAGCCTGACAAATGGGGAATCCCATCGCTCTCGAAAGCTAGTGTGGTGAACAAGAGGAACTGCTTCGGAGGAAAAGGAGTGTCACCCCAGCCGGAAGATGCTACGCAAGGGCCGTACGGGTTAGATTTGATTGTTATGCCGGGAATGGCGTTCGATGAAGGATTCAGAAGATTAGGCCACGGGAAAGGGTATTATGATCATTTCCTGACAAGGTACTCCAAAGGTTCCGAGAGCACAGCAACGGCATCAAAGCTGCCCTTACTTGGTACGTAACAACCGTCTCGGCTAAAAGATAGCTGCCATCGAATATCCCCTGACTGACCCTCGCACAGTCGCGCTGTCTCTCAAAGAGCAGATGCTTGCTCCCACCGAGGAGATCCCCGTCGCGGATCATGACTGGCCAGTAGACGTCCTCATGGTCGGCGATGACCGGTGCCTCGTCCGCCAATACTGATCGGATATTCAGAGAAAGCGAGCCCTTTCATGTCCATGTTTTCATCTATTGCGACAAACATATGCAAATAAGTGTACTCCAGCGACAACCCGTAAAAAGTGATTAAGAAATGCAAACAATGTCGTATCACGGCACGAAGTCGGCGATAAAAGATTTTTCCCTTTTCCTGTCTTTCGAAATCCCTTAAACGCCCCGTTTAACTCACTGCACGGATTGAATCAGAGAGACGTTGTCGCCCTTAAGCAGTATCTGGCCTAAATTGTTGAAGGGTCCAATTAGCACGGTAGCATTAAGGGGAATGGACAGAACGCATTTTTTTCGTACCTAAAGGTCTCCGCTTCTCCTCCTCAGACTTGGTCGCCATGCGAACCTCGACTGCATCGTCAATGACAAGGTTCATGAATTCATCGAACCCCTACGCGAGTCGGTTAGCCAGGCATAACATGGGCACACAAATGGCAATAGTCACCCTGATTTTTCCTTCTATGCGAAATGCGAGCTGCTCATATAGCCAGATGGAAACTGTAGACCGTTGCTGGAGGAGCTTGAAGATGAAATGAATCGGCGCAAGCAACGTCTTGCGAGCGGCTCCACCGCCTCCACGACCGGTCATAGTGATAACTGAATGTGAGGAATAGGTAGGGATTCGAGGGGCGAAAGCAGGGACCGCAGGAAGAAGACGGGCCTCACGCTCAGTTGGCGGGAAATAGACGCGTGGTGGTGCTGGGCGGAAGATGCTGGGAAGAGGTCGAGAAAGATCGGGAAGGTGGTGAAGCTTCCTCGTGCCGCCTCGGGGGACTATTGCGGCTCACCAACTTTTCCCTTTGGGTCGATCGTCACCACATCCCACCTCCACTACCAGTCACTTTGCCCCATCTCCCTCTCCGTCAGTGTGCTTAAGTTCTGGCGCTGGAATTCCTCGATTAACCCTATTCTTTAATGTTTGTTTAATGAGTGTTCATGATCGCACTGCATAGGTGTTGAGCCTTCCGGCCTGGCTGAACCCCTCTTCTCCCATTCCCAACTACAAATCACCCAAAACATCCCACTCCGCGTCCAAGATGGCCAGCAAGGAGGGGGCCGCAGAGCAGGCCTTTGGCCCTGTCCTCGCGGCAGTCGCTACCATGCAAGGAAACGTCTCACGCACGGAGAAGACGCACGCTCACGAGTTCCTTGAAAAGTTCCAGAAATCAGTCCGTCCCATCCCTACCCCTCATTCTTCTCCCCAAGCCGATTGCTCCACGCCGCCCATGATAATGCATGCTAACAATGGTTCGACTTTCCTCTCTAGGTCGAAGCATGGACTATTACCCATGAAATGCTACAGTCCCCCGATGTCCCTGTCGAAGCCAAGTTGTTCGCAGCGACCACATTGAAAGGAAAGGTGAAGCGGACCCTTGGCCTACATGAGGCGATTCTGGCATCCCATACTGACCGTCCAAGATTATCTTCGACCTGGACCAGTTGCCCGCGGACTCAATACTGGCTCTCCGAGACTCCGTTCTGAACCTGCTTGTGGCTTTCGCTGCAGGTCCCCGACCGATTCAGACTCAGCTCTGCGTTTGCCTGGCGAGTCTTGCCATTCAGATGCTGGAGTGGAAAGATGTCTTGCCCACAGTTGGATCGGCACTAGGAAGCAGCGCGGGTGATTGCGTGTTGGAGTTCCTCAAGATTCTCCCTGAAGAAGTGACGGAAGGTCGCAAAATCAATCTCAGTGTATGTTCGGCAGCGTCAGCATCCCAATTATTCACGATCCGTTCCTACGCGATCGGCGACGGCATGTTTTCCCACGACAATTTAGACTCTAATCTGCTGGCGTTACTTAGGAAGACGATCTTATAGCCAGGACGAAAGAACTCTTGGAAGATAACGCCGAACAGGTCATGCATCTCCTGATTCAATACGCTCAGTCATCCCGTATGTGTCCCCAATTACTTACTCGGCCCTTGTTCGATGCACTTCCGATATACTGAACCAAACTCTGTCTGTTCTAGCCACTGCATCCACTAACCCGCGTCTCCTGGACTGTGTCACATCATGGATGCGCGAAATTCCGGCGTCGAAGATCGTTGACTCCCCTCTGATGGACGTGATTCTGAAGGCTTTGGATGACGACAGATCGTTTGAGTCCGCGGTAGACAGCATGTGCACTTTGTATAGAGACACCCGGGAAGTCGATGAGTCGCTGCCCATCATTCAGGCCTTGTACCCGCGAATAATGTCCCTCCGCCCCAAGATTGCCGAGTTTGCCGAGGCGGAAGACACAGATGCATTCAAGGGTGTTACGAGGCTTTTTGCGGAAGCTGGCGAGGCCTGGGTGGTCTTGATAGCACGCCTACCGTCGGAATTTCGTGGGCTGGTTGAAGCAGTCCTAGAATGTTGCGCTCGAGACTGGGAGCGTGACGCCATCTCTCTCACTTTTGTCTTCTGGTACGAGTTGAAACAGTACGTGACATTGGAGAGATATGCGGATTCTCGGGTCGTTTTCAGCGACATCTTCTCTAGTCTGGTGGATATTATGGTCAAACACCTGGAATATCCGCAGCCGGAGGATGGTGAGACTGACCTTTTCGGCGGCGATCGGGAACAGGAAGAAAAGTTCCGCCACTTCCGCCATGCCATGGGAGACGTGCTGAAGGATTGCTGTGCTGTCATTGGAGTCAACGAGTGCTTGAATAAATCGTATCAGCTGATCCAGCAATGGGTCTCCAAGTACGCCTCCCAGTCCAGCGATGAGCACGTTCCTAACTGGCAAGAACTTGAAGCGCCGCTCTTCAGCTTGAGGGCTATGGGCCGCATGGTTGATCCTGAGGAAAATGCCGTTCTCACACAGGTCATTCCCTTGATTGTGCAGATCCCCAACCAGGAGAAGGTGCGGTTCCAGGCTATTATGGCCCTCGCGCGCTATACGGAATGGACCGCGCAGCACCCCGAGACTTTGGAAGCGCAACTGAACTATGTGATCTCAGGCTTCCAGCATAGCTCCCCAGAAGTAGTTCAGGCCGCAGCCTTGGCCTTCAAGTTCTTGGGCACGGACTGCCAGAAGTTGCTCGGTGGTCACATTGCTCAGCTACACTCCTTCTACGAGTCAGTTCTTGATAAGTTGAAACCGGCTAGTCAGGAAGAGGTAACGGAGGGTGTGGCGGCCGTGGTAGCAGTGCAGCCACTCGAGAAGATCTATGAAACGATGAAGTTGTTCTGTGACCCCATCATGGCACGCATCATGAACCTAGCGAACAACGCTAAGGATGAAGAGGGCCAACGAGCTGTTGCTGGTAGGTATCCTGCAAAATTCTCAAGACATACTGCGTACTAATTGCATCGTAGATCACCTTCAGTTGATTACGATATTCGTCTTGGTCGTGAACCCCTACGTCTCACCTCAAGAGGAAAACCCCGCAGTGAAGTATTGCGGCGAGATCTTACCAATCATGACAACCATCGCGATGAACTTTACCTCGTCCACGCCGATTCTAGAACGCGTATGCCGTTGCTGGAGGAACATGATCATCTCCTATCGCACAGCTATGACTCCGCTCCTACCCACACTAGCGCAGAGCCTTGCAAGCGGATTTCAGGCATCACGAGAAGGATGCTTCTTGTGGGCCACCGATGCTGTCGTGCGTGAGTTCTCAGAGGGTGTCGAGTTTGTCGATCCCTCTACTAGTCATGCTGTTTACCAGTTTTACGAGCAACAAGCGGTCGCCTTCCTGCGCATCTTGAATCTGACGCCGCCAGAAAATGTGCCGGATGGTACGTGCTTCCCTAGTCTGACATCAGTCGCTTCGCATGCCTCAAGCTAATCATGTACCACTAGTGATTGAGGACTTCTTCCGTCTTTCCTCGGATGCCGTTCGGTACTACCCTAAAGAGTGTGTTACGTCCGATCTCTCTGCGCCGATCCTCACCGCAGCACGCACTGCTCTCAGCCTCCAGCAGATTGACCCTCTTATGGCCACACTCCATTATTACCATGATCTTTTAAGCTTTGCTTTCGACAAGCCGACGGTGTCTGAATTCACCACGGCGGATGGAAATTCCTACATGAACCCTCCTGAGATTCGCCAGGCCGTAAAGCAGCTGATTGCATCGGAAGGGCAATTACTCACGCAAGCAATCCTGTCTGGCATGATGTTCACGTTCCCAGGAGAGTGTTTCCCCGACGCATCAAGCGTGTTGATGTCCCTGTTCGAACTCATGCCTGAAGACGCGGGGGCTTGGCTACAGGCTACGCTTCAGATGCTCCCCGCTGGCACGATGAAGCAGGGTGAGGCGGAGAGACTACTGAATGGCATCTTCGAGAGAGTTCACTCGGGTGAGACGCGGAAGATTCGGGCCCTTCTTCAAGGTATGGTGGATCTGGCACTTCGAGCACGCTTCGGATTGGCTAACAAGCAGATATAGACTTCACCAACTCATACCGGCGACGAAACGTGGCACCTAGAGAAGGTTTGGGCCGGCTGGAGGCGACCCGGTTCCGGTTTAGCGGATAGATTGTCTAGGGAAGGAGGGGAGGCCAGGACTGAGCAAGTCAGGAACCGCTCAGCCAAGCGAGCGATCCCCAACACCCGCCAATGACGCTCAGCCCTTGAAGGCGGGATAGTCCTTGGAAGATTTAGCGCACGTCATGCGACCTGGCCGGAGACCATCAAGCGTTCGCACGCGTCGAAAATCGAGTTAAAATTTGCCCAATCATGTATCACTTTTCCCTCCCTGCCTACCTGCCTTCCTTCACCCCCTCCCCGTCTCCCAGCATCACCCGTATACGATTTGATGCGGCTGTTTTAGAACCCGAAGCCAGTCTTGTGGAGGTTAAACCCGCCATGACCACTGGGGCCCGCAAGCGAACGGGGGGATCAAGCGCGCTTGCACCTTTTTTCTACTCATTACCATCCATCTACTTACCCATGACCCGCTTTGTAAATCGGAAGTACTTTTATAGTGTAGCAAACTAGACAGATTCCCGGGGATCGATCCACATAGACGAATTTTCTCAGTCCCATCCATCTAACCCAATTTAGGGAACCCGTAGCATGTCAGCAAACTTACCTTCAGTTCTTAGATCCCTTCCCTCTGACCGGAACCAACGGCATCTCACCTCCCTGCCCCCTCCTCATTGACATTGTCATATGAGACGTAATGTAAAACTCTGACCCCGGGATACCAAGAAAGGCCTACCTTCCCCACCAAGCGGAAGAGTTGCCCCCCCTCCCACGAACTTACTGCATACGTACTAGGCAGACAATAAGACCCAAGACGATCGCCCACCGGTTGGTTTCAGACATTTACCCGATCAGCCAATGTCAATTCTTAGAAAAGGATTCTCCCGGTCAGCATACCAGCCAGCCAACCAAGAAATATTGGAGTCTGGCCCATCTGTGGGCTCAGTTCGTGAGGTGGGGTTGCTGTTTGGTAGGAGGGAGGTGTTCGGTTCGTGAGTCTAGGCAGAGGGCGGACGGAGTTCGTTGGATCAAGTGGAGTGCGTATTTAGCACTGGAGGTGGATTTGGTCTGGCTTGGCATGGTATTGTCTGTAGCCTCGTTTGTGTCGCATACGTATCGTTCGCTTACTTTGTAGCGTGTAGGGCATAGACAAGAAGACAGAAGTGGGCGTTGGCATGAAGGCAATTTGCTGTGGTCAGGTGCTAGAGAATAATTAGGTTTAGCTCTGTTTACCTGGTCGTGTTGGAGGGATATGTATATTAGGTGCATGACTTATCGGGATTGCGGGACTTGCGTCCGGGGATGCAGCGAATATCATCATCTTGTGAGCTGTTAAGCAGGAGAAGAATTGCCTTGCTGGGGCGAAAGCTCATTGGTATGAGAGCTTGGTAGGGCAGACAGGCAACCCGGCTAGGCGGTAGGCGTACATGGTGTGAGAGGAAATCAAGGCAGCATTCGCGGCAATGGCGAGAGATTTTTATTGATCCAATCCAGAGAAGAATATTCCATTACTCAATCGCTGGGTCACTGGACGGCAGGTCCGTTAATTTCCCTGGGGCTGAGCTCGTAAGGAAATTATAGCTTTGAGTGGCTGGGCTCAGCTAGTGTTTCATGGAATAACCACCTTCGCATAAGACTTCCACTCATGACACATTGGAATGGTCCAGGGTCGAGCTAGACGGATCTAGATCCGATGTTCGGATGAGAATTGTTGTTTTTGTTGGGGATGGTTGCTTTTTCTTCATCTCAGGTCTTTCGTGATACTTGCTTCTTCGGGAGGATGAGGTGTTGTCCCGCACCACCATCACCGGTATCGCTACTATAATTCGTACCTATAGTGAGCGTTAGTCCAGGCGAACTCGGGTTTCGAGCAAGGTAGATCCCTTGGCATGAACGACTAATGAATATTCTTGGGTCAAGAAATAGTAGCCAATTGCAACCGAACCGCCTAGAAGTATTTCACGCAGATTGTTGTCGCCCGATCTCCGTAGCTATACGGGCCGGAATGCACTCTGATGATCGTTATTCAAATGTGATTCTAGTACGGCTGCTACTTGTGGCAAGTGTGGCTGTGGCAGTGTGATTGCCTGAGTACCGGTGCGCTGGTACCGCATCGGAGACTTCCGCGCTGGCGGAATCCGTAGGGGACTGATACGGTGTACGGGATCTGTCATAAATTCGAATCAGTCAATGTCCTTATCATATCGGTATCTTAACTTTGCGTTCCTGAACCAACGATCCTTCTCCGCGGTCCTGGTCCGGGGGAGCCACGGAGCACGCCATCCCCCGAACGTCAGGAGACTCGCCTGGCGGGACTCGGGATGCGGCCGTTCGAGGATCGATTTTTTTTACTTTTTCTGCAGGCGGCGCATGATGCGTTAATGATGTACCCTAAGCGGAATAGACTCAACAAGCTGCCTCATTCATAAATGGAGAACTTGTGGTTGGCAAAAAAAACACTGCCACTAGGCTACCTTTTGGACCCAGTACTGGAGGCGAAACGACAATGGTTGGGCTGAAAAGAGGGCAAAGAAAAGGAAACTAGAAAGAAAATTCGGTCAATCGAGTCCATATTGGGTCTAATGCGCAAAGTTCGATAAAATGAGTAAGAACTCGTGCGTAACGCTGGCCCTGATTGACAGTCGCACTGCAAGGTTGTATGTATGTCTATGGGCTGATGACGCCCGAAGTGTCAATCCACAGCTCGATCGAGCCCACTCATGGTCTGCACATCTTTTTTTTCTCCGCACTGCTAAGTGGACAGTGACACATGAACCGTGGTGATCAGTCTGTGCCAATCCCTTACGAATCAAAATCTGGAGCACGAAGGATCGCCCGATTGTCTCTGCAACGATCATAGCCAGCCAGTGTGAAGCGCAGCGCGCCATCCATCATCCAGGGACTAACCGCTGCTGCCGCAGTGCATATTCTCCTGCACCGTTTTGGCTTGGGCTGCATTGGCTGGTGAACCGAGCAGTAAGCTTTTTTTGGTATTCTAATTTCTTTTTTCCGCCAGCATCAGTCCTGGCTGATCGAAAGTTTTTCCCTTGGGACCGCTAGCGTCAGGCACTATGTAGTCCGTAGGGTCCTCCGCAGCGATGTCACCTGCAATGTGATTAGGAGCAGGGATCCATTTATTGGGTCTGGGGAGCAGCAGCCGGGCATGAGGAATGTATGACGGATGGATCTAGGTCGGAAAAGGGCCGGTCAATGGGTCAGAAGTGGCACGGAGCGCCCAGGATGGGGACAGGCTGACCGTGGTCAGTTCTGGTTCTAGCTGGCTTCTGTGGTTGTTCGGTGCAGAACCAATGACAACAAATCCTGTACCTTAATCCATGGAAACCAATGATGGACCATCGCACGTTCCTCGCTGTCCCGCCCGTCTCCCCTCTTCCCGACCATTCTCTTCCCAGCAAAGATTACCAAGGGCCGGGTTATACTTTGCATTGCTTCTTCCGGGGAAGTCGTATTTTCGTCCTCGCGTTTCTTTTTCGTCCCAAATCCAGGACCACCGGGGGGGCTGTGGTGGAATTTGTGGCGAAATTTTCACCGGATTGGGTGACCTTCCGAGGAGGAGGGAAAGGATGGAGGAGGAGTGGAGGCGGGAAGAGAGGCCGACTAAATGAATGAAAGGAGGAGAATAGAGGTACTGTACGACTTTGCGTAAGGTGCAGTAATACTGACCCGGGCTGGTAGTAGTACATCGGGCTCTCCAGATCCAGCGAAAGCTCTCCTCCAGTCCAGGCGGCGGTTGCCCCACCTCCGAACCACCAGCAGAATATTAAGGGACCGCCCGCCGCTCCCTGCGGTGCTCTTGTCTTCCCCGGCTTTTCCTCTTGCGCCTCTTCTCTCCTTCTTCCTTCCTTGGGTCTGGATCTCGTCATAAATTGCCTCTCGGTGTCATCCTCCTCCATTGTGCACCCTCGTGTGGCAGTCTGGCAGTCGGGGGTCTGTCGGGGACCCTTGCTCACTCGGCTTTTTCCCCTCTTCCGCCTCCAATTTCCCCCCCATCGCCAGCAATCATACGACCGTTCTCCTCCGAGCTGCTGTCTCCTTCACCTACACGATCCAATCCCGAGAGTCCCATAACTCGCCGTTTTTCACCGGAATCACATTTCGGGCCTTTGAGAGACTGTTCAGCAGCTCCCCAACACTCCCGGAATCACACCTTCCCGCCCGCCGAGTTTTCCCCACGGGGTTCCCCGTGCGTCTGACCCGGCCCAGACGGCGGTTTTCCACCTTCGCCGAGACAACATTCGACTGATTCTTCTTCCGCCTCATGCCAGTATCTACCGAGATTTGCTCCTCCTCCTGAGCTCTCGGGACCGACTTCCCTTTGCTGATGAAACCCATCTGTGATTTCCGATCTGATGAGCGTTTCTGACACAAGCAAGATCTTTGCGGGTGATCTTCGGGGTGTTGGCTAAGGCTTAGACCCACACGAGGTGTCAAAGAAAGGGGCGCAAAACGATTGTATCACACACAAAGCATTCGGTTTTTCTCGGCAAGATGACCTTGGCTCTGGCTGCAATGACCCCGCTGGCCTCGGGGCCCAAAGGTAGTCATAACTCGAATTCGGAGGTGGATATGATGGTAGAAAATGATGCGATCCATGCGGCACTGAATGGACCCCCACGCAAGAGAAAAAGGACCCGAAAGGTTCAAACAGACCGCAAGTTCGAATGTACATTTGATGGATGCGGCAAGAGTTACTCGCGAGCGGAGCATTTGTACCGCCATCAACTAAACCGTACGCATTGGTCCTTCCCGGGCTTTCCAAGCCAGTACTAAGTCTTTTTTCTCCAGACACCCCCAAGCAAATCTACCGATGCGATTTCCCAGATTGTTACCGATCCTTTGTGCGACAAGACCTATGCGTACGGCATAGAGAACGTCATACTACCCAGGGATCGCAATTGCAGAAGCGTGATCACTTCGCTCAGGCAGCAGCAAGTAACGGCAACCTACGAAAGCCACAGCTAACACAAACCATGCCTCAGATGAACGGCAGCCAGGCCTCGCCTCTTATTCCTCTCTCATCCCCTAAATACCCGTCCACTCAGGCGTCAATAGAAGGTCGGATGGAAATCAGTGCTCCAAGCCAGCACGTTCCTATACCATCACCTCCGGGATCCGTTGAAATGGGCCAGGCGTTTAGCTACCAGACCTTGGTCTCACATCATAGCGTTGAGCTCTCAGATCCTACATTTTCGCGGTCGAACAGTTCGAGCAACCATACTCTCAGCTCCCCACCCGGACATTCGAGCACGACAACGTTTAGTCCACCCGACATACAAGCTGCGTCTCATGCTGTGCTCAATCGTCATTCTTCTGGCAAGCCTTCGCCCAAAGCCAGAGATCTGGGCCAAGACGCTCGATCGCGCCACTCCTTGACCGAAATTAGTTCCATCTCACATGATATTCATGGATCATCGCTGGGTCATTCCGCTTCCTACCCGGGCTTGCAGATGCCTATAGGAGGATACACAGATATTTCGATGGCGCCGGCGACTTCTTCAACATCGACATCTCTGGACCCAGTGGCACTCGATTCTATGTCTGGAATGATGACTTCCGGGCCGACAGTGGGAGACGGCGGTTTCGACTCGCTGGCCTCCTGCGTTTATCCGGTCTTCGGCGGGGAAGCCCACAACCGGTCCCCGTTCGCAATGGCAGACGATTTCACCGCCTGGCTGTTCAACGATCCCGTCACTGGTTCACCATCGACGGGATACCCTGCAGCTACCAATGTGGTTCCAAACTACTTGGATGCCGTCCAATTGCAGAATCAATTTTTCATAAGTGATCCTGCATATGGCAGCTTCTTAAGCGGTGTCATTCCGCATCACCCCATGAGCGTGACTAGTATCCTGGATCCTGGATCACCTCGGGCCATCATGTCCGAGGAGAAGAGACAAGAACTCCTAGCGCTCATGAGTTCTAGGTTCAATGAGGCCTTCTATTCGGTAGCAGCCAAGCGGAAGGATGCTCTTATGGAGGGTGATATTGACGACGATGACCATGTTCTCAGTCTACGCATGATGCAGACGTACATCGGTTCGTATTGGTATCACTTCCACTCCCAGCTACCCATCCTGCATCGTCCGACATTTGTGGCTGATAAAGCTCCCAATCTCCTTTTGCTCGCCGTGATGGCCATTGGTGCATCGACTTTGGATAAAATTCACGGACCGGAGGTGACGGAGGCGGCATCTGAGCTGGCAAACTTCATTGCATGGCATCTACGGACAGAGCTTTTTATGGACGGGGACTTTCGTCCGCCAGCCAAGCTCTGGATTTTCCAAGCGTTGCTGCTGCTAGAGGTATATGAAAAGATGTTCTCTACGCGTGCGCTGCACGAGCGGGCGCATATCCATCATGACACTACACTCACGCTGATGCGACGCGGTAGCTCATTGATTGGTCGCTCCGCGTTAGAGTCGCCTGCAAGCTTGCGGGAAGACCGGCAGGCCCGGTCGGCCTCTGGATCGACAATGGCGCCAGATTTTGCGGCTGAGGAGTCATGGACTCACTGGATCAAGGCCGAGGCTACGAGGCGAGTGGCCTTTGCGGCTTTTGTGTTGGACTCCACCCACGCCACAATGTTCGGGCACTCGGCTAAGATGGTCGCGCACGAGCTTCGGTTGCCTTTGCCTTGTGATGAAGCGCTGTGGTCTGCAACCAGCGCCTCAGAGGTGGCTCGCGTGCAATCGAGCCTGCATGCCAACGGCGTCAAGCCCGTCATGTTTCTAGATGGGCTCAAGAAAACTCTTAACGGCCAGCGGGTCCGGACGAATGCCTTTGGCCGGACGATCCTCATGGCTGGATTGCTAAGCGTCAGCTGGCATATGAACCAACGAGACCTCCAGGTGAGCTCACTAGGCGGCCCGCCGGCGCTGGGGGGCCGGGACAAATGGCGGTCAGCGCTGTTGCGAGCTTTTGATAATTGGCGACGAGACTTTGATGAAGCGCTGGGCCAGTCAGGATCCGGGCCGTTCCCAAGTGGATACCGTCCCCGGCATCCTCTCGATGACGACAACGTCTTCGAGTCGCGCGACGTGCTGCATGGATTAGCACACATGGCTTCTCACGTTGATATCGTTGATTGTCAGATCTTTGCTGGTGCCGGTCGGCTCATGGGACGGTCCATAACCCCGAGAGACTACAAAGCTGCGCGCGAAAAAATGGTGGATCGATGGGCCACGAAGGCGACCGCCCGCGATGCCACATTCTATGCCTTGAAGTTCTTGTCTGAGTGCCTTTTGGATGAGAAACGGGCTTTGAATGAAGATGGCGAACTGTATTCCGGCCGGGACGACTACCTCCTCAACCGGCCGTGGGTGTTGTACGTTGCGGCACTTGTGGTCTGGTGCTATGGATATGCATTGGAAGGGCCTATCGCTACTCCTGTCAAGCTGGCCACCCCTGCTGAGCAGCAGCGCGACATGCAGGAGTTTCTTCGACGGGTAGGCGGTGTTCGTGAGCCCAGCGACTTGGAGTCGATGAGAGGACGCAACCGCTGTATGGGCTTGTTGTTGATTCTCCGTGACGGGTTCACTAACACTCGCTGGGAATTACTGACTGAGGCGGGCAACCTGCTCAGCAGCTGTATAGACAAGCTGAATGGGGGAGCAGCTTGAACATTTCACCAGTACATTCTTGTTTCATGTCTGTGTATATAGCGTCTGGGCGGACTTTCGTTTCTTTTGTACATGTGAGGTGCGTCAATTGTGACAAGCTTAGGAGTATGCGGACAGCGGCTGTCTTGTCTACTGTACTTTCCTGCTTAAGGCAGTTGGCTGTTTGAATATTTGCGCATGTGTTATGACTTGGATACCAATGGGATGGATAGCGTTGTTCTGGTTGTATATTGCTAGGTTACCAGTATTTGTTCTTGTTCAATGGACCGACGTACAGCAGGGTGTCTACCACCACCACTACGGAGTAGTAATATTTAGAATAGGGGCGGGCAAGAGGGTGCCTGAGGTGTCCGGTTACCACAACAACAACCGGCCAAACAGTCGAGCCGGACTCTCTCCTCCATCCCGCCGCCGCCTCGCCTCCTTTCCCAGTTCCCTCTTCCCCCCCTTCCTCCTTCATTCCAACCTGCCATTGCCGTTCCAGGTTGTTTAGATCACCATTCACTGCCCCTGTCGCCATCCCTCGCAGACCGCCGCCACATTCTAGTCGTGAAATTACCATCCCCATCAAAGCCAACAATCATGGTACGTGGCCGCCTCTCATTCCCTTGCTGTCAATTATATGCATCATTATCCCCGTGGTGGCGGGTGAGGAATTGTCCGAATGGCTTCAGGATCTAGACATCCTGCGTGGCATCCCTGTTTGTTGATTGTTGTCATCCTCGGGGGTACCGTGTGCGGTTGGGTCCATTGAATCCCGACCCCTCTCGTCTGCCGTCCAATCCCTCGTTTCCATGGTTCACTAGTACTCGCTGCTTGTTCGTCATCGGCCCTCCATTCCCGTCCTCGTGTCATTCTCATCTTCTCTTCATTCTCCTCTCTCGACTTGAATTTCTGTACCTCTGCCCATTTTCAAGATGTCTCGCTCACCTGAATATCACCACGACCAGGCCTCGACCAACTACAAGGAAGCGTTCTCGCTCTTCGATAAGCGCGGTACCGGAAAGGTCGCGATCGAGTCGCTGGGCGATCTCCTGCGGGCATGTGGTCAGAATCCCACTTTGGCGGAGATCGCGGACCTTGAGAAGAGTATCGGTGGAGATTGTATGTTTTTGGATCAGGTTCATGTAGACTGAGGCATATCTAACATGAATTTCGATGCGCAGTTGACTTCGAGTCCTTTTTGAAGGTCCTCAACCGCCCCGGAGGCTTTCGTGACCCCGGAGAGCCCGACGAATACTGCCGCGGCTTCCAGGTGTTCGACAAGGATTTGACCGGGTTTATCGGAGTGGGACAACTTCGTTACAGTATGTGATCGCGATGGAGCCAGCTGGGGTGATACTGATGATCCTATAGTCTTGACGAATCTGGGAGAGAAGATGTCGGATGAGGAGGTTGACGAGCTTCTCAAGGCCGTTGATACCAGCTCTGGCGAGATCAACTACACCGGTAGGTTTCCATGTCCATTGCCTGTTTCGCCCTAGCTAATCGCGATAGACCTCGTCCGCACCATTCTGGCCAACTAAACGACACACGATACCCTCCTGACGTTCCTGATGATTTCTGTTATGACGCGATCCTCCTACCCCCGTCCCGGAGTTGTTTGCTTGAGCATAGTTTAGTTATAGTGCATTGTATATGGGTTACTGCTCGATTCAGCCTCGGTTAAACATAAATGGTACACGGTCATGGCACATGGTGTAACGAGATAAAGTGTACACGCGCGCTTTCTTCGCAGCCCAAGTAAACCCATATATCAACTAACAAACAAACCAATCAATTCCCCTCCAACCACCCAACCCACTCCCGATCCAACCCCCGTACCTTCTCATCCGTCTCCTCCATCATTACCCCCGTCTCCATCAACGCCCCAGGCAACAAATAAACCACCCTCGCCTTCTCATCTTCCCCCTCAACAACCCCATCCCCATCCCCATCCCCATCCTCCTCCCTCCCCCGCTTATTCTTCTCCCCCCTCAATTCCGGAAAATGGACCGGATCCAAAAAATACCCCACGACCACCCGACACCGTCCACACCGCAAGAAAAGCCTCTTCTCGAACCCATCTTCTCTGCGAATCAATGTTGGTTTTCGATCCGGAATAGTAGTTGAGAGGAGAATCGTGTAGTGTTTTTGTGTCGCGGAGGAGGAAGAGGTATCGTCGGTTGTGGTTGTGGTTGGGGCAGTGGAGGTGGAGGTGGAGGTAGAGGTAGTGGTATCGAGCGGGAGGGGAAGAATCAACGCATTGTCTTTTGAGGGTTCTTTGCGGCGCGGGAGGGAGGGGATTGAGCGCGTTGTTGCTAGGAGGAGGTGGTTGCAGAAACGGCAGTGGTGGGTTTGGACGGGGAGGTGTTGGGGTGGTGGTGTTGCCATTGTTGTGGTTGGGTATGAGGGATAGTGTTGTTGTGGTTGTGATTATGGTTGTGGATGTCTTGGTTGAGGTGGTTGTCGTGTATTGTAGGTAGTGTAGTGGTGGTCCTGGTGGTGGAGGAGATGGAGGCTGGTGGTGGTGATGTGGTGATGGGAGGTTTTGCGGGCTTATCGATAACCTTAGGTTCCTGCGTCGTTGCTTGGGTTTGGGTTTGGGTTGGGTTTGGTGGCGTCACAATGTCCACTTTTGAACGATATGTTGTAAATTGTAAATTTATAGGAGCTTTTTTTGTTTTTGGCCTTGATGGTGTGTTCTATTCTGTATTTGTCTAGTTTATGTTGAGACATAATAGTTGTTGTGTTCATCGGTTACGGTGGTTATATATATCCTGTGCCTCCTCGCTCATCAATTGGTGACTAACAAAATGAAGAAGAGAACATTGAGTCAATGTACTGCAGAATTCTTTTAGGTTTTAGTAGAATAGTAGTAGGTAGATGAAGTCTAGACCCTGTCACACAAGACTGGCATTGCTTTTGCAATTCATGGGGTACACACCTGGTCGATGACAAGAGAACTCACTTGTAGCTCTAACATTTACTCGTCGCGTCGCCGATCCCAACCTTGAAGAGTATGTAGCAAAAACAATGATCTATTATGTTGAGACATGCCATATTTCTACCTTCTACGCCCGAGGCTGAGAATGGATATATTCCTTTTGGTCTACGTGGTTCTTGACATATTATAAGCCTGTGAGTTTGTAATATAGGAATAGGTAAATCAAGAAACCAACGCCTTTTAAACTGTTGCAAATACTACACAGAACAGGTCACAGAAGCGAAAATAAATAGTAACAGTTGCTAAGTATTACATTCGAGATAACTCTATCTTCCCATCTAAGTTTTGAGGATCACTCTACCAATCGTATAGTACAAAGGACGAAGCCTATTATACTCTGCGGTTGACGAGCATTCACCTTACGAAACCTCTTCATGCCAACCCACAAGACAGCCCTTCTGCGTGAGATTTCTGTTGCAGTATGGAAATATAAAACGTTCTGGCCATTTTGCACGTATCCATTCCTGATCAAGTGGACCGTGGCATTCCTCGTCATGGTCTGGAAATTCCTCTTCATCCGGCTCGCAGTACTCTGGACTTGAATTAGCATCATTCGCTCATAATGGTACACGGTATGGGGCTTATCTGGGTGGAAGCGACAGCTCCTGCGGCTGTTGGTGGTCACGTCGAACTCCTTGTCACATTTCAAACACATGGCATAGCGCGTTCTAAGTTTTTTGGAGCCGGTGGTGTCAGGCTCGGACTCAGCCTTTCTTTTCCTATTTCCCTGGTCTTCGGATTTTTCTGGACCATCGCTGTTCGAACCATGGCTGTCTGATTCATCGCTATCTGAACCATCACTATCTGGGGCATCGCTATAGAGTTGCTCAAGAGGCGGTACCGCGACTCGGTCCTCGGCTATGAGCAACTTCCCAGTCACATATTCTCGGACTGCCAAGTTTTCGTTGCAGAGCGCCTGGAGGACATTCTCGAGGGTTGTTTTTGACGTCTTTGTGATTGCGAGCCTGAGTTGATTGTTCTGTTCGGACAGGCCTGCCATCTTGGAAAGGAGCAAAGCAGTGCGTGAATATGTACGAAGTTGACGTAGTGTTTGTTCTGGTCCTAGAGGTCAAATGAGACCGGTACTCTATTTTTAGAGGTCGACGCGAACATAACGCGTATTGTTTGCCCACAAAAAGCAAGATGAAGAATACAATTGAAAGAGATTGATGTCTAGTTCAATGCAGAACCGACAGAAGACCCCGTTACAGTATGCCAGAAAGCTGTCTTGAGAACAATCCTATCAACGTTGCACTGAAGATGATCCGTGAGAATTGGCCTGGCTGCCTTGTCGGTTATCTTCGCAGCCGCGACGCTTATCGAGCCAAAACGCGTCCCTGACCAATTGACATTAAGGTTAACTACTGTGACAGCCCCGCAGTTTGTTTACTCATGATCTCATAGGCATCGATAGTCTATGGGGAAGTGTTTCAAGTCCAAGATGGCACTCTGGCCATTGACTCTTGGAAGTCATAATGGCCTCCACCCCTGAGCGGGTGATGTCCGCCTGTAGAGAAGGGCCTGTATGGGTTGAGAGAGTCCTTTCACTTGAATTTTCATCCTGTGCCTTTCGATTGCCAACTTTTATGAGCAAAAAAGGAGAGGAGCCCGGAGAAAAGGAGACAAATCTCGAATTACACGTCGAATGCGCTATTGACCTCAGCTGATCCTGCGATTCGCGGTCGCACCACTGGCACCTGTGTCGAATTCCACGGTTCTGTTTCAATCCATATGTGTCAGTACAAAGAGTTCGGACTAGCCTGCGAGTGACTGAATCAGGCAGGAAGAAATTATTGCATGGCAAGCATCGAAGCCTGGACTGGAAAGGAAGGCGCATCAGATATGGACCGTGAGTCCCTGATGTCGATTACTTTTCTGTACTCCATACCATAAGTTCCATATGTACCCCGTCGCACGTCTATACCATTAGCCTTGCGTGTCAGTTACCCTCATCAGTCCTCGCATAAGATTGGAACCCATCCGAGAGTATGCCTACCGGCCATGCTAATCTGCTACTATGAGTTTTAGCGCATGTGAAGTAATGCGCTGATTTACCAATTGAGCCCTGCCTCGGAAAAGTCCCTGCGCCTGCCGCCTAGTGCAAATGTGACCTATCCAACGAATTTGATCCACATATCTCCAGTCACCTGCAGAGGTAAAGACGCCAGACAAAATCAAGAAAAATGTGGCATGCAGCCCTCTCAGCCCAGCTTCCAGGATCATGATTCACTATGTCCTCGTGCAGGCTCATTATAACATCAGCTAAAGCAGACAAAAGGACCGAAGTTGCTGCAACCCGTGATTGTAGACTGTACCGAGATGTGATAAACCTGCAGAAAGTATGCCCATGGTTCGGCACCGAGATTGCTGTCCGGGTCCGACATCTAGGTTTCAAGGAAACAAGAGCCCTGATTCGATGCCGATCAGGGTAAGTAGGCCAATCAGCTGCTCCCTAATACCTAGTAACATCATCTGAGGTGGACTTAGATGCAGGCTATCCGGGGGTTGTATCTCCAGCCCCGCATTGAGTGCTAATAGCAGCGGAAGCCTCAGGAGGATAGTGGCAGCAACAACGCTACGATCTCGTGTCTGGTTGCAACAGGATCGTCATAATATACGTGCACCTAGTCAGTGGAATGTGTGACAGCATGCCCCACGGGCATGTACGGTTCTAGGGATGCGAGATGTGGATTACGAAGGCAGCCGATGAAATTTTCAACCCGGGCAGGCCAGACTGTGAGCATCCGGCTCATTGAGTCAAATTATCGGCAGGTAGTGCACCCCATGGCTAATTACGGCTGCAATCGATCAAGGGGGCCATGGCCACTTTGGAAGCTGTCATGGAGGATCACCGGCCATTCTGGATGCGAATCAGCTGGTAAGACACAAGGCGCCAGGCCGACAGTGCTGTGAACGGAGGCCCAACAGCTTTGATAGTTACCTACTGGCAAGAAGAGATTTCTGGTTGTCATTCTCAGTCCCGCAAGGCTCGGAGAGTATTGCTTCAATTTCTGAAGCCACATCCGATCTGGCGATCTCGGCCCCTATCGATGGTGACCCATCCACTAGCGATAGCCGACACGCATCTAGCGTCAAGCTGAGCATCCAAGTAACTGCGGGGCCCTTAGTACGCATCCTGATTCCGTCAAATTCTTCAGTCCGAAACTCTGCTTTTTCTAGACAGGTCATCGAGCCTAACCTTTTTCCAATGTGGTGGGCTGAAAACCTGTGTTGGCCTGGAACTGATACCCAACAGCTCGTGGCACGCCTGGATTAAGGTTGTAAGTGGAAACTTGAACCACTCAGAGCATTCATTTAATCAATTCTGACTAGGCAGACGCACGATGGAGTGCAGAGTGGGCCAGGAGCAGCCACAAGTTCACATGAAGCACAATAGCGTGAGAAAACAAGACATGTCGGGTAAGAAGATGCGAACGAAACAGAAAAGGAAAGACTAAGGTACCAATCATCGCCGGCAATATTCTTTTAGTCTGTACGACTCACGGGTTCGGCGCTTATGATGGGGAATTGGGGCGTGGAGAGCCTAGTGATGCTGGTTCAGCTGAATTAAATGGGGGGTTTCCCGGGGTTATCTCGTACATTAAAGCGTATATAACTCGACGTGAGGGCGCCCCAGGAGTGCCCATCGAGTATGTGTTTCTGATCGTCGATTCCAGTCATGGCGTCATCTCCATTCATAATCACAGAGCATATCGTCGATTGCCAGTATATCCGAGAGTATCCTCGAGCAACGCGATTAACAGAAGATTCTTTAAAGCTGGTCGTTAAAAGGTATACGCCAAAATCGAATCCAAATCCTCGGCCCGGAGATATCACCATCATTGCTGGCGCCGGCGGCGGATACCCCAAGGTACGCCGATGGCTTTTGTGGTGACAGGAGTGGCTGTTGAATATTATACTAAGGCAGTACGGCATAGGAACTTTACGAGCCAATATGGGAAGAAATTTACGAAAGATTGAAGCGCAATGGTCTTCGCATTCGCTCTATTTGGATTGCGAACCCTGCCAATCAGGGTGCAAGTGCAGAACTCAACGAAGAATCACTCGGAAATGACCGTATGTATCTTACATGGGTAGGCAGTGAAAACACCACAAGCTAATCAAAATACCAGCATCATGGTTCGATCACAGTCGAGATCTGCTTTACATGATTAACCAGTTCAAGGCCGATATGCCAAGGCCACTCATGGGGCTCGCGCACAGCCTCGGGGCTGGACAACTGTAAGTCCTTTTTTGCTTAATCTCTGGAAGGGATCAAGATTAATTGATCGTGCAGAATGCACCTGTCTCTAATTCACCCCCGGCTTTTCAATTCTCTCGTACTCGTGGAACCAGTGTTTACGAAAGATTTTATCTCGGGGAAAGGGCCAAGCTTCCTGAAATTTGCGATTAGCAGAAAGGATGTCTGGCAATCCCAGGCAGAAGCAGCCGTCTACTTTAAGAAGTTCTACAAGCAATGGGACCCACGAACCTTGAGCCTCTGGCTACAGTATGGCCTCAAGAAGGTACGCTCGGAAACCGATGCAGCTGAAACCGATGATCCAGTGTCCGCAGTCACACTGGTCACTTCAAAGTACCAAGAAGCGGCACAATATGGGCGCCCCAACTTCCTTAACAAGCAATTGCTGGACCTTGAGAACAACCCTGAACCAGATACTCCCCACGATGCCACTTTTCACCCAGATGTTGTGGGTCCACCCGAAGAAGTGTTTCCGTTCTATCGCGCGGAAGGGAACATCTTGTGGAGGGCAGTAAAACACATTCGGCCATCGGTCTTATATATCTATGGAGAAGAAAGTCCCGTTTCGACAGCAGCCCAGCGCGCATATAAGCTGCAAAATACTGGGGCGGGGATTGGAGGCAGCGGGGGATACAAGAACGGTCGAGTCAAGGAGGTTGTATGCCCTCATGCTAGTCACGAACTTCCGTTCGAGGATGTCACGGGTGTCGCTGAAGCGACCGCAGAGTGGCTGAAGCAAGAGACAGCGAAATGGAAAGAGGAGGAAGAACGGATCCAAAAGGGATGGCTGGAGCTCACGACCAAAGAGAGAACCACTTTCCCTGAGGAGTGGTATACGCATCTAAACAGCTACTTCGAGAAGGGGAAGAAAAACCAGAGAGCAAAGCTATGACCTGGCGACGTGTATATTTCGATTCCCTGATATCCATGTTCTAGTACGATACTGCATTCGATAATAGACTGAAGGATGGTCTATTGAGGTCTGATTTAGTGGCCAAGCCGCTACTTACGGCATATTTATAGACTTTGAAAAGAAGCAATTATGGATGGTCTTTACCTCGGCTTTTCCAGCAGTGTGGAATAATGTAGAGAGACAGAGTACTATGCAGCTCCGCACACTGATTCCATTTCAAAATAGCGCTCATAATATGTATAGTCGGCATTTATTGGGCAAAGACGCTTCAGAACGAATACGTGAATGTCAGTTTTGACACTCAGATGTCTATCTATGCACCCAGAACTTCAATGACACAAGAATCGTAGCAAACTCGCCCCCTGCTATCAACTATGTAGATAGAAACAGACAATGACAGTCACCTGACGCGAAGAGGCAGGCCCCGAAGCGGGCCCGAGCGGGTCCCGACCGAGCATTTCTCTCCCCATCGCGCCTCAGCTCTGCCCAGCACGGTCGGTACCCAGGCAGCCACGAAGATCATTTCCCAAATACATCGCCGGTGATGTCTTCGAGTCAGCAAAGCGTCTCAGCTGCATCCTCACGAGCCGCTGTGAAACCACAACATGCTTTTGCGTGTGTATTGTGCCAGCAGCGCAAAGTCAAATGTGACCGCAAGTTCCCCTGTGCCAGCTGCCTCCGGGCCGGGGCGCAGTGCGTGCCCACTCTGGCCCCGCGGCCTCGGCGTCGCAGGTTTCCCGAACGTGAGCTTCTGGAGCGTCTGAGGCGGTATGAGAGTTTGCTTCGCCAACATAATATACCGTTTGAGCCTCTACATACGTCTGTGGATGAGAAGGGGTCTCGGGAAGAGGGGAGTAGAGATACTGGCTCTGTAGATGATGCGGGTTTGCAAGGCCCGAGCTCTGAGGGAGCCCGAATGTCGGAGGGGATAACCGCCAAGCCGGAGCCAGTATACAAGGCTAGGTTATGGTTCCTCAAACGACAATCACCTCTAAACTGCTAACTCTCTTGCAGGAGTTTCTGGAATGTCATGAATCAAATGGTACGAATTTGCCTGACAGCAAGCTTGGATTACACTAACAATGGAGACAGTCTCTAGATACTGAAGACGACAACGATGATGGTAGTGACAATGAAAATGATGGCAATCGCTCCCACAACACTGTACACGAGGCTGTGATCAAGAGGACTTGGGACCAGGTATACAATAATAAGGATCAGAACCTTCTCTTTGGGTCACGCAAGTCCAACGTCGACCTTTCTACTCTGCACCCTAATCAAGCCCACATCTTCAAGCTCTGGCAAATATACCTGGAAAACGTTGATCCCTTGCTTAAAGTCACGCACACTCCGACTCTACAGACGCGCATAATTGACGCTGTTGGTGATCTGGGGGATATTAGCCCAACACTGGAAGCACTTATGTTTAGTATCTATAGCGTTGCTATCAGGAGTCTCGTTGATGAGGAATGTCAAACCTTGATTGGGGCCGCGAAGAAAGAAATTCTGAAAGGCTATCAGTTCGGGTGTCAGCAGGCTTTGCTTAATTGTGATGTCTTGCGCTCTGGTAATCGCGACTGCTTGACGGCGTTGTTGCTCTACCTGGTGAGCTTCACTGGCTGCAATTTTCTCTGTGATTTCTAACGCTTCTAGATATCTGTCAGATCTGAAACAGATCCGCGATCCTTATCTTCAATGCTCGGTGTTGCTATTCGAAATGCGCAACGCATGCATATCGACAACGAATCCGCTAATGCTAAATACCCTGCCCTCGAGGGTGAGATGCGACGAAGGCTATGGTGGTCGCTGATCTTGTTCGACAACCGCATCGGCGAAATGTCAGAGCACAAGACCTCCATGTTAATACCGACTTGGGACTGCAGGACTCCACTCAACGTGAACGATTTCGATCTGCAACCAGAGATGAAGGACGCAACAGCTGCCCACGTGGGACCTACCCAAGCCCTTTTCGTGGTCGTGCGTAGCGAACTGGGGGAGTTTATACGGCATAGCACCTTTCATCTTGACTTCACCAGTCCGTCTTTGAAGACAATTGCCAAGGGCCGGAAAGGCGATGCAGTGAGCGCGCTAGAAAGAAGCATCGAGGATAAATACCTCCGACACTGCAACCCGGAGAATGCCCTTCACTACATGACCATCTGGACGATGCGTGGATTCCTAGCAAAGTACCTCCTGCTCGAACATTACTCAAAGTACTCTCCCGCACAGCAAACAGACGAACAACGCAACACCGCAAGCATCTACGCATTACGCATGATTGAATGCGATACCAAGCTGATGACCTCACCCCTCACGAAACGATACATCTGGCATGTACATCTCTTCTTCCCATTCCCGGCATACCTACACATCATCCAGGCCATTAAGAAGCGACCCACCGGGGATCGTGCCGACAAGATGTGGAAAGTCATGAGCGAGAACTACGAGGCTCGCATGGTGGATGCGGAAACCCCCACTCCTTTTCTCACGCTTTTTGCACGAATCGTCTTCCAAGCCTGGGAGGTCTATGAAGCAGCACGGAGACAACTTGGTCAGACGGTCTCACCACCGGGGATAGTGCTGCGGATTCAAGCCAAGTTGGCAGATGCAACGCCAGCCACGGAAGTGTCTAATGCGGGGCAGCCCAGGGATGATGCCCTGGACAACCTCCAAGTTCCCACGTCAATCGACCAAGGGATCCATGATCCGTCATACGGTATGGAAGGGTTAGACGGATACCCGGATATGTTCGAGCAAACGGCGATGGATATCGACGCGTACCTGTCTGGTTGGCCGTCGATGAACTTCTATCCGATATGGTGAGGCTGGTGACGAGTGCAGCAGACATACCAACTATTGGCCGACTGCTTGTAGTTTTATAACGTGTATTTCCTCTGGTGATATATTAATTTAATTGATTCCTGATGATTCCTCAACACTGTTCTAGTCTATTGATGCTTCCCCAAAGTTCTATCCCAAGTATGTCAACCACCTGATATGTTGGCCGGGAGCATCCCTTGAACAATTTGATAGTTGCCTACTGGAGCGATGAACCATTCTGATTAGTCAGATTAAGTTGTCATGTCTCACAGGACTCTAATAAGCCGAAGCATATCATTTAGTCCAAAATTTGCGCAGCTGGTCCGAGATACAGGTCGTATGTCGTCCCGTCTTCGTCTGACAAGCTTCGATCAGCTCAATCGTGCGGCGTCTTTCTAAGATACCCTCTGTGACTAGACCAGCAATATACAAACACTGAGTGGATATGAGACCCCATGCTTCGTTGATGCCAGAGTTGGCTATCGTGAGGACTTCCTTTCTTGATTTCTCTAGCTCGCGACGTGCCTGGAGTGGATCGGTAGTTGACGCACAAGGACTGTTTAGGAGAAGCAGGATTTTAGAGGCGTGGTAGAGTTGGTGGGAGATTGCACTTTCGGGATAGGCGAACCAAACAAAGGGGAACATGTATGATAGGTCCCGCTCGATTGTATCCGTTGCTTGGGGTCCGGGGTCTCGGGAGCAAAAGGGCTTCATGGATGGTGGGAGTTTCTCTTTCCAGTCTTCTAGGGCTCGGTTCAGCTCGGAGGATAGTAGTTCCTTCTCGATGTGGAGCCACTTGTTGGAATGGGTGGTTTCGTCAGTTTTGAGAACGTAGTATGTGATGCATTGGCCGAAGATGAATAGGACCCGGTTTGCGATTTCACGCATCGAGATATGTGCGAAGCTGGCGAGCGGTTTGGGTCGCCAGTAGCTCTCGTCTAGGAACATGCGGCGACCGCTCTGGAACGCTGCCCAGACTTCGTGTCGGTACCAAGTCCAGTATGTTGCGCCTCGGATGCCGGATTCGTCTCCGTGGATGCCGTGGGATTGGATCAAGCTTGCTATGCCTTTTAGGTGAGAGCCGAAGCTCTCGCCGGCTACGTCGATGATCTCGTATCTGATCGTCCAGTTAGCGCTATGGGAGGGGACTGTGAGGCGGATGCTTACGTAGATAGAATAATACTGGAGGCGAGAAGCTCATCGCTGCCTGAGTAGCGGGGTTCGACTAGAAAAGAGCCCATCTCCCGGAGTGCCTGCTGGTAATAAAAGAGAGAGTATTTCTCCTGCACCGACGTGTTGCCGTGAGAAGGGACCCTGCTCAACTGCTTGGCCGAGGCTGCAAGACAGGAGTGAAGCAGCATGGGGCAGTGCAAGGCCATGGATGGTACCTGACAATAGAATGGCTGGTCATGGGAGAAAGAGTCGACCTGAAGATGAATTAGCTGCATTTACCGTTCTCTTGAAGTCAAGCTGCTTACCCATTTTGAAATTCTGTCAACGAAATTGCGAAAGAGCAGTAGCTCAACGTCAGAGAGTTGAATAGGATCTGGCACGCGAAAAGGGGTGGGTATAGAATCCCCATCGCTCACTGGTTCTGAAAGAGTCGACGCACGCGTCGGTGTAGGAGGGCTGGAGATGTCGCGTCCCTCACGATCCGGGGAATGTGGAACTTCTTGAGTCGTTGCATTCTGAAGTACAGTACTTAGATTGGCTACGGGATGTGCGGAGGGATGTGGTGGGGGTTGCAGAGCTGTGTATTCTGTGAGCCAGGGTGATCGAGCTGGACGTTGAGTTGATGTGATCAGGACTGGAGGAGAGCCGCGAGGAATTAGTTGTACAGTATTATGTGCTGGTGGAGGCGTGTTGCCGAATAAATTGGGAATAGGGGCTGTTGGGCCATTGAGATTGGGCCTTTGATGACTCGCATGGCTTCCAGCACCAGCCGAGGGTGAGTCCTTAGGCGAACTGAGGTTGTAACGGCAGGACCGATCGCCCTTGGCACAATTCCGGCAGATGGGACGTTCCTCGTCGCATTTGATACGACGGGTGCGACAAGTCAAGCTGGATGGGGCCGCTTCTGCATTAGCAACGGCGGTCTGAGTATCCGTCTGCCAACCATGGTGTGAGGAAAGGAATAGGTACCATCCGGTTTTCACTCGAAGAAATTTGGTAGGCATAGCACGATGCTCTTCGCTTGTTCGAGAAGGTGATCGGTCGGCTGTTGGTTGAACCGATGCGAGAATTAAGCGAGGGAAGATTGCCCGTCCTCGCTATGTTACGCGATTGGCCCACTCAGCCCAGTGGGGGATTGACCGGCATGATGTCAGCAGGGTCCAGTCACAACTGCTAACGTAATCAATGGTTGGGCGGCCCACCCCCCTGCCCGAATCGCTCGATATCTTCAAAATGAAGCCTTTAATTCAATATAAACGCTTATAAAAATGCTATATAATTAAAAACTAGGTGGTTTTAAATATTATGTACGTTAGTGACTAATAATGAAGCAATTACTGCAGTATAGAGGCGCGTGTGAGAAAGTCTCCGTAGATAAAAATTAAGATTAAGATTAAATCTTAATCTTAATTTTTTTATTATTTTATATCTCTTGTTCTTGTTGGATTGCATCCTGAGCCTCTTTAATAGTAATATTTTCTATATAGATTACTTACTTTCTTGAATGCTTCTTCTTTTATAATTACTTTGTATAGTTAGCATGTAATTTTTTATTTTTTTTAATTAATATAATCGAGTTTATTATTACTAGCTTACATTCTTTGAGAAGTTGATGTAGTGTAGAGTAAATAAGTAAAATTAGATTTACTTACTATTTTTAAAGTAGCTATTCCACTATATTCTAATATTTTAAAAGCTGTCTTATATTATGTGGTATTTAAAGTATTAAACTACTTGACTGACTATCTGGAGTAGATAGTATTTTAAGATAAATATTAAGTTAGAAAAGCACTTGCTTAGGATCTAGGGGAATAAGATTTATTATTTTAAATCTACTAATAATATTTGACTTTATTAGTGATTATTAGTATGCTTTAGGATAGATCTCTAAGAAATTAAGCTTATTAATATGATTATGGCTGTATTATACTTACTTTTAAATTATATCTCTGTATATATATTTAAGTATGTTAAAATAACTAATATTTAGAGGTTAAAATAAATAAGATAAATGTATAGATATATAGATAGGAATAACATTATTCTCAGTACAGGTTTGATTAAATTTAGGAATTAAATAATTGCTATGTCTATCAAGTACTAGAAAACTATATTTATTTACTAATTTACTTCTGATCCACGGGATAAAATATTTTTAAAATTATTAAAAGCTAATTATATTAGTAATCTAATTATTATCACTAACTTTAATCCTCTAGGTAAAGGGAACAGATTAACCTTCATACCAAATCTTAAAATATGTTTTACCTTTGAAAATTAAAGTCAAGAATAGAATTATCCTATTAAATTAAATACACTCAATTGAAGTAACCCATTCCTAATTTCCTAGTTAAACTAGAGATAGCCAGCCAGTTTTCTAGGAACTAGTTATTACTTTAACTATAATAATTATTCCTATAGCAAATCTTATTTCATTAAAATTATAGATATTATTTGATAAGATTTTATACTCTTGTATAATCTCCTAGACCTGATTGAACCAATTTTTTATAATCTTAAGATCTTTCATCTGAGTTCTCTAATAGTTATATTATCTAGCGTAGCGGGTTCGGAGAGACTCATGATATTTAATAAAGCTGTAAACTTAATTAATGCTTACTTCTTCGGGAGTTATATAACCTTATTTAGATAAGATTAGATTAGCTATATTTTTAATTTTAAGTGGCTGGGGACTTGTACCTCGCTTATCTAGAAATAAAATCTATTTAATAAGTAAATTTTTTTTGTTTTTCAATAATTTTTAACGTGTATGGACTATATCTCTAGTAAAATTATGTCCAGATAGTTGAGCGTGGAGAGTAGTTCAAGGAATATTATAAATACGCGCTGTCTCGCGAATACTAGTGATTTGGTCTTTCTGAATAGCTTTAATAGTTAGGAGGATTCTGTCTTCCTGTTCTACCTGCGCTTTTGATGAGATAGGCGTTTTTGGTGGCATCTGTAGTGGTCGAATGGCTTCGGGTAGGAATTCGAGGTGGTGTTTTCGATGGGGTGGGCCGCCCAACTGTGTGGGCCGCCCAACCGTTGATTACGTTACTTGGTTACTAGAAGGCCGTGAACTGTTCCCTCTTCTCAGGTTATCTTCTGACTTTCCTCCAAAAGCATTAATCATTGACTCAATCGCAGGCTCCATGGTCAACGGCATACGCTCTAGTCGCTTACTATTGGACAAGATAAAGTCACTACCTATTATTCACTGCAATAAACATGACAGAGATCAAACCATTCCGTGTTGATATTCCTAAGGAAGAAGTTGAACGCCTCAAGAGAAAGCTCCAAGATACACGTCTCCCCGGACGCCCGATCGTGCCCAATGCAGGGACTAGCTATGGTATGCAATGAATCCTAGGCACTTTCTTTGGCAATGACACCGCTGATACAACATAGGCCCAACATACCAGTGGGCAGAAAGCCTGTATAACGAATGGGTCAATAAATATGACTGGTACTCCGTCCAGAAGGAGATGAACGAGGTCCCCCACTACATCACTGCCATTGAGGATATCAACATACACTTTGTGCACACTCGTGCAGAAAATACCGATGCCATTCCTCTACTCATGATCCACGGATGGCCAGGCTCTTTCTGGGAGTTCAGTCAGATCTGGGACCGCTTATCCCGTCCATCCAATATGAAAGATCTCTCATTCCATGTTGTGGTCCCGAGCATGCCTGGATTCTGTTGGTCTGACTGGCCGCCTCGAGCCGGGTGGACGCTGCGTGATACTGCTCGGATCTTCGACACACTCATGAAGAGACTCGGCTATAAGCAATACATGGTTCAGTGCGGAGACTGGGGTCATTTTGTTGGACGTGAACTGGCTTCCCAATACACTGATTCCTGCCGACTGATTCACTGCAACTTTTCCCCAAGCTCTCTTCCAGATGGTGTCGAATACACCGAGAGAGAGAAAGCTGTTGCAGATCGTGGAAATGGCTGGCTAGAAAATCATATGGGTTATGCAGTTTGCATGCGGACTCGCGTAAGTTATTGACACCCCATACAGATGGGAAGCTGCTGACTATTTAGCCACATACGATCGGAATAGCACTTCATGACAATCCGGTGGGGATACTTATGTGGGTTGGAGAGAAGTACAATGAGGCTGCCGATCCAAAAACACAGGAACGACCATTTTGGACAAAAGCCATTCTGACTACGGCATCATTATACTATTTCACCGGCTGTATCATGCCTTCGATGCTCTGCTACTATGAAAGTGTCCGTCATGAAAAGTTTGCAGAGTTTGCCTTAAGACCGGAGAACCGTATCACCGTACCGTTTGGGTATACCTCATTCTACTGGGATACTGAGCCTTCTTCGCGGAGAGCTGTGGAGCGAACGGGGAACTTAGTGTTCTACAGAGGTACACGGCATTGAAATCCACCCCCACTGTGGCGCTCTTAATGCTAACTGCCTGACTCCACTCCAGAACGTGATAACGGCGGGCATTTTGCGGCCCTCGAGAGTCCAGAGGGATTGGCGCAGGATATTCGAGAGCTGGCAGGGCAGGAATGGACTAAATATGAGTAGCATCCTCAGATACAGCTACCCAGGAATCATTTCCTGAGTTGAATGTTCTATAAACGGATTCCTGGGGACCCTTTGGCCTCGGAAATCAGTGGGCCTGTTTTCGATGCAAGCCCTGGACAGATCCTTTCTGGACCCAACGGAAGATGATGACAATCCATATGATAATCGAGATAAGCATCAATTGCCTTTCCTTAGCCCCTAGACTTGAGGCACAGTGTCTATCAAGATACGGTACAGTGATGGAGAACAGCGGGGATCGTCCACGGGAATCTCGCTAGTCATGGTAATTGCCTCCGAGATCTGCCTACCTCCGAGCCCAGCCAGCCTAACTCCGCACTCCTACCATTCGTACTCCGTACCTACTCCATAGTATAATTAACCTCAAACACGCGGGACCAGGGCATACGTATGCTGCAGATCATTGAAAAGTCTAAGGTTGCAATTGTGGGTCTTGAGCTAGCAATAAATAACAGCTCTACAAGCTCCTCTTTGAGCTTCCTTTTCTCTCCTGACAATCGTTTCCCCTCCCCTTCTGCCACTCAACCCCAACAACCATCCCACCAATAACCCACCAACCATGCGTTTCTCAAAGCCCACCGCTCTCGCACTAGCCATGTCCGCCGGCCAGGCCAACGCTGCCTTCAGCAACAGCACCGACTGCGTCGACGTCCACTTCATGCTCGCTCGCGGAACGACCGAATCCTACCCCGGCACAACCTACTCCATGGCCGAGCTGGTTGCCGAAAACCTGACCGTCTCTACCAACTACGAAGATATCGTCTATCCCGCTGTCAGCGAGACCTCGTCCGATAGCTACTTCGTCGGCCGGGCCGCAGTTGGTTCCCAGGTCAACAGCTACGCAGCCGCCTGTCCGGACTCCAAGATTGTTCTCCTTTCTTACTCCCAGGGTGCCATGATCGTGGGTGATGCTCTTGCTGGAGGTGGTGGGAACTCGGTTCTGGGTAATGCTACGGAGCCGTTGATTTCGGAGGAGGTGTCGAAACATAGTGAGTTATTTATCTTCGCCCCCTATTGTATTGTTCACCGGTAGCTGATTGTTTCGGATACAGTCGCGGCGAACGTCTTTTACGGAAACCCTCGCCATGTTCCATATGAGCCGTATGACTTTGGACCTAACGCTACGGCGGTTACTGGGGTATGCTCTGATCTTATCCCGTTTGATTAGTGTTCTTTTGCTTACTTACTTTTAGAAATACCCTCGCCTCCCATACCAAATCAAGGTGCTGAATGAGCGATACACCGATGTTACCGCGGACTGGTGCAACAATGGAGATAGCGTCTGCTCGCCTTCGGAGGGTGCTGATGCTCTTTCTCTTCACACGGCTTATGCAACGGATTATGATACCGTTGCTGCCGCGTGGGTGCTTGCTAAGCTGGGTGAGCAGAAGTGATGTCGTGGTGGATTTATCGATATGTCTGCGTTCGTTGTTAGGTTGGGATTATAATTTGTGAATGTGCGATAGTAAGGTTGGCGCGTAAGCCAGAAGATTGGAGGCTTTTAGCCAGCTGACCTAGTGACATACTGGGACCGTTGTGGCATGCTTTTTATTATTACCTCTATATATACAGAATCGCATCGTTTAGCCTGTTGCGTCAACTACGTGCTCTGCGTCACCACCCTTCATATCAAGAACGATCGTCTGCTCTTCCCGAAGGTCCATGGCAATGAAGCGCTCCGGCCGCTGCACCTGCACGGCTTCGTGGTCCCGGAAGACCCAGAAGCGGAGACCGTCCTTAAAGACCGTGTCGATGTCCTCGAGTCGGCGATTGGCTGTCTCCGGGTAAAAGCAGTAGATAATGGGTATGGAGGCCCAGTTGAAGAAGACCCAGATGAGATAGAACTTCCATCCCAGGTTTTGGATGCCGACGGGAGTGACCTGCACCACCATGTAGTTGATGGCCCACTGGGCGGCCACACTGGCTGAGGCGCCCTTCATCCGCATGTGCAGTGAATTGATCTCGGTGTTATACAGCCACGCCGTGCCCTGCCAGCCGGTACCGAAGTAGGCGTAATAGAGGAAAATCATCGAGACAGAGGCCGCGCCATAGTTGTGATTGCGGAAAGAGTTAGTGGTACTATCACCCACCCAGATCAAGATAGCCAGGGCCAGGTAGCAGCAGGCGCAGCCAATCGTGCCGAAGAGCATCGCGCCACGTCGGCCCCATTTGTCGATCAGCATCATCCCCAGATACGAGAAGAAGGTGTAGTGGATCCCGTTGACGGCCGTTAGCAGGCGGGCCAGCTTATCAGGCAGGCCGACCGAGGCTGTCAAGACTGTAGGAAGGTAGTATGAAGTTGCATTGACGCCAGACAGTTGAACTATGATCTGTGTTCCGAGTCCGAGGCAGAAGCGGCGTAGTGTGCCTCGGCCGCCATCTCCGGTCCTGTTGCGCAGCAGGTCTCCCCATGTGACAGCATTATCGCGTTCGGCGCGATAGGCGTTGAGCTAATTTGTTCTTTTAGCGACTACCGCGGGGTGCACTGGCGTGGCGTTATCTCCATGCACATCCGCCAGGGTCTGAGTGGCCTCTTCGATTCGGTCCTGAGAAATGAGCCACCTGTGAAGTCAGTCTTGGGGTTTGTGTAAGGGGCAATGAAGCTCACCGAGGAGATTCAGGAAGCCAAGGAGCAGTGGCCAGGATGATAATTCCAAACAGAAGCTGCAGGGCCAAGGGGAACCGCCATGAGATGCCTCCGGATAGATAGGAGAAGCCAAAGTCGACCCAGTTGGCAATGCAGAACCCAGCGACGTTGACGACCAGGCCAAATACCACCAGCTTCCCACGCCAGCTGGGTTTGGCAGACTCGCTCTGCCAAACAGGCACCGTGGCGGTATTCAGGCCGTTGCCTAGGCCAGCGACCAGACGGCCGACGATCGTCTGTGGGACCAAGTAGGCGGAGATTTGCAAGATGGCTCCGATCATCATCACGACGGTGCCCCCAATGACGGACTTCTTGCGCCCCAGGATGCTTCCGAAGACTGTCCCCGAGACAGCGCCAAAGAAGCAACCTAAATCATACAGCGAGGTGATGGTTCCGGTCATGTTGGCACTGGGTTGATCCATGACTTGCAGGAAGTCCTCGGTGATGATGACACCGCCTGCAGGTCGGCGAGGTGAGCCGTAGAAACAGAGAGACTCAACGATACTCACTGAATACTGCTTGGTCATAACCATATAGTGTCATCGCACTGGCGCAACATATTGTCACCCAGATGGTGAGCAGATCACCCCTGCAACCAAAGTACCGATCCTTCATGGTGGTGTCAACGGGAATGGAGAGGGCAAGGTGAGTCACGATGGACAAGAAAATGCAGGACTTCATTTGCCTTAAATGTTTCATGTACCCCGCCTAAGTCGGTAGAACTTCCCCACAGTTTCTAACATGCTTCCAGCTTCTGGAAGGTCTTTGTGTTGGTGGTCACGCGAGAATCCCATGGCGGAGATGTGTGCCGCCCTGGGTGATCTATACATCCTCGTCCCCGCAGTTTCTCTACCCCTCACCCTCTTGCTCCCCCTCACTTTGCACCATTCCAACAACTTAATATCTCGTATTTATATCAACACACTTGTCTGTTTCTTGCAGGTCATTGTCATCATGGCCCCTTCCGCTCTGGACACTCCCGGATTACGGGAAACAGAGGCCAGTCGATTAGCGAAGAAGATATGGGGTGAGTGATGAATAACACCAGCAAGGTAAGAGATTCACTAACAGGAGTCAAGCCCGGTATGAGCTTACCCCCGAAACGGATCGGATAATGATTGGGATTTCAGGCATCCCAGGATCAGGTGTGAACCCTGACCCTTACCGGTTGCATTTTTGCTCATGATGTTTGCAGGCAAAAGTACTCTAGCTGCCAAAGTAGCTGCGGGGGTGAACGCCCTCTATGCCGAAAGGATGCTGGCAAGCCTGATGCAGAACATGCAGTGGCCGTCGATCTCCCCATGGATGGCTTCCACCTGTCTCGGGCGCAATTGGCCGCGATGCCCAACGCGGTCGAAGCCATTCACCGGCGAGGCGCTGCCTTTACCTTTGACGGCGAGGGATTCCTACAACTGGTGCAGCGATTACGCGAGCCTCTCGGCGCTGGCTCGAATATTGTTTACGCCCCGGGGTTCGATCATGCCGTCAAGGACCCTGTCGCCGACGAGATCCCCATCTTGCCAACCTCACGGGTGCTTATCTTTGAGGGCAACTATCTTGCTCTCTACCGAGACCCCTGGCGATCGGCTGCGGGGCTGATGAACGAGCTGTGGTTCATTGACGTCGACCGCGAGGTGGCCCGAGAGCGATTGGTGAAGCGGCATGTTCTTACGGGCGTGACTCCGGACGAGGCCTCGGCGCGGCATCGAATCGCGTCAACGGACTTTTTGAATGCAGATGACATTGTGGAGAATCAACTACCCGTTCAGGAGATTGTGCGGGGGGATTGTTAGCGCTGGATATTACTTGTTAATATGCCTTTGAGATATATGTACTTTTTGGAATCGACATTAGCCGTGGAAGCCGGAAAGACGACGGGGCGGAGGCGGCCCGTCCATTCATGGACTGGTGATATCCTCGCCATATTCACTTATTGGCTATGATTTCCAGCGCCCTCGTTCGACGGTTCCTTATCCACGGTAAGGTAAACAGTAACTATATCTTACTGCTATCTCGAGAGTCGTTCAGGTGCGTGAAAACGTTGGCCATGCTATTGAGCAGCTTGAGGGGTGGGAAATCCGACGCGGGGTAATTAGATACGCTGCGGCGAATCTAAAGGAGACATAAACCGTTATGCAGAGGGATAAGCTCATTGATACGAGACAGGCTGTCAAGTGCCAACAAGGTTGCGGTCCACCCGGGAAACCTTGAGGGATACCGCATGGATCGTCCGGTCCACGGAAGTCCACGGCCACGGCCACAGGGACATCCATCAAACCCCCGCCTATCGTTCGGGTCATAAATAGCCCCTCCTCCCTGCTCGCACCGAAAACCAGATGCAACACACCTTCTGAACTCCAACCCGCCAGAACTATAAATTCAAGTTCCCAACATGTCAGCAACCCACCCCGTCTTTCGCGCCGAGGCCACGGCTCTTATCACGGGCGCCGCCTCAGGGATTGGTCTCGCGACCGCCAAACTATGCCACAGCCATGGCATGAATCTGGTCTTGATCGACAAGAACGAACAGGCCCTTTCCACGACTTCGGCCCAGTTCCCATCCACGGCGAAATCGGCCACTTCCACCTATGCTATCGATGTGTCGGATATCTCTGCGTGGAACGCCCTCCAAAGTGAAGTCACCTCCAAGCACCCCTCAGGAATCGACTTCCTCATGCTAAACGCCGGAAGTGCCTTCAAGCCCGCCGAGGGTAAAACACGTTGGCAAGACCCGGAATATTTCCAGAAGACCTTGGCTGTCAACACATTGGGTTACACCAATGGCTTAGCCACCTTCCTAGACAGCGTGATTGGATCGAATAAGGCACAGCCCCGGGCTATTATCCTCACCGGTTCCAAGCAAGGAATCACCAACCCCCCGGGAGATCCAGCCTACAATGCTTCCAAGAGCGCGGTGAAAACCATTGCGGAACAGCTTTCCTTGGATCTACATGAGACGTATCCGAATGTGTCGGTCCATCTACTTGTCCCGGGATGGACGTACACCGGCATGACTGCGGGTCGTCATGCTTCGAAGCCGGATGGGGCCTGGACACCGGAGCAAGTGGTGGAGTACATGAATGAGAAGATGGTGGATGGGCGGTTCTACATTATTTGTCCGGATAACGAGGTAACCGAAGATCTGGATCGAAGGAGAATTGCATGGGCCTATGGAGATATGGTGCATGGGCGACCTGCGCTGTCCCGGTGGAGGGCGGACTGGAAGGAAAAAGCATCTGAGGGAATCAAACAGCTGCAACTCGACTAACTTGGCGGATACCCACGGCTTGGATAGTATCCAGTTTGCAGTATCGCAATTGATGTTGATTTGTTGTCCTGATCCACTGACCAGACTCCTGCGTACTCCGTAGAGGAATCAAAAGTGGCCATGGACTTTCAACACGGCCATCCGAGCGGGACAGGGCTGAGACACAGGCTGCTTAGAAATAGACCCTTATCGCAACCCGACACCATTGGTCGTGCGATGCCCATGCTGGTGCCAAGTTAAAGCAGTAGCTCTGATTCATCAAGCTGGGCAGTCTATCTCGCCTAATCTCAGCGAATAGGCGTGCAAAGCGAGGTCCGCAGTGGACTTATCGTGGCCCGAACGGGACTAGTGCCGAGGTTACGCGGTGACGTCGATTGTGGCCGCGGGTTCATAACTCTCAGGATGCCGTCCCAGACACAACAGAAACACTGTCCATCAAAATGTCGCTCAAAGGATCAAATGTGCTTATTGTAAGCTATTGGAATCCGTTATATGTGGATTTTCGAGCCTGTCACTGACCGACAGACCGGGGCGTCTATGGGAATCGGCGAAGCCATTGCCCATGCAGTTGCAAGAGAAGGCGCAAATTTGATTCTTTTCTCTAGATCAGAGGTAGGTTCATTGTCCTCCACCACCGTGGACATTCTCTATGCTGAATCACGCACAGAATAAGCTACAAGCCATTACAGCGACCCTTCACGAGCAATACCCCGCACTTAAAGTGATCTATAAACCAGTCGACATCCAAAGCTACGAGGCAGTTGAACAGGCAGTCAATGCCAGTGTCGAACAACTTGGTCAAATTGATATCCTCATCAACAATGTAGTCTCCTCTTTTCTGTTCACAGAGCGATGGCTATAGGCTAACACGGACAGGCCGGTCTCGCTCTCGGTGCACCCGCCACCTTTCCCGACCTCAAAGTCTCCGATATTGTCACCATGAACAGCACCAACATCAATGGGCTCATGTTCACCACGTACGCTGTGCTCAATGCATCCATGAAGCCCCGCAAGGCAGGTACCATCCTCAACATCACCTCCGTCACGGGGCTGGAGGTACCCCCGTTTCCCGGGGAGGCTGTCTACCACTGCAACAAGGCAGCCCAGGAAGCCTTCTCCAATGCACTCAGGAACGAGCTAAGCGAAACGAATATTCGCGTCTTGGTGTTGCGGCCGGGGTGTGTTGCTACCAATTTTCATTCGTTGCGTGTGGGCCATGATAAGGAGAAATATGATCGCTTTTTTGAGGGATATCAGTAAGTTTGCTTCATCCTTTCCGGCAATCTGGATTTTATCCATCTGTGCATCTGGCGACATGCTGAGTGCAGTTAGACCCCTCGAGTCGGAGGATATCGCGCGTACTGCTGTATTCATGCTTCAGCAGCCTTTGAATGTGTCGATCAAGGCTTTGGATGTTGTTCCTTCTGGTATGTGATTGGATTCTGTTGACTTCCTGTTGGCCTCCTGGAACTGTGCTAATAAATCATAGCCCAAAGAAGTTTGAATGTCTTTGACCGGACGTGGAGTGAGAGGAATGCTTGAGCAGACCTTGAAATCTATTTCGAGTCAGGTCAACGCACGTTGGTTCCCAGCAGAGCCCTTCGAAGGAAGCCTTAATTTGGCAACACTTGCACATCGTCGACAATAGCGTTCAGATACACGCTACGTGGGAAATATGATTTTTGGCAATGGCGACACTTCAGCCGAGTTTGAAATAGTATATCTCGTCAGCGTCTACAGAAAAAGGATACAGATCTTTGATGACCAAATGCTCGCTGCCTGATGGCTTCCCATACATATTTCTTTTACCGCCGACCTCGCTGTCCACGAAAGCACCCTAGGAAGCCCAGTACAGCGCGTAGTGCGATTAGGGCCACTAGATTGAAACAAACAAGGCATGCCCAGCCAACGAAATACGCAAGGCTTTTCCCTCCGTCCGGAGACTCCGCCGGGACAGATGGAAGCGAGGTGCGCCAGGCGGGCCTGGCGCCGCTGCGGGCCGATGCCACGGACGTGAGATCGACGAAGGGCTAGTGTGGTGGAGCCATGTCATCCATTGGTGGATAACCTCTGCGCGTACGGCAAAGTGGTGGTGTCAGCATGGTGCCGGTCTGCCCTGGGGTCAACCTGGCGTAAGCGAGGGCCGCATTTCGCAGGGCTGGCCGACAGGACGAGCTGGCAGCCGATAGCCGTGAATAATGAAGGCGAGCTTTCAGACAATCAGACATGGGCAGGCGGCTTTCTACCTGTTTGGGAGTAGTGTCGGAGCCTGCCGACGATGGATCGATCTTGCTTGGCGAGGCTGGATGGAGTATCTACGAAGAACAGGTCACTCATCTTGTAGTGCGTGGCCGGGCTCTTGATTCTTCAGATGCTCCCCACCTGCGTCCCGTGCCAACAATTCATCCTGCCGCCGCGTGGTGCCCCCATGCAGCGAGCCTGATCGGGTGCCTGGCCGAATGAAAAGAGGCAGAGGGTCGGGGAAATTTGGGATCGGCCGTGACTAAAGACGACTAAGCGGCCACTAGACCGGGATGTCCGACTAGCCCGAGCAGCGTCCGGCCATGATTGGCCTCACCGGCAGTTGAGTAGCATCGCTGGGCCTTGCCTTTCCCCTCACGTTCTGGCTAGCCCATCATCTCCTTTTCTCCCTTCCCTCCCCGCCAGATCCCCAAGGCTTCCTTCTTCCGCCACGGCGATGCCGCGAAAATTATCCACGACGGCCCCCGAAAAGCGCAGGAAGTCGAACGGGACGAGGTCCCGGACGGGCTGTCGTACCTGTCGGTGAGTGGCCTGCTGCTAGATAGCCCGCCACGCTTCTAATCCGTATCATCCAGAGTTCGTCGCATCAAATGCGACGAGACCCCCGGAAAATGTAACAACTGCACCTCAACCGGCCGATCCTGCGCCTATGACATGCACCGGCTGCCTCGAGCCGCAGCGGGCCAAGGTCTCGACAACAAAATAATATGCCAGGTCGCAGACGGCTTCCGCTGGGCCATGACGTCCGATGAGCGGCGATGTTTCTCCCATTTTCAACACTTTACCATTCCGAGTCTTCTGGAGTTATTCGACTCGGCACTGTGGAGGAACCTCGTCCTCCAGATCTCTTACTCCGAACCCGCCGTCTACCACGCCGCCGTGGCGCTTAGCGCGATCCATCAGGATGTCGAGCAATGGGGGATGCCACTGCCGGGACAGACCCGGCAAAATGTTTGGCAGAAGTTCGCTTTGGAACAGTCCGCACGCTCATATGGCATCCTCAGCAAACGGAATGCGTCCGATCCCCGTCTAAGAGAAATAATGCTGCTCTGTTGTCTTCTATATTCGCTGCTCGAGTTACTGCAAGGCCAGTACGAGCGGGCATGTCGGCATCTGCAGGGAGGCTTGCGAATCCTGAAGGAGATCAAGGTACAGAAGCAGCTGGCTGACGACACCGAGTCACCGGTTGAGAAATGTCTAGTTGCGGCGTTTGTGCAGCTCGATATCCAGTCGACCTACTACGGGGTGCACGGCCCGGTGCTGTGCGTCGATACGGAACTGGGAAAGTATCAATGGCAGTTGAATCAGCCCGAGATGTTTTCGACTCTGCTCGAGGCCCGCCAAGCGATTGAGCCTTTGGTGAGTGGTGTCTTTCGGTTCACTTCGGAATCCTGGCCACTGTCAGCGGCGGACGTGGCGCGAGATTATGACTCGTTGCTCCCACGACAAGAACGGCTTCTCTCGCAACTGAACCTTTATGCCGATTTGTTCAGTCCGTTCTACTTTGGGTCCTATGCTGGCCTGAGCTACAGAGAACAGCGAGGGGCCGACATTATATACATTCTGCACCGGTGTCTCACACTGTCGGTCAAAACCTGTCTATTGGCGAAGGACCCTGCCGTGCTGGACTGTTACACACCAGAGTACCAGGAAGCGCTGTATCTGGTGGAGGCACTACTGTATAAGTACCCGGAGCGTCCAACCTTCACTTTGGATGTGGGCATTCTTCCCACTTTGTACCTCATATCGTTTAAATGTTATGATGTCCGGGTACGCTTGCGGGCGATTGAGGCACTGCAGCACTGGCCGCACCGTGAGGGACTGTTCGAGTCAAAGTGGATGTCGTTTCTGTTACTGGAGTTTATCAAGGCGGATATGAAGAAGGACGTGCTGAGCATGCCCGAATTCCCCTCTGAATCGTCGAGCTCGTCCACGGGGTCACCAGGGGCCACTGCAGATCAATATATGTCCACGGTGGGGTATATTGAGGAAGTGCAGAAGCAGATCATGAGCGGAGCCAGCTTTCATCTCCATGATGCATTAGAGAGTGTGGAGTATCTGACATCCTGGTCGTGCGTGAAAACTATTACGCCGAAGGGGGAGAAATGTAAGTAGTAAATATTACATATGACCTAGGTCAGCATGTATTTGAACTCGCTGGAAGAGAAACAATACTGGTTTATATGCTTACATAGAACAACAAATAACAACCTTATACTCTCCTCTACCCAATACTATGACATTAAACCAATCCAATCAAAGCCCCAAGACGCAACAATTAAAACAAATCTTCCAGAAAAGTCCCCACAACGAACACAGACTATATCCAGAGAAAAGAAAAGCAAAAAAGAGATCAACAAAGCGACTCCGCAACCACAATATTCCAATTCCCATCATCAAACTCCTGTCCATTCACATACTCGCCCTCATCACACCTCTCAATAATATCGTTCGCGTAGTCCGCCAAGTCCGAACATTTGACGTGCAGCTCCTCCTTGTTCTGTACATCATCAGCAAACCCATCACATCCATTCAGGCCCACATCTTCCACATAATCTACCACCCCTCCCCCAAAATCACCAAGAAAAGGAAAGGAAAAAAAAGAGGGATAACCATACATCATTACACAAAAAGATCCCCGCATTATACGAACAACTAATCCTCGCACAGGACTTAGGTCCCTTACTCACACCACATTTCCCCTCCAGACCCTTGAGGTATTTGATCCCCGAACGGATCCAGAATGTTTGTGCGGTGTCGGAGAAGCGGCCGGGGATGTTGCAGATGAGGTTGCCTTTTGTGTCGGAGTCTGAGTCTGAGTCTGAGGACTGTTTTGTTGTTTTGCGTCGGGTTAATATATGTTTATCAATAGAGTATGTTGACTGGATTCTGGTGTTGGGTGTTGAAAGGGGGGGTATGGAATAAGGGTGCCGGGGATGCTGAGGGATCTGGGGTATCGGAGATGGGTTTATGTTGTTCGAACGCGGTGAAAAGGGGAGGGGGGTGGGGTATGGATATACCTTTCTCTTAGTAACAGCGGAATTGTCAGTGAGTTCAAAATCCGGGTTCAGGGCTTTGATCTGCGAATGGATTTCTTGGATACTGTCGCCGGTGAAGGGCATGTGCTGGCCGCCGGGGGTGATGGGGCCGGTGTAGGTCATTGGGACGATGGTGTGGTCGTCTAGGGAGGGGGTGGCCTGTTTATCACTCTTAGTTCGTGTTCTGAAGTTTATAGTTTATAGTTCATATTATGGGTTGTGGGCTGGGTTGTGGATGGGATGGGGGTAGGGATGGGTTGGATATGGGATGGACGTACCAGAGAGGTGGCGGAGAGGAGGGCTGTTAGGAGGATGGTGGTGAAGGATTTCATTTTGGATTGGTTTGTATATGTAAGTACCGGAAGATGGTCAGTGAGTGTAAGGTTAATTGTGATAGAAGTGGTAGCAACGTATGACTGCGTTGTGTGTTGAATCTATAGCAAGGAGCGGAAATACGGCATCTTATATTTTTCAGATTCCCATTCCCGACTATACTGCACTGATCGAGGCCACACGTGTGATAAACCATTCAGGTAAACGCCGAGCTTCTCCCTGCTGACCGGACCCTGCATCCAATGGGGGCCATATTCTTGGCAGTAAGAACTAACAAAATCTGACATGAAAATTATCCATGAGAGCCTCCCTTCCAGCCCTATTCTCGTGTCGTGGGGCCATTAAGACCTGCCAAGGGGCCAAAACCTTGTCAATGGGGCCAAGTCTGCCGACATCAGGACCCTTCCAGACAGATGTCCTGCCGATCATTATGTTAAATTGCGCCGAGCCTTAGCATATCCACCTGGCAGTGGGCATAGTACCTACAATACCTAAAGGGTGCAGCTGTCTACTAATTGCCATTGATGCTGAAGTCGGGCGTAGCGCTTTTGCATGGGCCACGAATGCAACTCTCGAGTCCGGTCGATAATGGAAACTAATGCGTCGCGCTCCTCTGGCTCCGTAAAGTATTCGCCGTAGAGATTAATTGCAATCACGGCATTGACCAGCGCTGGGTGACATCGGGCGTGGTTTAGAGCAATCCCGCAGATTTTAAGAACGATCGATCGGACTTGGGATTCAGCTTTACGGTGTGCAGTGCGAGTGGATGTTCTTATCTGTTAGCAGAAGAAGAGTACATATAAATAAGAGGTCAAAGGCGTAAAAGAAGAAACGTACTCAAGATGCGGGTTCTGAGCAGTCAAGATCATTCCAGCCAGCTCCAAATGCTGCACTGCCGTCACCTGGTCGTCCGAGCTATACCATATCGTAGGAAATAATTCACCGCGGAGTCGATCTGCTCGCCTCTCTAGTATTGGGGCTAGTCCGGTATGATACTCCTCTCTGAGCTTCTGGTGGCGCAGCATGAGTCGCTCTAACCCGTCAGCATTCGCCAAGCATAGCACGGCTAATGAGACCAAGCGGGATATTCAAGACGGGAGACAAACCCCATTCTTCGGTTGATTTATCGCCCCAGCACCATTTAGTCACCTCGCTAGCGAGCATAATCAACGTATTGGCAACAGAGGCATTGCGCCAATCGTCTGGCCCGAATCGCATATTTGGTGCACGTTCTCTCGTCAAGCCATAGTACACTTCTTGGCGAATAGCTATCCAATAGGCTGCAGTGGCAAGCGACTGCTTCAGCCGGTAAGAGATCATGGAATCAATGATCCTCTGGGTGATGGCCAAGAAGTTGACTCTGTCTTGCGCAGACATGTCTACAGTATCATTGTCTATATCCTCCTCCATCTCCTCATATTGCCGTAGAATCACAGTAGCAACCATAATGTTCTCTTGGTCCACGGGGTCACTCATCTCGGGGAACCTGATGAGGTCGGGAATACATTTGAGGGTATATTCCACCGCGGTACATTTCTGAAGATTAGGAAGCAGCTGACCGTGATAAATGATTCCATCTGGTGTTGCATACTGCGGCAGTCGGGCTAAATGGCGAGCAGAGACTGCAAAAAGGGCGTTTCGAATGATGGAACAGTGCTGCGCTCGGCGAGGCACCACAAGTTGAAAATGCCTCCGATCGTCGCAGTGGTCGAACTAAAATTTTCAGCCACAAATATCTGACAGGACTTGATGGCTTACCCATGGCGATATCTCCTCGATGAAGTGTCGCAAAAGGCAAGCCTCCTGAACGCTCTGCTCTGGGGGAGGATCAGACTGGGCACCATTGGTACTTATGGTCCTATTGTATCTATCTGGGCTTTGAGGTCCGACATGGCTCGTGCCATACCAGTCCGGGGAAATATAGGACTGTGCCGTCTCAACGTTTGGTATGTTGTCGGATGCGTACAGTTGAACTGATACGTCCTGTACTGGTGAGTTATCTGACTCGGAATGATGCTCTTGATGGGTATGGCTCTCCCCAGTACTCGCACTTCCATAGGAGTCGGCATTGGCCGCGAAAGACGGAGATCCAACCAGAGACGAGCCATTAGAGTCTGTCCATCCACTGTTGCTAATCTCGGGTAATTGTGTCGTTTCATATTCTTCCAGATCATCACCGTTATCGATGGTTCTAAGCCTGTCCACGGAATCTGAGATCGGGCCTGCTGGGTATGCCTTCCACTTCTTCGCCTCACTGCTCATCCAGGATTGATCCTTTGCAAAGCTCCCATCAAGTCTGGCGGTTGATCCTTGGCGGAAAACCGATTTTCGCTGAGCAGGTATACAATCCCATCCTTTTTCCTTGCATCGTGAGCATATCGGTTGTTGTTTGTCACCTGTTGAGTCGAGCAATATTAGGGAAGTCCCCACTTCCAGAAGGAAACTCACATCTCACGTGTTTCTCTAACACTTATCCATTAGCCAATATCCCGAGGCTACAGACAGGGCTTGGTTTTACCACGGCAATTAGAGCAGGGCGTCCTGGCCTGGGGAGTTCGCGGCATCATTGGAGGTGAAGAACGGCGGAGAACGACGGCGCGACCTGCCCTTGTGAGAAAGTGAGGGGCCCCGCTTCCCCGCATCGCCGACCTTCACCACTCTCATCATCGGGTTGAGATCCAACGAAGCGCGCCGCGATCACAGTGTGAAATGATCTGGTCCAAACAATGTTCATTGTACCAATCAACCAATTCTATAGAATCAACATGATCGCAATTGAGAATACCTAGTGCAACCGCTCCCCACTCTCATCGAAACGCACCACCTCCCCAGACAGCAAAGCGTGCTGCAATGCCTGACCGATCTTCATCACCATAATTCCCGACTCCAGGGGCAAAGGAACCTCCGTATCTTTCAGCACAGCACTCACAAACTCATTAGCCTCCACGGCAAACGCATCCTCAAACCGCTCCCAGTATTCCGGCTGCACTTCATGTCGCAGACCCAACGAATCGGCAAGGACAACATTGTTCCGCTTGGGAACCACATTCACCATCACCTTGCCATCCGTACCAGTGATCTCAGTACAGACATCATGCCCATGCGCCTGAGTCCGCGAGCAATAGAAGTACGCGATCTTCCCGCCCCAGAATTCCACAATCCCGACCGCATTATCCACGTCCGACAGATCCTTGAGTTCGGGATGGTGCTGAAGCGTTCCAGCCGCCCAACAGGCCTTGGGCTTGGGGTTGTCCAAGAACCACAGCGACAGGTCAATATCATGGATAGCGCAATCGACAAAGATTCCACCGTTGCGGGCGGCGTATCTGACGAAAAATCCAGTGTCATCCCTCAGATCGCAGGTATTCGACCGGACCATGAATGGGGATCCGATGGCCTTCTTGTCAAAGACCTTGAGACTTGCGTCCCGGTACGAAGCATCGAACCGTCGCGAGAACCCGGCCATCACCTTAAGTGAAGGCTTTGCTCGGGCTGCGTCAACCACTGATTGAGCCTATGAAAATCATCAACCTTTCCCATCACACGTACAAGTCCAAAGAAACATACCTCTGCCAGATCAGTACTCAACGGCTTCTCACAAAGAACATGAAGGTCCCTTTTAATAGCCGCCAAGGACTGGCAGGCATGTACGTCCGTGCTGCTGGAGACCCAAACAGCCTGAAGACCAGGATGAGCCAACATATTATCGTAGTTATCATAAACGGCGATGCCGAAGTCCTTGTATTCCTGGTTGCTCGTAGCCCATTCGATCTCGCTAGCATCACTGCTGCACACGGCTACCACCTGAGCGCGGGGCACACGGTACAGCAAGGTATGGACGTGGCGTTTGCCCTGCAATAAATCTTAGCGTACTCCTCATGAGTCGAAAAGAATTCATACCATCCGGCCAAGGCCAACGACAGCAATCTTGATAGAAGTCATGGTAACGTCTGTTGAAGAAGGTTTAGAGATTCGAAGGAATTGCATGCTTAGCTGAATGCAATGAGCTCTGAGATGAATTGAAGGAAAGTGGTCGCTATTTATGCCTTTTGGGATTGAGTATACACGATCTCATGCTGGTGCTTCTCTCATGGACGATCGCCGACACTTGCCGTATGTAGTAACTGGCTGTTCTGTGCGGGCCGCCGAAACCTGCCCGATCGGGTAAAAGTGATAGAGGACCGCCGGAATCCGTCTTGCAGATATAGTTGACGATGACCGATGATGCAGGAGTTTAATTCGTAGACTGGTTATGCGTTCGAGTATAGATTTAATCCGGTCTATCTACTCGCACTGTGCAGCTCTACCTCTCTTTGATATCCCGTTATATTTCCAGCATTAGAGCCCTACCTCATGGCAACCAGATTCGGAAGATCACTTCCTTATAGTTAGGCACAACTGAGTAATCCGACCCTAAAGTCTAGATTGTTCCCAGTAAATACCACAGGTATGTCGCAGCCCGTGCAAACGAGTAGTGTCACGGTCTCGTTGAATCATCCTCTGAGCCCATTGCGCCGCTGAGATCCTAAGTCCCATTTCATACAGAATCCGAAGATTTGGGGGATACTCAGCGGGATGGCCATATTGAGGCATCAAACGAGCGAACATCTCATACCGAATGTCTGTGAATTGTTGATTCAACAGGAGATTGTACCGTTGGTACTCGTACTGTGTCCGCCATTGCTGTATTCCAGTTGCGTACGAACTACTGGGGATGAAGTAACTTTCCGCAACAGGAGGCAGTAGACTGTATTGATATGCTGCTTGACAGGCTTCACACTGTTTCAGGGGAACAGCATATATGGGTTGGAGGGGGCGTGGGGAGGGGGGACGGGTGAGTGGTTGATTATATATGGCTAGATGGTGTTAGGGATGGAAGATGGAGGTGTTGGGGGGGAAAGCAGATTTACCATTCCTATTGGGAAGCATTTGCGTATCAACTCTCGCCCGGGGTTCCCCTCTCCTCGAGATTTCGGTGTGTGTGAAATCTTCGTTATCTGGGAGAGTAATACCCATTGTGCAAAATCAGACAGATTATAACGGTCGTAAAAAGATGGATAGTCTTGGATGAGAAGGGTGTCGGAGCGAGGAATAAGATGATTGTGCGTTTTTGAAGTGTAAACCAGGACTATAACACCCAGAGAGCAAACTTTTCTGTCTTAGAATATCGTCATGCTTACCAGCAACCACGTTCATATTTCATCACCGCGCTGAGATCCTGGATTTTGCTTCCAAACCATAATCATGATATTGCGTCGGTGCTAGTGGACAGGTGACCTTACTAGGCTAGGCATGTTGAGGTTATCCCCACGACACAAGTATCCTTAGCTTTCGCAGTACCGCCATATAAAATGTCCCTCCAAGTTACCCTTGCGTTCTTGAACTCTACAGTAACCTTATCAAGCCTTGCTCTAGCATATCTTCGATGACTAGCCTGTCCACTCAGTATGAAGTATGTTCGCATTGACTTGTTACCCCCGGTTGCCAATTAACCACACGGTGTAAGTTTGCCAGCGTAATCCCTGCTTGGAAAGGGTCACAACTTTGTAAAAGTCTTTATCAAGCGTGTCTTTGGATTTAGAATGATTTGGGGACACCGAGATAAATATGTTTCATCCTCGAAGTATGCAACATTCATCACGTCATGTAATCCAAGGAATTGTATGCATCAAGTAGTCTATAGGGGCTGCCAGGAAGTATGTTGCCTCGTATTGAACGGCTTCGCCCCGTTACGCACTCGCATCAGGCTGCTATGGGATAATGATTGTTGGGTTCTTAAGCACTCATTTACGGTGCCACGGAGGATTTGCACGCTGGTCATTCGCTATAGGGTGATCAACCATCGTAAATCGAGACGATACTCTAGCTGTAGGCTTGCTCTTTCCATATTTCTGCGATATTCTCGGATTATATCTCATTAGATCATGATCATCCCATGTCGTGGGTTGCTCGGGTAAGATATAAATAAAAAAACATTCATTATACTTTTAAGCTATCCCAGATAACTTTTCAAAAATGCAGGTTCTGGGAGGGATAGAGGTCCTGGATGAGCGGAAGGGGGATGTTTGAATACAAAAATCTCCTAAATAGCTGGTTCGCAAAAGGTTGTGAATGTGGTAGACATTCATACTAAGGCTAGGCCAATCGTGACTTGTGGCGTCCGGGCATTCACATGTCTCGGTAAATCTATCGAATCCAATTTCTAGATTCATATCTCAATATCATAATGAGAGAATTGGCAGGCTTCGAGCACTTATAAGTTAGCGAACATTAATCCCCCACAGGGCCCTAATTGCGCTATTGTATCAGCAAGTTCACCAAATATATAGGTGACGGGAAGGACCAATCTCAATCCCAGGCAATAACCACACTCCAAACAATCTTTTTTGGTGAGATACCGGACTGAGCACATTTTCGTTTGACAGAGTGGCCCTTTGTGAGTGACTTGGGGTCATACTTTCCATTTGTTTTCCAATTGCAGGTCCCTCTCCAATCCGGCGTGTTAGCACAAGCCTGTCGATTCATGATGTAGTTGTATCTATAGCTAGCCTATAACATTAAAGATGACACGTTTAGGAATATAGTATATATACTGGAAATCTTAGCAAGATATACATCAGTATTGCGCCCAATGAATAAGATGGCATATTAGGTCTTTCCCGATTCATCAGCATCTAAGCATAAAGTTCATGAGCATTGTCGCTAGTCCTGCCATTAGACGACCCGGCCAATTCAGACGGGACCATATGAGCGATCACTTTCCCACCTACAGCTTCACCGCCATAGTAATATGGATACTGACCACTGACAATGGGTGATTTCCGTGCTCTCCGATGCCATAGGATCAAATAACAGACACCGGCAAGGATAAGCGCGGCAGCGACACCTGCACCGATACCAACGCCAATTGCAGCGCCGCTGGATATCCCATTGTCGCTTCCAGAGGAGGCAACAGAACTTGTTGCGGGCGCAGAGGTTGTTGCAGTGTTAGATGAAGCGGGATCAGCGATCGTGGTGTTGACTGCGGCAGTGGTCGTAGATATTGTCGATGCGGAAACGAAGAGACTCGAATCTGAAGCCTGGAGTTCGATTTTTATCGGCTGCGCCCACATGGTTACTGGCCCAGTGATCTGTGTGCTTATATCGCTTTCACGGTCTGTGACTATGATGGAACTGGATGAGGGTAAATTGCTAAGACAGCCGGCATATGTCCAGGATCCGTCTGCCTGGTAGACTAGCTCAGTGTAGTAGGTGAAGCTCCTGGCATGCGAGGTCAGTTCTCGGTAAGGAAAGAGGGGGTAGAATCGACTGTGGTCTGACATACGAATAGCAGCATATTGCAGTAGTAATAGCCTGGGAGATAATCATATTAGCCGACGTGTATCCGACTGGACACCATCCCGGGCTATAGACGAGATCTGTCTCGATGATTCTCCCCGTATGGGTGAATCCCGATGGAAAACAAGAAGCCATAGGAGCTGCATCATTTTGGATTAGGAGGCCGTTTTTCACGTTGTTTGCAAGTTGATCTTCATAAGTGAAAGAGTTGGAACAGCCGGCTGGTGGCGTATACACCGTTGACATAGCTAATGTTGTTATCGTATAGGTATTGACAACGCTCGCTGTAGTCGCCGCTACTGATGTACTGGACGCCATGATTAAAGCGGATATAGACACTTGACAACAATCATTGACGTAGCATGTAGGATATTTGTCGACACAGAATTGGGAGGAAAGTTCGCTTGTCTCATTCCTGGCCGACTGGAAAGGCTGGCGCCCGCATTATAGAAGGAGATGGGCGTTTGAAGGACGGCCTTACCGATAGAGGGGGGAAAGTTGACCTCCCATGAACAGACTAAAAAACGGTGCGAACCAATCTATGGAATAGCACAGACCATAAAACCTATCGGCCTATCATATATTCATGCTAACGCCGACACCCTGGGTTGCGAAGCTGATTCAACCTACTATGGGCGAATTGAAAGATTGGAGCGTTCAGTCCGCCAGGTCAGCGGGGGCTATCACTTAGCGATCCATCGCGTTTTCCTAGGCTTATTGTCGCGCTAATATTAGACTTTGGCCAACGGTGAACCACCTACTACCAAGGAAAAACTAGGGTCGTGGATGTACTAAAAATAATGCTAATGATCGCTTACGACAAACCGGGGGCAAAGCCCTGCTTTTAGTAGATATATATTTCGAGTAAATTGTGATTCTAAACCACGCTCAACGAACTATAAGAAACCAAGAAAGTCTCCCGTGGTCGAACATGTTGGCATGGGCTTTCTGTGTGGCTAAAATCACCCAAAGGAAATGCTGTAAGGTAGCCTCTATATACACCCACCTTTCCAATATCTGCCGCTACTGTGTTGTAACAAACGGGGTATATTGTCTACCTTGGATTGACCAGTCCAGGATTTCGGGACAGACGAACAGCGCGGCTAAGTTATCGCCCCATGTGAAAGTTTACTTTGTTTCTTCCTTCAAATCCTGCGTAGCCTTGCTCACAGGCCCGAGTTTCTTTGTTCCCGCCCCTGCAGCAGGTAGCGTGGCTACTAGAGTAGCCGCGAACATTTTGGGATACAAGGCACACAGCTTGATTGATTGGCCAGAATCTAGCCGCCTGGCTACTGTCTACGAAACTTTATCACACATGATTTCATAGTTTTAGTGTGGATATAATCATTGATTCAGGTCTGTTGTTTGAGCTGCTCAAGTGGGGATAGTCCATGTCGATTCCAGCGCGGGGCAGTCAGTCTCCCGCGGCGACTTTTCTCCAGTGCTGTTCAAGCTCTAAGCGCCCAGGCCAGGCTGGCCAATGAACTATGTGGCCTCCAATTTATTTGGCACCGAGGCTGACCGGCCGCTGGGTGGGAACTCCCATATCCCATCGGGCCTGTGCCTGCAATCAAATGGTTATAAGGTTTACCCTTGGCGCCACCTGTGTTGTAGTAGACCTGGACCTCGTGGCCCGATCACTGTGCTTCCATCAGACTTTGTTTGATTGGTAGTTCTCCTGACCGCGCGTTTCACCGGAAATCAAATCGCATTCAATCGATGTTGATTCAATCCCAATTTCGAGGGTATCGATTCTCTTGTAGCATGTAGCGTCGATACCCCCGAAATTGACGGTCGTTGAATCGCGACGCAGCCGCTGCCTTCACCGAAACGCGATCAACTATTCCGTACTCTGCGACCACCTGAACGGGGTAAAATTGGTCGCATATTCCTTCCCCTACTCATGACAATGCATAGCTTTATCAGAAATATAATCCAGGACGGATCTTGAAGACTGGACCAGTGATCTAGACGTGGGGGGACTCATCATTTTAGGCAAGCAACGGAGCGACCCGCAACGGTCCGGGCTCTTGTGTCTTCCCTTGATCCGCCAAAGGCCCCTCAGTGCTCACACCTCCATATTAACCCGTCTTATCCGGGCGTGGTTCAACCCCCAGGGGTACCTGCTCCTGTCATTTCCCATTCACACACGGACCTGATGCTAAGGGTCCCCGTAGAGATTTTCAGTGATGAGAGAGCTTCTCTGGTGGCGGTCAGCGAAGACACGAGGGACTTTCTTTGTATCAGGATCAAGACCTTGAACTTGGTGTTTCTGGTTGGCTACTATTGGAAGCCCCACCACATTTGTTCTGCACTCTATCAAAAGCTTTTACTATATGTTCTTCGATGAAGCCATGTACACCGTACTCTCTCTGACCCCCTTGGTAAGCTCTCTATTCGTGCGCTTCGTCCAGTACTTTAATCTTACGCCGGCGGCTAAGTACATATCTAGCGATCGAATAGGCCGGGTGCTGTCTATCTCTAACTTACCACTGCAGGCATGCAGACTCCACTTTTACCAATCAAACAGCCTACAGAAGCGCCCACCCCGGGGCAACTACCCTGCGAATCCTGGCTCGCGATCTATTTGTGGTACCAATCAAGTGGCAGGGCCAAGGTTACCCGTTGTGCCCGTAGGATGTCAGGGTCCGCCCTATCGACGGTGCAGGGTAGGCTTTCCCTGCGAATAGGTTTGGATAAATGAATGCTCCCCACTCCATGACTTGGTCCTGTGTTTCTTCGATTTCTGCCGTCGCTCCGTGAGTTTCGTTATTAAAGAATGGGAGCTGTCAAAATACGTTTGGCTTATTCTCATGGTGGCCGAAGCCGGCGTATCTGGCTCAGGCTTGCCTTCCATTTGACGTTGGTCTTCATGGTGATTTCAGGGCTGCTAAGAATGTTTCCACACTACCGTATGTTTTTTTCTGTGCATTGTACAGACACCAATGTCGGGTCAAGTTGACGTTACCAATAGATGCCTACGAGGACCACGTATCCGAATCTTCGCCTACGATCCGAAAGATCACCATGCTTTATGGTAATAGAACAGTCTATGATAGGGCACTTAAGACACACGAGGCACATTCCCGGAAATTTGGGTACCCCATGACTGTCTTGCGCAAGCCCATCCTTGGAGGCCTTTGGACCAAACCTGCTATCATTCTATCCACCCTCATAGAGGAAATGGAAAAACCAGAAGAACAACGAGCGCAATGGCTATTGTGAGTTCTCCAAGCATCACAAGAGTTCAGGTTATCGCAATCATGGGCTGACCAAATAATGCAGCTGGTTTGATGCCGACACCATCCTTATGAATCCGAATATACCCCTCGAGACTTTTCTCCCTCCGCCTCAATTTCCCGATACTCACCTTCTCCTCACCAAAGACTGGAATGGCATGAACAATGGAGTATTCTTTCTCCGCGTCCATCCATGGTCGATCGAATTTCTTTCCGCCGTCGTTTCCTATCCAGTTGTACATCCTGACGCCCACCTCTTATGGGAGGATCAATCCGTCATGAACCGCCTCAAAAAGGAACATGAGCACTTTGCCCGTTCCATGATCTATTGCCCTCTGCGCTGGTTCAACGCATACAGAAGAAACCAGAACGCGACCGGTATCAACCCTAAAAAGCCCACACATTTCCAGGTACATCCGGGAGACATCATTGTCCATTTTGCGGGAACGCCCGCCAACGACCTGGAAAGTACTATGATGCCTTATCTTGAAGTTGCTGAGTCTCATAGCCCGGAGTGGGAGTTACCGCTCGAACAGACTGGATATCAAAGAGAAATAACGGAGTTTTGGGAGGAGAAATTCGAGTCTTGAACCAACTTTCAGTGACTATGCGATCCTTGACAAGGCAGGCCCTCTAGGATTTCCATGGTATATATATATATACATATACACGGCTGTACACTAACCACTCTTGACACACATGGGGACTAATGTTTTACCACAAGTAATGTTACCTTGATATATTATTTCTGACGTCTGAATATAATGCTCTTCATGATTAAATTAGAAATCAATACCTACTGAAAGCCTTTATGTGACAGTGGGCATCCGAACCTGGAGACCGTCCGAGCGGTCGGGTCAAGACCGGTGACCCACATGGGGTTTCCCAATTTCGTTTCCGACACATTCTTCTCGAAAAAGCACAATGACGATAGTCGATCCTTGCTACGGCTAGGGGGCTCCCAAATAGTCTACGAATGCTACTAATCGAAGAGCCGACCGCTTTCCGTCGTTTCTCACTAGTGGGCGAAGTGCTCAATGTGTGAATGTAAGCCGTGCAGCAACAGCTTTGGATCATATCCTTCCACGGAGGCAGGCCTATAAGCTGCCAACTTTCATCGGAAGTGCAATAAGCTGCGCGAGTGTACTCCGTACATGCGTCGATTCCATCAATAATAAGTCATTTTAGAGAGGTGCTACAGCCCTTGAGACAAGATCAATTGACAACAGAGTGGAGATGTATGTTAACCGCGGAGAACTACGGTTCAATAACTAATTTAAGCAAATACACACCTATCATTCATCCAGATGCAAACTTCGACATAGCCCGCAACTTGGGCCCGAACTTCCAGAAAAGAAAGGGAGCTGGCATCCCGAGGCCGACACTGACGAAGGCTAAGACACTGGTACCCCATCCATAGCCCAGACTCTGGTACAGATAAGGTGCGAAAAGGGGAAACCCGAATCCAGCCAGACTGCGCAGAATAGCACACGCAGCCATGGCGCTAGCAGCATATATCTGATAGCTATCGACGATGTATGTCTGCATACCCTGCAGACAACCCATAGACCCGGCTGCGAAAATGGCGACACCGATATTAGGCATGATCCAGTGCACATGACCCTGCACGCTCCAGCCATACCAGAAGAGGCCTATTATGACCAGTATTGACCCGAAAAACATGGTTGGAGTGCGGAATTCGGGTCGACCAACGCCGCCGTTCTTCTCCTTCAACTGGCGGTAGATGCGATCGATGAAGTTGAAGTTGAGGAGGACACCCACGAGGGAGCCGAGAGCGATAGAGATGTAATTGAGGCCGCCTATTCCGGTGCTCTCGCCATACTTCTCTGCCCACATGGACGGAAAAGTAGCAGTGATGAGATAAATTGTCCCAAAAAGATACGCCATGTACAACGCAACGACGATCACAATCGGCTGGGTTGTGAGCATGCGCAGTGGTCGCACCAAGGCACCACGGAGCTTTTTGGGTAGACTCTCCACCTTTGCCCCTGTGTGGAACTTGTTGTCTCCTGTTTCCTTCACCAGACGGTCTCGCTTCCTCAATAGCAAGGTACCTGGGTGTGATTCACGCAACCACATCAACCCAACCAACTGTATAGCAACAGCGGCCACGCTGGTTGCCCAGAATACCCACCGCCATGTCGTGTACTCAGCAATGAAGCCACCAGCTATCGGGCCGACTACAGGACCAATGATTGGTGCGAGAGTATAAATCCCCATAGCCTTGCCGCGTTCCTCTGCGCTCCAAGTGTCACTAATCCCATGTTAGCAACAGCATGAAAGAGTCACATGGAGCCATAAATTCTTCTCACCTGAGAGCTCCTCCTCCTAGAGCAAGCGGGGCGCTTCCACCAATGCCAGCTAGAAAGCGAAATACAAACAGCTCTGCCGGATTTTGCGCGAATCCGCAGCCGAGATTCCATGCCAGATACCATAGGTTGCTTATCTGCAAAAGAGGCACGCGGCCGTGCAGCTCGGAGGCTGGCCCGAAGAATACGGGCCCGACAGCATATCCAAGAATGAAAATCGATAGAGATAGCTCCATCTCGATCTCACTATGCATGTGAAGGTCTTGTCCAAGCTTCTTCAGCGCCGGGGCAACCATGGACGAGGATACTGGAGAAATGAAGGTGAAGAGTGAAACAGCTACTGTGTAGCGCCATTTGATGCTGTTCGGCCAATTCTTCGGATTTTCCGGGTCTTGTGGTCCATCCCAGGTGACAAGGTATGGATCGACTGGGGGCTTTTCGTTATCTGCTGGGGAAAATGGCCCTGCCTCAATGTCGCGGTCTGCCGAAAGGGCAGTTGCCTCTGAATCGAATGGATTCCTCTCCGCTTGGGTAGTCATGATTGCAGGCATAATATGACAGTCTAGAATATTTAGTCAGGATTATTTAGCCTGTTGAAGGGATTTACCAACCCTTTATAACATTGATGCTGCGCTGCTCCTATGAGTGCTTAGAACAGGGGACCAATCGGAGGGCAGCATTTGCTTCGGGCCCGGTGGTGGCATGCGATCGGAGTTTCCGAACCCCCGCTGATTCCCTCGTTTCCTCATCGCCTGTGACCTTCTTACCTTGCCCTTTTGTTTCCAGAAAATTTGTCCATCTAGAGCTGTTGATGTTCAATTGCGCCTATTATTGATCATGTCGTGATTTTGGTCGACGCAGAACAGACAGCGCAGCAACAGCCTCGAACATGTCAGTGTCTGACCGTCCACTAGCGATCGCACCAGCGTGGAACAAGCCACCCATATCCATCGATGCTAGCAATAATGGCTGCTATCCATCACAGCACAGCGTCAAAATAATGCCATATACCTGTCAAGCCTGTATTAAGAGGAAAGTCAAATGCGACCGTGCTATTCCTACATGTTCGAGCTGCAGCAAAGGCAAGGCTGAATGTATCTACCGGGAACCGACACCACGAACGAGGAAGCGAAAGCGTGAGCCCAGTGACAATGTTCAGGATCGTCTGGCACGGTATGAGAAGATACTACAGGATAATGGTCTTCTAGCCACTGAGATAGAATCGTCACCTCGGAGTGTGCAAGAACCAACTCCTCTTCGTGCTTCGAGCCATACCGACGCAACAAAGACCGGAAAGCTTATCTCTGGCGATGGAAAATCTAGATATGTTGATAGCACGCTCTGGCTCAATTCTGGCGAGACCAACATGAGGGAGATTTCAGACGATGAGGAGAATTGCCAACCCGCCCCTACAGGCGCTGGGCCATTGTCTCAAGATCCGATCTCAGGCGCACTTCTAGGCCTTTCACAGGGACTGGTTCACAATCATCCTACACACCAGGAGGCCATGCAATTGTGGGCAGCGTACATCAACAATGTCGAGCCTCTCTGCAAAGTCCTGCATATCCCAACGACGGGGAAAATGATCGAAGCCGTCTCACGACAACCAAACACCGCTTCCAAGGCACAGGAGTGTCTGCTCTTCTCCATCTATTATTTTGCAGTCTTCTCTATGGCCGATGAGGATTGTGTCTCTAGCTTTGGGCAGTCTCGGAGTACGTTGATGGCTAAATATCAGTTTGCACTACGACAGTCACTTGTCAATGCCTCCTGGCTAAAGACTACAGAAATGCCGGTTATGCAGGCATATGTACTGTTTCTCATTGCGATGCGCACGCAAATGGATCCTCACACGTTCTGGATATGGACCGGCGTTGCGATCCGCATCGCGCAGCGCATGGGACTTCATCGCGATGGGGAAGCTCTCGGACTGTCTGCCTTTGATGTTCAGATGCGCCGACGGCTCTTCTGGCAGATTCTACCCCTTGACGGCTATGCTGGCCAGGTCTCAGGTACCGGTATCTCTGTGGCCCCCGATAGCTGGGACATCAAGCAACCTCTCAATATCAATGATGATCAGATCTATCCCGGCATGACGCATCAACCTGAAGAACAGAAAGGAGCATCGGAAATGCTTTTCTGTCTCACCAAGACCGAACTATCGAACTTCTACACCCGCACAGGGGTTCGGAAGAAGAAAGTGGGGGCGACTATCCAGTTTCGCGACAGCGCTGAAATCGAGAAACTGATCGACGAGGTCGAAAGCACGATCGAGTCAAGATACCTTCGATACTGCGATATCGTGAATCCCGTTCACGTTCTCACGATGGGAATCGTAAGGTCTGCCGCAAATGCCGTCCGACTCCGAAACAGGATGATTACCGGAGAGAATGAACGCAGGGAACTCTGTGCTCTTGCCCAGAAGATTATTGAAACTGATAACGCCTTGTACAAAAACCCAAACACGAAACAATTTCAATGGTACTATAAGGCGTTCTTTCTTTGGGATGCGCTCATCTGTATCTTAACCAGCCTTGGAAAGATTGGGTTCTTTTCCCGTGCAGAGTTGGATACCACCTGGCGGAAGGTCTCCGACGTGTACTCCAACCACCCGGAAATTCTAGAAGCCAAGCACGTGCATCTCGTTGCGGTGGGCAAAGCGACACTTGAGGCTTGGGCTCTGAATCCACCTGGTAATTCAACCCCCGAGCCTGATTTTATCACGGCGTTACAATCGCAGCGAAGGGAAAAGGTCGTGCGGCAGAAGGTAGAGGATACCACTGCCCAGGATGATGTATCTTCATTCGACATGCTTATCGGGGGCTTCGATGGCATGGAACGAAATTTGGAGTATGACTTTAATCTAGATGGTATGGACTGGATGTTTTGGGAGCAGTTGTGATCAACTTGAAGCACTCTACTTTTTCTTTTCTCCAATAACCTCTTGCTTCATAACCTCAGAAACAAACACTTTTTGCACATGACGAAACTCGGCCGTATCTTTAGATCTAGACCGGATCATGAATCTTATGTTGACATTGAAGTTAGGAAAACTGCCTCGACACGTGGGACAGCAGATCTATTAATTCAAGTCCCTTTATTAAGGCTCTCCTACTCTAGAAGATGCTATGCCTATCGCTTCTTACCCCTACTAGTATATAAGTGAACTGTTTTGCTGTAATTCCTGATTGCTTACCTAATTAAGGTGCCACCGCTTTTATAAGAGCAGTACGTGAAGTAGGCAGGCAGGCAGGCACCGTGACATTGGGTAGCAATCTTTCAGAAAATCTTTATTATTCCGACTTTCCAACGATGACCGAAGTACCTTGCTACGAACAGAACTTCATTGATCTGAAAGCGGATAAATGATGTCAGAGAAATTCGAGAACAGCCAGACAATTTCAGCCTGTAGCTGTTAGCATGGTATCCACAAAGCAATAGATAGATACATACTCCGTGTATTATGTCAACAGATAATACATTTGACTCCGGATTACCAGCGCCTCTGAACGACTCGATGCTGGTCAAAATCTGGTCTTCGTTTTGTTCATGGAAGTGAAATCGCAAAGTGTCCCCATGCTGAAAATGTAAATCTCTTTTATCTGCTTGGATAAGCGTACTTTCGTACCACTGACCAAGGACTATTCTAGTACCATCGTTGTACTGGAGAAGCAAGCCTGTGCATCGGGACTCCAGGTAGCAAGCCTTAAGCCACTGCACATTGGTGAAAGAAGCTTGCGAGGTGAAAGTACTAAAGCAAGAGGCTCTCAAACGGCGTGTGGTGTGATGGCGATGTAGTCTGTCGTAGTGCTCTTGCAATCGAAGAGTGATATTTTCATATTCTTGCTGTGGCGAGATTTCACGTGGTTGAAAGATCGCACCCACACTCGTAAAGCCCGTGATACCTGGTGATCTATCATAGTACAACCCTAGAATATCTCCATGATCTGCGTTGAAAATATTCTTTAGCTTTGTCTCGGAAGGCGGGAAACATGGACCTAGAGTCAAGACTCTTCCTTTATCCGTTGAAACCTTGATATCGCATTAGTATGAATTGCACAATGCGGCGAAAACGTACAAGTAGATAAGTCTTCGATAATGCGTCTTTTTGATGCCAGAATACATGAATAGATTTTATGGTTTCGGCATATCCGAGCTGGATATGAACAGGACAACCGTGTTGTCGTCCAAACCAATATGACTTGGATGGCTGAGAATGAGAATAGAAATGGGTTCCTAGTCCGATAAATCCCCGGCTAGAGCAGAACGCAGTGAGTCCGCAAAGGACGAAACTATCTCTGCATAAAGGAATATATGCCATGACTCGCTGATGTTGAGTTGCAAAGTCGAAATGCCGCGGCCAATCATGAAAGCACATAGAACAGAGACGACCTGTTTGTAACCAGGGCACTTCAGATTCCCAGAGGAAATCGTGCCCAAATCTTGGTTGACCAAAGTAGTGTATGGCGGTTATCTTCAAAGTCTAGATCACCTTGTCAGCTTAAATCCAGTGCATTTCCTCACTAGAAGGATCTTACATCCCACTCGATGTGGACACGAAGTGGCGCTTCCTGCCGAGGGAAAATCACTCCGATAAATTTCCTGGAGCCTGCTGGTGTTGCACCTAGACTCGGCGATCCAGTGCACTCGCCCGTAAGAAATTCCAGTCTCTGAAGCCCATATATACCTAGGGTCAAGACAAATATATCACAAAGGAGCGGAGCCGATATATCAATGAAATGACTGCTCTCGTGCCCGAATAATGCACGTCCTTGACGTACTCCGCAAATGTAAGTATCGTGCATGACCTTTGTACGATAGACCCTGATTAATCCGAATAGTGATGTGACTGCACGACCCGTAGCAAGAGTCGGGGCTGACCATGTGCTTTGGCAAGCATGGAGTGCAAGCAGAACCTTAGCGTAGCAAGGCTTGACATAACTCCAAATAATCACAATTAACTCAGCCGGAAGGGCTGCACATCGCTCGAGTAACTCTAACAATGTGGTTCTGGTGTCACCATGAGAACAAGACACAATCGATGATTGGACGGACTTGATCGAAATGTCGAAAGGTTGATAAATCTCCTGGGGAAGAACATCCCACACGAGTGGTGTCATGGCGATACCTAGGTCATAAGTGTTGAAAATACTTGGGAGATTCGGTGACGCAGTAGTCCAGCAAATGGAATGAACAGAGGGAGCGCTTCTAAAATCTGGCCGCGGGTATTTGTGAATCTGAACACCTAGGCTTTGTACATTAACCACATCATCATTTCTTGAAAAATGGATCGATGGAGTCACGATAGGGTGATAACATCGGTCATTTAACAGGATGACTGCACATATATTAGCAGTATCAACAGGTAGGTCTGGGAGGTCCATACGCGAGCGAAAAGCGGCGCTTGCACTAAGCTTCTGTCCACAAAGAGCACAATGCGGTATTCTTACGAAATGAAGAGGTTTTTGAGTAATGGAGTCCATAATTATGCCTGTAGACCTAGACCTGGGTTGTTCGTCCCGCACGGCGGTGGACGCCGTGGTCATGTGTTTATATCTTCCCTTCAGCCATCTGATCTATCCATCACGGCAAATCTACGTTAGCCGAGTAAGGGGCACCTCAAGCATTTACGATACTCACCGCTTTTCCATGGCAGAATCAAAACGAAACCTGTCTTGTAAGATATGGAACAGCACTGGTAATATAAATTGAGGATTCAGGCTCGCCTGTTCGGCTTACTCGCTCTTATGCATTTTATGTCACCAACATCGCAAATCAACTTATTGTGTATGATCATCGTAACTAATGACATACACTATGTAATTTTATGTATTGCTCGATTCCTAGGATACTGCTGGAACCTTGCTTGACATCGAATTGTTATAGGGAATAGAAGGTATTAATAGTGGATGCCTAGCCAGCGAGAACGTGACCAAGAACAAAGCATTACTGTTTCAGTGTGCAGAACTACATTTCCACATAAACAGTATGTGGCAGAGGAAACTACTACGTGCGAATCAATACTACAAGGTTCAAAGCTTGCCATGCGTGAGCCAAAAGCTGTGTGTAGCTATGTGAATACAGGGATCACTGATTGAGAAGTTGCAGTACTGTAATAAAGCAGGCGGACAAATTGACACAATCAAAGATAATAGGCAATATGTAGAATCATCTTGAAATAGTTGCAACGGAGAGTCGACAATAATCTTACCTGGATCCTCCTGGAACATTCTCAGTCCCTTTATCAGCGTATAGTCGTTTCATGTGGTTCACGAGATAATGTCCTTCAACCTTCCATTCGGTCGACGGGCCAGATCCTCCTGCATTTTTGACAGTGACCCAACCATAACTACTTGATATCGAAACGAATTTTTTGATCCTCTCATAATTTGCAGGAGGTGGTGGTGCTGTGAGGTCGGATACAACGCTTGGAAGCATGAGTCCTGCGGGATCTGGTCGATTCGCTCTCGGTAGTTGATATGCTCCGCCACCCAAAGGGGGCGAGATTCCAGCGGCAATCCACTTCTCCGGTGCCACGCGGACCATTTCATGAAGTGTCTTCTCAATCAATGGTCCGCCTTCTCTATCCCCTAGGTCCGCGTAGTCGTTGTTGCTCCCAAGCAGTGGCGAGCCCCACAAGGGTTCAAGAAACGTGTCTTCCTCTGCCTCTGCACGATGAACAATCCACAGCCGTAAGTGTGTACCAACAAGAGTACCAGCATACACGAATTCGATTTTATTGGAGCGGTCGCTGTGAAAGAACTCTCTGCAATAGTCCAGAGCTTCTTGCTCGACACCTTTGGTAGAGAAACTCTGCGTTGGCTTGGTGCGCTTAGCCTCAACAAAGCACAGGATTTTGACTTCTCCTCGTTCAGTCATGTAATGGATACCAATATCAGCACGCAACATGGAATTTTCGTGTGGCTCAATCTGCGAGTTGATGAAAACGGTGTCGTATATTTTGTCTTTGAAGACCACTTTCTGAAGAACATTTTCGAAACATCGAACAGCAAATGATTCTTTCGGGGGTTTGTAATCTTCCGGTGGAGGAAATGGCGTGCGAGCCTTCAGGTATGTTGGAAGATTCGCATATGTGATAAGACCTTGTGCGCGAGCTGAAGGATCCATGATGGGTTCAAATAAAGTGATGATTTGAGTGATGTTATGATAGGATTTGTGTTCGAGAAGAGACTAGAGTGGCCTTACTTGTGATGGGTCGGCTGGTCTGATCATATTTATACATTATTGTTAACAACTCACAGCTTCAGCGTACACTTCGACACAATTGAAACTCAAATAAACGGATAAAAGTACTTGGAAGTGTTTGAACATTCGCACTCGTTACCTGGCAGCCAATCAAGCTGTGAGCTTATTTTAGCGCAGCACGTAAGATACCAGGCCCGAATCACTCATCGTTTTGTGATTGGGCTGGCCCATGATCTCGTAATATCTGAAAGTCCGTCACATGCTGTTCGGTCGCAGCCTTGTGTTCGTTGTATTATTTTCTCTAGAGACCAAGGTCAAGCGTCAACAATAAGACAATAAGACAATGAGACAATGAGATAATGAGATAATAAGATAATGAGACAATAAAGCAACAAAACAATGAGACGTTCACAGGTGATTACATCAATTCCACTACCTGCTCTGGCCCAGCTTTCCCATTAGGGGACTCACGCACAAGTGCAACGGCAGGTGGCATATTAAACCTAGCTTAATGTAGTATCTGACCGTGACGATTCACATAACTTTGGACTCTGTACTTGAATTCCATTGCGTCCTAGCTATTTATATATACAGTCAAAAAAGCCACATACGTTGAGACTGTTCCAGTAGCGGTAGAACGAAAATAGTAATTTAGTAGTAATTAACTTAGATAGTTGACTTGTCTTAGGTAACTAGATAACATCATAATTGATAACAGAGCCATCCTGTTTTCCGAAGTAGGGCAAAAAAAACATAAAGGGCAGTACTGAGTCGCCTGACCAAATATATGCACAACGGCCAATTTTACCCATCACTATGTTGTTCTTTGAGCGACTTAAGACCACGTCCGATTCAAAGTGTTCCCCCCTCTTCCTGGTATTATTCAGCTGGCCAACTCTTTTCCTCGGGGCATTTTAGTTACCCTTCTCTCCTTCTTCACTGACACTTTCTCCCCCCATTATCTTATCGCTGCTAAGATGTCAACTCAGACATCTAGCCAGAAGGTGGTCTTATAGGCTACCAGATTCCAAGATATCGACAAAGTTGCACTCAAGAAACTAGTGAAGGCGAACATTAGCGGACCAGGGACACTCGATAAAGAGGAAGCGGTTGTTACGGATTTCGGGAGCGTCTACTAGCCTGCTGCTTCTGCACTTCTGATACAAGAATATAGAAGGGGCGGCAGGATACAAATTCATGAGGATTCCGGCGAATGTGTATTAACAACAATGACGGGTTCTCAGTTCGACGCGAAGTTCTCCGTCGCGTGGCTGAAAAAAGGTCAAAATTTCCGATTTTATAGGAATCCCTCTGTCTGGCTATTCAAACCACTCCGCTCCAATGTTTGAGAAATCCTGTAGCGCACCAGCTACTCGCCTAATGCTAGCGGCACATTGATTCTTAGAGTTATCTCTACGCTGGGACCACCATACCAAGAACATATCAATTTTGTCACGGGCGAATTAGCTGCATGATGGATGATAGGGACCAGAGCATGAAGATGTTGATCTACGCTTTGACTTGCCGTAGCTCCATTCAAGTCTATCTCACCTATTCTTCCGTATGATTCGAGAAACTCTAGGAGTTCGTTTCTGCCGAGCGAAACAGTCGATCCGATGGGCTGATTGGTAGGAAGACTAGGACGTCCGTCTGTTCTTGTCAGCTGTTGCGATATTTTGAGTCTGATTTAAGCCAACTGACCTATGCTTAAGCCCAACTCCAAGCTGGGGGTGTGTGTTGCTTAGATATAGTCACGAATTATCAAGTTTGACATAGTTTACGATAATTCCCCAGAATCTAGCAATACTTGCACTTGCTGCGTTAAAGCCAGATTAGTTGCATCTGGGCGGTAAACAATCTTCACTATATCACACAATAGCTGGGAAATTGTGCTGAGATTTTCTGGTTTCTTTTCGCTCTCCTACTATTACATAAATTCATCAGTCCATTCTCCCTTGAATTTGGATAGCTTAGTCTTCGGAGCTGTCGTCAGAATTAAGACCAGAAGATCTGATAGAATAGTTCAGTACAGAAGTCGAATAATGGCTTGCTCTTGTTCTTAACACTTTCTGGATGAACATAGTAAGATGGCTGATAATGTTTTTTCCTTAAGAAGCATACAACTCCGCTTGAAATATTTGATTTGATTATTTTTAGGCCAATGAGTAGGGCTTGCAGTGTAAAGATTAAGCTCGGATTTAACACGTTCCAGGAATGGAGTGATGGGGGCTAAAAGATTGAGAGAGACTATTATTACTATTGTTATAGGCGAGAGTAATGGAGCAGCAAGACATTACAAACCTAATAGACAAACGGAGCATGTGGACGAGTGGAAAAGTGGACGAGTAGACGAATGAATAGATGGACAAATAAATAAATAGACAAGTGGTCGAGTGGGCAAGTGGACAAATATGTAAGTGAAGAAAAGATGGACAAATGAAGAAATGGATGAATAGATGAATGGATAAGTGGACAAGTAGGCGGGTGGATGAATAAATAAATAGATAAGTAGACATGTGCAGAAGTGGGCCAGCCCCAATCTAGTAATAAAGGATTGGCTCTCCTTGGCCAGACAATGTAATGAGGCAGGAACACCTAATTTATAGTCTGGACTGAACTCTCAAGATCAACAACTCAAAGCTTCAGATTCCGCGGGCAATAAAAGAAATACTTGATTTTAATTACTTCGCTCCATAGCCACTGAGTAACTCAGAGATTTTGATCTGTAGTGCAGGCTGATCGATATGCACAAGGCTTTCAGATGTATCTGACCCTGAATAGCACGGTCCTCGAGCAATATCTTAGTGTTCAAATTGAGTTAGTGTAGTCAGTGTAATAATCGCTTCAGCTTGAGTCCTCAACCTAGAAACCCCTAGAGAAAAATGTTTTGGAGCTATTGCAGCCTATAGATTTGTATCATAAATTAACTGTTAATCGGCTACAATAATTCAAGCACTATTGTGCTCTATCCTAAATTAATTCATTATGCTAGATCTAATAATGCTAGCCCGTAGTGTATTGGTCATGCCAGATTATTTGCATTGCAATAACATAATGATAAACCTGATAAAGTGGATATTTGCAAGACCCAGCCAACCATGGAAATAAGAATAATCACCCTTTGAATTGTCAAACTCATGAAGTTTAAGTCTCGAGCAACTCAATTGAATGGGCCAACTACATTTGTTGATCTAGCTACATACCAAATCCATGACTGCCTCTGCGCCTCGCCCACCCTGTACACCAAGCTGTGGGATATACAATCATGTTGTCAACATATTATCATTGGGTAGACTTGTTCCTGTCTGAACGATGGTCGAGGTATCTTGGTAAAATGACTTCTCTTGTTTGATCATATATCACAATTATGTTATCTATGGGCAACATAAGACAGATTAGGATATTCTAACCAATGGTTACAAATATGATCATATCCAACCTTTTCCGAAGCTTGAGATATATAGAGTGGCAAACGGCCAGGTCAGGTCAGGTTAATAAGAAAATTTATACCTTCCGTCAGGTTAACGATTAGGTTAAAGAAATTTTTATATTTAATCATGGTATAATATAGCCATTGCAGTGGGTCGTATGCATCGAGCGTTCGCCTTCCCTAATACACGTGGTGAAAGTGGGACCCAGTTCGCCCTTCGATACTACAATAAGGCCATTTGAGAGCTCGTTGTCGGTGGATGGCATAATTCCGTTCGCACCAGTAACACGGTTTTGATGGCGTGTGTGCTGTTTTTCTGCTGTGAATCCTTGCAGGGCTGCTATAAAGCCGCTCTGCAATATGCCGCGTCGGGGCTCAGAATCATCTAACAGTAGCAGTCATTATCACATGCGTCACCAAAGAAAGCCCCTGCTGCCATCAGTTGCCTTTTTCATACTTTGCAAAGTCAGATTCTCGAAATAGAAGGTGCTGCGTCCATTGGAGCGGGCTCATTGCTGTCGGAGCCGGCATATACTACCACAGATTGGATCAAAATCACAGTAAATGGCGATGAGATACAACAGTCCTTCGAGTTATTGTACAACAGGCTCATGCGTCTTGACACTATTGGTGAAATGCTGGAAGCCGCACCCGAACAGGGCGTGTCACAACGTATCCTACCAGCATCGAGTTTGAGGTCTGAGTTAATCCAGATCCGACTTGACCTGCATTCATGGATGGTCAGGTTCGATCAATGGTTTGCCTTGGCGTGCGAAAAGGAACTAGATAGCTATAGGACCTCAATTACCTATTATTCAATTATGATACTAAACATATGGAGGCTTCTCATTAGTATGTACTTGAGAATGAAATGGCCGCAATCTGAGATGGACTGGGATTGTTTCACTGCTGATTTCAGGCATCTACTTTTGTTTGTTTCAGGGGTGATTAATACTCATGATATCCCATACCATTTTGATTAATGCCCGTCACCAGGATCACCAACTCCCAGACAAGTTAATGAAAGTATGCTATCTACCCTTCTCCCCAAGACGTCAAATGCAGAAGGGTGCACATTCTCCCTCTTGTTGGGAATAATGACTCCTCTCTACATCACTGCAACCCGTTGTTGGGACTTAAATATACGCTATCGCGCCCTTAACTATCTCTTCAATTGTCGTCGTCGCGAGGGCTTGTGGGATTCTGAACTTGCCGCTCGAGTGGCACAGGAGTATATTTTAATTGAAGAGACTGCTGCTGGTATTCAACCCGGGGTGCATTATCAACCTGCTTAAATTGGTCGAGCAGCTCGAGTAAGATCGTTGTCACCTCGCTTTGAGGAGGAGCGACAGGCGAGAATACAATACATGATAGAGGGGCAAGATATCCATCAAATAGAGAAGGTATTTACCTGGTAATTATAATTTGGGGTAATATGTCAGTGCCATGAGCCAGTTTCTAGCACGCAGACTATGTGTTGCTTTCTCAGAAAATATTAGACACTCGGTAGGTATGTCTTACTGCCCCCTAACAAGTGCGAATTTCATTAATAAACATATTTAGTTGATACAGGCATTCTGCCTAGAACAGAACCTCTCAGTCACTTCTAGTTAGGAAAGGAATAAAGGCCTGTCACATATACCACTGACAGATAAAGAAATATACCATTTTCTTAGATGCGAAAGATGGATTACTGGCGCTGTCTCCTACTAGCAGTAAAATTTATATCTAATAGCATCACTGTAACAATACCGTCCACCATATTTTTATAAATTCATTCATGCGGGAACTAGGCACTAGAACCTTTAAACCGTACTATTAATGGGCTGGTCCTATGGTTATCCCTTTCTTAATCTACTATATCTTTATCTTATTTTTATCTTGATTCTCGTTCCCCTACTAACTTTTCCTGGTCCCCTGCACGGTTTCTTCATCGTGTCTCCGATAGATAAGATAAATCAGCTTCTCCATAATAAGGGACTTTGGAAGTCCACTAATTCTAGAGCTCAGATAAGATGTAAGCTAAATGAAGTCACGGGCCTTAGGGATGTTTCTTTCTCTATTTTAGTTACTTTATGCCGCAGTAATTATTCTGTTCTGGAAAATTATCTACAGCCTGCGAAGCGAGATCCCTCATGTTTAAATGCCTTTTTCGAGGTGCTGAAAGCCAACTGCTAGATGTTTTGAAGCTCTATTTGTGATGAAGACAAGGACCCTTAATAGTCCTGACTGACGTGCATTTTCGAAGCAGAATCCTCAAAATTGCCGAGGATTACCCCGGCAGAATATATACTGTAATGAGGAATATCAATGAGGCACATCCACTAGTCTCCGAAATGCCTGCATTTCCTACAATTCGGCCCTCCACAGCGCCACATTTTCCATCGTGGGTGGAATAGCTCAGTTGCATGTTGACTGAAGCTTTTAGTACTTTTTTGGCTTTTGGCTGGTAATTGGGCAGGGCTAAGAGCATCCTATATGGCTTCCTGGAGTGAGAGACCATTGCAAGCATGTGTGATCTGTCTTACTGTGGGAAGTGACTCCACGGACACTCGGGTCGCCTAAAATCACTACATTTGTACACATCCAGTCCCAACTTCTTCTAGCACTTGCCTAAGTGGATGCTATTTGATAGCCTAGGCTTGTTTTGGAGCGGGCTCATCCCTACTTATGACCGAAGAGCACAATGAGCGACTGAGCTAGATGCCATAGGGCTGGAAAGTATTGTTCACAACTGACGTCGGAAGAAAGGAAGAGATGCCTTGACTTCTCACAGGGTGCAAATCCACCAGACAGGGGTTCAAATTCCAGTGGTGTGGCTTGGCATGTTGAGCTCCTCATTGAATGCGCCTGTCAGCCACTAATCCTGGAGCGTGGCGCAGTCCATGCCTTGGGCGCTTGGGGAACGGCCTGAACCTGCGTGGGTCTCAGAGCCCGCTTATTGCACCCATTACTCCCGGTATCAGCAGCTTCCTTGGTATACCTTACCGTCATTCCCGCATGGCCTTGCAATTTGATACTAATGGCCTCTACCTCCTTCTGTCGGATCGTGGAGCTGAGTCGACCTTCCACTGGGGTCTTTACCTTGCCAAGTCCCCCGCCTCCGGTGACATTTTTGACATCATCAACTTCCCGAACCCAAGGGTGTGGGCGTATGAACCCAAGTCGAATCAGCAGGTGACCACATCCAAGCGATGCCTTCTCGCGTTGAAAGTTGGAGACTTGGACCCGGCTCTGCATGGCCCGTTGCAGACTCGCCTGTCGCAGGTCCCAATCCAGTACTCGACGCGCTTCCATGAAGCCATCACCTGCCGTGTCTGGGTGAAGGAAGCCCTCTTTGCTTTGGACGATGAAGGATATATCAAACTTATCGAGACCGTTAATGGCATCGAGACTGAGGCTCGGTACGCCGCCATGTTGAACAAAGCAAATGGAAAGAGAACGGTTGCTAGGAGCCGCGGCAGCATCTTCTGACGGCTTAGTGGTGATAGTCACAATATTCATCATTCTGTTGGTTGCCGTTTATTTAGCCAGAATGCTTCCTGTTCCAACGCTCGGCTCTCATCTACTACTTTGAGCGGCTCCATGGGTGTTGTTTTACCAGTCATCCCACTTGTTTGAGAAGACTTTGCGCAAGACCTTTCGTGGGGCGCTCTGCAAGGTATTCCTCGGGATTTTGTGGAAGGCTGCTTTTTCTGCACATTGCTTTGTCGGAACTTTGCAAAAGACTTTGTCAGGAGAGATACTTCTGGGGTGCTGCGCCACAACTTCTACAAAGCAATTGACAAGTACTAGTGGTTAAGGAAGGAATGTCCCAGTAGTCCGTCTCTAATTGGGAGCACAAAGAGCGATTGCCAGTAGTACATAGTGTGACTATCACGGCTCTCTACATTGCTTTTCTTTGTCGCGCATTCGGTAATTTCTCTTCTGCGGGACTCCCAGGATTGAAAGGCGAAGGGTAGCGTTGGACCAATGGAGTTCTTGGCTCGCCACTTGACGTCCAACAGCATTGCTGCGACCAGAATGGATGGTCTCGTGCTTTGCCCGATCAAGGTTTGGTGGATATTTCTGCGTCGCATAGTCCCGTTTAATCCCACAGCTACTGCATCTTTGAGTATCAATGGATCCCTCCGAAGTAAGTGACTACAAGTTACACAGCTCTCTCCTCCAGTCGAATGCGGTGATTGCGGTTAAATCAGTTGACACCAACTACACACTGCCTCAAAATAGAGAAACATGTAAGCCAAAGAAATGAGTTCCGTGAATTATCATGTTTCCTCTACACTTGTCCATTTATTTTCGGATGTTCCCTTTATGAGGCAGGCAGCCTTTGTGGGAAGCCTATCCTGCGGCCACCGGGCTGCGGTTTATATACCTAATCGTTCTATTATTCTCTCGCTCTGCCAGGCTGTCTTTACTCTCATTGCCGTGGACAACCAACCTCCCGCTGTTCCTACCAAGTCACACATCCACATCATCGCTGCGATCCAACAACCTCACTCACCTTCCCAGCAATGTCAGAACCGTCAAAGACAATCAATGAACTAATCATAACACCTCCAAGTCCAACAGCCTCAGATCCACCATCCAACAACCACCAAATTCCCATGGCGACCCATCCAACCCCCAATTCCCCGGTTCGAATATTACTCCAGTCCCTAGTCCATTTCGCCCCAGGACTAGCATCCTAGACTCTCTCCCCCGAGCAAACCCAAAAGCGAACCCTTTACATCTTCGACAAGATATGCCAATATCATTGGGGTTGTGACTCCAGCTCGCCGAACTTCCGGTGTTACTCATTCACGGACGGTCCGTCAGGCAAGGATGGGTTTCTGGCACCGGATCGGAGGTTGTTCTTTTTGGTTGATTATGGTGTTTCGGAGAATATGGATGATGAGGTTCCTGTTTTGGAGTATGAATTGGTGGGGGAGACTTTGTAGGTTATTTTTGAGCTCATCTTCTTTTTCCGATCTTTTTAATTTCGTTGTTTTTTGCTTCCTTAGCTAACGAATCTGCAGGAAGCCTTTGCCGGGACTTGCTCAGGAAGAAGATGTGCGGGTTAAGCTTAGGAATTTGCATCCTTTTTGATGCCGGAAGACACCGGTCGTTTAAGTGAAGAGGGCCGTTAAGTCAAGGCATGGGTATCTGGTGTCTGACGGAATGAATAACTCGGGATGAAAGCTGTTTGTTTAGCTGGAATGGCGGGCGTGTGGTTGCGGTTTCTTATACAATTGTTTTCTCGGCGGACTGGATAAGTAGAGATCTTATTGATAGTCAACATATCCGACATTTTTTTGTTTTCCTTAGTTTGGAATCGGCTCGTAGGATACTTCCCCTTAATTATCATGCAGGTAGCCCGAAATATAAGTTGGGTCTGGAGCTTAGTGGTTGACGATTCTAATCCGTAACTGATAGAATTACCAGGATTACCTATTCACCGGCTGCGTATTCATTCTAGAAGACTTTATTATAGACGTAAGCGCATCCTAGATTACAAACCCCTGCGTAGGATGGTTGCCTCTGGCCCTGGAATCCGAAGACATACACCGAGGCGTCGCGCGAGTTATATGGTCAAGGACACTTCATGCGATGGCTATACCTTTCTTATGAAACCATCCTTCGTACTGCAGTAGATCAGGAATACCACAGTGGTGGCTCAAAATGGATAAGATATAGTTTGCGATTTTACCATGCGATCTAGACAGAGCACGTACCAGGGCTAGCATTGTACTTATTTCTGAAGTAAGACTATGCCAAAGACAACAGCATAGGCAGTATAATATTGGTCCGAGTATGAGCTACGTCTGGGTAACTGCAGCAGAGAGTTTCAGCTTCTTCGTCCGCACAATCATCTACTGCGGTGGATGTATAGACCAATTCATCGTATTTGCGACCGCAGTAATTCCTCACTTTGGGCACTTCCACAGATGAATTATGAGTCCTATGTCCCAATAGAGCATACCCCTATAGGTTAGCTAATAGGAACTTCTGGATCTACCAACACACTTTGTGCGTTGATTATATGTCAGTCAGCTATTCACTGGGTACGGATTCGGTCATGCCCGACTTCTCTCTGTCGAGAATGACCAGCACCGCCCCGCCAAGTCTTCCTCCACAATACAAACCCGTAGAAAAGTCACTTTGCTTCTGCTACAAGCCGTGTTTCTCACTTGGCACGGGAATACATGTTATTCAATGTATGGATGGCAGCAAGCTGCCTCACAAATCGGAGTCTCCGTGGGGTAACCCCACACCTCGTAAAGCGCCGATCAGGCCCTACGAGCTGAGTCAGGCCAGATCGGAACCTTAAAATTCCCTGGGTCATGTTTCTCTTTGGCCAGTTGCTGTTCGCCAGATTTTGGCATGGTGGCTTTGGCCCTGCACGGGTGGCTTGCCTGACAGTGGCGATCATCGTGCCGTGGCAATGTGATCCAATGTTTCGGTCCCAAATGACATCAATCAATCAGACCTGTGGATGTTTATTCTTGGAATAGACTTGGATCGGATATCATTTGCGCATTGGGAGGGTGCATACTATGTTGGGTTGAAGCGGTGTGCCGTTCTATTGACCTGGAAGCAACGACTGGAAATGTATAAATGTCTGCTCTCCTCCCGGTCAGTTGAACGTAGACACAACAAACAACAGCACATATCTGAACAAGAAACTATTTACTCTCAGTTTTAACCTCACATCTACCGCAGTCACAATGAAGACCGCTCTTATCGCCGCAACCATCTCCTCCATCGCTGCCTTCGCCAGTGCCAATCCCGTTGAGAACAGGGCATTCCAAGTCGCCATCACCTTCTGGGGCGCCGACGGTTCCTCTTACGGCCAGAACTTCCCAGCTGATTCCAGCTCCCATGCTATCAGTATGTCTCCTCATCAAATGTCTTGCTTTATCTATTCACATCATTGGACTGGAGATCTAACAACGATTGTCCATAGCCAACACGCTGTCCGTGACCAATATCTCCTCGGCTGGAGGCGGCTTCTGCAACTTCCACGGTGTTGACGGAAGCAGCACCGTGGTGATTGGTGAGGAGAAGGTTCCTGTTAGCCCTCCACAGGCGCAGATCCGGGGTTCTTGCGATATTCTTTAAATGTTGAGGGACGCGCGTTCGCAGCTTGAACTATGATTATGAGATGCGGGTGGTTGGCTAGAGGAAGCTTTGCCTAGCAGATTGAGGAGATCGATGACTTACGGGCTGTATTAGATCGTATATTTCGGTCATGGGTTTGGTTTTGGCTGCTTCGTCAACGTCAATTACTATGAGCATTTGCTAAATCGCGAAATTTACCCAATGTTTTGAAGTATTGTGCCTAGATAAAGTGAACGTCCAGTCTATAGGGAACAAGTTATGAAGGATGCTACCCTCGGGTTTAGCCTGTTATTTCCTATACCCGATGATGACGTCGCCAGTCAGCGTAAGCAACTCTATAGAGACGGTCCGATGTCTATCTATAAATGCGCAACGTCGTACGTGATATTCGACCGGATGAAGCATCCAAACCTGCAAGCCAACCTCAACAACTTCAACTAAATATCATGGACACCTCTGCCACCCAATTCGCCCTACCACTCCAAGGCAAATTAGCCATCGTGACGGGCGCATCCCGCGGCATCGGTGCCGGATTAGCATACGAACTTGCACGCCGCGGGGCCAATGTAAGTCATCATCATAATCTCCCAACAAACCTGTCCATAGAATAACACCCTCCTAGGTCTGCATGACCTATCTCTCCGACAGCAGCAAACCCGCCATCGACGACCTCCGCACCAAAATCACCCAACTCCCCCACGCCCCCACAACCTGGGCCTGCCAAACCGACCTCTCCTCCCCCACCGGCGCATCACAAATCATCACCCACCTCAAAACCCAACTCCACCCCACCCCCCTCAAAATCGACATCCTAATCAACAACGCGGGCATCGAGATCGTCAACCCCATCCAAGACACCACCCTGGACGACTACGACAAAGTCTTCAACCTCAACGTCCGCGGCACCATGCTCATGACCCAAGCCGTCATCCCCTACCTACCGCCCAAAGGCCGCATCATTAACCTCAGCTCAGTCGGTGCGAGATACGGCTTCAAGAACATCAGTTTATATATTGCGTCCAAGGCGGCGATTGAAGGTTTTACGCGCGCGTGGGCTGCGGAGCTAGGCGCGAATGGCACGACAGTGAATGCGGTGGCACCGGGCCCGGTCCCGAGTGATTTGTTGGATCGGATTCCGAAGGAGATTGTGGAGTTGCAGATGGCCACGACGCCGATTGAGCAAAGGTTGGGGACGACGGGGGAGGTCGCGAATATTGTGGCTTGGTTGGCGGGGCCGGATGCGTCGTGGGTTACTGGGCAGGTCATTTGTGCGAGTGGGGGGTGGGTTATGTATTGATTTGGGACTTAGCTTAGAAATCTAGGAATGAGTGCTGAGAATTGGAGTTAGAGACGGAGAGTGATGTTGTAGTGGAGTTGCAGTGATGGTGATTGATGTTTTGTGAATATTGGGTATATTTAACTGCATTGAGTACATCACTGCAGTATATTCCCCTCAAGATATGAAATACAATTACCCTATGGACATTCACTGTACAATGGTTATAAAAGGCAGGTAAACCCTCCTCCTCATCGGCGATTCCACTTCTAAGCTACGTTTCTATACCTATCCTGACCAGCCATGACTTCAACCTCGAAACAAATGATCAGATATACAAACAGTATATGAAGCAAATACCTGATATCGATGGACTCAAACTTCTAGTCCCACCTATCTCAGTCTTATCAATGCCCTGTAATATCGAATATGCCCTTCGATATCGCCCTTGGGAATTTATCTTAGACGCCCTTACTCCACTCCTATAAACAAAACCCCACAACAGAAATAACGGCACAACTATACATAATTATCCCCGACATAACTATCAAAGGAACAGCACCACAAAGGCCGCAATTCCGCCAAGAAAATCCACGAATTATCAAACCTTACTCAGGAACCCTAGAAGAGACACAAACATACCGCCAGCTCGATTAAAATATATTGTGAGCGGGGAAAATGGAGCTGCCGGATGCCTTATCGGAAGTACCTTTGAGAAAGTTGGAAAGGTTCTCGAGGCTCACAATGTCCATCCAGACATGCCGATTGAGCCGTAGGTGATCTCGCTATTGAAGATCTTAATCCCGATGCTATCGTGCAGAGAACAGGGGATGATGGCAAAACCCGGGTTGTTGGGGACGTCAAAACATCTTGGTCGACTCGGCTGGACCGCATGATCGCCGAACAACGCGGGCGTATCCTGGGTAAGCTATACGCATAGCTCATGATAATGATGATGATAATAATGATCTATCACTATCTCCTCCTCTACTCAGGCGACGGAAGTGATCGCGCCGTTATCACGCCCGCCAGGGAGTTAACAGTAGCAGCTCAAGCGACTCAGATAGTTAAGGCTATCGTGAGGATGTTAATGATGATAGTACACTAGTACATACAACCGACTGTCACAAATGCACTGGTACCGCACCTATTGTGTTGGAAACCCCAATCTTACATTACAAACCTTCCTCCTATTCTCTGCTGATAATTGATATTGAAGTCTATCGTGCCGGCTAGGCTGACATCATTGGCCAATTAAACACTTTCTTTCTTGTCAGAGCCCGCAAGGCTTCTGAAGTTGGGCTGTCTTGGATTTAATATTCTTGTTAATTGGTGAACTAGGCCAAGGTGCTAAAGATATAGATACTTACTGGTGTAAGTATGGTTTCGCCTGTACGTATGATCAGGCTATTTTTATGAAATGGACTTGCCTTTATCGCTTCTTTCTCTCGCCGGTCATCTATGGAGCTCAGGAGTCTAACCACCATAATGTGAGCAATTATGAGTGCTATACTTTTCTGTCTCGAGTTGCTGCTAGCTCGGACTGGAAATATATACCACGGTTGTTGATGGCACCTATCAGGGGCTTCATGGAACAAGAGACAGTACTTAGCGAGCATATGCCCTATTAGTTGCGATTAAAGATGCTTTTATCAAAGTTATTTGAAGTTTACATTATTGTTTGACGGCTTTACTAATAGGACGGGGAGGGCGCCCTCTAGGCTTGGTTTTCGTAGACATGACAAGTGAAGGAGTCATGGTGAACAATCACACGTAATCACCAAAAGTATAAACAAAACCTCCTCCCTTTTCTATTTTTTCTTCTCTCATCTCTTCTAGCCGTACCCCAATACAAGTGACTATTTCCAAGTCATCAGCATGAGCGACCAGCAAGAGGGAGATACATGTACCCACCGGCATGAGGAGACGACGCTGGAGAAGCTGGAGGGGTTGTCGCTTCACATAGGAGATGGCCAGTATAGGCTGTTACGGCTATTTTCTGAGAAGATTGATCGTCAGCTCGGTGAGAGATGAGCAGAGTTCTTTGCATTGAGGAAAGGAGATGAGGTGCCATCAGTTGTCAAACTCCGGTTCCAGTAAACATATCTCTTTCTTATCTGCTACCATGCCTAAGAGCCACTAACACACCACTCGCTGACTAGAATGAATCCCATTATAATCCGTCCACCGGAAGATCGCGAGGATAATAAAGAGTATGCAAAGGCACAATTTGAACTCGAAGTGCGGGCACTCAGAGACACGGAAAGACTGCGAAGCACGCCAAATCAGACTGGCTGATCACAAAATCCCGCCATCGTTAGAGACATCTATGCTTGTGGTTGGGCTATAGATCAAGGAAACCCCGACAAGATCATCTATCATCGTCGCAGCGGAACTGTGTATGTCACCGGTCTCTTCGAGGGTTCTCCGTACGCCCTCGGCTGCTAATGATTATGAATATGTCCAGGTCGATGACTTGTCTGGCGCATAGCGTTCCGGTGAGTCCGCCCGTGTCTATCGAAAACCGCTATGGTGAGAACACGTCGCTTGTGGATGAGTTTGGTCAGGACATCTGGTGGGAATAGTCAAGCAAAGCGGGACAGGACAGGCGGTGGATCGGTCAGGTTTCCCGTGGGTACCGATTTTGATAGCCAACAGTATTGCAGTTCTGCTTAATCTAGTTGTAAAATCGTGGGAAACTATAACAGGGCGTGTGGCAAGTAACCATTCGCACCGACCTGACATAGTCACAGCTGTAGTGCGTAACAGACCGTAAGAGACCAGCCTCCCATCACTCCATTTCTTCTATCGTCCTTTCGATTCATGTTAAAGCTACTTTTCACCATACAACCCCCCTGACCCTTATCAACTCTAATAGACTATAGGATGAAAAGCAGAAGAAGTCACCATGGGAAACAAGGGAAAGGTAGGTTCCATTATTTGTATGACTGCAACTCGCCTCTTTATATGTCGCCTTACACTTTTCACTACCAACTAGTCCATTCTGACTTTCATCTCATCTAATCTGACGGCATCACACGCGCCCTCATGTCAGACCACCTGTCATCGTCCTCGAAATTATCAATCGAGATCATCCGGAAATAACTCACAACTCAACCTGGCGTTGTGAAGTTCAATTAATTTCTTGGTGGAAATATTACATAGTTGATGTTGGGCTTGCCGATCTGGTCGGCGTTAGTGCTGGACCCTCGCGCTAATCACCCAGCCTCGCGCTGCCCCTCGTCATCCCCAACCATCTATTCCTTCCGTTCCCGCACCTCTCCATCCCCACACCGGAGACCTCGCGGAAACCCGGCAGCCCACAGAAGGAACAATCCCCCAGATTACATGTGTTTGACGGCTGCTGGTACAATCCTTTCCATATGCAAAGAAAATGACCATGGAGACAAAAACCCCTCCCGATCGTCATGGCTTTCAGATCGCCATCATCTGTATGCTTCCCCGCCAAGCAGATGCCGTGATCGCGCTATTTGACCACCAGTGGGAGGGTACTGAGGAGGCCTACAGTAAGGCTACCGGGGATCCCAATACATACACCATCGGTGTTCTCGGCGCGCACAACGTCGTGGTAGCGCATATGCCGCACATTGGCAAGGTCAGCGCCGCTGAATTTGCCATGGGTGTGCGCGCCACGTTTCCGGCAATTCAACTCGCCCTGGTGGTGGGAGTCTGCGGTGGCGTCCCGTCCAGCCCGCATCAGCGTACGGAAATATTTCTAGGAGATGTTATTATCAGCCAGTCGGTCACTGAGTACGATTTTGGCCGCCAAGACCCGACGGGATTTGAACCAAAGAACGCTGAAGAAGGGGGAGCGGGCGGTAGCATACCTCGGTCGATACAGGCTGTCTTGCGAAAGCTGGGGATTGACCATCATTACAGTCGCCTCCAGGAAGAGACACGTATATGGCTCCGGACTCTGCAGTGTCAGCCTCATGAAAAATACCATTATCTTGGTATGGGTTCCGACCGCCTCTTCCAGCCATCATATCTTCATCGCCACCGTGATCCGTCTACATGTAGCGACTGCGCAACCGATAATGTGTGCGCGGATGCGACCAAGGCTTCTTGCAGCGATCTGGGATGTGACGAGGATGGTATTGTGCATCGCGAAAGGCCTGTTGCCTCTGATGAGTCGGACCCGATTACAGCAGGCTTTCCCCCAACTGTTCATCTCGGTCGGATAGGCTCAGGGAGCACCGTCATGAGATCAGGCAGCCAACGCGACGAGCTTGCTCATCGCGAGGGACTCATTGGATTTGAGATGGAAGGTACTGGTGTCTGCAATTTCTTCCCCAGTCTTGTCATCAAGGGCGTCTGCGACTATGCCGACTTGCATAACACCAAGGTATGGCAGGATTATGCAGCAGCTACAGCAGCTGCCTGCACAAAAGCATTCTTACAGCATTGGGCATCAGAAGTCATGGAAACAGTGGTGGACGTGGCTGGTGATAGTCCCCGGAAAGACGTCGTGTTCATGGTGGACATCCACAGGGACGATCAATTTTTCGGACGGAATGAGATCATGGAGGAATTGGCGACTAAGCTGAAGACACAGGGCCGCGTGGCAATATTCGGTTTGGGAGGCATGGGGTTGGTGTTGTCCAAGTCCAGAATCACACATCGTAGGCTGATCCGAGCGAGACCAGGAAAACCCGGATTGCGCTCGAATATGCTCGCCAGGTCGCAGAGTCATCCGTCTCGGTGTACTGGATCCACGCACCGACAAAGGCTCTATTTCTCCACGCATACGAAAGAATTGCTCAGAAAGTCTCCATTGTTGGGTACAAGGCTGGTGACCGGGACAGTGCGTATATGTTGACGGAATGGTTTGAAAGCGATGCCAGTGGGCGGTGGTTCATTGTGCTGGACAATGCTGACGACCACGAATTGTGGTATGGACCCGATCGCCTAGCGGACTTGCTGCCATGCTCCACGAACGGATCTATCCTCCTGACAACGTGCGACAAGCGTGTTGGGCTGGATTTCACTGGTTGTTCATCTAAGCTGTTGCAGCTAGACCGACTGAACACCGGTCATGCCCAAGAACTCCTGGCCAGCAAACTGGAAATCCAATCAAGCTTGGAATCCGCGAACGAATTGGTTGAAGAACTCGGCGGTGTCCCATTTGCCATCATCCAGGCCGCAGCATTTATGAAGCACAACCGCATCGATGCAGGCGAGTATCTACAGCTGTACCGGGAAGGCCCTCAGCGGCAGATAGACCTACTCGGCGAGAATCTTGAGGATGGTATTCCAGAGCTGGGAGGCAACAAGAACCCAATTGCAACAACGTGGTTCATCTCCTTTGAGTACATCGACCGTAATTTCCCGGCCGCCGGGGAAATGCTAAGAAGAATGTCCCTGGTGGAGTCGCAGGCAATCCCCATCTTTTTACTGGTGGCGTCGGAAGATATCTCTCCGGATCTGTCCAAGGCACTAGGGACATTGCAGGCGTTTTCGCTTATTACACCTAGTGTGACGGAAGCAGGTGAAGTTGCCCAAGGCCAGGTAACATATGATATGCACCGGCTGGTGCGACTGGCTATGCGCATTTGGCTGAAACAGAATCAGGAGCTACAGCGGTGGACAGCAAGCACTCTCAAGATCCTGAGTCAAAAGTTCCCCAGCCTTGATGACTTGAGTTGGCGGGTGGTGAATATCTGCATCGCCTGCATTCCACATGCCGTTGCCCTACTTCAATCTAATGAGATACGATCCACCGGGGAGGAGGAAATCGCAGCGCCATTCGTCCCGCAAAAAGGGCTCAACGATCATGCATCTCACGACGTTGCATGCGGCGAGTGCACTGCAGTTCTGATGCTCAAACTGGCGAGGGCGTGTAACGCCTCTCTACATCACCAAGAGGCGGTGGACTGGGCGCTGCAGGCCTTTAAGGTGCGACAGTGGATCTTTGGCCTGGAACAGGAGTGCACCGTTCAGGCAATGGTGGAGGCCGCTGGTGCGTTGTATGCTAACAATGAGTTCACGAAGGCAAAGGAGCTTGGTCTCGTGGCTTTGGAGCAGTTGGATAAGATCCAACTCAGTCAGGCTCTGGAGGCATACAAATACGATATACTCGGAATCATCCATTCTGAAGAGGGTATTACCACCGGACTCCAAGAGTATTTCTTCCGAGCATTACAAATTCGACTCCGAATCTTCCCTCCAGACCATCCTGCTGTCCTTCGGTCCAGATCAATCTTAAGTACGGCCTATATCAACGAAGGGCTATACCCTGAAGCAGAAGCTCTGCTTAAGGAAACACTTGTCGTCTACAACAAGATCTATGGGCCCATGAGCTTTCCTGTGCTACAGGTCAAGTTCAATCTCTCATGGCTGTTCCAGCTATCTGGACGTGTGGATGACGCTCTGCCGCTGAATGCAGAGCTCACTGTGGCGCACCCTGGACCCGATCAAGACCAGGAGTACGATACCAATATGACCATGATCCATTCCGGGAGACTCCTGTTAGATATGGGCAGACCAGCTACAGCAGTTCAAACCTTCCAAAAAGCTCTGAGTCTGATCACCGATGTCAAAGCAGGAACTTCCATGGAGCTTGACGCCATCAAGGGACTAAGTCAGGCACTCACTACCCTGGGTCATTATGCCGAAGCTGAACCCCTTCTGGTGCGGCTAGTCAAGTCCTACATCCGACTAGCAGGCGACCAACAGATCACTGTCAAGGCAATGCGAAACTTGGCCGACTTGTACGAAGCCTGGGAAATGTGTCTCGCGGCACAACCCCTGCGGGAGAAAGTCGCTCAAGTTGAGCAACGCCATTTCGGCCGTGAAAGCGCCACTGCCTGTCTGAGTCAATGTGAGCTGGGTCTAAATCTCATCAAGCAGGGAAGACACTCCGAAGCAAAGCCGCACCTGTACACTGCGCTGCAGTACCCCTTGGTAGCGGATGATGCCGGAAAGCAGGAGAACGTCAATCGTATGAATTCGATCGCCAATGGTCTCACAGAGTGTGGGTTTGATCGGGATGAATATCTTCTGGAAGCGGAGCATGTCGCAGTGGATGCCGTGCAATTGATCCGACCACGTATTAAGATCCTACCCTATGTGGCACAGTCCAGCTTACAGAGCCTCGGCCTCGTGTACACACAGCTGGGGAAAGCTGCCGAGTCAGAAGAGCAATATCTAGAGGCGTTGGACGTTGTGAGCGGACGGAGTCAGGCCCAATGGCTGATGCCGGAGGTGATGATCCGATGCTCCTCTGTCTTGCTCCAGCAAGGAAAATATTCCGCTGCGATGAGCATGGCTGCCCAAGGCGTAGGAAAGCTTGAAATGCATCATGAGCCCAAAAGGGTAGTTCTAGCACGCGGTAAGGCTAATCTGGCAACTGCGTATATGGAGTCGGGAAACTATCGTTTGGCCGGGTCGCTCTCTTTGGCCGTCCTATACGGAGAGTACGAGAAAGCCTGGGACCCGGATCAATCGACTGTATCTTCTCTTCTTCAGACATTCGGGCTCATTCAGGATGTTGCTAAGGTATTGAACGGCATGGGGCGGTGGGAGCGGTCACAGCAAATATTCGAAAAGATTCAGGTAATATTAGTCCAATTGCTGGGCACAGCGCATATGCGCACTCTTCAAACCGCATTACTTCTTCGAGATGCTTTGAACCTGCAGGGCAAATTCATGGATGCCTTGATTCTTAGTCTGGAGTGCAAAGACTGCTATTGGCAGCGAGTCCGGCAGGACACAGCGTCCGAGCGGATGATGGTGGCCCAATTGGACAGCGGGATTGCTTGGGCGTATCAGGGGCTGGGAGACTATACGACAGCGGAAGCACTCTCACGTCAGGCGTTGAAGACCATTACAGAGATAACCGGTGCAGACAGCCCTGAGTCGCTCCATGCGGCCGCCATCCTGGCCACCATCCTCGTATCCCAGGGTGGTCCGAAACTGATGAAGGGTAGTGCTATTCAACGTCGCGCCGTGGAGACCTGGACCTCACTGGCGGGAGAGAAATCGCTACAGACTCTTCGCGCAATGGAGGCGGTAGCCAAGACGAGCGAGATTCAGGGTGATCAGGAGCAATGTCGAGTTTGGACAGAAAGGGTTGCTTCCGTGAAGCAGACCTTTGAGCCCATTCTTGCAGAGGATGGGGAGAAAATTGATGATTTGGTGAGGCAGCTCTTTGAAAAATGGGCTGAGAACGGTGAACAAGTGATAGAATCGATGGACCGACGCAGGAGGAAAGTATGCACTATGTCTTTGCCATAACTTCACAATAGAAGAGCCTTTCTCTCTATATTCCGTTACCACAGATAGATCCCCCCGTATTCAGCTATCCGCTGTTCGAGGTTTCCTTTGGCACCTCTTGGCACAGGCGGGTGTGGTGACCTCAGTGGATCCAGGCTCGAATGATGGCAACTATCCTTCGACTCTGCCTCACTCTCCTTATTTCCAAGAGATCCTTCTCTCCGTCCACCCCAATTCAAGCCTGGCATCGACGAGCGGACCTCGAAGTGTGAATCAATCAGTAGAATCTGAGCCTACTAGCGACGATGGATTCGTATATTGGGAGATAACAGATAACAGGAAAATCTCCTAGAAAGACTCTAGACTACCCATCGCTTGACCATGCTTTTCCATTCTGGTATCTTGGTGTAAGAAGGAAATGCAGTCCATTTGAGAAGCATAGGCTCGGGGATCAATAAGCTATAGGGGTAGTGGAGTGGATCCCCAGACGCAGGCAATTCACCAGATGAACTAAAAACTATAAATCGCGAAGAGATGAATAAGTTCCAACTAGAACAAACGGAATTGGGAAACGAGGCCAGCCTCGTCAATTCTAGTCCCGATACGGGGCTGAAACTAGAATGTATCATTTAATTGGGCTTTCTTTTCACCTTGCGCTGGTATTTCGATACCCTGGCGTAGCGTGTTCCGCGAGCAGTCTGTACCAAGCAGTTTAGCTAGTGATAGGAATTTCGAGAATGCTATAGCTTACCAGCTTCGAGCCGTACCTAACGGGGAAAAAATTATCCTTGTCATCTAGCCCTCTGAGGACAGTCGCAAAGATGCACTCTCGCAACGAGACGCTTGTCGCAGATGATTGGGCTCTGGCGCTTATGGGTTGGGACATGGCGAATTGGAGATTGTCAATCCTCTTCACAAACCACGTATACTCGTATACGGTGAAGATCCCATAACGAGTATGGTGGTCGTCCATATATCGCGCGAGCTGGCCTATTTTATGAACACTACTGTTAGTATACGGGATGGAGATCGATATACAAACACATGGCCACTCACCAAGCATGCCAGACATGAATGCGTGCCATGATTGGTCTCGTTTAGGCGCAAAGGCCCAAAATGTTTTCACTTCCGCCACCGCTTTGATGGCATGAGTCCTGGTCTCTACAACGACAAGATCGGGTACGAGATTGTCTCCCGCTGGCGCTCCTTGCTTCCGCTTCTCCCCCTTCTTCGCCCCAATCAGAAGTCTATTCCTACCCCATTGCGCGTCCCCGAAGCTGACCCCCAACTTTAGAAGATTGCAGATCTCTCCCACCGGGTGCAGAGCGTTATTGACGAAACGACCCTGCACCCCCAGCTCATTAGCCGTTCCAAAGACCTCATCGGGCACCCTGGGTCTAAAGGGCTGGTATTTCCCGCAGTATGGCTCCAGGAGGTCTTTTACTTCCTTCGAAAATTCGGGCCAGGGCTTCAAATGCTCGGGTTTGAGGATGAATGGAGATTCGCCGGGCTTCAGCGTTCTGAAGCCCTCCTCTGTGATCAGGTCGGCAACGGGGGACCAAAGGCATTCCCGATGCCCCATGGGCAGCTTCAGAGATTCCATCGTCTTAACTTAACGAAGATTCGCTTCGAGGAGTGGGCGGGATATTATAACTCCAAGACTCAAACTAGCCATGAATTAATGGCCCAGAAATCACGAAATAGGTGTTCATGAACCTGTGCTGTTTCTACGAAGGTCTGCGTTGGTTCGATTTCCTCTTCCCCTTCTTTCCCTTTCTGTGTGTCTAATTCTCTTTCATTTTGGATTTTCTAATATATTTTTCTCCAGTGCATGTATGCTATTCTAGTGACAGGATTCACTTCTGGGGAGTTTCTAGAGTGAAGCCTGGTAGAAGTTCACGAGTCGGCCAACCTGCTCGTCTGCCAAAAAAACTAGAGTCCTGAAGCTCAGCCTATAAGCTGTCAGGCTATACGCTATTGGGGTTCAAAGAAATATTTACCCAACTTCGTGGGGGTAAAATACAAACGTAGTTCACTGGATCCGGCTTTTCATAGTACCTACCTATCCAGGAAATCGGAGCCGTTGGGTGTGGGGGCACAGAGAAGTGGCAGCGTGCCGAAGATGCTCTCAGGACAGGGTAGTCTCTAGTATTGCTGCTATTCTAAGGAAACGGTTGCTATAAGGATGCGCAGAGACGACCCCTGGAGCCCAGCGTGATGGATATGGTGGACTTCTATTGGGTTTGAACAAGTAGTCAATAGATAACGCTGCACAGCAGCGCAGATTTCTACATATTCATAATCCAGAGATATTCGTAATAAAGTCCATCTGTGTTATCTCTATAGGTTCAGAACTCCGTAGGCATGACCGGTATGGAGGACGGGAAGACTATGGAAGTCCGGCCGCAGAGGTTTGTAACCCGAAGGTCTCCCAGTGTTGGGGGAGTGTTGCTATGGAGCACAGTGTAGTATGTTCAAAATGATTCCGTGAGATATTCTGAAGATCCTGCTATAGCTTATTGGAAATCCTGTTCAGACGGCCTCCTACATTGGCATGAACCACCAGTGAGAGACCATTCTCTCTTCAGAAGGGTTCAAATCTACAAAGGAGAGCCACCGCAGACCATCAGAAAGCATGATCCTTGGCTTTCGGGAAGAGAGTATAAAGCAATTCCAATGACACATTCACAATGACGCGATTGAAGGGTCCTGGTGCATGATGGGTTTTTCACGTGATAGCGTCTGTGACTCAGATCGAATTTCCCCGGTCAAAGGAACTGGTCCACCTCTCAACCCACAATCTTCATCTTCAATCAACCACCTCTTCAGATTATTATCCCCAACTCTTGTCGAACACCAAGCCACATCTTCCCCCGACCATGTGGGCGTTCAGCTTGGAAGGACGAGTCTTCGATATCGAAGGAAGGAAACTCAAGATCGAGGAGCAACTCTCCGAGGTTTTGGATAGGAGAATGGGTCAACGCCATGTTCTAGCAAAGGCTAGGAACATAGAGAACAAATTACCGTCTTTGCTCAAAATACGCTACCAACTGAACCCGAAATACTTTGATTTCGATGATCCCAAAGAGGTTCTGGAGATCGCCGATCAACATTACTGCCACGAGGTTGAGGCTACCGTACTCTTGGGTAAAGCTGGACTCGGACCACGATATCTTGCACATGAAACTCATTACCAGCCTGAGTGGATGCCTTTTCCCGACGGCTATGTCGACTTTATCGTCATGCAAAACCCCCCCGGTGAAAATGTTAATGAGATCCAAGATGAGCTCACCGATCGCCAGCTCGCGAGTATCCGAACGCAGCTCGCGCATATTTTGGAGTACGTGAAAGACCTTCTAGGAGATTGATTGTACTAACAGATGCTGGGGCACCTCGCAGGACGATGCGCAAGAGTGATTATAAACTGGTCCAGCAACATCCCAGCTATCTTAACTACGATGCGCGGACAAATAGGCTGTATCTAATCGACCTCGAGGGCCTCGCATATACCGACTCAACCAGTAGCACATCCTTTCCGGTCGACGAGGAGAGCCCGTTCGTGGAAGCATTCAATATCTGGCGTGCGCCTTACAGGAAGCCCGAGAGAGTGGCACCATCTGACCAGCCTATCAAAAAGGAAAATCGGCCCCCGTGGAAAACATAGTTGAGAAGGATTTTTGGATGGAGGCACTGTCCTATAGACGGGTCCCTTTACAACTAGCTAGAACATTGCTGGCTCGTTATTCATGATGTTTGGAAGGCTTAATTAGCCCCCCTCCCCGCCCCAGCTCTGAGAGGCAGTGGGCCTGCTGCCGTATCCAGGCACATCAGGTGACTGAATGACGGAGTATAAACCCCCCCTCGTTTCCCTCTTCTTCCCATCGCCAGCTTCCCAGCAGGGACATCCGATCAGCGATCTCGGTAACGTGTAGCTTACAAGAATATCCTGCCGGAGCAACGCACTCAGGTCCAGCTATGACAAGATGAAGATGGCACATGCCCTCATGAATAGACTCTTCCTCCTTATTATCTATCGTCTGGCAGGGAGCGAAAGAAGATGTCCTCTCGCAAGCGGCATACGCGCATCATGAACAGGGATGCCGGCACTGGGATCTTGGAGAGAATGTGGAGGAGCAGGTGTGCCGCCTGTATCCCAATGCTGCAGTCCATTATTGGATTGTCAGATCAGCGTATACGACTGTCAAGAGTGGTCAGTCTAGAGAGAAAGAGCGCTAATCGGGACATCTTCTGGGTATAACATCAGGTCCCCGAGCCGTGGGGAGGCGATAGAGGCTTACGGGTAACGTGGGGAGCGCTCTGTTTTGTCTGGCTATGCGCAGAATCCGTGGTATGGCGACCCACATGGGGCACGACATGCGGGTACTGTGGTAAGGATACACAAGTCCTACTATCAGTTATACAATCAATGACTCACTTCGCTGCGGGCAATCGGTTGTAAATTTAGGGAAGTATGGGGGCTTTCTCCACCCACCTTCGACAGAAGACATAGTCCCAGAACTGCGGAGAAAATGCCTTTGAGAAATGAACTTTAGATATTTGGTATGTAGCCGGATGTTTGAAGAGGACCTATGCACCAAACTGATTCGAGACTGTTTGCTTATGGGATGTGGTCACATCCAGTGCCTTGTCTACGGGATGACAACATCGCTTCACCCAATGAACGTATGTGTACAGACATGAATGAGGCTGGTTCATATAGATTCATATCAATTTGGATCGAGTCTTTTAGATTGTCGGCTTCTCTCAATCGTCTTTGTAATCCATATTGAATAGAAGGGACGCTCATCGTAGCCATCGTAGCCCCCCTCAACGAGACAGTATATAACTCATGGCCTCCTTTGTAGAAAGTCCCACCCTTCTTCAGTCAGGGTCCCCCGAGTACGATGTCATATCGTAATCATAATCCTTGCAGCAGTAGTTACTGCCCTGAATAAACCTCTTGATTTCTTCCAGTATCACAACTCGTCCAACTTGAATAATTGAGCGGACATTTTATATTCCCCACAGACCATTGAAAGACTTGTCGCAATCTGGTCTATTCGACTGCCGTTACCATATCTCCATGTTATATCTTATGCCGCGCCGTGGTTTTGTTGAAGGGTGTCGCTGACCCACCGATGTCGCCGGACTGAGATTAGAAGTATGTAGGAGACAGTGACTTCGACTTCCTCTGGAAGGTCGATCGTGGTGATTGATGGCTTTGAAAGGGCCATCTTAACCCCCTTGTTCAGCTGGCGTGACAGCTGGTGATGACATGGGTCTCATCCGAGATGCTGTCACCCTTGCCCTTAGTATCGAGTGTAACGTATATATATATTTTTCGCAGCCTGGGCTAGATAGCCATCGCCGGTTCGAGGAGGGCCTCAAAAGGCTGCATTTGGAATCAGGCTTTGATCAGTCGATCGGTCGGTGATCGAGTCCTCGGGACTCAGTGTAGATCCAGGACAGAAGACTCAAGCCTCTTTATATAGACACAGACGTATCCTGAATTACTAATACTACATAGGCTGTTTCCTACATTATAAGAGAGACATCGGAATCTCCCCTACCGAAGCTATCACTAGTGCTTTTGTAGCAGGACTAGTAGCTTGTTCCTTGGTTGCTTATAGGAATGCTCTCTTCAGTATAATAATACCAGGACATTATATTAAGACCATTGCCGATCAAGTACATAGTTCCCTGGCGATAGGCTCCGTACGCTCAGCTTCACTGGCAGGCCTAAGTCTATGTGGCAGGGGCATACCCAGCTTGGCAAGAATTGACCTGGTCACGGGTATGATTGCACTCGGCTGTAGCCTTTAGAGGTATCAGATTAGCATCGACGCTCGCCGGTAAACACAGGCATATCTTTAGAAAAACTCCTCGCTCTTCCATTTCTGTGGAATTCCTTGAGTCACTGCAATGGGTTAAGCCAGCCCCACCTCGTCGGCTAGTTCCGAGTCCGGTCCGTCAAGGTCCATCTGATAAGACTGCCGTCCCGATCTTCAGGAACACGATTTTTCGGCATAATTCACTTCCATCTCATATTTCCGGTCTCAACTTAACTGTACATTTCACAGCTATACTTCATTCTTCGTTCCTGCCTACAACATTGTCAATGCTGGACTTGTTCTCCATAAGTATCACCACCATCCACTATGGTCTGACCTCCCTGCCCGCCATCATCTGGCTATCCACCCTCCCCATCATCCTCTGCATCCCGCTGCTCGTCCCCTACCTCAACCCCGCTCCCCCACCCCCCAGAGGCTGTCGCCGACTCGGCCTCGCTCCATCCCAGCAATCCAATCTCCACGATGAATACGACCCCAAGTACACCCACGGCGTGCCCAGCACCGCCGCTGACGAATCCGGCCACCCCGCCTGGCGCATCAAAGCCCTCTTCACCTACCCGATCAAAAGCTGCACCGGCGTGGAGCTCGAAACCGCCGAGGTGATCGAAACCGGTCTGAAATACGACCGACTCTTCTGTTTCGCCGAGTTGATGCCATCCACCAACACCAGCACACCCAGCCAATGGACCGCCCGCACCCTCCGCGACCGCGACTTCAGGAACCTTGCCCTCCTCCGTCCCGAGATCTGGGTCCCCGATCCCACCTCCCCGTCCTACTCACCCAACTTACCTGAAATCCAATCCAACGGCGTGCTCATCATCCACTACCCACGTCTCCCCACCAACCCACTCACCAAACTCCTCCAACGTCTGCATCTCTTCCCCACCACAACCACCTCCTTCACCATCCCCCTCACCCCACCCCCCTCCCAAACTCACCTGTTCCCTCTCCACCCCGTCAAAATCTGGAAAGACAGCCCCCAAGCCTACAACTACGGGCACCTTCTCCCCGACTCCCTCCGCGCCCTACTCACCTACGACACCACCGTCCCGCCGCATCTCCGCCGCCCTCTCACCCTCTTCCGCGCATGCGAGGCCCACCACCGCGAGATCTTCCGCTGCGCGCCCCGCAAGGAGGAGATCGGGTTCCAGCCCGTCACGGGCTTCGCGGACGCGTATCCCCTGCATTTGGTGAATATGGCGAGTATTCGGGATGTAGCGGGGCGGTGTGGGGATGCGATTCCCCAGTTGAGTGTGAGGCGGTTTCGTGCGAATGTCGTGGTTCAGGGGCCGGGGAGGTTTGAGGAGGATGCGTGGAAGAGGATTCGGGTTGGGGGGGTATCTTCATCGTCTTCGTCTATTTCTTGTGGGAAAAATTCGGAGAAAGACAATAGGGATGGTGAATGCGAAGGAGGTGTGGAAATCCACACAGTCTGTAGAACTATTCGCTGCAAATTGCCGAATGTTGATCCCGATACGGGGATCAGACATCCTTCGGAACCGGATCGTACGATGAAGAGTTATCGGAAGATAGATCCGGGGGATCGCACGAATGCGTGTTTGGGGATGCAGTTGGTTCCGGCTGTTAGGGGTGAGTTTGTTCCTTTCTGTTGTTCGTCCATTTGGTTGGTTTTTGTTTGTGCTTCTGTTCGGTGGAAACGAGGTTGAAGTGCCTTGTTTAGATTGGTTGGTCTTATTGCTTTTCAGACACGCTAACTTGTGATAGAATTCACTCTGCGGGTTAATGATCCCATCTCAGTGCTGGAGACGGGTGAGCACTTCTATATCAAGATGCTGGCGCCAGGGGAGAAAGTAGAAGGGGTGTAAAGTCCCTGATCCTGTGCTGTACTATAATACTTTTTTCAGCTGTATTCTACATTAGTACTTTAGAATGTCCGATGTGCATAGCAAAATTAATTCATTGCATATCAATGACCATCTAGGCCAACAAAGAAGGGTATCCAGATAAAACCAAGGTATCGCCAATCCAACCAAAATATATAACCAAAATTAATCATCATGCAGTGTGGGAGCCGGATGGCTCTCCCTTCGTGAAGTGTGTGCTCTCAGAGGAGGTCATCACGTCCTCGCTCTGGCGGTGATCCCCCCGAGCATCTAGAATAGCCGCTTCTTCCTCCGGATCCTCGGGAAGGATCAGGTTGAGCACCACCCCCAGCAGGGCGGTAATAGCGAAACCATTCTCCATGACCAATTCAATAGCGTCCAACAGACCCGTCAAGCCGCGGTTGTTGCCGCTGTAGGTGAAGAAGTAATCGAACCAGTCGGACACGAGCGTGGCGCCCATACCAACGGCAAATGCGGCAGTCAGGATGAAGCGGTTGCGGCGCGTGAAGGAGATGGTGGAGATAATGCGGATGCCGGAGATGGCCACGGAGGAGAACAGGAATGTCGTCATGCCGCCGAGAACACTGCTGGGAATGGCAACAAGGGCGGCAGCAAACTTGGCGAAGATACCCATGACGATGAGGAAAAAGCAGCAGCAGTAACCGGCGGTGCGGTTGGCGCACTTGGTCAGAGCGATGACACCGTTATTCTGAGCAAACACGGACATCGGAGTCATTGTGCAGAGCCCTGCCAGGATACAGGTGATACCGTTACCCAGAACACCGCCCTGGATACGCGAGTCGAAAGTGGGTCCCTCAACTTCGACCTGGGACACATCGCACGTGGCTGTGATGTCTCCAATCGACTCCATCATAACGACGATGTACACTGCCAGCAGTGGTAGGATCAGGGGTGGGTATACAACCAACGGGAATGTGCGAACCCAGACAAAGGAGGCCACAGGTGCAGCGTCAATGCCCGATCGATCAAAGTACCCGCATGCAGCGGCCACGATGCATCCAACCAGCAGACCAACGACAACGGCACAGGATCGCATGATGGGTGCACCGAAGCGCTCGCAGATGATGATCGACACATAGACCAAAAAGCCAAGTCCAATGAACTCCGCACTTCCCCAAGGAAGAGCGTGTGGCGCATCTGCACTCGGGCACAGAGCACCGTTGCCAGGGTTGTCACTGCAGGTTCCGGAGCCACCCGCCCAATCCTCGAAAGCAGACTGAATGAGACTGGCGCCGATCAGGAGGACAGTAGGACCGGTGACGAGGGGTGGAAAGACGCGCTTCAAGATCTTGGGGCTCATGAAAGACAGACCGACTTCGAGCAGAGCACACAAACATGAGGTTCCCAACAAAGCACCGTAGCCCTTGGGGCATGGTAGCTTAGTCCCATCCTCAGAGGTGGGGCAGTATCCGGTTGTGTACATTTGGTCGAAGGCCCCAGATGCCACAGTGATCGTGGCAAAAGAAATGCCCACGACAGAAATCAGACCAGTCCCGATGTAGTATTTTGTGCCATAGATGTGGAAGCGGGTCATTTGAATAGCGGAGAGAATGCCGGAGACAATAAGTGAAGTTGAGACGAGGTATTGGTAGTCTTCGGATCCGAAGTTGGCGCCAGCTGTGCCACCGATCAGGATGGGAGGTGAAATGACTATCAGAGTCAATACTGATCCGACAAAAGGATCGCAAAATACTCACTTCCACCCAGCATCGCCAGCGAATGTTGCAGTCCGAGTAGCAGGGCCAACACAACAGGAACTCGGTCTTCGAGTCCGAAGAATGGTGCTGAGCTTCGCCTCTTCGTAATGAAGGGAATATTGGGGGTGAACAGATAGGCGTAATCATAGTCTCCAATGAGGCCCTCCCTGTGGAAATATTAGCACAAGACCCAGCGCAGAACGAGCGACTCCTTCAACGCACTTTGTAGTGAACGCTTTGACAAGGGAGCGGGCTTTGTCACCCCATGTCCGCTTCGGCCGGTAGTCCGGACCTATCTGATCTGGACCGTCCATTGGCGGCAAATAAGGTCTGCGATATGGAAGATGTTGGTGTCCCGGAGGGAAGTGGTATAATAATGCAGGTAAAGAGACTGTCTTCAGATGATCGTCTCCTTATGTTGCACAACTGGGTCACCTCAGTTGGCCAGGAATGGATTGAGGGGTCGGTTCTCGACGGTGTCTCAGTTTGGGTCTGGGGAATCGACTAACATGGGCCCAGACATCGACGGACGAGGTGTCTATATACACGGGGCATCGCGGGGAGCTCGAATATGGTTCGGAACGATCGAAGGTCGGAGCGGAGTGGATGATGATACCAGCTATCAGTGGCAAACGCGGTGGGTGAATCAATCGAATAATGGTCAGGGCCGGTTATCTCTCGCGCGGCGTGCCAGACACGCGAGCCAATTTCCAAGCGAGCTGCAGGTCGGGGCAGCACTAGTGGATCATTGGATGACTGGTTCGCCATCGATTTAGCTGGTCTTTGCTCAGGCTCACGGTGGGCCCTGCGATAAGGGCCGCCGTCGGTTGACAGAGTCCGCTCATGTAACGCCCCCGGCCGCTTATCTGTCCCCAGCTCGGGTTCCGCCGAAATCCATGCCTCGCGTCTGGGGCTGATAGCCGGTGGCCGATGGGCCTGGAGCTGATGAACCCGACTGTGGCCGGAGTAGAACTCTTCCAGAGAGTGGGAAGGCCGGGGAAAATATAAGCTACTAGTAGTACTAGGAGGCTGCACCAGAGGGGAATCGAAGAATCGACGACGGTTCTGTTGGTGTTCCAGTCCGGGGAAACACCAGCCCCAATTCGGCAATCCATTAGTCATGGAATTGTCCCTGGTCCAACTTTATCGCAACCTTGACTCGGGCCCGTGACTAACGCCTTCGCTGCAGTCGCATTGCCAGGTCGCATTCTACCATTGTGACGACGTAGTCTATCTGCGTTTATTTTAAAATCCTATATCGGCCTGATGCTGTCTTTTTTATTTTTCTGCTTGGATTGTTCTCCGTATGACCCACAAGCGTATTTACCTGATTACACAGCAGCAGGGAGTAGTCTGGATTTCATGCAAGGCACATGTCTTAGCTCAACTTCTCGTGAGGCAGATTGGCCATTTGTGAGAAGTAAAAGATGAGCCTATTGTATACGTGTGCCATCTAGTCATGATGCTACCCCATAATGAACCTGCGGATTCCAAAACGTTGCCAAATCGAGCTATATCCCCTCCCCCAAAGGCCATAGTGTCATTTTAGAGTTCAGATCGAACCGCTTACCTGCGACGATAATCTGGTAGCTTTTGTTTTTGGTGAATTTATTTTTGCCAACGCTTGCGGTGCTAAATCTGCTGAAAGATACACAGCACAGCCAGGGACTGTTTCTCGCTAACCAGGCTCCTTCAAGTAGGGCTGTTCCAAGAAGGACGTGTGTACAATGAGGAATATAGGATTAGCAGAACGACCAACTGTCTCTTGTGTGAATATCCGGGACTAGGCTTCAGTACGCGGGCTGCTCTTCCTGAACGACTTGAATATCTCTGCGTATACGTCATCCAATCACCTTATTCCTTTGACTTCCAGTATCTGGCTCGTTAAGATGGATTCGCGTCATTGAAAATCGTGTTCCATCGAACATATTTAATTCCCTCATTCATTTACGACCGTATCTATCCCCCTGTCTGGTGCCTTGGTGCTTATTAAGTGGCGGGAGCTCATTTGATTCATAATCATCAAGCTGCGGCTCCTTCATTGTCATGCCGTCATCCGATAAAGTCTATGTTCTTATGGTGGCAGGAAAGTGAGTAGCAAGGCCATTTAAATTATTATCGGAGGTTGTTCTTTCTCCTTTGATCAAGTACTCCATTCGATCACACAGATGAATTGTTGTCAAAAAAGGATTAGCCTTCCGATATAGTATGGCATATGAACTGCTCACCACGTGAAGATGAAAGATGCTCAAGGAAATAAAGCTATCTGGTGGCAGGCCAAATACATTACGGGTGAAAGAATCAAGTCGGCGTAGTAGCCAGTATCGGACCCCACTATTGCTCCGTCTTCCAATAAGGACACTCCATATCTTAGTAAATATGTCAAGGTTATGAAAAGGATAGAACTCCGCAAATATCACCTACCGAGTCTCAAGGATCACTTGTGCAATAATCAGTCTGGCTTCATTAGATCCATTAACAAGAACGGTATTCCTTCTTTTTCGGAGAATTTCAATCCCACATGTCCCCGACCCGATTGTTGATCGGCACATCGGTTTTCAGCCGCGGCACCGTGGAGGAGCAGTGGAGCCGAGCCGTGCCACTGGTTCACCATTCTCGCCAACCTCGGATCGGCAAGGACCGGAAGATGGTCCTTTCATATACATCTTTACGGAAGAATCCGGAGCACACCATAGACAGAGTGGGCTGAATAATGGCGTTGGATAATAGTGGAGGTATCTGCAGCGATGACGTTGATAAGCTTCGAAAGACGGATACGGAGTACCCCGTACATCAAGTGGCTAGTATACTTCGTCTTAGATGAACCTGAGTAAGCATTGTAGGCACTTCCGGCTGCACTATTGGCAAAAGAACTAGGATGGACAGCCGACTAGCGTGCGCGGTGTACATATATTTTATGGAAGTATGCCGAAGACATTTGATAATATCTTCAAGTTTCCAACCCCTCATTTGCAGCGCTGGGGTATCTTTCTCATACAGAGTATAAGGTGGCCAAAGATATAATACAGGAAGTGTATCTGAGGTCCCTCAGTACGCACTGCAGAAGTAGTAGGGCTAGAAACAGAGGTAGCAAAGATGTACTCCAGGAACCAATGATATATAATCTTAATCATTGCGCCAAAATAGTGAAATAATCTGAAGGTCCGCCAAGATATCTTCTTGGTCGAACTATTGAATTTCGACTCACCTCTAGGAATTCTGCGGTCCTGGAAGAGTATGGAAGAACTACCTTCTTGGTTGAAAGGGAATATAAGGATGTAGAGAGCCCTGTGGCCTCAGGCATAATAGGAGTGATCAATCTACTTTACCTTTGCTCTCAATTGGCTTTGGCCAAAGCAGTAAAGCCAGGACAAATCACAAGCAATCTTCCTTGTCTCAGGCAGCAATGTCGACCAGTTCCCTACTTTCACATATATATAAAATTCTAGATAATAATAATGTTGGTCCCTGATGTAAATCAACGTTAGCCTTACCTGGCGAGTACTACGTTGTGCCATGTATTCTCGGCGCTGCCTACTTTATATCTGACCTCTGCGCTGATTACCTCGGCCAGCGATGCGGGAGATCTTTATCTGACCTACCCGGAGCATTATTCATAACTTCCATTACTATCCCTGCTTTGATAGCTGGTCGTCACTTTCAGGGATGGGACATGAGGTCTTTGAAGAATCGCCGCGGCGTGCCCGGCTCAAGGCCAAGGCGGGTTCTCGCAAAGACACCCCAAATGCGGAAATGTGGGAAGTTCTCCGTCGCAGTGGCTCTTCGTGCGCATTCATTCTACCAGACCACATATATACTCCTCTCAGCGAGGGACTACGTCAGTGACAACGTGGCCCCCCTGATATTATCCGGGAACAGCCAAGGAGAGATGAATAGGAGTGAGGTGGAGCTACTGTAGCCCGGTTCTAAGTAAGTCAGCCTCTGCCCTGCTCACTAAAGAAATGTAAATATAAGCACAGTTTTGCACGATTCAGCAACTTGCCATCATATCATTACACAATTCTCATCCTTCATTCTAAGATGGCCTTTCTGCCATTACTTGTCACCCTTGGGGCGACGCTAGTTCAGGCCACCACCGCCGCCGTCACTCTAGATGATGTGTGCACCCCGGCATACGTTCGAACCAAGTTGCCTGCCGATAGTGTCTACCCTTGAATCACCATTAGCCACTTCAATCTCTCCGCTAACCCTGTCTACAATCTCTCGACGAGCGGCTCTGCGGTATATCCGGCCACCACCATCGACTACTGCAACGTGACCCTGGCTTATTCCCACAATGGCCGGGACAACAACGTCCAAGTGCGTTTCTGGCTGCCCTCTCCGGAGAAGTTCGCGAACCGCTACCTCTCTACTGGCGGAGCAGACTACTACGTCAACCAAGGCACGCAGCAGCTCCCTGGGGGTGTGATGTACGGCGCTGTTTCCGGGTCAACAGACGGCGGGTTCGGAAGCTTCGACACGGGGGTCGACGAGATTCTGCTCCTAGCCAACGGCACTTTGGACTGGCAGAACCTGTATATGTTCGGCTACCAGGCGCACCATGAGCTCGCCACAATCGGCAAGCGCTTCACGCGCAACTTCTTCAACATGACTGACAACGAGGAAGACCAAAAACTGTACAGCTACTACCAAAGCTGCTCCGAGGGCGGCCGTGAAGGGTGGAGCCAGGTCCAGCGCTTCGGCGACCAGTTTGATGGCGCGGTAATCGGCGCCCCGGCCATTCGGTACTCCTTTCAAATGACAATGCACCTATGGGCAAATGTCGTCGAGAAGACCCTCGGCTACTACCCTTCGCAGTGTGAGGTCGAGGCCATCGTTAACCAAACAATCAACGCTTGCGACGGGTTGGATGGTCGCGTGGACGGGGTGGTCTCACGCTCCGATATCTGCAAGATGCAGTTCAACCTCACCGAGACAATTGGCAAGCGATACTACTGCGCTGCAGACGGGGACGTGCCGGTGCAGAACTCGACTATCTCCGCACAGGCGGTGGAGGTGTTCGAGGCAATCCTCGGCGGGATGAAAGATAGTGACGGCAAGCAGGTGTATCTGTCCTACCAGCCTGGAGCGCTTTTTTGGGATGCTCAAGCGACGTATAACACAACATCAGGGACTTGGGGTTTGGACATAAATTCCATGGGTGGATAATTCGTCACCAAGTTTCTGCAGCTTTTGGAACTTGATAACCTCCCCACACTGGAGAATGTCACCTACAATACCTTGAAAGAATGGGTGCAGCAAGGCTGGCAAACCTATGAGGGTTCCCTACACACCACATGGCCAGATCTGACGCCCTTTCACCGAGCGGGTGGTAAAGTGCTTCATTATCACGGCGAGCAGGATGGAAGTATCCCAACGGCTTCGTCTGTGCATTACTACGATTCGGTTCGTAGGACAATGTATCCTACTCTCACGTATAATGCTAGTCACCAGGCCTTGGGCGAGTGGTACCGCCTGTTCCTCGTCCCTAGAGCCTCGCACTGTATGAACAACGATTTACAGCCAAATGGCCCATTCCCGCAGACCTCCCTCCAGACGTTGATTGAGTGGGTTGAGCAAGATCTGGTACCTGTGAGGTTGAACGGGACTGTTCTGAGTGGCGCGTTTGAAGGGGAGACCCAGGAGATCTGCGCGTGGCCCCTGCGGCCGATGTGGTACAACAACGGGACGAGAATGGAGTGTGAGTATGATCAGACGTCTCTGAATACTTGGAAGTGGGATCTGGATGCGTTTGACCTGCCTGTATATTAGTGGGGTGTGAGTAAGGACTGGATCTGTTTCGAGGCTGAGTAGGCTTCCGTGTGCTTGGCGGAAATTTTAGGTTCTAGCGACTATACTTAAGATAGAGCCATTCGACAGCTATTCCTGCTTCAAGTCAAATGATATAGCGGGCCTTATATACCATTATTCATCTTTAGAAAATCTGGTACCGGCTCAGACAGAGAAATAGAACTTGCTAACCAATTTACATAGAACTAACTTACCTACCCATGACACACAGACAACACCTCATCTCACCCTCCACGTGCCAACATATATTACCTAAAATGACAAGCCTGAATAGTACAAAACATACCACTCTGCTTGTTATTCTGATTAGCGTTTCAACGAAAGTCTCTAACACTATAATCTCATTACCAAAAGGGCCACTCTTTCCCGACTAACAGTTCATCATTAGACTCTCTACAATAGGCTCTTCAATTGGTATTTTATTAAAGTGGCACCTAACCCAATAAATGAATTCGGCCCTCAAGCCAGCATCTTCTGCCAAGAACCACGTAGACTGAAAAAAAAATATATTCCTTCGAGCCCTGGGTGTAGAAGGTAGAATATAGCATGTCTCACCACCTTCTTCAACCAAACACATCCTTCATGTACCCTCACTCCTGGAAACCTTGGCTGTAATGACACGCTATCTAGATACGGCCCAGTCCCTAACTATAGAAATCAATGAACAAAAACTAATTAGCTGTAGTGAGTACTCCGCACACCACTAGTAGGCCCTTGTGGAGGTTGAATCCAGCTGAAATCGTCTAGAATGGCACTGTTTTTCTGCAAGCCCAACAGAGTACAGAGGAGCGTTGCTTTTGTTGCGACGATAGAGGGACCATGTTGTTATAAGTTTATATCTAACTTTGTTTACTGTACGGAGTATACTCCGCACCGAGCAGGGCTTGTAGATCATTGGGTCTATAGGTGAGAGAGTACTCCGTAAATGTTCGGGATAAAGTTGCTGCGCCAATTAAATTTACTAGACGCATCATGCTTCTGTCTTAGCAGTAGGAAGATGAGTGCAGGACTTCTCTCTTGTGTGAAACTAGAGACACTATGCAGCTATAGTACTCTCCTGATACTTTGTAGTCTCCCGCCCCAACCAGATGGTGGCACGATGCCTTCAACGGTAAGCTCTTCTGGACACCGGTCTAGATTTCGAGACTATTACGGAGTAGTTCTGGGGCCATCTGATAACGTGGGGTCCAGGTGGTGCTATCTTGATCGGGTTAGATGCCTGGGGTTGAAAGACTTGCGGTGTGGGACGCCCTGCTTGGGCCGGTGACTTGCCCCAACCCTGGGTCATGTGGTTGCCTCAGGCGATCAAAGTCAATTGTAAGGAATGTTCGGGTGTAAACCTCACATGCCATCACGTGGCACCTAGCGGAAAAAATTTTGTTGGGGGCATGCCTGAATCATATGGCGACGATCCTGGAGTCAGCTCGAACGGAGCACCCGGAAAGGGCTTCTGCCGAGGAGCTTGCGGCTCCGAGTCAAGCCAACTAGACGGCCGCTTCAGCCTTCGAGCTGTTTCAGACTTCAGGCTTCGACTCAGGCGGTGGCAATGTCCACTCATAGGGCTGCACCCAGCTGCAAAGTCGGAGCTGAGTGGACGAACCAAGTAATCCAAGGCATGCTTATAACAGCACTAGACCGCGTTAGTGTTGCTGTAGAGTCACAATGATCCAAGTTGGCATTCCAAAGATTTACAAAGGACGACCGCTAGTCAAATGTATTGAATCATGCGGAATGGTTGCTCCAAACTAGCGATGCTCAGCTGCGGAAAAGGAAGCCGTCCCGAGACCAAGTCAGGACCACTCGCCACGAGCAGCCACCGGGCCAAGCCACCAGCCACACGGACCTGCCAGGGGGGCGAAAAACGTTGGGGATTCAACAGATGGCGGGCCGGCGCTGATTGGCGGTTCCCGGGTGGCCTTACCCAAAACGGCAGCTTCTGGCCGGGCAGTGGCCATCGAATCAGAGGCGGCCCAACAAGCTTAGTTGGACGAAGGGCCGGCGCTGTATGGTTGGAGATACTCCGACCTGCCATCGTGGATGCTCTCAGTGATCCGGACACCTTCCAGACGCGCCCGAATAGTGCCTGTTCCTTTCCTTTTCCCTGTTATGCCGGCCGGTCTCTACCTCGGGATCTTATGATTGCTTCAGTGGTCTGCCTCTAAGCTTGCCCGTCAGGCCACTCCCTTCTTAATCTGTCGTCGTTCTCGTGTCCTCATAGTCGCATCACTATTGCCCACCTTGCTTTTCCCCAACCATCATCCGCCGGTGGACCCTGGTAGAGTTCAACTGCGTCCGAATTTTCCCTCTTTCACTGGCTCAGATCTGCCGGCTTACTTCTTTTGCCATTCGATTACATTCCCCACCGTTTTTCTCCGTCGCTTTTTTATCGCTCGCCTCTTGGTCGCCTTCACCCGGCCTTTTCTTTAAACCCACCTTCTCGCCCATCTGTCCTTCTCACCCTTGTCCGAAACATTCTGAAGGGTACGAAGACAGACGACATCACCATGTCTGCAAAGCCAGCAGACGCCTCCCGGCCTCGCGCCGCTGACCCCAAGAAGGTCCACATCGCCGATACTGCCATTACTAGCAGCAACTGGTACAAGCACGTTAACTGGCTGAACGTCTTCCTCATTATCGGCATCCCTGTGTATGGTTGTGTCCAGGCCTTCTGGGTGCCTCTGCAGGTCAAGACTGCCGTCTGGTCTGTCATCTATTACTTCTTCACTGGTCTCGGCATTACCGCAGGTAGGTTCACCTTGGGATGAGCAGTCAATCTCATAGACACGAAATACTGACAGACCCTTGCTTGACAGGATATCATCGTCTGTGGGCTCACTGCTCTTACTCTGCTCGTCTTCCTCTCCGCATCTGGCTCGCCGCTGTTGGTGGTGGTGCCGTCGAAGGTTCCATCCGCTGGTGGGCGCGTGATCACCGGGCTCACCACCGTTATACCGATACCGATAAGGACCCCTACTCCGTCCGCAAGGGTCTGCTCTACTCGCACCTTGGATGGATGGTCATGAAGCAGAACCCCAAGCGTATCGGTCGTACCGATATTTCCGACCTGAACGAAGATCCCGTTGTCGTTTGGCAGCACCGCAACTACCTCAAGGTTGTCTTCACCATGGGCCTGTTCGTCCCCATGCTCGTGGCCGGTCTTGGCTGGGGTGACTGGTGGGGTGGATTTGTCTATGCCGGTATCCTTCGTATCTTCTTCGTCCAGCAGGCTACCTTCTGTGTCAACTCCCTGGCCCACTGGCTCGGTGACCAGCCTTTCGACGACCGCAACTCTCCCCGTGACCACGTCATCACTGCTCTGGTCACCCTTGGTGAGGGATACCACAACTTCCACCACGAATTCCCCTCCGATTACCGCAACGCTATTGAGTGGCACCAGTACGACCCCACCAAGTGGAGCATTTGGATCTGGAAGCAGCTCGGTCTGGCCTATGATCTGAAGCAGTTCCGTGCCAACGAAATCGAGAAGGGTCGTGTCCAGCAGCTCCAGAAGAAGCTCGACCAGAAGCGTGCCAAGCTTGATTGGGGTACTCCTCTTGACCAGCTGCCGGTTATGGAGTGGGACGACTATGTTGAGCAGGCCAAGAACGGTCGCGGTCTGATTGCCATTGCCGGTGTTGTTCATGACGTGACCGACTTCATCAAGGACCACCCCGGTGGCAAGGCTATGATCAACTCCGGAATCGGCAAGGACGCCACTGCCATGTTCAACGGCGGTATCTATTACCACTCCAACGGTGCCCACAACCTCCTGTCTACCATGCGTGTGGGTGTGATCCGTGGTGGGTGCGAAGTTGAGATCTGGAAGCGGGCCCAGAAGGAAGGCACCGAGTATGTTCGCGACGGCACTGGTCAGCGGATCATCCGTGCTGGTGAGCAGGTCACAAAGATCCCCGAACCTATCCCTACCGCCGATGCTGCATGAGCGGCGCGATGTCCATGATCCTTTCGCCTTATATTCTGATGTATTTTTTGCGGCTGCTCTTGCATCCTCTTTCTTTCGACTCCGATGAGCCTTCGTATTTAATTTAGCACTCGGGGCGTTCTTTCTTTCGTGTGTTTGGCGTTGCTGGAGTTGGCCGATCTTCAAGTCGACGGAGCGGGTTTTGTGTCGACACCGGGTTTACCGCATTCATTCGAAAAGTGACGTGATGTGATGAGGAACATTGACTGTTGAAATCCTGAATAGAATTCTGATATCCAAGTCATCCTGAAGCATTTGCTTGCATGGTGCGTAGGCTCATCTAAGTAGACGTTAGACAATACACATTCGTAGAGTGGACCCCTCGCGCGGTCATAGCTCTATCCTCAAAGGGCAATCGGGAAACTGGATAATAACTGGATAATACCATGAATGATAGTGAGGGAGAGTGGAGGGTGTTCATTGTGGAGGGGAAAGCAGCGCTCCACCTGCACCTGATCGGCCGGACTTTGGGACCCTCCGCCGTGGCCAGCTCATCTTGCTCGGCATCATCACTGTCGAGCCACGTATTCGGATCAATCCATTGCAGTAGCTCCCTTGCCACCCCGCCTTTCACCAGTCTGCCCCTCCAACCGTCACCATTAGCTCCCCTCTCCGTCGCACCTTTTATCTACCCGCCTTCCTCGTCCTCCTCTTGGGCGTTCTCCTCGTCACCGTGGCTCCTCCACTTCGCCTTTCCTCTCCCGCCTTCAGACTTTCCTCCGTCTTGGGCCATTTCCGGGGCTCTCGACTTCCTACAAGCTCCCACTCTGCTTTGACCAACCTACGAAAATCCCTCACAACCGCCAGCATGGCTCCCGAACACCTCCGTCGGCCTCCTCAGGCACCACCCCTCTTCACCGCGACTGCCCAGTCCATTGTCGATGACGCCAAGCGTCTCATTGAGACTTCCCGCAAGGTTCAGGATGAAGTCGTGGCTACTGTCAAGCCCGACTCGGCTACATTCGACGCGGTCGTGAAGCCCTTGGCACAGGATGAGAATGTCATGGCGCTGGAATCCCACATCCTAAGTTTCTACCAGGCAGTGTCGACCCAACAAGAGCTGCGGGATGCGTCGTCCAAGGCGGAGGAGCTGATGGATGAGTTCTTCATCGAGGCCGCCATGCGCGAGGATGTCTTCAAACTCGTGGACGCCGCGCTGAAGAAAAACGAATCTCTCGATCCGGAATCTCGTCGTCTGTTGGAGAAGGAACACAAGGACTTCATCCGCAATGGACTGGGTCTTCCCGCTGGTCCCGAGCGTGATCGGTTCAAGGAGATTAAGAAGCGTCTCAGTCAGATAAGCATTGAATTCCAGAAGAACCTCAACGAGGAGAACGAGGGCATTTGGTTCACCCGCGAACAGCTTGACGGTGTCCCCGAGGATGTCCTGGCTGGTTTGAAGAAGGGAGAAGGTGAGAACGAGGGCAAGCTTTGGCTGACCTTCAAGTACCCCGACCTCTTCCCTACCATGAAGTACGCAAAGAACCCCGAGACCCGCAAGCAGGTCATGATCCAGAATGAGAACAAGTGCAACCAGAACGCGCCTCTTTTCCGTGAGGCCATTATCCTGCGTGATGAGGCTGCTCGTCTGCTCGGTTACCCCAACCACGCAGCATTCCGGATTGAGGACAAGATGGCCAAGACCCCAGAGACGGTCAACACTTTCTTGGGTGACTTGCGGTCCCGTTTGAAAGCCGGTGGACAGAAGGAAGTCAAGAGTCTGCTGGAGATGAAGAAGGCCGATCTGGAGTCCCGCGGTGAGAAGTTTGACGGTCATTACTACCTGTGGGATCACAGATACTACGATCGTCTCATGCTGGAGAAGGACTACTCCTTGGACCAGCAGCTCATTGCGGAGTACTTCCCTCTTCAGACTACCATTGAGGGCATGCTGAAGATTTTCGAGGAGCTTTTCGGCCTCGTATTTGTGGAGATCACCGGTGAGGACCGGGAGAAAGTGGCGTCTTCCGGCAAGGGCAGTGACATTGTCTGGCACGAAGACGTCCAGATCTTCAGCGTTTGGAACGACGAGGGTGAGGGCAGCGGATTCGTAGGTTACTTGTACCTGGATCTGTTCCCCCGGACTGGCAAGTATGGCCACGCAGCCAACTTCAACCTGCAGCCGGTATGTTGATCATGTCTAGAGTTTTAAGTTTCTGTATTGACGATGGTAGGGATTCATTGATGCGAAGGGTAACCGTCGCTACCCGGCCACTGCACTTGTTTGTAACTTCACCAAGCCGACCCCGAAGAAGCCGAGCTTGCTGAAGCACGATGAGGTCGTCACTCTTTTCCACGAGCTGGGCCATGGTATTCACGACTTGGTATCCAAGACGATCTACTCACGTTTCCACGGTACCAACACCGTGCGTGACTTCGTCGAGGCCCCTAGTCAGATGCTGGAGAACTGGTGCTGGACCCCATCCCAGCTCAAGTCCCTCAGCAGGCACTACTCGACTCTTTCACCCGAGTATCTTGCAGCCTGGAAAGAGCATGCCGGTACCACGGAGGCGCCCTCTGAGCAAATTCCAGACTCCGTGATTGAAAATTTGATCCGGACCAAGCACGTCAACGACGCGCTGTTCAACCTGCGCCAACTTCACTTTGGTATCTTCGACATGACGGTGCACCAGCCGGAGAGCCACGAGAAGATCAAGGAGCTGCCCATTTCGGCAACGTATAACACTCTGCGCAAGGAGATTACGCAGATGGAGGGCCCAGAGAGCTTGGGCCTGGGTGAGGAATGGGGTCACGGCGAGGCGACTTTCGGACACTTGATCGGCGGCTATGATGCTGGATATTATGGCTACCTAAGGTATATTGGACATCGTTGCTGAGTTTTTAGATACTAATTCTGTCACAGTTCCCAAGTCTACTCGACCGACATGTTCTACACGGTGTTCAAGGAGGACCCGATGAACCCGGAATCTGGTCGCCGCTACAGATACAAGGTGCTGGAGAAGGGAGGCAGCCAGGATGAGATGACGACACTGACCGAGTTCTTGGGCCGTGAGCCCAAGACCGATGCCTTCTACAAGGATATGGGATTGGCTTAGACATTGGGAGGATTTTGCGAGGTTATAGACTTGGTTAGGACTAGAACCTCGGGCCTGGATAGGGTAGTTGAATAGTCGGATACACTCGATTCTCAACTCGATTGTTAAATGAATGAGAATAATGAATACATTGACACCTCTGGTACACCATGTACTACACATCTATTAGGTGCCCGTGCTCTATCTGCAGAAAGTTCTGAATATTATCGTACTATCGCTTAAACTAGAGATTCTGAGCCTTCAATTTCTTTGTATCCGACAAATTAACGGGAAACGATCAGCAAATTTAGCCTAATCAAATACAGATTTCGAGTCCTCACATCTCATAACTCGATCTATCGCCCAATGTGAACGAAAAAGCAATTCATTCTATAGTGTAAACAAAAATCATGAGACGACTAGTTCCGTATTCAGCTTGAGTAGGACAAGTCCAACATGTCATTTCAACTTCTGCAGGATAGAACGCAAACCCACCATAAGTGCCGTGTTAGAAGAACTTGCATTTCTTCCGCGATAGTAGATCTCTCAAGTAGTAGACTGTGTTCTCCAAACGCTTCTTGTCTTTTTCGAGTCTACTTGCACGATCTTCTGCGTCCTCGAGATCATACTTGAGATCAGTAATCTCAACTTTGCCATCGGCGACTCTGTTTTGCAAAGTGTCGATGTTGCCCTGAAGACCAGCAACTTTAGTTCTAAGTCCGTTGTTTTCACTCTCCAGACTGGCAATCTTGTCATTAAGACCATCGACCTTGCCCTGCAAACTGGCTACCTTGTTATGTAGACCAGTACGCTCGCTCTCGAGAGTACTGATCTTGTCTTTGAGCCCAGTAATCTCATCTTCTTTTGCCTTTCGAGCGAGATGAGCTTCGATCATTTTTGCAAGTTGTCCTTCCAGTTTTCTGTTCATCCTGTAAAGCGTGATACATTGTCCCTCCAGAAAGTGAAGTTTTCGTGTCTTGTGGCGTAGCTCCTGGTAGTATTCCTCATTCAGCTGTGTATCCTCGTCGCCTAGCCGAGTGTCGTTGTCTCTTGCCTCAGAGAGTTCCATTTCCAGTTGTCTGTTACGAATTGCGAGTCCCTCGAACTCATGCACGAGGTGTTGCAAGTAGGGGTGCAGAGTTTGGTTCTCGGTTTCTCCATGGCTTGCTTGTTTCTGGTTGTGTTGTAGGGTGAGTTGCGGAACATGTTGGGTTTCTCTGGTATTGGTGGAGGGAGACATGGTGGGGGATGATTTTCTTTTTGACGATCTAGCGCGAGAACGCGATTAGTGTTTATTCTTGGTAAATAGGAATAAGAGGGGTATATACCAGAATGAATTTTGTACTAGAACTGTTCTAGTTCAGTTCAAAACTGCCAGATTCAAAACCTGGTGCAGTCCAAGCTTGAGGTGACTCTCAGACACAGTTTCATATAAAAGTCTTCAAGAAGGATCGGATCTCTCGGTACGGGGTAACTGACAAAACTTCCCACCTGTGGTTCCCGTCAGCGTGCATGGTGTAGTGTGCTTCTGCTTCTTTTATTGGGCGTTGTCATTCCTAGTCTTGGTTTCTGTCGGTGTGGAAGCAGGGGATCTGTGCATCATCATGTGGTTTGGGGAGAGATTCGAGAAAGTCCTGTGCAGAGAACTGTAAGAAAATGGCATTGTAATTGGGGGACTTGAGAACAAGGGAATCTTAATGTGTTCAAGGAAGTCTGAAAGGCTGTCCCCGGAGTCGTTGTTCTTCGACAGTATACTATCTAGTATGACTAGAGGCTGAATGCCAGCGGTAATCTTGAAGAATCAATGGAAATCAAGTTGATCTGATTTACAAAGTGCATCTTATTCGAAGTCAATCAACCAGGTATCTCAGGGTTTGATAAATACCGTGTCTATTGATGAGTCGTATGTGTATTGAAGGGCTGAAGTAAAGACGTTCCCTGGTTTCTACTTCAATGAATGAATATACGTGTTCTGATACTAATCCTACTGGAAATCATAGCAATGCAAAGAAATGGAGATAAGAAAATGACAATCGTCCTGCTAGTCTAAACTTTGTCCATCCGATAGACCCAGCGACAACTACAGGACAACGAGCGAACAAGCTATTATGGGCAGCAACCACATTAAACGAAACCTATATCAGATCTGCTGCTTATTTCTCATTCAATACCAGCGTAAGCAGACATAAATATCTCAAGCAAATATATATCACCGTTCCTCCCCATATGCCACACAACTCTAAACAATAGCCCGTCAAACTGAAGCTCACCACAACCAGCGGGAAGAGTGGAGCCGAAACATCAATCACCACCTTAAATCCAACCTCAACCATAGCAGGCACCAATTGATGTAATGTCATTCATTAAACTACTTCCAAACAAAGAAATAACTTATCTTTTCACTTTAATCAAGAGGAATGAACCGACTATGACCCCCAAGCCCCAGGCCCACCAAACCACCAAACCTCCATCCCCACACCACATCCCGCCCTGCAATTAAGCCACGCGACGCGTGAACCCACCACGAGCCCCCAAAATGAACAGACTAGATATCCTCGGCCTATCAACCCAAGACCACCGTACGTGTATTCTCTCTCCTCCCCTTCCTTTCCTCTCACACACAAATAAAGACAGATAATGGAGTCTAACCTAAGACAGACCGCGTAGTCTCCTTCCCGGCCTCGCAGTCCCTGCACGCGTCCAGCGCGTTTCCTGCCTCAGGCAGAAACGCTGTCCCGACTGGACTTGCGGCACTCGACGAAGCTATTTCCCCGTCTTCTGCAGATGCGCTATCAGACCTTGATGAGGGAGAAATCAAGGGCTTGCCTTTGGGACATGTTACGGAGGTGTTTGGACCTCCGGGGGCGGGGAAGACTGCGTTGGCGTGGGTTCTCCCTCTATCTCTTTGTCGTTCTTTCTCTTGTGGGGTATGGGGTATGAGGTGAAGTATGAGGCTGATGAGGTCAAACAGGTTAAATGCTGCTGCGGGTGCGCTTAGGAATGGGGACGGGGTTGTTTGGATAGGTTGGTGTTTTTTCTTTGCGCTCTATTGATATATGGGGTGTTTGGATTAGACATGGGCTGATGATTATATCTAGATACGGCCTCACCACTTCCCAGGCCTCGTTTGCGCAGATTACTCCGTGATCAGTCACAGCCAACCCCATCCTCATCATCTAAATCTCAAACAGAGAACCTTACATACATCCGAGCCCCTACCCTTCCGCACCTCGTTTCCCTCTTCCATCATCCACCACCATCATTCCCACCCCCCAACACAACCCTCCTCGTCATAGACTCCATCTCTGCGCCATTTGCACCCTACTTCCCCAACCCCAGTGATACCAATCACCCGCAACAAGCCCAAAAGGAGAACCAGAGATGGCTCACTGCGCGAAAATGGAATGTGATTAGTGATCTCGCGACACTCCTGGTCAAGTTCGCGAATAGGGGCAATCTTGCGGTTTTAGTGGCCAATCAGATGCATACGAGGATTCGGGGACAGGTGAGGGCGACGTTGTCGCCAGTGTTGAGTGGGAGGGGGTGGGAGGCGTGTGTAAATGTGAGGATTGGGGTTTATGGGGATTTTGGATATGAGGGGGGTGGGAGTGGGGGGCGGGTAAGGGTTGCGGAGGTTATGAAGAGGGCGGGGAGAGTGGTTAGTATTAGGGATGGGTCGGTGGTGGTCCCGTTTCGGGTTGGGGAGGTGAGTTCTCCTTTTGACTTTCTTTGACGGGAATTCTTTGGTTGGGATGACATGGTTGACTGGATCTCAGGATGGGCTGTATGCGGTTGAGAATGGGGTGGAGGGGGGCTTGAAGGCTGTTCCTGTTGTTGTACAGGAGCAGGATGAACATGTTCTGGAGGAATCTGCAGAGGCGCAAGTACAGGAAGAAGAGGAAGAGCTCGTGCTGGAGGTGCAGCCGATGCAGGAGGAAGAGCTATTACAAGAGGAACCAGTGCAGAATGAGTCACTCCAAGAAGAGTCAATACGGGAGGAGCTAGCGCAGGAAGATCATGTACAGGAAACTTCGGAGGAGAAAAAACCACTGCAGGAAGATCCAGTGCAGGAGCCACTGCAGCAAGAGTCGGTGCAGCAAGAGTCAGTGCAGGAAGCGCAGGCACAGGAGCACCCAAAGGAAACTCAGGGGCTAAAGGCACAGGACCAGGTTCAGCTTCAAGGTGATGCAGGAACTCCAACTAAACGAAAACGAAAGGCAGAGGAGATTGCGGACAGTCAAGATGAGGATGACTCGGAGGGAGATTTTTGATGGATCAAAGATGAGAGGCTGGGTTGACGACTAAAGTCGACTCTTCAAGAGACCATTCTAACCACACGCGACGCTTGAAAATATTCAGATGCTCTAATTCCCACTGTTGTTGCCACATAACGCCATCGCTAAAGATTGCTTGACGAATAATGATTGACACCAGAATTCCAGATCCTTCGAGGTCAGCAGCGGTCATCGTTTGGCCGCTCAACCCATGCTGATAGCTCTGTCATTGTCACAATCTTATCATTTCCAACGTTGATATCCCGACGCGTCTGGGTTGCAAATCCAGCGGCTGAAATGCAACATGGTGTTCGACTAGACACACTCCCACCGGCTGAACCTATACTTCGATCAGGTCCACTAGTAGCTTCAAGGTCAAAAGAACCGAGAGCAATGTCTCCATCAATCCAAATTGGTCTTCGATTCTGAACCACGGCGACGAGTCGGCCCAGCACCGCAAACTCCAGCTTCAACTTGATGCTGTATATCGCTCCCTTGAGCGTAATCTGCACCGCATAGTAGCTGGCATACTCGAGGCCCAGCAATAGCAGATCCATAACAAGCATGACGAGGTTGATCCAAACCAACTGACGCATAATCCTCTGATTCTCTTGGACAAAGCACAGCTGGAGCAGCTTCACCGTTTCCCACACGTATAGCCCGGACAGCACAATCTCCTGGATAGTGAAACCCGTCATCTGAAGTTTCTCCATGATGTTGTATCCAATCACATAGGCTGCCTTTCTGTGAACGACATTAGACCCATACGTGAGGACGGTCGTTGGGACATGCAGAAGGAAAACATTCGCGATGATCATGTAGAGCACTCTCCGGAGGATGCGCTCATCGCAAATCACTAGGTGCAGTCGTGAATATAGGACGATCGCTTGGCCGGTGACCATGATCCACCAGCCAATGGTGAGGATGGTCACAGATAGTGTCGAGTCGGCCTTCGTGAAGAATTTCAGAATAAAACCCAAGGTGTATGGAACCACGCCTGCGCAGCCCGATAAAAGCAGACTCCAAAAGTACAACCCCTTCCAACGTCGAAAAGTTGACAAGACGAGAACGACTAGCTCAGCAACATTGTAGCATGAAATAGCCATGAAGAACAATAAAACCAACTTGAATGCATCGCCGTTGCTTGCCAGTTCTCCCGTGATGCCATCGAGGGGGTCTTTTGTAGAGGACACAGACATAGTAGCTGGTAGCGATAAGAATATTTCAGGGAAAAAGAAGGATTTCCATATCATGCGCACCACACGTATATCCAGGGAAAAGCTCAAGCACCGGCGTCGCAGGCTATATTTGAAACCTGCCCGAGGTGACGCCCACGAGGTCTAATGGCTGCGTAGATTGCAACCCTAGACCTCGACCAATTGAATTCTGTTGTTCAAGCAGTTCGCCGTCCTTCGGTATCCTCGCCATCAATGTCAGCTCCCCCAATTCAAGGACTATCGACGTTGTTTCGAGCTTAGAACAATAGAGTCACAGCCATTGCGTTCACGGCAGCATTAGGCATCAAAGAGGGGTCTAGATGGTAAGACCTTTGGCCAAAATAGGAAGAGATAATAGATTTCAGCATGCACAACACACACCGCATCCGTGGTCTTGACGTGGTACAGCTATCCAAAGTAGTTCATAAAATCCGAAGCCCCTCTGACAGAGTTTCATCTAGCGTCCTAGCGTCGTCAGATCCGGGGAAGTGGGAAGGGCCCGGGCTAATCGCGTGTGAAGGAGATCGGAGAAGGCGTGGATCAAGCTTGGGCCACAGCGAGGATGGACGGGGACTGGAATGTTGGTCCAGGAACTGAGAGAATGGCGTTGGCGAGGTCGTCTCGCCCGGTTGGTAAGCCAAGTGACAGGTGGAATCCCCATTGTTGAGACCCCGCCTGGCTTGCTGTCCTTAGTAATTGCTTTTGCTGCGGAGAAATTGATGGAAGGCAAGCCATCGACGATCATTCAGGATGGCTTGCGCTGGCGGACGTGCGACTGCTGCAGTGACCCGCTTACCGCACCCCAAGGTCCAGCGCCCAGGGTTCTTCCACAGCCAGCCTGGACTTTATTACCAGGAAGTGGACTACTTTACGAGGGTCTAATTCCCTGGTCCAGCCTACCCTGCAGATGCTGTGGTCTGCAGCGGCCGATGTTTTGGAGCCAGAGAGAGCCCGAGCACGACACCCAGCACGACGGTGGCAGTCATTCAATCTCATTGACAAGAGCATTCATTCCGAATCAGGTTTTGAAGTATTACTGGCGAGTCTAGAACCGCCCAACTAACAATTCGCCAGGTCCCCGGTTCGACCCTGGAAACCATCCATGCAGCCTCCAAGTTTCCGGGTTGGCGGGACACGCTGTTATATCATGAGAACCTCGCAAGACGTGAGACATGTCTATTATACTACAAGGCTCCGTATGTCAAGATTTGTATCGTAGGGACATTTCATAGGTTGGTGAGGTAGTCCTCAATCTCCTCCTTGCTCAACTTCCTGAAACGGGGTCCGCGCGAGCCCTCGACGCCTTCATAGCCGAGCAGATGATCGGCAGGAGGACCAACAATGCCTATGATTGTCAGCAAATGGCGCCCCCACATCGCAAAGACCTGAAACTCACCAATTTCTATCGTATCACCATTCATCTCCCCCTCAATAGTTTCCTTCAGGGTCAGAAGAGCAATGTGGATGGCATCTTCCAACTCGAGACCCTCAGTGTAACGCTTTTCAAGGAATGTCTTTGCGCTCGTCGCGTGCTTTCCAATGGCTGTGGCCTTCCATGGGTAGTAACTGCCACTGGGGTCGACTTGATACAGACTGGGTCCGCCCTTCAGAATACCACCCGTCTTTCCGGTTGCCTTCTTGGGCTCGTCCTCGTCATCGCCCCGCTGAGCCTCTCCCGATTCAGGCTCGACGCCCTCATCCCAGCCGGCGATCAACAAGCTGACACCGTACGGTCGGACACCACCAGACTGCGTCGCCTCTTGCACGACGCGGGCAACATCCTGCACTAATATACGAGTAGGAGGGTATTCGTTGTAGATGCGCTTGTAACCAGTGTGAGAAACCTTACGTGCCCGGTCAACGAGCACACGGTAGTCTGGGCCCATTCCTGCATAGACCATGCCGATGTCGGGGGTGATCAGGGAGATCTTGGAGAGGGAAGGCGGGTCAATAAGCGGAGAGGAGGATTTCTTTTCGGTGGCAAGGACAATCCCGTTGGTTGCTGTGGAACAAAGTTGGTCGTCAGTAGCTATCCGCAGCTGTCGAGTTCCGATCCGGAGCTATCTCATACCTTTGATACCCAGAGCAGTCACACCCTGGTTGACAGCGTTCAAGGCATATTCTAAGGTGTGTCAGCATAGGTTTCCCAAAGCCATCCAGGTACAATTACCGATCTGTACCAGCTTTCCACTGTCGAGCCATGTTAGCAGGGACCCTAGCTATCAGATCGTGAGCTTCTCTTACCTAGGGGAGAACGTGGTCAGAGAGAAGGAGTAGCGATCAGCCATGGATGCGTGTTTTCACTTTGACAAGCTCCAGTGGGGATGGGAATGTGGGTAGGCGATGGATGAAGGTGAATGAAGATGGGATGAGGTCGTGGGGGGGATCGAGAATGGAGCTACCCTCAGGACAGCAGGCGGCAGGATGTTGACGCAGCAGCAGCAGCACCGCCGGCTGGTTCGGCGCCAAGCCGCGCCTCGGGCGGTGAGATAGGCGAGCGCCTAGTGCGGTTACTCCCTCGACCTCTTCTCCACATCGCCTTTTTAAGCTGGCCTCTTTTTCCCTCGCCCACTTTTCCCTCTTTTTGTCCCCCGTCCTCGCTCCTCTCCCGACAAACCGACCTACCAATTGACACTGCAGGGTCCAGATCGCTGGCAGATCTGAGATACATATTATGCCACTAGCTTCGAGACTTTCGGGTTAGAATGGACCTGCACAATAAGCCGCGCTGGCAGTGGCCATCAAGCTCCGCTGCCTCAGTCTCAGCTTCGGACTCTGATTCTGATGTAAGGCAGCGTTCGGAAGATATCCCGCAGCCTGCTGATACGCACCAATCTCCACCCGAGACTTCCGGAGAGCATTATCCTCCTCGTACATGTCGCATCTGCCTGGAAACCGTCTACCCTACCTTCCCTCCTCCCTCCGAACATCTGCCTGGGTTCCTTCAGTCCAAACAGCGGGTGATTTACAAGTCTTCAGACCCGGAGTCTGGTCGATTGCTTCGCCCCTGCAAATGCAAAGGATCCTCCCGTTATGTACATGAGGGATGTCTTCAGCTTTGGCGCCATGCGGACCCAGGCTATGGCAAGAGGAATTATTGGCACTGCCCGACTTGCGGCTTCCACTATCGCCTAGAGCGTCTCCAGTGGGCGCACTGGATCAGTAGCCCCTTGACGCAGCTCGGACTGACTCTAATTGTCTTAATGTTTACTATCTTTTTGCTTGGTTTCGTTGCTGACCCGATCATTAACCTTTACGTGGACCCCATGGACCCCATCCTCCGTTCAGACTTATGGGACACTCGCCCGGTGACGAGTACCCTACTAGAAGACAAGAGGACTTCCTGGACCGAACACTTCGTCAAGGGTTTGGCCTCATTGGGCTTTCTGTCCTTTGTCAAGGCTATCTTCGCCCTCTCTTCTTGGCAGGGATTGACTCTGCGCGGCACTGGTATGCTTGGTGGGGGTAGAAACAATGGCCGGAACCGTGTCGCGTGGCTGGTCATAGTTATTGGGGTGGGTAGTTTTCTCTGGGTATGTCTGACCACTATGACTTCCATTTCCATGCCTACTGACCGCATCTAGGCTGTTTATAAGGCTGTAAGGACCTGGAGCTGCAGGGCTTTAGAAAAAGCTGGGGAGCGTGTCATGGATGTTCCGTTGCCTGACGACGAGGATGAAGATGATGTGGTTTCTTCCAGGAAGGACGATTGACCGATCCAGCGTATGCCGTCCAGTATCGAATATTCGTATCAACCTTGTTTTTTGTTTTCCCTGTTCTATATTCGCTGGCGATATTCCACGCACAACTTTAAGTTGTCACACTCCTGTCAGTGAGGTGCCAATTAGTCAACGTGCGCAGAAAAACTCTGATCCTCATTAACTTCACAGTTCATGGCTGTTAAGCAGGATGGCTGGCGATGGCGTTTTGTCTTTGCCATTTTCACCTGCTTTGTTCATCAGCCATGTCTTGAGGGAGGGTCAAACTGCATCTTCTCGGTCAATCTGATCGAAATGATCAACTTAGGCGCTACATGGTGCTTGTTAGCCCTGTTATGGTGCTTTTTTTGCGCTGTTATGGTGCTTCTTAGCACTATTATACCGTGAGCGTCGCGAATCGAGATGCAGTACATTCTACATACTAGGTAGTATTTAATACTTGTTGATATACCCATCTGTTATCTATCAGTGTCTCCTATACTGGTGAGTACCATGGCCGACCGTATCAGTTCCGTACATGGTTAGGCATAGTAACAACTCCTCTAATAGACATCAAAAAGGGGGAAGTAAAAAATTTCTAGCAACTCCTTGAGGTTAATGGACCCCCAAAAAAGTATTAAAGGAGTATAGCTCAGCGCGTTGCAGTGCCGATGTTTCTGCAACCTAGTACATCTCAGCCCAATCTGTAGAATATCAACAAAGTACTCATTGGACTTTCAGATCCGCGGTGTCCCTTGTGCTAGCTAAGTCTGTGCTCACTGCCCAGTTGTTTGGAACTTTGAAGTCCAGGATACGGAGTAAGTACTACTAAATAGTTTTGGAAGAGCCAAAATGCGGGAAGGGCCGTCCCGTCCATCGTCGCTGCTAGTCATAAATCTAGAATTAGATACTACATGGTAAATCCTTCCTTAGCTATGATCTGGCAACATTGTTCAGCTTATCATTAGTGTAGTCGCTTGGCTGTGATTTGTGAACTTATCGGTGGTTATTGCCTACCTTGAGGCGGCAGTTACCAGTCCTTCTTTGTGATAGATCTCAAAAGGGACATACCAAGAAAAATATTTGCTTCTCAGTTCTCTGTTGATCTTCTTATCAGCATCTGCATAGGATGGAGACCATTCATTGCAGATCCTATTGCACCTCTGGGGCTTTCTTTGTTTGAATTTTGTGCTACTAGGAGTTCCTTTTTTACTCTCCTCTACTGGCCAATTTAATCCAAGGGTAACGTATGAAAAGGGCAAGGCAGGGCCAGTTCTCGCTGAAGGGACATTCTGCTCGCAAATACGTACGCTACCCGTTACATAAAGTCTGGAGAAACTGGTACGGAATGCTCCCTAAGTCTCTGAGGAGTCGAGCTTTTATCAACCACTGTACGGCGCAATGCAAATATATTTCGGATCCTATGCAAATCCGCCGCAAAGGAGATACTATGTCGTTGGTTTGAATCATGTCACAAGGAACGTAACTTCGCTTGTTTCAATTCAGTAGCTTCCGTAAACTAAGGTCCGTAGGTCAGCTGCTACTAGACACGATTGCATTGCAATGTCAACATCGATGCCTGCATCCTTTGTCAGCGTTGACAAGTTGGCGTGACAAGAAAAGTGTTAATCAAAGACAGAGGCTTTGCTGGCGCTACCAGCCTCGCTCCCACCAGAGCAGTGCCAAAAAAATGACTCACTATATTCACAACTGCGCCAGGGAGTGGGTTGGGGGCGGGGAAAGTGAAGCAAGAGACGACCAAGGACTCACCAACCATTTGCCTGTTCATTGTTGTGAATCGCGTCTCGGCGTGTCCCTCCTCTTCCATCCTCACTATTATCGACCCATTCCGTGCTGCTCTTTGGCCTCATGTGATGCTGTTGTTCATTGAGGTATTAAGCAGTGCACGTCCTCTCTTGCTCTTATAGTCATTGAGTCTCACGATCTCTACGCTGTGTGAGCTTTTGCTCGCTATGGCTGCTCCCTTAACACCTACCCCAAACGGTGGCTCAGGTATTCGAATGCATAGGCCGCCATTAGCACCTTCCAGCCACGAACAGTCAAGGGCCATGACTCCGGATATAGGTCTCTATGAGTTCTTCACCCAGAGAATTGCGTACCTCCAGAGGCGTTGCGAAGCAGCGGTAGATGAGGACAATGGGATGGTCTTTCAAATGGAAATGGATGATCTCAGTCCTGACGTTGAGAACAAACCGGAAAGTTCCATGAACTCCACGCAAGCAGTATGCGGAGAACCAAGACCCGCTGTGAGTGAAGGAATCACGCCCAGTTTGTCCGCGATCAGCGGCATTCAGAACACAGAGAAATTATTCAATGGCTCTAGCCCCGACTCCAACTCTACTATAACCCCGGTGTCTCAACACGAAACAGAGAGTAGCAGCAAAACAGAACCATTTCCTGAATACTACAAGTCGTGTGAGACAGAGGAAGCTCACGCAGACAAGGAAGTGGAAAAGGCGTACGAGACCGCTATTTCCAAAGTTTGTGAAGAGGTCATTCGATTCAGGGAAGTTAGTTCAGACGTGACTTCTCCTCCCCCGTTCACCATGGAAGACGTGAAAAATCCTGGCTCCAAGTGCAATGACAAGAATGCCACTCGAAGTGACAGTCCTGTTCCGCTATCCTTTCACATGGACACCGAAGTTACGACTCCCCAGCTGAGTGAGCACTCAGAAGCTGATCCCCGGCCTGGCTTAGCTATCCCTGAGGACCGCAAGAAGGATGTTCTCGAGGAGATCAGAATCATGGTCAACTCGGATCGCATGAGGCCGGCCACCAAGAGACGATTCGTCGCCATGTGCAACATTATCCTCCGCATCGAGTATCTCCTTTTTCGTAGACATCAGACTCCCGTCGATCCAGTGAGCTTCCTGACCGGCGAGGAAGTCGAGGAAGTGATGTACCTTGCAGGGGAGATTATGAAGTATCTCACCATCATCGACAACATCCTCCTACAGGAGCTCGATTATGCGCAGCGTGTCCAGCACACGGTCAAGTACATCGCCGATGACACGCGCTACAATGTGGTGACTCGCTTCAAGAACATGGCCGAGGTCATCATCAAGTCAGTCCAACTCCCCTCACCCTGCTCTCACCCGTTTCTCAGAAGTAAACCTAACCTATTTCTCCCATACAGCAACCTCAACAAACCCCGCCCGTCCGAGCAACGCCTCTTAACCGTCTTTCTCGACTTCTTCGACTCCTACATCTACACGGATTTCATTAGCATCCGCCACCGCCAGCTTCGAACCGAAGAGAATTGGAGCCCCACCCGCATGCAGATGACTCGTTGCATGGTCGACATCTGGGATATGATCAATCGGGCTATCGAGAACTACGATGCCATTGTCAAAATCACCATGGATATCAAACATGAATATGTCGAACCCCACTTCAACGAGATGAACGAAGCCCCGCGTATCTGGCGCAATGCTATGATCCAGCACCACATTGAGATCCAGAGCGCGCGAATGCGCCAGTCCGCACAGCAGGCTCAGGCTCGTGAGCAGGCCCGTGAACACGCTCGCATCTTGGCTGAGCAGCAAGGGGAGAATGACGGTACCTGTGGTGAGAGTGCTTTTGACCAGGACGAAACCCTGATTGGCTCTGAAGATAGTTGTGATGCTATCGTTCAAGATCAGGACCTTGCGCGCGATGTGTCGAGTGACACTGATGCTGGTGCTGCGATTTGAAGCGACTATAGTGTTGATTGGTTGGTTGGTGATCATACGACTAGCCAGCTCAAACTGTCTTGAAGATCAGTCCCTGGCTAGTAAATAAAGTTCATGTTATTAAGCCGAGTTTGGGGCAGAAACCAGGAAGCCTGTCAAGGAGTTGTGATCCAGCGGGATGAAGCCGACAACAGAAAGCAAACGGCCTGAAAGAAAAAAGCAACGAAAAAAGAATAAAAAAAGCAGAAACGGAAAGAAACAACAAAAGCGACACGGAAGCATGAAGATACACAAACGGCGAAACGGTTATGTGATACCACGGTTCGGATATTTGATGTTCTACATGATGTACTTTGACCGAGCGAGAGGCACATCTACAGGGTGCAGTTAGTCTCGACGATGTATTCTGGTCTGAACATCACAGCTCGTGTCTTTAATCAAATGCCATGGCATATATTTGATTTGAACCAACCAGTAGACTACTTTCATTTCGTACAACTCTACCAGACAGGTAGATAGGTATCAAGCATTACTATCCTTAAACTCCCCCAACTTGAACAACCTCTTCGCATTGTCCCGTCCAATCTTTACCTTATCGACCAAGTTCAATTCCGCCCCATCAAACCAATCACATGCGTCCGCGAACGTCTCGAACGGATAGTCAATCGAGAACAGAATCCGATCTGCTCCAACCTCCGCCATACAGAAATTCAACGTCGTGGTAGAGAAATGTCCCGACGTTGTGATCCAGATATTCTGGGCAAAGTACTCCCGTATCGTCTTCTTGCATGTCTCTGCCAGTCCAAGTAGCTTCTTCCGATCCTCGAACCAATGGTTAATCCGCCACATGTCAAAGGGGACGTGTTCACCGAGATGGCCCAGGATGATCTGGAGGTTGGGATGGCGATCAAAGACGCCGTTGGTTACCATTCCCAAGACGTGGAGACTGACGCCCTGTGCGAAGCTGAGAGGCGGTCCGACGAGCCATTTCCGGTCCGCCCAGAGCTTATCGTAGATTGTGCCGGTAGGGTTGCGCGGGTGTAGGTAGAAGGGTACGTCGAGCTCGGCGCACGTTTGCCAGAAGATGTCCCAGTCTGTGTTGTCGTAGAAAATCATGTCGTCGCCGTCGGGGCCGGCGCGTTGGGTGTCGTTCACCAGGGCGCCTTTGAAGCCGAGGGTTTGGACGCAGCGGCGGAGTTCGGTTGCTGCTTCTTGGGGGTTGTGCATGGAGAGGGTTCTGGGTTGTGGTTAGGGGTAGTTGTTGAGAGGGGGGAGGGGAAGGGAGGCATACGCAAATGCGCCAAAGCGATCTGGCTTCTCGCGGATTTGCTCTGCGATGTAGTTGTTGATCTCGACGGCGAGGGCTTGCGCTTCGACGGGATCCCAGATGTCTTGGACACCCGGGGCTGTGTAGGAGAGGATCTGGTATCCGACGCCATGCTTGTCGGCGTATTCAACACGCAGCTTGTTGATATCTGTGATCTCCTTGACGTGGGTCTCGGGGTCGGTGGAGAATAGACTTGCCCACCAGCGCGTCTTCTCTCCGAAGCGAGGCAGCGCAAAGGCTTCCTCAAGGGCGATTTTGCCAAGCATCGTGAGGTTTGGCGGTTTCGGGTGCGAGTAGGGGTTTGGAGGCTTAGATACAATGTAGAGGTTACTTGAAGAGAAATGAAAGCAACGATAGTAGGGGGATGCTGGCTATTTATGAAGCCGCTGTATAGATCTCGCGGTGATCATCTCGTCGTCAGAGGCGGGTCGGGAGCGGGTAGGTTCCCCCTCTCGTCCCCTTCCCGACCGACCCATGGACTTAGCGTTGCATTAGCTCGAGTTCATGAGCGGGGTTCGTAGGATATCCTTGTTCTGATACATGGCTGGAGAGTCTGTTTCCGACGGTCATGGACAGGTGGTAGGGGTGATACTAACAGATGGATGGGCCAATATCGTCACCGGAAGCTATGCAGAAGGGAGGTGCTTTGCCAGCATCAAGAGAAGCTGGCAGTTGCTACTGGTATCTTATCTTATATTACACGGCCACGACTCGGATGATTGCCCAGGGTGGTTAATGAAGATCTTATGTTTCATCGTATTTGCCTGGACAATTGGCAATGGCCAGTCTTATCTACAATAGAAACTGTTGTCGAGATGCGGGGTAGTGACGTCTCCGACACGTTCTCAGTTTCCCTGGAACAGAGCAGAGCCAGGTGATCGGAACGGAAACCCTGAGAGAACCATCGGATAGGAAAACACAATCTACCTTGGATAAGGCGTCAGTGGCCTGCATCCGATGTGCCTGGCGTGATCTGATGGTGTGGGACCGTCCCCGCACGAGGCCCGCACCCGTAAGCGACGGAGATCCGGGGCCGCTCTGAAGTCTGAATCCTGAACCCTGAAGAGTCTCGGCAATGGTTTCCAGCCATCTTTGTTCCGCTGGCAGGTCTCCGCTGTAACCCGGCCGGATCATCCATTCAAGGTTCGGAATAATAAGTGCCACGATGTCGACGGGTTCAGCGCCGGCTTAGAAACTCTATCTTTGGCATCATCTTGGGTTGCATAGCCATGCGGAACCCACAGCCACCTTGACGGTATCGATGGTAACCTCCATCGCTGCAAACGAGGCTTGTACAACCTCATGATCGCCCATTGATCATCGAGAAGTTCGTCATGGGAGACTGGGAACCATGTTCTCGACCCTGGCCAGAGGCTGTCTCTTAGCCTCGAGCAGAGGCCAACCCCAGATTCTCAATGTTCTATCATTGGGTGAGCTGCCAGTCTCACTGCCTCTTTGTTTTGCATGTGCCCACTCACCACTGCACCACCCTTTTGTTTCCTCCGTTGCCAATCAGACCACCTTGGGGTCTTCCGCTTTCCCAGAGACTGATCAAGCATCTGCGGCCTCACAACCTAGCCTGACGTGGTGGCCCGTCGCGGTCGTCGCCTCGTGATGTTGGCTGATAAGGTGAGTTGATATTTTTGCTGCAAAGAATCTGTGATGTGTCTGTCCTCCTTCATATCTGTACTGCACTATTACCTCATCCCTGGATCACATCGCGCGTGGTAACGGATCCTTTGTATGCACCAAACTATAACTCCCAAAAAGGCAGACCTACTTGGCTAGCCTGATACCGTCCACTCTTCACGTATCCTACTTCTTTGTTGTCGCGTGTATTCTTTGTTATAGCACGAGCTGGAGTGGCGCCAACGGTCCAGCCAGCTCTGCTAACCCCGTTATGGAATGAGCCATTCACAGTGCCATCCCTCTGACTAGTCACTGATGCCCGCCTGCATTTTCCTGTTCAAATCGCTCTTAGCTTGTTCAACGGCCTGCTTACTCCTGTTGCTTTTCCTACGCAGCCTCTTGCTTCCGCGATAGTCACAATATCAACCACCAGTATCACTACGACTGCATCCTCTATCGTACTTGCAAATGTATTTCGGGAAAGAGGATCCCCCGGTCTTCGGGACGTCTGTCTTCGAAAACAAGGCATCAACTGATGGGTATGCATCGGACCACAGGGAGCACATCCGTGTCCAGCGCTCCTTTGGCACCGCTGCAGAGCGTGCGCGGCGGAACCTGAATGCCAAACTGGCTAATCCGCTTGCTGGCTATACCCAAGAAGAATTGCGCCAACAGGGCATCAATTTCGCCATCACTCACCAGATGGGTGATGAGGAAGATGTTCGTGCCTTTGCGATGGGTGCCATGTTAGCTCAAGTGCCAGAGAAATATGCGGAGATCCCCGGTCTGACTCCAGAGGAACTGGAGGTTCTGGAGAACGAATATGCCCATCGTTGGTCCCAGCCCTGGACAATGTATCTGGTCATCTGCTTATGCTCCCTCTCGGCTGCGGTTCAGGGGATGGGTAAGTCCATACCGTCAATCGTGCCAGTTACAGTTCGCTAACTTCTCGCGTCTTACAGATGAGACCGTTGTGAATGGCGCCCAGGTCTACTACAGACATCAATTCGGCATTGATCGAGGTAGCGAATCAAGATCTAATTGGCTGCTTGGGCTTGTGAACTGTGCACCTTACATGTGTTGTGCCGTGATGGGCTGCTGGCTGACGGTCCCCTTCAATGCCTGGTTTGGCCGACGAGGCACCATCTTCATCACCTGTTGTTTTTCTGCCATCACGTGTATCTGGCAGGGGTTCGTCAATACGTGGTGGCACATGTTCATCGCTCGCTTCGCCCTGGGCTATGGAATCGGTCCCAAGTCTGCAACCGTCCCTATCTACGCCGCAGAAACAGCACCTCCTGTCATTCGAGGTGCTTTGGTCATGCAATGGCAGATGTGGACTGCGTTCGGCATCATGTTTGGCTACGTCGCGGACCTTGCCTTCTTCGAAGTAGAAGATCCAGCAGGGATTGTCGGTCTCAACTGGCGCTTGATGATGGCCTCGGCTATGTTTCCAGCCCTGTTAGTCTGCTGCTTCGTTTTCACATGCCCGGAATCGCCTCGTTGGTACATGTCGCGGAATCGCTATGACAAAGCCTACCAGTCAATGTGCAGTCTGCGCTTCAGCAAGGTCCAGGCTGCGCGTGATCTGTACTATATGCACACTCTGCTACAGGCGGAGACCGGCATGAAACTTGGCCAGAATAAACTTGTGGAACTCATCGCGGTTCCTCGAAACCGCCGTGCGTTGATTGCATCTGAGCTCGTCATGTTCATGCAACAGGTATGTTCAACCCTAACTCCCTGGCCACAAGGCTGGACCTCTGCTAACAGCGATTGAACTAGTTCTGCGGTATGTATGCTGAGCGTTACAAAGGTGCTGTCCACTAACGGTACTCCAGGTGTGAACGTAATCGCCTATTACTCGTCAGAGATCTTCCTAGGAACAGTGACCTCCACGACTCACTTGTCCGTGTCGAATCAGCGAAAGGCCCTGGCAGCTTCCTTTGGATGGGGCATGATCAACTGGCTCTTCGCCATTCCAGCTGTGTACACAATCGACACTTTCGGCCGGCGCAATCTCCTTCTTACTACGTTCCCTCTAATGGCCATATCTATGTTCTTCACCGGCTTCAGCTTCTGGATACCCGAGGAGACACATGCTTCTGCCCGCCTCGGATGTATTGCTTTAGGCACATACTTATTCGGCATTGTATACTCTGTTGGGGAGGGTCCAGTGCCGTTCACCTATTCGGCCGAAGCCTATCCACTTTACGTACGCTCACACGGCATGGCCTTGGCGACGGCGACGACATGGTTATTCAACTGCCTGCTAGCCATCACCTGGCCGTCTCTGCGCGCGGCTTTCACCCCGCAAGGGGCTTTCAGCTGGTACGCAGCATGGTGTATCGTTGGCTGGTGGTTAATCCTCATGTTTATGCCTGAGACAAAGAGCAAGACCCTCGAAGAGTTGGACCAGGTGTTCTCGGTTCCTACGCGCTTCCACGCAGCATACGGACTTCGTCAAATTCCTTATTTCATCAAGAGGTATATCCTTCGCAGAAAGATCCGACCGGAGATCTTATACGAGCGGGATGACGAGGTTCCTATGACAGAGGCCGGCTACAACACTTCCTGAACGAAGCTGCAGGCTAGTCTGTACGTGAGTGAGGAAATCTATCCAGTTCGGCACTCCACGAGCTCCCTGTCTATCCCCATATGAACGACTACCGCACAATGACTATTTGTACCAATGAATATCTTATGTATGAAGGGGGACTTGGTTATGTCAATGTTTATTTTCATTTCAAAGGCTAGCTCGGAGGATAGGAGCAGGATGCTCAATAATGATAGATGCAAATAGCAAGGGTAACAAGTCATCACATCGTCAGACAGCAGTTGGTACAATTTTTGATCCGCACGTATGTATCTCGGAACAGGTCTGTGTGAAATGTTGCTTCATCATTGAAGGATGACTTGTGGAATGATTCGGGTCGCTAAAAACCAAAAACAAAACATTCATGAATGGCTGGCGATATTGCGGATATCCCAAGCTTCGAACTGCTGGAGCTGTCAAGATAACTGTCACATAAAACAGTCACACATCAAGCAAGCGAGATTCGGGCCAGCTAAGATGGTCGGAATTGCGTCTTCACAGCCACACTTCTCATGATGAGAGGAATGCGCCGTCGACGGATGAAGAAAAGATGAAAAGGAAAACCCAAGCAGGGCGGCTTTATATGGACGAAAAACTGCCCCGGTTCGCTAACAGGCCAATCATCAGCGGTTCAGACACTAGTTGGTTCCAGCAGTTTGCGCCGTTTGAGGTGTTTGCTCCGTTTGGTACGGTTCTCGGATCAAAAAAGTAGAGGCAATTTTTTGACACAGGCTACAGCGTCGGCGTCTTTCTGTGTTGGTTTCCACAGGTTTTCCCGGGGAATTTTATCTTGCCTTGGAGGCTCAAGAAAAAGTGACTGTTTCTTTGTCCGTCCCGCTTTTCCTGTCCTACTGCTCATTGTAGTCGACCATACCGGTATGAAGCCCCTCGTTTCCTGTCCGATTAGGAAATAGGTAAATTCTGTGGTCTGCCCATACTAACGAACTTTGAATTGATTAGCTACGTACTTTTTACACCCTCGCTCCCACCCGTCACAAAAAGCAAATCCGGCACCATGGTCGATGCTCCCGAGAGCCCTAAGCCGCAGGAACAAAGTGTGTAGGCGATACAATTGGGCTGCTCGTTCGGGGCTGGGTCCAACCGAGGCCATATCCTTAATCGCTAATGCGTGGCTAGCTCCCCAGAAGAACTTCTACCAGAATGGGGTCAGGACGACAGGCCGGGCTTTCCACTCTCCCAACTGGCGCGTGAAGCGTGAAGAGAGCCCCAGTGGACAGAGCGCTGCCGCTGGGTCCCCCGGTCCCAAGACAAGCACGTCAAGACTCGCCTTTAGCCGCCCCAGCCCGCATGTCCCGCAAGCGATCTCGGAAGGCCGTCGCCTCTACGTGGGCAACATGCCTTACACGGCCAAGTCGGAGGATGTGCAAGCCCTCTTTGATGCGGCCGAGTTCTCAATGTATGGATTTTCATGAAGAGAAGAAGACAACCCTGGGCGTTCCAAACTGAGTGCTTAATAGCGAGCGTATCGACATCGCCATTGACCCTTTCACCGGCCGCAATCCCTCATACTGTTTCGTCGATCTGGAGACCAAGGAGCTGGCTGAGCGTGCCATGACAGAGTTGGATGGTCGGGATATGCTCGGTCGTCCTGTCAAGATCAAGCCCGGTGTTGTGAAGACTTCCAGTGAACGGGCTCAGCAACAGCAGCAGCAGCAGCAGCAGTCGCCGCGCGTGGACGCCTCTCCTCGCGAGACGAGATCTTCTCCGTTCAACATGGACCGGTGGCGCCGTGGTGACGAGGCTCAGCCCCCTCGCACTCCCGTGAAGACCCCCAGCACCAACCCTAGCAACAGCAGCGATGCCAGCCGTCGCCTCTATGTTGGCGGCATCCCGAGATTGACGGATCAGGAGGCGATCACCAGCAACATCACCAACTTCTTCAAGGAATACAATGTGTAAGGGTTGGCCATTGTGTGTGTGAATCGTACGACGTGCTAATTTTGTCGATAGTGAGAATGTTAGCAAGCTGTTCGCCCCCCACCCCGCGAAGAGATTCGAGCCCGGTGACCACTACTACCTGTTCGTCGACTTCAGCAGCGCCGAAGAAGCCGAAAACGCCATGAACGCTCTGAACCGCGCAGAGGGACCCTGGGGCGCCACTCTCCGGGTCCAGAGAGCTCGTGGAGAGACCAACTCGCAGGACCGGAGAAACAAGTACTCTACTGGCCGGGATGAGGTCGCGCCCGCCGCCCCCGCTGCTGAGGAGGTTGCCGTCGGAGTATAGTCCCGATAGCCCGACACTGCCGAGCGATCATCATCATGAAGACCGAGTCTTCTCCCCGAAGCTAAAAATAGATGCCTGACGTTGTTACGATATGAATAAGGGGCTTCCACCCCAACAAAAGAAGTTTACGAACTACGCCCCTCCGCCTCAGCCTCCGTCTGTTGATAAACCCGCGGACGGAGGCCAATGAACGGCCATGGGTCGGCGGCAAGGGGCGATGCTTATCGGGGCTCCCGTCCCGTGCAGAAGCATCAAAGGCCTGTTCGTTTCTATCCATAGGGCTACGCATCTACCGTACGGATATGAGACGGGGCCGGACACATTAAAAAAGGGGGGAAAGGTTGGATATAATGGCCATTGGGTCGCAAAAGAATTGCATAGACAAGCACCTAGAATTCACTCCATATAATAGTCTCAAATGCACATAATCACCCGGAGTACTCCATGTCCACCATGTTCTCCTTTCGCTGTTCATAGAAATAGCTCACGTATAGCTCGATTCAAATCCCGCAACTAGGCGGAATCGCCCGGCTGACACCCAATATTGGGATTATTGGGTCCAGTCCACCGTCGAAAATCGCTCATGTAAATCGACCCCGGTAGTACGGGGTAGTCGTCCAAGTCCCACCAGGGAGACATGCAAGGGACCCAATCGGCGCGGCTCCATTGGAGATCAAAGGCTCTAATACAGTACAATAATGGCCTGTCAACTACTAGTACTATCTCTGACTCCGGACTCAGGAGATATCACTCGAAAAAGGAGAAAACTTCAAGCAAATTTTCACTCCGCGATGGAGGCTAGACCCGAAAGGCCCCGTTACGATTTTACCCGACGAAAACGCAGAGGGGTCACGTGTGGCCGGAGGCAATTAGTCGGGGGCCAGATGACCAGACAAACTGGGGAAATTCACGCCTCCCCGGATGCAACTGCGATCGACTCTCTCAGGGCGGTTCTGATCTTCTGCAATCCATCCGGGTCCAGCCCAGTGGGAGTGTTCTGGTCCGATTCTTGCCCTCGACCGAGCGGCGTGGTTGCGACTGCCCCGCGGCATGACGTCTGTGCTCGTCGACGCCTTCCTCACCGCATCGACTGTTGGGTTAATGACATCCAACCAGAGCTGCTGTTGATCCATTGACTACTGCTACTACTACTACTATCGTTCTCCCCTTCGCAAGAACCCGTCGTGAGACAGGCCGGATCTGTCTGAACTCAGCTGCTTAGAGCCATTTATCCCCCGCTAAACATATACAAAGTCGCAGATTACTTTATCCTTCGTTCTAAAGATTACCTGCGCTTTCGCCCGTTACCGACCTATCCGTCCTACATCCCTTCTCCCGGTGTCCGATCGGACACCCCTGGTGGCCGAGGTCTAAGTTTGCCTCATCCGCGCTCTCTCTACCTAGCTGCGCAGCAGCCGATTCTACGCTCATCCCGACCGCTCATCATGTCGTCCGGTGCAATTCGAAGGGGCAATGGCCATACATATTTTGCCAGCGTAAGTGGAATGCCTTGTCGTCGTTGTTCGTTGCTTTCCAAGTCTCACGTGCGGTGATTTGGTGTTGCCGGTGACGTTATTACTCCCCTGATCCTGGGCGCTACGGTGATGCCTTATACCCCTCCTTTGGAGGGGTGCCTGTGACTACACTATGAAACCACGACACTGGCACGACTTTCTTGTATCCCGTCTCTCTTGTCTCGCCCCTTTATTTTTTTGTTGCTCTGGCATCTACTTCGCAATGGCAGCCACTTCAGAGAGACTTATTCTTTTTCACAGTCCGATGACTCCAAAATCTGTGTGGTCATGGTTGGTCTCCCAGCCAGAGGCAAGAGTCTCATAGCTGGAAAGGGTACGTGGGCTTTGATCTTAGCATGACCAAGGACTAACTTTAGCAGCCATGCGATATCTTGCCTGGGTTGGGATTCCCGCTCGGGTCTTCAACGTCGGCACCTACCGTCGTCAAGGCACGCCGCAGCCCAACGCCACCTTCTTTGACCCGCATAATTCCGAGGGCGAAAAGATGAGACGTGCGGCCGCGGAGGCTGCAGTTTCCGATATGCTCCAGTGGTTCAGAGATGGGAAAGGCGTGGTGGCCATTCTCGATGCAACGAATTCCACAAAGGAGCGCCGGCGTTGGATCCACGAGCGCTGCAATGAAGAAGGTGTTGAAACATTATACGTGGAATCAATATGCGACGATGAAGATTTGATCATGAACAACATTTTGGAAGTCAAGACGACGTCGCCGGACTACAAGGGACAGGATCCGGAAGTTGCTGCCCTCGATTTTCGCAACCGCATTCGCAATTACGAGAAGGCCTACGAGACAATTGACGATAATGAGAAGAACTTCACCTACGTAAAACTCATCAATGTCGGCTCAACAGTCATTATTAATCAGATCAAAGATTATCTTTCTAGTCGATTGGTCTATTACATTCAGAACCTCCACATCAAACCTCGTTCAATCTGGCTATCACGGGTAAGTTTGCCTCGAACACTTATCCACATTGTTTCTAACCGACTCTAGCATGGCGAGTCAGAATATAACTTGACCGGTAAAATTGGCGGCGACTCCAACATCTCAGAGCGTGGCGAGGCATATGCCCGGGCTCTGCCTGGTCTATTAAAGAAGTCCGGGGTGCCGCCCAACACCAAGATTGTTATCTGGACATCGACGCTGAAACGCACGATTCAAACGGCTCGCCATCTCGCTGCTGAGACGGGCTTTGAGAAGCTGGAATGGAAGGCGCTGGACGAGCTCGACTCCGGGGTTTGTGATGGACTGACGTACGAGCAGATCGCGGAAAAATACCCAGAGGACTTTGCCGCGCGTGATGAGGACAAGTACAACTACCGTTACCGTGGCGGAGAGTCTTACCGTGATGTGGTCATCCGGCTAGAGCCGATTATCATGGAACTAGAACGCAGTGAAAATGTGATCATTGTCACGCACCAGGCCGTCCTTCGCTGCATCTACGCATACTTCCTCAACACGCCGCAGGAGCAGAGCCCATGGATGGAGGTGCCACTTCACACGCTGATCAAGCTCACGCCGCGGGCATACGGCACAGACGAGCAACGCTTCAAGGCGGATATCCCGGCTGTCTCGACTTGGCGTGCTAAGGGCACGTCGGCGAAGCACCAGGAATACCCAACAGAAACCAAGGCATGATCCGAGATAGTGAGGTCTATTCCTCCAATACAAGTCCGTCTGCACCTATCGTTATGTATTGGTTTTGCTTCTTTTCTCCGGTTTTGACCTTGACATTGTACATGCGCGTTCCCCCGTCTTTGATATTTAAAAGTCGGATTCGTCTTCGATTGTGGTCCATGGGCTGGGTTTGATTGATCGGATGGTTGGACATTAGATTCTTGCATGGGTTCGGAGCTTATATGCCAGTGGATGGCGACACATCAGTAGCGGTGTGCAGGGGGTACATCGTTCACTTATATAGCTTAGCATAATAGACTAGATTCTATTCTTACAATACATACTCACTCTTGACCTCATAGTATTTATTCAACTAGTCTACCATGTACACAGCATAAGCAAATAATCTAAGGAAGTAAGGGTTGCCGTCACATGAGCCGGCAGCCATACTGACGGGACCATCCATCACCCGTCGGTGTCATGCTTGGCGCGCGGGCCCGGGGCAGCAAGCAGCAGCTCAATCCGGCCGTCGTCCCAGCTCCGCTACGCTACGCTACTATCCTCCGCCCAACCACCACCACACCAACACCTCACAATGAACAACTAAACCTACACCGACAGACTCCTTCTCTTCACGACTCCATCGGACATGAAATGACATGACTATACCCCCCTGACTCGGTCAAGCGGCGACACCTACTACCACCACCACCTACACCTACACCGTCACCGTCACCGTCACGGAGCTAGCCAGCTCGTCGCCGCACACCCACCCACTCACCAACCCCGACACACACCGATCCTAGAAAACCCTCCACCGCACTACCCCACACATATATTGCAGACAGGGAAATAAAGCAGCCAAAGCAAGAAAGAGGGAAGGAAGGAAGAAAGAAGACGCCCCATGAACATGTTATCCGCATTCACGGCCCGACCGCTCGTGGAGCTGAAACCGCGCGATCGGTCACGGATCGAATCCGTGCTTGCGTATGGCGATCGGGTCCTGGTCGGGTTGAATAATGGGTGTTTGAGGATATATCGGGTGAATGAGCCGACTCCTGTTACGAATACTACCGGTGAGGGGGAGGATGGGGGGGAAGGGGGGAATCATACTGATGGTGGAGGGGATGGGGATGGGGATGGGGATGGGACGATACGGAATGTGAATGCGAATGCGAATGGGCATGGGGATGGGAATGGGAATGGGGGGATGAAGACGACGAATGGGAATCATAATACTGTGACGAATGGGATGAATGGGGGAGGAGGAGGAGGGAGCAAAACGGAGTTGTTGCGCGAGGTGGAAAAGTTCTCGAGGTATAAGATTGAGCAGTTGGCGTTGATTAAGGAGGCAAAGATATTGGTTTCGCTGGCCGGGGGGTATGTGTCGTTGCATGATTTGGGGACGTATGCGTTGCAGGAGCAATTGGGGAAGACGAAGGGGGCCACGACGTTTGCGGTTACTTCGAATATTGTCAATGATCCGGAGACGGGGGTGCCGGCGATTGTGTCCAGGTTGGCGGTGGCGGTGAAGAGGAAGATATTGGTGTGGGTGTGGAGGGATATGGAGATGGAGGTGGAGCGTGGGGTCATGGAGATGACGCTGGTTAGTGGGATTAAGACGCTGACGTGGGTGTCGGGGACGAGGTTGGTGGCTGGGTTGGGGTCTGGGTTTGTGATGGTTGATATTGAGGGGGAGGGGACGGTCGTGGACTTATCTGGTCCCGCGGGGATAGGTGGGTTGGGTGGTCAGGAGAGTACTGGACGACTGGCGGGCGTGGGTGTCGCCAGTATGAGTTATATTGGGATTGGAGGCGCGGCGCCGAAGCCGTTGGCGACGAGGTTGAAGGAGGGCCAGGTGCTGCTGGCCAAGGACATCAATACGCATTTCATTGATGTGCAGGGGAATTCGCTGGGGCGGAGACAGATCCCCTGGAGTCACGCGCCAGCGGATATTGGATATTCGTATCCGTTTTTATTGGCGTTGCATGACTCCTCCAAGGGGGTGTTGGAGGTCCGAAACCCGGAGACGTTGTCGCTATTGCAGTCGATTCCGCTACCCTCGGCCAGCATTATGCATATCCCGCAGCCGACAATCAGTCTGGCGCATGCTGGGAAGGGGTTCCTGGTGTCGAGTGATCGGATAATTTGGAGGATGGAGGCGCTGAGTTACGACACGCAGATCGACTCGCTGGTCGAGAAGGGGTATCTGGATGAGGCGATCAGTCTGGCGAGTATGCTGGAGGATGCGCTGCTGCGGGACAAGCAGGGGAGGCTGCGCCAGATCAAGCTAGAGAAGGCCGAGGGGCTGTTCAAGATGCGGAAGTACTGCGATTCGATGGATCTGTTCACGGAGATCTCAGCGCCCCCGGAGACGATCATTCGGCTGTATCCGAAGATTATCGCGGGCGAGCTGTCGTCGATTGTCGAGGAGCCAGAGGAATCGGAAGACGGTACGTCGGACAGTCAGCCCAAGACACCGGAGAATCAAAACCACACGGACGGGTCGGCTACGGAGGAAACACCGGTGCCGAAGACACTGTCGCATGCTCCCTCGGTGATGTCGCTTCTGCGGACGCGAACAGACGATGGCAGTGATGCGGGCAGTATCCGTGCGAAGGTCATCGAAGATGCTAAGCACGACAAGGCACTGGAAGGAAACGATCTGAAACTGGCTGTTCGTGAGCTGCAGAGATACCTTGCAGATGTGCGACGGAGGTTTCAGCGATTTCTGAACCCAGATGGCTCGCTGAAGGTGATTGATCTGACGGCGGACGGGGCAAACGATGCGTTGACGGACTCGGTCATGAAGCTGCTAAGTATCGATAAGGAGGACGACTATGACCTCGGGGAGAGGCTGCGGGAAAAAGCCAGGCTTGTGGATACTACCCTCTTCCGGGCGTACATGTATGCCATTCCTGCGCTGGCAGGGTCGTTGTTTCGCATTGCCAACTTTTGCGACCCGGACGTGGTAATGGAGAAGCTGGAGGAGACCGGGCGTCACAACGATCTGATTGATTTTCTATACGGGAAGAAGCTGCACCGGCAGGCGCTGGAGCTGCTCCAGAAGTTCGGGAAGGCTGACGATGAGGAAGAGACGGCACCGCAGCTGCACGGACCGAAGAGAACCGTTGGGTATCTACAGAATCTGTCACCCGATCATATCGACCTGATCCTCGAGTTCGCGGAGTGGCCGGTGCGGGAGCACCCTGAGATGGGCATGGAGGTCTTCCTGGCAGATACGGAGAACGCAGAGACCCTGCCGCGGGATCGGGTGCTGGACTTTCTGGAGGACATTGATGTAAACCTCGCTGTCCGATACCTGGAGCATATTATCGGGGAATTGAACGATATGTTGCCGGATCTTCATCAGAAGTTGCTCATGCTCTATCTGAACCGGCTGAAGAAGCATCAGACGAAGCAATGGGAGTTCTCTAGCGAGCATGACTATGTCGAATGGCAGAATAAGTTCTTGAATATGCTCAAGTCCAGCTCCCAGTATTCCCCGGCTAAGATTCTTGATCGACTTGACCGAGACGGTGAGTGCCCTCGTCGTGGGTTCGATGCGGTGCTGACGTTGCCAGATCCTGAATTTTTCGAGGCCCGCGCGATTGTCTTTAGCAAGATGGGACAGCATAGGCAAGCCCTGGAGATCTACGTGTTCAAGCTGGAGGACTATACGAAGGCTGAAGAGTGAGTCACATCTATATCATCTACAGTTGTTCACCTAGGTTGACCGCGCAGATACTGTAACCAACTCCATAAGATGGAGGATACGGCAGCCGCGGACGGAACGACATCGCGCTGCGTAGCCTTGCTGGCTTATGAGGAGGACAAACCATCGATTTATCTAACTCTATTGTCTCTATATTTGTCTCCGCCTCACGACTACAAGCCCCGGTACGGGCCCGCGCTCGAGGTACTGGCCAAACATGGATCCCGTCTGCCGCCGAATTCTGCGCTGGACCTGATCCCCGAATCACTCCCCGTCAATGAGCTCGAGTTTTATTTCAAGGGCCGTATGCGGGCCGCCAACTCGATTCTGAACGAGAGCCGGATCGTAGCCAACCTGCAAAAGGCCGAAAACATCAAGACCCAGGCGCAGCTGCTGGTAGGCGAGGGGACGGACGCGCGATCAACGCGATCGCGACATGTCACCATCACCGAAGAGCGGGTATGTGGCATCTGCCACAAGAGAATTGGAGGAAGTGTAATCAATGTGTTCCCGGAGTAAGTCCATAGTAGCCTTTGAGTTGAGCGTCGCTGACCGGAGACAGTAATACGGTTGTCCATCTTGGCTGTGCCAATCGCATGCGTTGAGCCCGTGATATTGTCTGTATATAGAGGTTTATTGGTATCGATTGATCGGTTTGTTGTGTTGATTATTTCTTTTCTTTTTGACCTTTCTGTTTCTTCCTTTTTCTCTTCTTTTTTTTTTTCTCCCGCATCTTCCTCACTCATGTCTTGTTCAAGCATACCGGAGTGGCGGACATTTCCTGCACTATGATGATACCCCGGGATAGCGGTATTCAAGAATTCCAATTCCAATTCCAATTCCATCCAAATGCATATGACGATTCATTATTCGTTCGTTTGTTCGTTCGTTCCTCGTCAAGCCGTAGCCTCCCCGACTTCGAGCTCAGATCAACCCAGTAGTGAAAATCAAATCAAGCATCCTCCTCCACAACCTCCTCCCCATAATTCTCCTCCTCCTTGGCCTCCTTCTCCGAGACCTTCTGACCCTGCGCCTCCGCAGCCTTCTTATCGTCTTCCATGCGCTCGGTCAGAAACACATTGATGTCGTTCTGGATGGTGGACACGAGTTTGCGCAGTTCGGCGAGGTAGGTTACTTTTGCGGGGACGGCGGAGGGGTCGGCATCGTTGGAGGGGAGAGGGGAGGTGATGGTTTGTTCGAAGGTGTGGGTTTGTTGAGGAGCGGAGTAGATTGCGTGGAGTGTGGGGGTGGACATGGTGGTGGTGGTGATGGTGTTGGCGAGGGGTGGTGGTTGTGGTTGTGGTGGGGGAGGGGAGGGGAGAAGGATTTGGGTGGGATGGAGTTGGAGTTGGAGGTGATGGCCGTGCGGGCGGGAGCGACGGATTGGCTGGGCAGGAGGGATTTCCGGCGGCGGAATCCAAATAGCTAGAACTAGTAGGTAGGCAAGCATTGCTCGCTCTTTCAATTACATAAAATGTAGTATATTTTTCTGTGATATTGTGGGTATTGATATTATTTTTCTACTACAATCTTCTTTACTGTTAGGGCTTCGACGTTATAGGCATCTGTTCTAATGAGATCCATATCTTCTGATTCTTTATCACTGATCAACGGATTAATGTATGTATTAGGTTTTTTTCTTTGAATAGTAATTGTGTTGGTGTACGCTGATCGAGACCACCGCGGACTGATAAGTACAAAAATTCAACTAGCGATAGTACTTTGGGCGAGGACAGACACCGGTGAGGAGAAATATATTAAAGATGTGATAGGAGGTGAGGATTTCCAGCGCCATAATTGTGCATTTATGGTCAAAGAGATAGTACCGTGCTGGTTTGTCTGTGTTATGTTAATTAAATGTCAGATGTACTGATCTCCAACCAATAATCCTTAAACCATTGCAATCATGTAACTATCCCCAAACCTTTGATCTCATAAAGTGTCAATCAACTTCAATTATCATCCCAATCCGCAGGCGATGCATAATCCAATGCCAGCAGCATATTATCAAGTTCCTCCAGGTAATTCCATCCAGCGCAGCGCAACGCAATCAAGCAAAAACAAAAGATTCACCAGCAGCAACAGCAGCAAAAAGCAACACCTCCCCCGAGCATTATGTTCCAACTCCCGCCAGCTATTCAAACCCCATTGTCCTCTCCCCCATCTCCAGAACCAGCACCACCACTTCCCCTCTTACTCATCTCCTTAAACCTCTTCAGCAACGCCCCAACAGGATAATTCTTCCCTCCAGCACTTTCCACTGCATCCGCAATAAGCCGCCACTTATCGCCTTCGAACTTCTCCTCGACTTCCTTCTTGGCGCGTAGCATGCGGGCTTCCTATCAGACACAGATATGTTAGCATTACTCCCAACATCACCATCGAAGAAAGAATGAAGGAGAAAGAGAAAAGCACATACATCCTCCCCATCCATATCCACAAAATTACTCTTCATCGTAGTATATCTCATCCGAAGCGTCGATTTGCCCACAAGAATGCCCGTCTGCGCCATCCACTCCTTGTTAATATCATCCCAGTTACGCTGCTCCTCGTCCCGCAGACGCAGGATGAGCCTGTCGCTGGCCGTGACGGCCTCCAGACTGGTGGGGATAGGTGGAAGCTTGGTTTTCTTGGGCGTCGTGGTGGTCGTGGACTTGGACTTTTTGGTGGGGGTTTCGTCGGAAGAGGTATGAGGAGAGCCAGCGGCGGGTTTTGCTGTTGCGGCGCTTGGTGGGGGGTTTCTTCTGTGGCTTGATTAGTCGGTGTTGGTTTGGAATGAAGAATGATGGGAGGGATTGGTTACCACTGCCTTGAGAAGGGTGGCATTCTCGGCTTCCTCGGGGTCGGGCTTGATGGGGGTACTCGAGTTGACTGGAGTGAAGGTCGCTGAGGGAGAATCGGGTTCGGCGTCCATGGTACGATGTTGTTTTGCCTTGGTGGTGAGTTGGTGTTGATGATTGAGGTGGAGATGAAGTTGAGGATGGGTAGATGGTCAGGTAGAAGGATGAGTGAGAGATGTGAGGGGAACGAAATGGAGCAGTGAGAGGGAAATATGATATGTTCAAGGGCATTCAGTTCAAGTTCTAGTTGTGTTGCTGGTAGTGAATGCTGACCCTGGGACAGTGAAGTGGAAAGAAGAGAAGGTATTTACTGGAAGTTGGACTTCACAGCTGTTCAGTTACTAGATCCAAGTCGTTACAAGGCATCTAGGAAATGGCTGTAAAATATATGGGAGGGTAGAAAGGACTAAGACTGATAAAAGAGCCTTGGTGACTACGGCATTGGATGATTGTATAATGACGATGAACATGCGCAGACCCAATCGCAGGTATGAGAAAGAGCATCAAAGATCAAGTGTGACTATGTGATATGGAATTCTAGGACTAAAGCTGGGTGCTCTTGATGGGTTCTCTCAATAGTCTGCATCTGTCCTAAGCTACGTGTTAGCTTACTAGTCTCTCATCAATTCAACGGCAGAATGCATGATTTGCCCTGTGTAGAATCAATCTGCCTATATAGGATCAGGACCCGTGCCAAGTCTAGTAGCATACTATACGAGGACTAATTACTTCCTACCTAGGATGTATATATCTAATTGAACTACTCCATACCTAAAGTTAATCCTGACCTGTCCGTTACAACTGCTGTTTGTACGGCCTACTGTCATCTTTTGAGATACTCCATTACCTGGCTTATGTGCCTAGCTGTCCCATCACTATTCCTACAACATCAAATCCACACAGGGGAAATCGTATCAGGATTTACAGCTCCATAAGAGGAGTAACCTAGCTGCACTCATGACTGAATCCAGTAGAAAGCTGGACACGTATTGCTATTCCTGGAACTAGCATGGACAGCCTTCCTCTCACGCTTGCTCGTTCCCAGCCAGATAGTCTTCCCCGCAGTCCGAATCAATGTGGCTCTTGAGCTTCAAATAAATGACGGGAGAACACTTATGTCTATGACTCACATACTTGCCAAGTGATGTAGTGGTTACACCTGTGCGATTCTCATCTTTACAAGGAAGCGGTGCTATTCTTTGTTCAAGCTTCAATTCTGCCGTTATTTAGACAGACATATCATCAGACGCATTTCTTTGACTTATCTGTATCTGTGCATCTCTCTAACGTAGATTACTGGTTCATCTTTCTTGAGCAGACCATTCATGACATTCTTTCTCTGATCCTTGTTGTGTTTAGTGAACAAGCCTGCTAGTATAAGGAAAGCTGCTCAGCGAATAAGTAAAACAATGCCATCCGAAGTAACGTATTGTGCTCAGCCCAGGCAGGACAGGAGATGACTCAGGTAAGCCCCTGCTGCAAGGTCATGGCCAGCCGTTGAGTTTTATAATTTGATTGGTTCCTCCAGCTATCTATAACACGGCGATCTAGAAACTGCCAGGATTCTCCGCTTCCACCAGATCGGGGAATATATAGATTTTGGTGGTATCAAATGTAGCGTAGGAGATACTAGAGAGGTATCTTGAAGTTGAAGACACTCTAGAAGGGATTTACAAGCTGTGCCACCAGGGATGAAAGGTGTTTGATAAGGCACTTTGCACTGGCTTGGGCTGTGGGCAAGCTGCAGGCCTAGCTCTGGTCGCATTGACGACGGGGGATCCTGGCAGGATACGAGAGGGGCCTGCTGCCTAGGATGATTCACATCTTTCCTCCATGACTCCCTCGCGAGATGCTACTGGTTGGAGAGTGTCACTGGGCGCCCATTCCAATTCTTCGGTGCGCCGTAACCGTCCCCAACCCCAGCGGGATCGGCCAGTCTAGTCCGCGGGCTCTCCTGGCATCTGGCATCTGGACAGCGCATGAGACACGCGCACTGGCAAATGTCGGTGACCGATCAGCTGCCGATCCACGGGCAACATGCCAGTGATGCTTCATGATATGATGGGGAGCCAAAAGTCTTCTCCAGGCTCCCAGTGCGGCTGAAGGGCAGTCGGGGACGGCGTCTGTGCCACGCTGGGGTGCCATGGTGACGAGGGAGCAATTAATATCAACTGCTGACCGGCGCCCATCCAGACGCTCATTGGCAAGCATCGCGCAGCCCAGCCTCTTCCCAATCCGGCGCTTTTTACTTTTTCTTTTGCCTGCTCTCTTCATCCGCCATGCAATCGCCTCACTGTCTGCTGTGCCCCCCGGCCGGCTCGTCATCCCCTGCCCCTTCGAACTTGTATTTATTCATCCTGCCTCCCCCATCCTCCAGCCCGTCCGTCTGCTCCTTCGCTCTTCTTTCCCACCTCTTTGCTCCCGACCCTTGATCTCGTCTTGGGTGGTTAGGCATCACACCGCCAGAATCCGCGTCCTCCAATCTGCTGGGCCGGCCAACACGCAAGGCGCTTCGCAAGCGAGGAAAACGACCTCTTAGGCATCAGAGTACGTCTTGGCCATTCCTCCGCCTCATCTGCACACCCGCACTTTTCTTCCCTGCCTCTCCTGTCTCCCATCTCCCTTCCCCGACCTCTCCAATTCCTCTCTAGCTCGCCCCAACATGTCCACTGATCCCCAGCAGACCTCCGAGCTCGAGAGTGGGCCTGTGCCTGTTCCGGTCCCTGGCTCAGCTCCACTGCGGCACGAGCTCCAGGCCACCACCACGACGCCCTCCACCTCCTCCACCACCATGGCCGACGCTAGTGCCCCGGCCTCATCCCCGCCCGAATCCAAGCTCGACGCCGACCCGCCCACCGCCGACGCCTCCCCTGTCAAGCCCGACCCCAAAGTCTCGGTCTCCGTTACGGAGCCCGTCGCCAAACAGACCGTCTGCTCTAAGCACCCCACAAAAGAGCAAGATCCCAACCGGTCCAAGAAAAAGAAATCCAATCGGAAGACGTCCTCCATCGTCACCCCCAGCGATGACAGTTCTTCGGAATTAAACTCCACCTCCGACGAGTCCAGCCCGGACTCCGCGTCTGATGACGAAGCCACCCAGACCTCCTCATCCGACTCCGCGTCGGATCGCAAGCAGCGCCGCCGACGGGCCAAGAACAAGGCGAAGAAGGCTCTCAAAGGTGGCAGAAAGAAGAAGAGCCGGTCGCATCAGACCGACTCGGATTCTTCTGCCGATGACGATGACAGCAACGACACCGACTCCACACTTGATGAGAAGACCCTGAAAAAGCTAGTCGCCAAGCTCAAGGCGAAGAAGAACGCAAAGTCGCGGTCCAAGCAAGACTCGTCTGAGGAGCAGCCAGATGAGGATGAAGATGACGACGACGACGACGCGGATGCGGACGAGTTGGCGCTCTTGCTGGCCAAGCAGAAATTGGCCGCCTTACGGGTCAAGCTCGCCGACGGGCGTCGGAAAGGTCGGAGCAAGCGTGGCTCGGGTGATGGACATACGGAAGGTCAGAAAGGGAGCTCGCAAAAGTCCAAGGGTCGGAAGAAGGCGGCCTCGAAGATTGCTTTTAAGCGAGTCGATCAATGTTCGTCTTTGCTATCCATTCTAACTCTACGAGACTCCAAGCTAACATCACTCAGTGTGGGACAACACGATCCACAACTTCAAGCTGACCGAGACGGTCGACGACCCTGACGCAAATGAGTGGGACCAATACCTTTTCACGGTACGCCGCAAGTTCGACTGGGACAACAAGTATCTGGAGACCGTGGTGGACCTGAAAAGCAAATACCTCCGCGATGCGCTGGCCAAGGTCATGGACGGAGTCAAGGGCGTCAGCTTGGTGCAGGAGACAGCGGTCGTCGATCCGAACATGCTCTTCCTGTATTTGGAGGAGACGCGGCAATACATGAAAGATCTTAGGCAGCTAGCCAAGACAGAAAAGAAGAAAAAAGCCCGAAAAGTTGCCGAGCTCAAGGCGTCGCATCTGAAGGTGCTCATTAAGTATCTGGACACGGATTATGCCGAAACTAAAAAGACCCTGTACCCGCTGCTGGACGCCAACATGATCACCTTCGATCTCCTGTGGGCCATCTTCAAGCCCAACACCGTGGCGTACTCCTCCACGTACGGCAACCAGGACGAGCCGCGCGCGTTCAAGATTGAGTACGCCACCAAGGAGTCCTCATTCATGAAGGGCCAGTGGTACAGCATCGAGGGCCGCTATCTCGAGTACGATGGTAAGGCCTTTGGCATGGGCACCATGGCTGCCGAGGTCGAGTCCTTTAAGGGCGCCCGCAAGATTACCAGTCTCGGCTGCTATCCACTCAAGTACCATCGCGAGGCGGAGAGCGTCAAAACGAAGCTGATTGAACGGGGTAAGAAGTTCGTGGCGTTACGAGGCATGAACTACCGGTTCCACAAGGGCATGGGCTTCTACAAGAAGAAGCGGTCCGTCATTAAGGTGAACATTAACGGCCGGGTGATGATCGATCCCGCCATCCACCGGCGCATCAACCCCAATTACCCCATCAGCACTGTCCGTCCTAAGGACCCCGACTATCTTGACGCCTCCGACAATGACGGCAGCGATGATGGGTGCTGTTGCGCCATGTCCGGCTCGGATTCCGACCAGGCCTATGGGCAACCGCGCGACTCGGATGCCCCCCGAGTCCGGTATAAGGTGGTGCGTGACAAGGAGGGCAAGCCGCATGTCGTTGAGGTTGAGTTGGATGAGAACGGCAACGAGATCCGCAAGGAGGATATGGACGAGGTCGAGGATCCCTCCGACCGCGAGTTCACCGAAGAGGAGCTTCTCATCGCCAGTCCAGTAGTGCTCGGCTTCGCCTTTAGCGAGAAGCTATGGCTCGAGTTTAGTATCTCTGGCATTAGCGAGATCGACTGGAACGAGGATGCCTTTGACTCGCTTGTCCTCCCGGACAACCAGAAATCCATCGTCAAGGCCCTCGTCGAGTCCCACACCTTCCGCGCCGCCCAGAACATCGACGACGTCATTCAAGGCAAGGGCAAGGGCCTGGTCGCCGTGCTCCATGGGCCCCCAGGAACCGGAAAGACCTTGACAGCTGAAGGCATTGCTGAGCTGCTCAAGCGCCCACTCTACATGGTCAGCGCTGGCGAGCTGGGTACCGATTCGCGCACCCTCGAGGCGGAGCTGAATAAGATCCTCGATATTGCCCATTCCTGGGGCGCCGTGCTGCTCCTCGACGAGGCGGACATCTTCCTCGAGAAGCGCACAATCCAGGACATCCACCGCAACGCCCTGGTCAGCATCTTCCTGCGGCTTCTCGAGTACTTCCAGGGGATTCTATTCCTGACCACCAATCGCGTTGAGACCTTCGACGACGCCTTCCAATCCCGCATTCACGTCGCCTTGCGCTACGGTGACCTCACCACCAAGGCGAAGCGGAGTGTTTGGAAGATGTTCCTGGAGCGTGTTCAGGCCAAGGAGGGCGTGCAGACCGCCACGTTCACCGAAAAGGACTTTGATTTGCTGGCTCGACATAATCTCAACGGACGTCAGGTAAGACCTCCCACGTCTTATACAGCCCCTCTCCATCAGCAGAAAACTAACATCTCCATCTGTATAGATCAAAAACTCCGTCCGCACCGCCCAAGCACTCGCCGTGAACGAACAAACTCCTCTCTCCATGGAGCACATCAAACGCGTTCTCGAGGTTGCAGAGACCTTCGACCACGACCTCCGTGGAGGAACTGGCTACCTTGACGCAATGAGGAGTTATACCTAGGCTCTTGTTCGTTCTATTCTCATTTACATCTAATCGTTCCTTTCCGTCGAAAAATTGGCACCTACACTTTGGTAACCCTTGTCTACCCCATTTAGCTAGCGATGACCAATTGGAATACGATGCAAAGATGCCATCCAATTTTTTCTGCGTCCCTAATGCGAAGATCTATCTATTTATTTCTGTTTCTTTTTCTTTTTCCATCTTGCTTATTGCTATTATCCGTGTTTTCACTGATGATGATGACTGTTCACGAGATGCGCTACTTGAAATACCGATAGGACCAATACCCCACTCTTTTTAGCTTCCTCTTTGCTAGCATTATATCATCCTTCTGGATGATTCAATCTTCATATTTCCATGTACGGAGTAGACTGACTAACCGTGTCTAATTTGCCAAGGCAAAACGTGGTTGTTCAGCGTAGCAGAGCAAGCAACTAGATAGTACGTACCACAGATCAGATATTCAAGACTGTGACCAGCAAACCAGTCAATACTATCTCCATCTCCAATACAGGTTTACTGGTGCTCACCACTGACCTTGTCCTTTCTTCCATCAATACCGAAGTGATTTCCTCGTACGCGTAGATTTATTACTTAGCTACCTACTTTGTACCATGGAATTACCTCTTCACCCTCAACCAGCTCATACAATAAAACTCAATACCACATACACCTTTCTTTCCCACTATATCGATTCTAGCGATAGTTGACCAACAAATCTTCCTCGAGATGAACCGTCTACCGTACCTTACTACCTACCTACCCTGCTCGGATAATCTAAGCTAGTATGTATGTACTATACTATACTATACTCTGCTGTACTACTAGTAGGCTATTAAAATTGGCTTGGATAAAGAAAGACCGCTCGATTTGCGGGGCTAGGTCCATAACGAATATCATCCATATATATATATATAGCTGGGGTGTGTTGTGGTTGATGAGCATATTGGACATGTGATGTGATGTGATGTATCCTTAGCTTGATGGTGTTGTTGAAGATGTCGCCGTTTGAGATATGTATATATGGTGTGGAGAAAGTGAGCGTATACGGGATTATATTTTTGGTATAGCTGTTGTCTGTGTCTTGGTTTATTTGGATTGAGATTGTTGTCGGGATGCAAGGGCGTGAATGGTCTTGGTTGAGTATGGTACAACAGCGGATATGTACAGTTTGGTTTAGGTAGAAGTATAGCTACAGGTACGTAGTATAGTCATAATCATTAGATTTTCTTATTTATAGGAAATACACGTCATGTCCATCTCCCCTCACATAACCGAGTCGATGTCATGCGAATCCACAGCTGCATTCCTCCGAGATAAAAGCCAATGCGAGATGGGAAAGTGCATAGGGGTATGGCAAATTACACAAGACTGTTATACATGGAGGAAGGCGGCTGCAGAGGGTTGGAAGCAATCCATTTAAGGGTTGGCCTTGACGAAGTCAATACCCTTCTGGATGTTCTTCTTGAGGTCACCGAGAGCGGTCTCGATGAGCTTCTGCTCGTACTCGTTGACGGCACCGACCTCGTGGATCTTCTCAACACCGTTGGGGCCGAGCTCGACCTTGGAGGCGAAGAAGTCAACACCCTGGTCCTTGAAGAGAGGGCTGTCGACGAAAGTGGGCTCAACGATGCCCTTCTCGCCCTTAGCGGCCTTGAGGAGGGACTCGGCGAAGCGAGCACCAGCCATGGCCATGGAGAGGGTGGCGGAACCGGCACCGTCCTTGGCCTTGACGACCTCGTCACCACCGAACTGGATGCGGTTGACCAGCTCGTCACGGGTAGTACCCTCGATGCTGGGGTGGTTGGACTGGGAGAGGAGGGGAACGATGGTCACACCGGAGTGGCCACCAATGACGGTGACGGCCTCGTTGGCGGGGTTGGTGCCCTGGACCTGGGAGATGAAGCGGGAGGCACGGACGACGTCAAGGGTGGTGACACCGAAGAGGCGCTTGGGGTTGTAGACGCCACGGGCCTTGAAGACCTCGGAGACGATGGGGACGGTGGAGTTGACCTGGTCCTGTTAGTGAGAGTGGAGTGGATTGAGGAAATTGGATCTCTGCATACGGGGTTGGAGATGACGAGGATGTTAGCCTCGGGGGAAGCCTCAGCAGCGGCCTTGGCGAGGTCGCGGACGATGGAGGCGTTGGTGTTGAAGAGGTCTGCGAATGGCGTGATTAGCTCTGCTGTGCTCGTGCCTCGGCCGGTTTCAAAGTGGTCCAGTGCATACCATCACGGGTCATGCCGGGCTTGCGGGGAACACCGGCAGGGATGAGGATGATCTCAGAGCCCTTAAGAGCATCGCGGAGGCCAGAGGGGGTAGGGTCGTAGCCAGTGACGGTGCTGTTGGTGTTGATGTGGCTCAGATCGGCAGCGACACCTGCAAAGGCTCATGTTAGTCGACTCCGATGATCGGATGGTGGTTTCATGTTGAGAGGAGCTGTGCGACATACCAGGTCCACCGCGGATATCGTAAAGAGCGAGCTCAGAAACAAGGGGGTTGAGCTTCATGAGCAGGGACAGGGGCTGGCCAATGCCACCAGCGGCACCGAGGACGGCAACCTTGGAGGCCTGGAGATGGAGACATGATGGTTAGCAGGGGGACAGACAGCTCCGAGGCAATGTTTTTTTTTGGCTACACACCTGGCTGGCAGAAGCGGAGAAGCCACGCTTCTGGAGGAGGTTGAAAGACTGGCGAGCAGCGAACATCTTGGCTGTGAAGGGGAGACAGAAGTGAATCTATCTGAAAGAAAGAAGGGGAGATGGGTTGGACAGAAGAGAAGCAATTGCGATGAAGAAGAAGAGAGGAAGAGAAAGAGAGGGAGAAGAAGGGAGAAGCCGTCGGTGGCCGGTGAGCGCGAAGGATTTTGGGGCGGCTAAATGGCTCCGTTTCCGATCCCCACGGCAGCCATCGGATCCAGCAGCTGTCTTTGCTGTTCGCTCCTCTGCCCATCCTCGCCTCCTCTGCTCCGGTTCCGTCCTACCGACCCGGTTGGCATGCTGCCCGTCAATTGTCCTCCGACCAGAGACCCCCTGGAGCTTTTGACCTGCCTGTCTCGAGACAATTGCCTCCTTGTAAGTTTGTTGCGTCGGTTCCCGTCCCCATTTAACCGACAGCACGTTCCCAACAACGGCCTTCCCGTCTCCAGCAACAATGCGGTTTCCCTACGAGGCTACGACGCACTACTCCACACTCCGAGGAAATCCCGTTGCGCACGGGAAAAGGGAAGCTAGCCAGCCCAGCTGCAGGAACTAAATAATAGCCACCACCACACCCATACATACATATTTACTTAGTGAGCAAGAAGATATCTGCCAATGCGCTCCGAACGCCTGCGCTTGTAAGACAACCCAAGCACCAAACACAATAAGCCTAGCAAACAAAACATACACCTCCATCATCGCAGGTAGTGCAACACCGCCCAACAGAACAAGAAGAACACTATCACTCCCCCCAAGAAGATCCATTTGTCCTGCTTGGCCCGACGCTCGACCTTGCGAATTGTCTCCCCGCTTACACCCAGCGTGTTCGCGACGCTGTAGAGTCGACGCTGCGTGCCCTTAAGCACCTCGCGCTGTTGACCCAAATCCGCAAGCACGGCACGTCCCCGGTCCAGGAATTCATCTAGCTGGGTGTTGGTACTCGCTAGGAAGCTCTGTTCGCGAAGCGCATGCGTTTCCCGAGTGTAGTCGGCCGGCGAAGCTCCAAAGCTGAGTCCCGATCGTGACGAAGGATTGCCAAAGGCAGACGACTGCGGGAGGGACGATTGGGCGTACGGGTTCTCGGGAGTAGCTGTGTGATGCGGGCGTCGACCGAGGAGCTCATTGCGATTGGTGACGGATTGCTGTAAAGATCATGTCAGCGACTCTAACTCCTATATGCGTTCGAGGCATAAAACTCACAGCATCCTCTCTTTCTTTCCGTAATTGATCAAAATGTACCCGGTAATCTGCAAGCTCGGTCCGGAAATTCTTGACTCGCTCAAACGCCTTCTCTTGTTTCTCCGGAATCAGCTCTTTCTTGGACAGTGCAGAGTAGTCGTCGATGGTCCGCGATAGCGATGCGAGCGATGCGGCGATTTGACCTACAAACGCGCATAAGCCTCCATATCGAGTAGTGGGCCCACTACCAGCAACCACATCCAAACCCACCTTGTAGCGCTGCAGACGATGTTGCCGGTGACTGAGAGAATGTGTCCAGATCACGACGGATGGCAGATGACTGCTTCAGGGCGGAATTGAAGAGGGAATTCTATGCATGAGTCCATATAAGCATTTATTGTCATCATGGGGTTGAGCTCGTAAGCCGGCTTTCTAGAGATTTGGGGAATGTACCATTGGTGCGGTGTACCCTATCGGGCGACTGCGTTGTATACAATCACAGCTAGAGAATGAAGATTAAAGCTCGTATTTGCCGAACTAATATTGTCTCAAGCTGCAAAGAGAGTATTGGGCTGTCCTTGAGCAGTGGCAGTTGGTGTCAGGAAGTAGCAACGTGTCCGGAGATATTACTCTATATCGGGCTACTAATGATGCTGGCGAAGGCCACATGTTCTTGCCCGGCCACGATTCTGACGCCGCTGACCGCCTCCTGTCACTGCAATCCTGCCTGCGGCCTGACCCGCTCAACTCAATCGCTCGGTCCAAGCCAAAGTAAATCCATGCAGGAGCGCTGCCTAAGATCTCCACTTATGCTATCTATTTCATACGGTTTCTTTTCTTTTGCTGTCATCTAATAGATGTCAACGTCATAAGAGGGGTTATGGCCGTGAAAGCTGTGTATGCTATTGTTCCTGGAACTACTACAGCATAAAGCGCAGACTTGAAGACAAAGACCGAATATTCGGACTAGTAGACATTAACTATAACGCCTAGAATTGGCACAGCGCCTCGTGCACACTAAACGAGAATGAGATAACAAAAAGCCGCAAGTGAGTCAAAATTGACCTCGGGATATCACGATGTCCAAGACACGACTCCGTTCAACGCTCATTTGGGAGGGTATTTGTTCTGGAGAAACCATCTAAAGAGGCTCTTGTTAGCAAGCAAAGCAATGCGATCACAAATTCCCTTCGAGACTCACTTGCTAACAAAGTAGTCGACGGCACCAAAGGCTCCAACGGCGCCAGAGCACCATCCAACCAGTTCCCATGACAGCTGCCCAGCAGCGTGCTTTCTGTATGCCCCATATCCCAAGCCCGCGCCGGCCAGGCCCAGAATCAGAGCATTTGCAATGTAAACAGGGTTGTGCGCGTTGCTACGGACCGACTCAGCCTTCGCCTTGGCTTTGGCTTTGGCCTTAGCCTTTGCTTTCCGTTCTTCGTAGGACTCCTGCTCTTGTTCTTCGCGCTCTATCCGCTCAGCCTGTGTGGTGGTCTGGACCTCCTGCTTTAGGAACTCGGAATCCACGGCCTGGACATGCGGCGAATCAACGTCAACGAGGGAAGCGGTGCTCTCGGACTCGTCTCGGTACACTCCACCAACGTCAGGAGCACGGCTGAACGGCTGTTAGTGATACGAATGGGTACAGTTGGTTGCTGTTTGTTAACTTACGCCTAGCTGATGTTAGCTGGTCTGGAAAACGAAGAGGGATACAGTAGTCACTGAATGGTCGCGACAAATCAGGATGAAAACATACCTCCTCTGGAGATTGCTTAGGACCTTTGGCGGCAGCTTCTGCGTAAGACATGGTGGATGATCTGGTGAAGAGACTCGCGTGATCAGCGTAGTTTGGTGATCTACGACGTCATCAGTCAGCGCGTCCAATATGAGGGGGATTATACAATGGCCAGCATCAAGGCTGGTGATGTCCAGCCAGGGATGAACGCACAGATGACTTCGAGATAAGGGTAAATAGAAGATATGCGATGGCACGGGAAAAGTATTAAGGTAGGTTCCAGGGGATGTAGCTCCCAGGTATTTATGAACGCCAGAGCCGGCCGGGAGAATGACATCACGTCATAGATTCCATGGTGGAGTTGGATGAGCACCGCCAAGACCCTCGTGCCGAACGCATCGCACTTCCGGCTACGCATTGCTTAGCTTGTTTATCGACTCTACCAATAACTGCCCAGTGGTTAATTTATCTAGGTGGCCTGATTCGCGGTTCAGACGCCTGCGCGTCCAACAATGTGCCGCCGATTATCAGAAAGACAAGATACGAGACATAGGAGATGCATTGAGAATATCTAGGCTGTACTCGACAGACCGTGATGGTCGTGAAAAGGAGGAACATTCGAATGATTTTAATACATATTACAACAAGGCCAAAAGAAACTCCGATCGTAGATAGCTAGTATGCTGCGCTGGTCGGGGCTCCAAAGTGCAGAAACAAGCTTACAGAAGAAGCTCCAGGGGGCTGTCGACAACCTTCTTCAGCTCCTTGATCCACTCAGCACCAACAATACCATCAACGACACGGTGGTCGAAGCTGCCAGTAACGATGATCTGGTCATCCCACTCGACGGAGGTACCCTCCTCAGTCTCAACGGGGACGGCGACCTTGCGGATGGTGCCAACAGCCAGGATACCGGCCTGAGGGGGGTTGATGACGGCAGCAAAGCGCTCAACAGCAGGGTTCATGCCCATGTTGCTGATGGTGAAAGTGCCACCCTGGTACTCCTCGGGCTTGAGCTTGTTGTCGCGAGCGCGCTTACCCAGATCCTTGATCTGGTTGGAGATGCTGGACAGACCACGGCCCTCAACGCCCTTGACAATGGGGGTGATGAGGCCATTGGGGGTGGAGACGGCGACGCTAATGTCGACAGTGTTGTGCTGACGGATCACGGTCTGACCGTTCTCCTCGTGCCAGCTGGAGTTGACGGCAGGGACCTTCATGAGGGCCGCGGCGCAGGCCTTGACGAGGAAGTCGTTGACGGAAAGCTTGTACTTGCCCTCGGAGGAAGCGTTGAGAGCCTGACGAAGCTTGAGGAGCTTGGTCACAGACAAGGTGGTGGAGACGTAGAAGTGGGGGTTCTCCCTCGTGGACTGCTGAAGGCGGCTAGCAATGGTCTTGCGCATGGAAGTAAGAGGGATGTCCTCGTAGGTCGGGGCAGCAGCCGCGGCAGTAGCAGCGGGCTTGTACTTCTCGACGTCCTCCTTGGTGATCTGGCCACCACGTCCGGTACCCTTAAGACCCTTGATTGACACACCCTTCTCCAAAGCCAGAGCCTTAGCAGCAGGGTTGATAAGAGGCTCACGGTCCAGACTGGGCTGGAGCTTCTCACCCGAAGTCTCAGGCTCCACAGCAGCAGGAGCAGGCTCGGAAGTGGCCGGGGCAGCAGCATCAGCAGCTCCCTTAGATTCCTGCTTCTCCTCAGCGGCAGGGGCAGCCTTCTCACCGCCAGCATCAGCCAGGCTGAAGGCCTCAAAAGCGGCAACGTCGACACCCTCCTCAACCAAGACGGCGATAGGCTAATTTGCGGTCAGCAAAAGAAAAGCTGTGGGCACCAAAAAATAACACGATAGGAGATACATACGGAGCCGACGGAGACATCCTTCTCGCCAGTCTCCTTGAGAACCTTGGCCAGAACACCCTCCTCCTGGAACTCAAAGTCCATCTGGGCCTTATCGGTCTCAATCTCAACCAGAACATCACCGGGTTGCAGGGCATCACCGGCCTGCTTTTGCCAGGCTCCAATGTTTCCGGCGTTCATGGTCGGCGACAGAGCCGGCATGCTGATGATGGTGTGAGGAGGGAAGGCTGTAGATCCAACATGTCAGAATCCGATGATCCACAATGCAAAGGCGACGGGAATAACGGCATACACTTAGAGGCGTAAAAACGGGAAAGGGCGGAAAGGGAAGGCAATTGAGATCTAAAACGCGAGGAGATACGATTAGCATGTGTGTAGACAGATAGGCAGAGTTCACAGCGGTAGCGCAACATACTGAGCAACATCCTTGAATCTGTGAACAGTCTGCGGCCTCCTCAGGGAGAGGGCGCCTTTGGACAGGAACATGGCGCTGGGGGTGCGCATCCGGATAGCAGAGGCAACCATGGCGCCCAAATGCTAAATGTGATACAAGGGAAAGCCCGGGGCGGGAATGAGGAAGAGAAATGGGATGGAAGGGGGAGCCGGGAAAGCGTAGTCTGGCGGAGTGAAGGGCCCGTATCGGAGAGTTGAGGATTACTGCAGCTCCAGGAACTTTTCTGTTGAGCTTCCCGGTGAGCGTTCGGAATAGACTCGCCGGGCGCCGCCGTGGCCTGATTATGTCAGCTCTGCGGTTGTAGCCCGCGCCGGCCGCCGTACAATCTCCCCGTCCGCGGAGTGAACACGCATCAGTTCTCCAGCGTCCAGGAGGCTAGAGGGTCCTTCTTCTCAGACCTGCATATACCCCTTCGGTCTCTCTTTAGTCCCATGTGGACCTCTCGTCTGCCGGTCTTTCAACACTCCGGACGGAGTCTCGCATAAATGGCGGAAGTCGAGAATGGCTCGGTAAACGAGCCAACCCAAACATCTACGGCCGTGCCGCAGGCAGATACAACCAACGAGGATACCGGCGATGTCACAGCGCATACGGAACACCCCGTCGACGGAGACAAGCCCATACTACCGGAGGCGTCGGAGCGTCAAGAAATTGCTGTAGAGGGGTCGGAGGACCTTCATTCTCCCCTGGAACAATTGGAAACTGCTGAAGACACACAGTCGCCGGATCAATCCGCAAGCCCTCCGGAGGGGGCTGTCGCATCACCACCGGAACCCCAGCCCGACGCGGAGCCTGAGTCGGAGTCAAGGGACAATGCTGCGGATATACCACCGGAGGTTCCGGCCGTCAACGTTGAGCAGGAAACACCAGCCGAAAGACAAGATGTCGCTTCCATCCCACCTCAAGATGAACTTGCCTCCGATACCCGCATGCGCTCGGATTCACGGTCAACAACTGCAACGTTTGCGACGCACCGCTCAGTGACCGTCAGCTCTACTGTTTTCATCGTCACCGCCCTGGATACCATTGGTGCATCTAAGGAGGCGCGGAGAAGTAAAGAATTAGATGATGCTGTGAAGAGCGCGCTTGCAAATGTCAAACAGTCGGACCGTCAACCCATCGACCCTGAGCTTATATTCCGTCCTCTACAGCTTGCCACAAAATCTATCAGCATCCCCCTTCAGGTGACGGCACTCGACTGCATTGGAAAACTGATAACCTACTCATACTTTGCTTTCCCCTCAGCTCATGATGGGAAGACATCGGAATCCGAGGCCAACCCTGAACAGCCTCCCCTCATTGAGCGAGCCATTGATGCGATCTGCGAATGCTTCGAGAACGAGGCCACACCGGTCGAAATTCAGCAACAAATCATCAAGTCCCTTCTTGCAGCTGTTCTGAATGATAAGATTGTCGTGCATGGAGCGGGTCTCCTAAAGGCCGTCCGCCAAATATACAATATTTTCATTTACTCCAAGTCGTCTCAAAATCAACAGATCGCGCAGGGGTCCTTGACGCAGATGGTCAGCACAGTTTTTGATAGAGTCCAAGTGAGACTGGACCTCAAAGAGCTCCGTTTGCGCGACGGCGAAAAAGGGCAGCATAGCTCTTCAGACACTGCAACTCTGGAGCCAGCCGAGACTCCCCAAGCAGCGGAAGATGACCATGAATCAGATTCCCCCTCTGCCGCAACCTCCGACCACCCTGTCACGAAGGAGCCTGTGGAGAAACTGACATTGCAGAGTTTTGAGTCGAGCAAGGACGTGACTTCTGTCAACGACAATGCTCCCACAATGGTTACTCGGGCGAGAGGTAATCAGAGATCGGCACGGTCTTTGTCTGCGGCCTCGGGAGAGGACATTGACGGCACTGCAGACGATGATGAAGATGAAATCTACGTCAAAGATGCCTTTCTGGTCTTCAGAGCGCTGTGCAAGCTAAGCCACAAAATCCTGAGTCATGATCAACAGCAAGACCTCAAGTCCCAGAACATGAGGTCAAAATTGTTGTCCTTGCACCTGATCCATTATCTCATCAACAACCATGTAGCAACCTTCACATCTCCGCTCCTGGCCATCAAAAACAGCTCCAACAGTCCGGATGCGATGACCCTCCTACAGGCCGTTCGGCCCCATCTCTGTCTAAGTCTGAGTCGCAATGGCTCTAGCTCAGTGCCTAGGATTTTCGAAGTCTGCTGTGAAATCTTCTGGCTCATGCTGAAGCACATGAGAGTGATGATGAAGGTTCGTGTGCACCATCGGATTATTCGCACAAGAGTTGATCTAACACCCAGCAGAAAGAACTCGAGGTTTTCCTAAAAGAAATCTACTTGACCATTCTCGAAAAGCGCAATTCCCCCATGTTCCAGAAACAGTACTTTATGGAGATCTTGGAGAGGCTAGCAGGTGATCCGCGCGCTTTAGTTGAAATGTACCTCAACTACGACTGCGATAGGACCGCGTTGGAGAATATCTTCCAGAAGTATGGTTTTCTGTTCCGAATCCCTCCCAACGCAGCATCTAATCTGTCTTTCGCAGCGTTATCGAACAACTGTCGCGATACGCGAGCATACCGGTCGCGGTCACCGCTTTTCAGCAGCAACAGTATCTGGAGCACCATGTCAAAGTCTCGACTATTGGAAATGATTGGCATCAACGGGGAACACTCCCACCTTACCTTACCACGGCCAATGTGGCCAGCGCCCATCAGCCAAACCTGCAACATGTACCTCCGGATTATATACTCAAGAATCAAGCAGTCGAGTGTCTGGTGGAAATCCTGCAGTCGTTAGACAATTGGGCGTCGCAGCGTCTAGTTGACCAGGCTGCCCCCGTCCTCAACTCGTCCTCGCAGAAATCAATCGACAACCCCAGGGATTCTATGGAAACAACTGCCGCTACCTACCTTGCCTCTCCGAGAATTGAGAGTACTGACGGCAGCACTACACCTGTCGCAGAGGACGATCCGAGCCAAATAGAGAGGGTCAAGCAAAGGAAGATTGCTTTCACAAACGCAATTCAACAGTTCAACTTCAAGCCCAAGCGGGGAATCAAACTTTTCGTCAAGGAGGGTTTTGTACGCTCCGGCTCGCCTGAGGACATTGCTGCATTTTTGTTTCGGAATGAGCGGTTGGATAAAGCCATGATCGGTGAGTATCTCGGCGAAGGTGAAACCGAGAATATTGCCATCATGCATGCTTTCGTTGATATGATGGAATTCTCAAAGCGCCGCTTCGTGGACGCTCTGCGTCAATTCTTGCAGCACTTCCGATTGCCCGGAGAAGCTCAGAAGATCGATCGCTTCATGCTCAAGTTTGCAGAGCGCTACGTCACCCAAAACCCCAACGCATTTGCTAATGCGGATACCGCTTATGTTCTCGCGTACTCCGTCATTATGCTCAACACAGATCAACACAGTGCCAAAATCAAGGGTCGCCGTATGACAAAGGAAGACTTCATCAAGAACAACCGGGGTATCAACGACAACCAGGACTTGCCTGATGAATATCTTAGCTCCATCTACGAGGAGATTGCAAACAATGAAATTGTCTTGGACACTGAGAGGGAGCATGCTGCTAACCTCGGCATTCCTACATCCACCCCCACTGGCGGCCTGGCCTCCAGGGCTGGGCAGGTTTTCGCAACCGTGGGACGGGATATCCAAGGTGAAAAGTACACCCAGGCCTCTGAAGAGATGGCGAACAAGACAGAGCAGCTTTATCGAAGTTTAATACGAGCACAGCGGAAGACGGCTGTCAAGGAAGCTCTTTCGCGCTTTATCCCGGCAACCTCTGTCCAGCACGTTGGGTCCATGTTCAATGTCACCTGGATGTCTTTCCTATCTGGCTTGTCTGCGCCAATGCAGGATACCCAATACCTTGAAATTATCCGCCTCTGCATGGGAGGGATGAAGCTAGCGATCCGCATTAGCTGTGCATTTGAATTAGAAACCCCTCGTGTTGCGTTTGTCACAGCGTTAGCCAAATTCACGAATCTGGGGAACGTCCGGGAGATGGTGGCCAAGAATGTGGAAGCTTTGAAGGCCTTGCTTGATGTGGCTCTTACGGAAGGAAATCATCTCAAGGGCTCCTGGAGAGAAATCCTGACCTGCGTCAGTCAACTCGACCGTCTTCAACTTCTGAGTGATGGCGTCGATGAAGGCTCACTGCCTGATGTCTCTCGAGCTCGTATTGTGACTCAACCATCCTCGGACGGATCTCGGAAGTCTATGCAAGCCTCAAGGCGGCCTCGCCCCCGATCAATCAATGGACCAACAGCTTTCCGTACCGAGGTTGCAATGGAGAGTCGGTCTGCAGAAATGATCCGTGGGGTGGATCGCATTTTCACCAACACGGCTAACCTCTCCCACGAGGCCATCATCGACTTTATCCAGGCTCTGAGCGAAGTCAGCTGGCAGGAAATCCAATCTTCTGGGCAAACTGAATCCCCTCGGACATACAGCCTGCAAAAGCTGGTTGAGATCAGCTACTACAACATGACGAGAGTCAGGATCGAATGGTCAAAGATTTGGGAAGTCCTCGGGCAGCATTTCAACCAGGTGGGCTGCCATTCGAACACCACGGTGGTCTTCTTTGCACTCGATTCGCTTCGCCAACTCTCCATGCGCTTCATGGAGATTGAGGAGCTGCCCGGTTTCAAGTTCCAGAAAGATTTCCTCAAGCCATTCGAGCATGTCATGGCGAATAGCAGCGCTGTCACTGTCAAGGACATGATTCTCCGATGTCTCATCCAAATGATTCAAGCACGTGGTGACAATATTCGTTCTGGTTGGAAAACAATGTTTGGCGTCTTCACGGTTGCTGCACGGGAGCCGTATGAAGGCATTGTCAATATGGCCTTTGAGCATGTTACCCAGATCTACAACACTCGATTTGGAGTTGTGATCACACAGGGCGCCTTTCCTGACCTTGTTGTGTGCCTCACGGAGTTCTCCAAGAACTCACGATTCCAGAAGAAGTCGTTGCAGGCAATTGAGACATTGAAGTCTACGGTCACGAAAATGCTCAGGACGCCGGAGTGCCCTCTGTCTCATCGCGGGGCATCCCCCGAAGGCTTCCATGAAGATGCTACCAATCTCTCCCAACAGCTGACCCGTCAGTCCAAGGAGGAGCAATTCTGGTATCCGATCTTGATCGCGTTCCAAGACGTGCTGATGACCGGCGATGACTTGGAGGTCCGGTCACAAGCGCTAACATATCTCTTCGAAACGTTGATCCGGTACGGCGGCGAATTTCCACAAGAATTTTGGGATGTGCTGTGGAGACAGCTTCTCTACCCTATCTTTGTGGTGCTGCAGTCGAAATCAGAAATGTCCAAAGTACCTAATCATGAAGAGCTTTCTGTGTGGCTGTCAACCACCATGATTCAGGCTCTTAGGAATATGATCACGCTGTTCACCCATTACTTTGACGCACTGGAGTACATGCTCGATCGCATTCTCGAGCTCCTCACTCTGTGCATCTGTCAAGAGAATGATACAATTGCACGAATCGGAAGCAACTGCTTGCAACAGCTGATTTTGCAGAATGTTACTAAGTTCCAGCTAGAGCATTGGAAAAAGGTTGTTGGCGCATTTGTCGAACTTTTCAGCAAGACTACCGCCTACGAGCTGTTTACTGCCGCTGCCTCCATCTCTTCGAAAGCACCGGGCTCACTAAAATCTGCAAACGGGGAAACCGCAACTAATGAAGAGTCTGGACCAGAATCTTCCGAAACAGCGTCGGATCAAGAACACGTTCCTGAATCGCAGAAGGCGAACGGGGCGCAGAATGTGACGTCGGAGCACGAGGAGGGTGACATGCCTGCGACCTCAACTCCCGCATTGGAGGATTACCGGCCCCAGGCAGAGGCCCAGCAACAACCGGCCGCTGTGACCGTGGCACGACGCCGATTCTTCAACCGTATCATAACCAATTGTGTGCTTCAGCTGCTCATGATTGAGACTGTCCATGAGCTGTTCTCAAATGACAAAGTCTACGCCCAGATACCCAGCCACGAGCTCCTTCGGCTTATGGGCTTGCTGAAGAAGAGTTATCAGTTTGCGAAGAAGTTCAACGAGGACAAGGAATTGCGGATGCAACTGTGGCGTCAAGGATTCATGAAGCAGCCTCCGAACCTTCTTAAGCAGGAAAGTGGAAGTGCCGCCACTTATGTCCACATTCTTTTCCGCATGTATCATGACGAAAGGGATGAGCGTAAGAGCAGCCGCGCAGAAACAGAGGCAGCTTTGATTCCGTGAGTGTTGATCTCCTTCGCTGGAGTTTAGAGGGTCTTGCTAATCATAACAGACTCTGTGCGGATATAATTCGCAGCTTCGTCCGTCTTGATGAAGACTCACAGCATCGCAATGTTGTGGCCTGGCGTCCAGTCGTTGTGGACGTCATCGAGGGCTACACCAACTTCCCCACCGAAGGTTTCGACAAACATATTGGAACGTTTTACCCGCTAGCAGTTGATCTGTTGGGCCGTGACCTGAACCCTGAGATTCGTGTTTCCCTTCAATCATTGCTACGGAGAATCGGCGAGGCAAAACTAGGTATACCTGCCACTCAGTCATCTCTGCCAGCGCCGTCTAGTCACCGGAACTCCGTGTCGAACCAGTATTCTTCCCGCAAGCACAGTGGAGGACGTTGAGCAGCGACGGCCAGTGTTTGAGTTTCGTGCGTTGACATTGCCTTCTTCTACCCGTTTACTTTGCGCTGCTTTTTTCTTTTGGATATCCTCGCCTACAACACTGTAGGGCTTTTCTCGATCTGGAGGAGTATTGAATGTAGACCTAGCACAGCATTGCGTTTTTGTCTTTTATTTCCATTGAAGCTCATCCGACGGGCCCTATATTTGTATGTACAAAATATCATTTTTATGAGGGCGTTGCCGGATTCTTCTCATTACCCGGTGGGTATTTGACAGGTCCGAATGCATGTCCTTGATCAGTAATGTTTCATCGTCTAGGTGTCGAACAAGGTGTGCTATATGATCTCTACTCAGCCTCGTCAGCTGGACCGGACTTCGGTCAGGGTCGGGATCTTTCCAGTTGCGTAATGGGCCAAAAGACCGTCCATATCCTTGTCATCCATCTGGACGAGGTCCTCTAAGCTCCATGACTCGCAAACGCCAGACATCCTACACGGTCGATCAGCGGTGAGAGACTTTCGTACAAAGAGCATAACGAGACTAGCGTACCACTTCATTCGTTTCGGTCCTTGGTCGGTATTGGGAGCGACTTCCCTGAGCTTCTTCCGCAGCTTACCCACGTTGTCTATTGCTGCACCCATGTTATCGGGCAGAGTGCTCGCTATCTTCTTCCGAACGATACTGGCGAGTTTGGGTCCGTTTCCATTGGTACTGACCATCACTTGCAATGGCCCATCGCGATATACGCTACCGAAGTAAAAATCACATTCCGAGGGTACATCAGCTATGTTCGCGGGAATCCGCTTCTCCTTGCAAAGCTTCCAAACCTGCGTCGAGGCGTCCGGATCGTCAATGGCACAGAGCACCATGTCTGCCCCTTCCAAATCGGCTGCGTCAAAGTTCCTATCGATGTGGCTAACCTGGCCTTCTGCCACCCTGAAAGCCACTTCATCATTGAGACCGGATGCAGGACAGACCACGGTTACTTTGGCATCGGCGTTGAGAGCGTGGAGGATGCGACCTGCGGCCACCTGAGGTGAAATCATCGGTAAGCACAATATATATTTACTGTCGAGTGAAAATGACACAGCTTAAGAGAGGCTCACTTCTCCACCGCCAACTACCAAAACATGCTTCTCCTTTGCCTGCCAAGCGACAATGAGGGAGCCTCCTCCTTGCACGGGAGGGAACTTCTGCGACATCCTTTGGACAATTTGGCCGGCCAAGTCACTTGCGCGCGGGGTTACAAGCTTATCTTCGTCATGTCGGCTGGTGGGGAAGCTCGGGTACGGGAAGCCATAGCAGCCCATGGTGCGGTGGGTGCCGCCTTTGTCGGCCTCCACTTGAAATTTTTCCCGCAAAGAAAAAAAACCTCCGGGCCATTTTCTTTTTCTTTCTTCTCCTTTCCTCCCCCCCTTGCTTCTTCCCTCGGCACTTGAGATGATCTTGCTGCCCACCTCAACTTCTCTTCCCTCCCCTTGGTCCATGCCTTTTAGATCATCACAGTCCTAAAATGCGGGGAGTACAGATCTTCTCGGGGACATCCCACCCCCTCCTGGCTGAGACCATCTGTGAACGTCTGGGAACCCAGCCGGCTCGTGCCGACCTTGGGAAATTCAGCAATGGCGAGACCAGCGTAAACATTGGCGTCTCCGTGCGTAACCAAGATGTTTACATTGTCCAAAGTGGCAGCGGAAAGATCAATGACAGTGTCATGGAGCTCCTGATCATGATCTCTGCCTGCAAGGGTGGCTCGGCAAAATCTATCACAGGTATGTGCAGATACCTCCCCCCCAACTAATTCAACTCCACTGGCTGACCTGTACCTCTCCTCCCAGCGGTTATGCCGTATGGTTCTACTTGACTCCATGACTGCACGTTCGATGCTGACACCCAACGAGGTACTTCCCGTACTCCCGCCAGTCCAAGAAGAAGAGTCACCGTGGTGCCATCACGGCCCGCATGTTGGCCAATCTCCTCTCGATTGCTGGGGTGGACCATGTGATAACTTTGGATCTGCATGTGAGTCACAATGCGATCTGTCTACTGTGCTGGATTCGTGTTGCGTGGCAATGGATGAAGTCTCATCAAGCGTGATCGCTAGGCCTCCCAAATGCAGGGATTCTTCGGCAAGCCCGTGGATAACCTGTTCGCCGAGCCCTTCATCGCCCGATGGATTCGTATGAATGTACCTGGATGGCGGGAAGCTGTTGTTGTCAGCAAAAATGCAGGTGGCACCAAGCGTGTCACCTCACTAGCCGACACACTGAAACTTAACTTCGGCATCGTCACCACTGATAGGAGACGTCCGAAGATTCCCATGGCCATGACGGACAGTACTGTCTTTTTTGATTCTATCGAAGAAGAGAGCACTCCATCCGCCACCGACAAGGACCAAGACCCCTTTGTACTGCACCTTCAGAGTGCAAACAGTGACAGTGCTCAATCTGGGGATGCAAGAGGGGAGCCGAATGCCAACATGGAGTCTCTTGCCGCGGCGAACTACTTGCGTCCTGAGACACCAACCGGTGCTCGTCGTCCTTCGGAATTGGAAGCCGCACACGAGTATACTGATGTGCGGGTGCGGGAAGTCATCACCGGGCGGCTCGTACAAGGTCACCTTGTGGACGATGACTACCCGTCGACTGGCCCGACTTCTCACCCCGCATCGGGCGAAACAACCCCGGGGCAGAACCACAGTCGTGATGACTCGGAGGCGGTTCCCGACTCCATGGTCAACTCCCTCATCTCCAACACATCTTCCCTTCCTGGCGACCATGCTCTAGGTGGCTCTTTCGATGCGGCTGAATCTTCCGATGAAGAGGGCAGCGTCGGAAAGCACACCGAGCAAGAAAAGACCATCACCTTGGTCGGTGACGTGCGCGGCAGGACCGTGTTCCTTGTTGATGACATGATCGACAAGAGTAAATCATGGACTGCAGCAGCAGAAACTGTAGTGAAGAAGGGCGGCGCAAAGAAGGTATACTGCATCGCTACTCATGGCCTTTTCACGGAGGAAACTCTCGAACAGATGGAGGCATGCGAGGCGATCGACCACATCGTCGTCACGAATAGCTTCCCTGTTCCACCACATGTGGTGAAAAGGTCGAAGAAGTTGATTGTCATCGACATTTCAAGTCTTCTAGCGGAAAGCATCAGACGCCACCATTACGGTGAAAGGTTAGTTCCCTTTCTAACTGGACCGTTCGGCATCATCGCTAACGTTTCAAAAGTGTCTCGGCATTGTTCCACCTTACTGACTGATTTTGGCTTTATCCCTTCTCTCAACATTTTCACCTGCGCAAGTGTAACAAGCCGGGTGATTGGTAAGATGATGACTAAAGACAGTGACGAGTAAATTTGATGACTTCTTCCTCATTTCGTACAGCGCATGGCGGCTTCATTTGCTACGATTCATACACGCGCAAGTGTCATCTTATGTGATGATAACATCCGGATACCTCTTTTACCATCCTCAACTGCTGCTAAAATCAACCATGTGGTGTGACCAAGCGACGGCTGCCGAGACCAGCCAGCTGAACTCAGCGGCTATGAAGACTAGCTCTACTGTCCCGAATTCATTAGGACGGGGCCCGAGTCCCATTACCACGTCGGATCAAAGCTGTCACTTTTCCTTGTGTTTTCTGCTTTATGCGTAGGCGCGCTCAGACCGATCGGTTTGCAACAGCACGGAAGTTGAGAAAACACGTCACAACTTTACACCAGCGATGCAGTCCACTCTGGGTACTGCAGGAGCATCCTGTTGGGAAGGAGACCTGTTCTCCTGACCTGATCCACAGGATGCTCTTAACGGAGCGTTGGGAGATCATCTGTCCAGTCTTGTGTGGTCCACTGTTCTCTTTATGCCATTCGGCGTGGAGCGGGTGGTGGTACTGTACAAAATTGGCCGAGGAGTGAAGGCATCAGTTTCTAGGATTCTCGTCTTTCGGCGGGCTTCTTGCGGCCTTGGCCGGTGGAACTGGTGCAAGAGAACATCTCGGACATTACAGTATCGAATGTAGTCTTATGATTAGCTTTTTGAATATCACAATTTTGGTTACATCTACTGACGTGCCGGGTCGTCCGTCTTTACTCAACTCTGATCCAAGTGGAACTTACGACGCCCATTCTGACAGCTTGGGGGCGAAAATGATCTAGCCTGCTTGGTCTGCTGAAAGACAGCTTACACTGTCTCCATTCAATGCTATAGCAGGGTCGTACAGCGGAATTGCCGGGCAGCTGCCCGGCATCAACAAGTGGATATGAATTCTCGTACTCTTGTGTTCAAGTTTGAATGAATACATTAGCGGTGTGCATGAGGCCGAGTGTTGAGCGCACAAGTTGATTCCTGTTTGTGGACAACAGACATTCACTTCACCAGTACCTTCCGTTAGCCGAGATGGTGGTGGACAGCATCCGATGCTGATAGCAGTCTCCGGAAGCACTGGGATACCCCCGATATGCAAGCTTCAATGACCGATTCTACGGGTTACGGGCAGGTTGTCAACTCTTCCGGCCATTCGTACGTGATATCACAATCAAGGGAAAGAATGCCGTTGTTCTAGCCCGGTCGAACATCAACCCCAAACAGCTCTTTTACAGACGCCACTAGGAAATGATTGCACCTTTTGCATGCTATCGAACAAATGGGCTTCGTGGAAAAATCGACACCAGTGGGGGCCGGCAGAGCACCGGCACTGGTTGATCCGACTCGGCCCTGATAATGGGAAGGTCAACAAAAAGACGTATCGAGAAGCCAAAAGTACCTTGCGTCACCGGACCCCAGCGCCATGGGAGACGGAGGGTCTTAGGAGCAACGCTAGTAAGGACCGAAGCGCACTGGGCCAGAAATACGTCGGGAGCCACTCCCGGTAGATCAGGGAAGCATGCAGCCAAATGTTCGAGTTTCGACCAAGGGCCATCCGCCATTGCCTAATTGAGGGGGAAGAAGCGGATGCGGTCCCCTCTAGACCAGTGCGACTAGACTGCCCATCCGGCGATATACCACCCTATAGCTTCGCTGCTCGCTGGGGCCCGAGACAGGGATAACCATGAACCGTGGAGCACCAGCTGGGCGACTCGGGTGTTTTACATCCGCCACCCTTGGACGTTCCTCAGACGCTATCAGCAGGGAGGCGACTGCTGTGATCTCAGGCTGATGCCATAAGAAGGTTATGTAACGTTCACCATCTCACGACAGAAAACTGCCAGCCATGTGCGTAAGAATTGGTCTAAGCGCTGGACCAGGTTGCAAGCCAGTGTCATGCTTGGATCGAGGGCCAAAGAGGAGAAGCTCGGGGCACTTGATGCACCGCGTGCCAATCTAGTCCATTGACAGTCGGGCCTCTAGTCAATCTGGATGCGAGCGCTCCGGAGACGTCAACTAGGGGCGATGAGGGCCTGTGATTTGCCGGAGCAATTTGGATCTACTCCTTAGTCGCCCCCAGCTCTAAGACTAGAACCAGTGCCTAAGCAATTAGCATCTTTTTGGTGGAGCAAACCCCCTGGCTCTTAGCGACTCATTTGGACGGATCGACGCGTCCACCTAATTTGGGGGAGCGGAAGATTCTCCGCAGGTCAGCTATCTTCCGGGCCTCGCTTGAGGGGTGAGGAAATTAGTTACCCAGCGACGGTGGTTTGACAGGGGAGCAGCCGCAGCGGACAAAAGTACGTGCTTGCAGGAAGTGGCAGGCCCGTTTCTGTCACACCAGACAGACTTTCGATCCCAGCTTCCCACTTCTTCTGACATCCTGTGCCACTCCGAACGCTAGTGGCTGACCCCCCCAAAAAAAACCTTCGAGCGTGTGTAGCTGGATACTGGGCCAATCCCACCAGCAAGCCACCAAGGAACGAACCTGGTTGGCGGGCCCGCGGGTCCTCTGCAAATGCCCGGAGCGATCGGCCCAGGATCAGCAAGGAGAAAGAGAACTTGAGGAGAGACCCTCAGTTGGACCGGGACTTCTTTACCTCCAACGCCCGGAACGTTCCTCTGCATCGTACCTTGAGGGATGCAGGTAGAATCAAGGGTGTGCATATGGGAAGGTGGGTGCCGGGATACAGGGTACGAGGACTTTGAATGAAAGGACGACGGGATGCAGATCCTGGCCTCCTCTGAAAGACCGAAAGGTGTGTCTTTTTGTTGGTGGTTTGTCCGGTCGGGGAATCCCTGCTGGTGATGGTGGATCGGTTGTACCGGGACGCCGATGTCTGTTCCTGTCATGGGCCGTGAGAGGAGTCGAAATGACAGGAGAGGCACCTCATTAAGATGGTTCGGTGCAGTTCGGTGATTACTACCAGATCAAACAAATTAGCAGACCCTCATCAGATGGGGCCTCCTGATCAGATAGGCCGGAGATTGGGTCTTCTCGAAGCCCACTAAGACGATCGGGTTTTCCCAAATTGGCCGGACTTGACGTTCCTGAAAATCTTGGATGACGAAAGGAGCCACCGCTCCAAGCAAGATGATCGAGATTTCGTCCATCATTTCCCCTTTTTATTCGATCTGGACTTGCCCCGTCCTCTATCCAATCTGGTGGGAACCCAAGGAGGTCGCATACGGAGTAGTGATGCCTACAAAGAAGATTGGGGCTGGATGAAGGTGGAGATAGGAGATTTGTCATGCTGAAGACACGATCATCCGAGGAGGGTAAGGAGGATTATGCTCGTCATTCAGGAGGATTGTCCTATGCTTTCACCTTCAGGAATCCGGATAGTCCTAACAGAGTATACCACTGTCCACCCGATGTCAAGAGTCGGATCTTGATCTGCACGCCAAAGCAGCACCGCACCACAGGGCTGGATCCAGCTCAGCCCCCAAACGCAACCGCATGGATCGGGGCCCAGATCCAGACATTCCCGGGTCGACACTCAGCTCCTCTCCCTGGGGAAATCCTAATTTTAGGGGCAAAAGCTTAAAGGTCGAGCGCGAAGGAGAAAAAGGAAAGGGAGAAAGAAAAGCAAAAAAAAAACAAAAGGGAAAAGCGGCTGTCGCCTGCATTTCCGCAGTCCGCAACCCACTTGGTTGGGTCCACCGACGGCGATATATCATTTCTATCTCCTACTACGGGGTTCCTGACCCAACTGGTGTCGCGCTTTTCGGTCCCAGATTTGCGGTTGGCTGGGATATAGGATTTAGTTGCTATGAGAGGGAGGATGATGTAAGGTGGTCGTGTGCTTTCTTTTGCCTTTTTGGGGGCTCTCGGGACTCATCCATGGATGCTGCCCAGTAGAAGACGTTCGACAGGCAAACCACTACTTAATGGCTTTTCTGACGATTTCTCGGCTCTCCTCATTTACTCCTCGTTCTTTCTTCCTCCTCCCCATCCGTCTCTTTTGGTCCACCCCAGACTCCTCTCGCCGGATCTTCGCCTTTCTTCACCACGACGTCTTCCCTGTCAATTGTTATCCATCACTCTATTCTCTGTCGCTTTCTCCACCCAATTAATGACCCGTCGACAGTACTCGGGTACGTGCATTGCGATTCCCTGCCGACGGAAAGAGCAGTTCCATGCAACAAAGCTGTTTCTAGTCTGTACCTCGCACGGCTGTTGGGATCTGCTCTGAACAACGGTCAACCAAAGCAACGTACCCATCGCATCACTAAAAGGAGATGTCTCATGCGCTGGTCCGTTTTCAAAGCTGCTCCTCTATATAAAGCTATGGCGACGCATCCCAATCGTCCTTTGTCTTTCATCCATCATCAATCTCTTTTCTTCCTTCTCCCAGTCCATTCTCCTCTTCCTTGACTGTCGCATCATCTGTCGCATCTCCAATTCATCTTCCCTTTGTCCATTGCGAGTCTACGCTCGGGCAACCAGACCACTCTATCCTGCGCTACAATTGAACAGCTTCAGAGCACATCTTCTCTCCGGCGCTTGCATTCCAATTCACCAGGTAATACTGCTCTTGACCAGTTTACTCAATTCTTTGGAGAACTGGTGAGTAAAAGAGACCAGAGCAGAACCGACGATGCTAATCTGCTGCGAATAGCATCAAAATGGCCAACCAATGTTCGGGTCACGTTTTCGTCATCGTACAGGCGACGAACGGGAATATCCTTACCTGGCGATGCTCTGATTGCAACGCCGGTCCGTATGTCGCCATCTGGCGCTGCAAGATCTGTAACCACTGTCGTTGCAACTCTTGCCACACCGCCAAAGGCTAGAGGATCACGTCACAAATACTACGTGCCTTCAATTCGGTAAGTACTCATGTGGTCTGACTGCTGCTGTTTGTGAAATGCTGTGTACCAATTGTGGAACTTGACATTGACCTCTGTTCCTAGTTTGCTTCGTGCATTTCCTGGAACTTCGAAACCCTTCTGCAGCAATCCTCGCGCAATACCTGCAGAAAGCCATCAGCCTCTTTGCGCGATTTCTCCTCTCTGCTTTCTCACGGGCTCGCTTCATTCTGTTTCTCCTGCACCTTTTCACGACATACCGCGCCTTCTGCACTTTCCGCTGGCCAGGTAGAGTCGACGGGAATCCGTCTCCGGCTGCCGTACGGTCCAATCGGATACCTTCCCCTCCGGCCAGATCTCAATGGATCAACAAGGCTGTGGCTACCTGATGCGACTCAATACGTGGAGTCGTCCTCGTCTGCACCCTCGACTCGTAACGGCCAGCAGAGTGCCAGCAAGCGCGTTTTCATTTGCTGCCACTAATACCACACTTTCTTCAATTTTCCTTTTCGTTTATTCCTCTGGTTCATTGGTGTCTTCCCCAACAAAAGTTCTTCTGATGCAGAGCGACGGCCAGAAATTTCCTTTTAATGTCCCCCATCTGCTTTTGCCCTTTCCCCCAAAAGCATCGCCCCGGTGTTAAGGTTCAGAAACAACGGTCTGTGGTGACCTCTTACTTACTCAGACAATGCTTTTTGCTTGCATTCTTTGTCTCGACTCAGCCTTTTTGTTTCTGGATTCTTTGCGATAGAGATGACTTATAGATCCTTATCAGGAATACAACTGCGGCGACGCAATAATTCTACTTTATTTCTGTTTAGCAGTCTAGCAGTCTACCAAGTAACAGCAAATAGCGTATTCATGCAGCCCTCACATCATATCATCATATGATGCCATGGAACTCAACACTTAAAGTACCTCCCTGGTAAGTAGTCAGTAACGTACAGTAAGTAAACCCCAAGACGGACCTCGATCTCCCCACCCCCAACCGATCCTCATCCCTGTCAAGTGACAATGACATGACAATGCCATAGTTGAACCAGCCCCCCCCCTCCATCCCTCCTTCCCTCCCTTTCTTCATCCCTCCCAATCAATCCCTCCTCCCCCTCCTTCTCCTCCTTCTCCAAGGAAAGGAAAGGAAAGGAAAGGGGGGGGGAGAGAAACCTATGACTCTCCTGAGTGTGATTCAGAGAGAGAAAAAAAGAATAATTTCCATCACCCTACATAATCAGTTCCTAGACATGAGATGAGATCTAGATGCATTAGAAACATGCTAATGCCAACTAATGCTCAACTAATGTAATACTAATGCTAATGGTAAGGCTAAGGCTAAGGTAATGCTAATGCTCAACTAATGCTCAACTACTGCGAATGCTAATGCTATCCACCTTACTCCGTAAGGACCACGGAATACTCTAAAGTCTAAGTTAGTGCTCCGGACGGAGTTGCTTGAAGTGAGGCTACCGGGACGACGGGGACTGGGTCCGGGACCGGGATCAAGGTCTGACAGTTGTTCACCGGATAAAATACCCCTTGCAATTAGAGTTCGAGGGTAAAGGGTGGATATATCTCAAACGGGCTAGATGGGTGGATGGGGGGATGAGTGGATGAATAAGTAGGTGGGTGGGTTGTCTGCAAGTAGGCACTAGGGACTAGGTAGGAAACTACCTAAGCAGGTGGGTTGCCCCTTGCGTGAAAATTAATGTACTCCGCACCTTTCTCAAGGCCTGGGGCACCTACTGAATGAAGAATTGCTAGACGGGATTCCAGTGGATTGGGTCGGGGATCATTAGGATCATGAGGACGTGGATAGAAATGTGATAGTTCAGATGGGCACGGGCCGGTGGGGTGGGGGCTGGTTTTCTAGATGGTTCGGAAGGGTTCTCCTGTCCTTGGGAGACTGAGGGGTATGTAGCTAGGTATGTACGTCGTACGTAAGCTGAAATTAACCTGACTCGCGTACTTGATAGATAGGAGAATAATCAGGTGTAGATGCTCTGTGAGTGGTGAGTGATATGTCCTCATGCAGTAGGTCAGGAATGTAGGTATATCTCACCTCTGTGATCTGATTCACCGCTAATCCAGGCTCAGCCATGTTGGCGTCCTTCAGGAACTCCAGCGGCATCCAGACCAAATGCCCCTTGATCTTGTCCAACTTCGCTCGTATTTCCTCAATCGGTTGGTAGGGGTCAAACAAGTGGCCCTGTTTTGTCCCGCGAGGACAATGGTTATCATAGTCCTCGAATGTGCGGATTTTGTCGTCAGGGTCGGCGCGGAACAGCATTCGGTAGATATCGGTGTTGACGGTGGCTCGGCCGGTCCACATCTCCCAGAGCTCGTCGCTCATGGGGTCCGTGACGAAGTCGTTTTCGGGCCCCTCGAGGATGTGGTTCATGCACTGGTATGGGGGCTTGGCATTGGGGTGCTGAGAAGCGTCGTAGTCCTGGACGGGGAGGAGGCCAAGGTGCTCGCGCCAGAGCTGGCGGCGCAAAGTGGCAGCCATGCGGGCGGCCCGGTACGGTTTACCGTCCATGGTGCTGCCGATGAAGTCTTGGTCTTCAACCACGATGGCGAGTTCGCTGTCATGGTAGCCAACTTGGGACTGATTTGGTTAGTAGGTTGCTTGGAAAGATGGAGGTAGGGAGCATACTCGATCGTTGATGTTGGCACTACCACAGATGACGACTCGGTCATCTACAATGCACACCTTCCCATGCACGTAGAGCTCTTCTTGCACAAAATTCTCCAACTCATCCTCCGGGCGTCCTTCCCAGGGCTCGTCGGACATCTTGCCACCGTTGAGCATGGTGGTGTGGGCAACAGTGTCGCTGCCTTTGAGGCCTTCAAGCTCTGTGAAACGCTCGTGTTGTTCCTCGTACTTGCGCAGTCGTGCGAGACGAATTTCCTTCTCCTGCTGCGCGTCCTCATACCCGACTTCGTGCTTGTCACCCTCTTTGCCGATAGCGGGGTGGACACTGTCACTCATGATGGACTCTGCGATTCCACGCTGGATATCGTTGTAAGTCACGTCGGCCTCCGACTCCAACTTGAGTAGGGCAGGAGTCTTGTTGATACGATCGTAGGCACGCAGGTTGAATAGGAAGACGTGCTCTGGCTATCATCAGCTTGCGTCTCGCACAGATATAAAGCTTAACCTACCTCGGGGATTTACGCCCTGGGCGGCGATTTGACCAAAGATCGAGTGCTCTCCGCGGAGGATCGATTTGTACTGGTAGTCCATGATGGCACGTGTGCCTGTTGCTGCATTTTGCCGGAGATCTCCCGCAAATCCAGGGATGGCTGGGATGACAATAATCACCCGGAACTTTCTTCCTTCCTTGCCAGCTCTGACAACAGCATCAACAATGGAACGGCCGATGGTGTTAAGGATCGGTGCCTGCTGGTCTCCAGTGGCAGTGACTTGAAGAGGGTTAGCCGCTGTGTATTGGTCAGGTTGGGAAGATCTTACTGAAGAATTGATTCTCAATGTAGACAAAATGCTGAGCCTGGCTGATGATCTCCTTGTAGGCATTCTGGATACTGTGCTCGGTCAAGATTCCACTGCTCCAGTCGGCGCTGCTGCGCACAATCTGCGCTCGTGCAAAGCCTTGTTGGCCGAGTGGTTTCGTATCAAGGGGGGAGAGAGGATGTTGAAGGTATTCGCCGCAAGGGAACTTTGGACGCTGAACCGCAACCAAATCCTCGTCCTCATCAAGGCGACCCTCAAGCATCAGCCAGTCAACGTTTTTGTCCCGCTTGTACTTGTCTCGCTTGATGAAGTTCCACCGGAGGACGAAATGCTCTGCAATGTCATACACGCAGTCACCCATCACACCCATGGCCACGTCGTGCCAGGGCATTCGACCGTAGTCTGCCTTGCTGAGTTCATTGGCCTGCCAATCGCCCACGCTCTGGAAATCCATGATACGGTTGTTGTTGAATTCCTGCCCGGGAAAGATCTCGTTTCGCAGGTTCGACGGATGAACGTCGGCCAAAGGATGCTGGTGCGCATCCCATCTGCCAAAACACAAATCAATACCTCCGATGAAAGCCAATGCGTAGTCAATGACAATGAACTTCTCGTGATGAGCCTGGGGATGGTTATTACTTGCTGTCAAAGGATCGGGGTTACCCAACCTACCCAGTACAGGGTCATGTCGGCGGCGTTTTCGAAAATGTTATGATCCGGATGGCGCAGGACCCTAATGTTTCCGTGGCCGGGGGTTCCCTCGGGACAAAGATTGCGAAGCGCGTGTTTGGTATGGGCGGAGTTGCAGGTCAATGCTTGATTCACCTAGGTCAAATCTTTCAGCAACCCTGACGACGGCATGACCGGCGCGCTAACTGACCTCTTTGTACACAATCACGTAGATTTTCACCCCCGCTTCCGCGCGACGCTTGAGGACCTGGTCCAGGCGCCATTCCTGCGCCATGAACGGGGGTCTCCGGAGGAACAATTCGGGGGAAAGCCACCAGTCGGCGATATAGATAGTCTCCTTGGCCTCCTCTAGGGCGATTGAGACCGCCCACATGTAGTCTAGCGCATCGACGTACCACTTGACCTTGTTTCCCTCGCGGATGGGAGCGAATGATTTGAAGCGGTGGGATTCCGCAATGGTCGCTCTTTTAGCGTCGGTGGCCTTCTCGTGCGCCTCATCGTGACGGTGGTTGGGGTTGACAATGTTGAAAAACTTGCCGACTTTGTGCTTGAAGTGGGAAGCCTTCTCCTCGATGCGGGTTTCTGTCGGGGAGGATTGCGGTTAGTGGGATCCCGAGAGGTGGAGATAAAAATGACCTTTGAGGTGCTCCTCCAGGTTCTCGATCTTGGATTTGAACAAATCCATAATTGCGAGCGCAACAGAGTGATGGCCTTAGTAGAGGGGTCGGTACAGGAGAGGGGAGGCGGAATGGTTGCAGGAGCCGCCCTGTAGGGAAAGGAAAATGAGGGGGAGAAACCGAGAAAGAGATCGGGCTGGCCCCACCGAGCTGTCGGTTGCGATGTTGCCTGGAATGTTTCGGATCGGCGGATCGGCGGGGAACCAGAGCAACTGCAGGTCTGGTCTGCAAGAAACTGGAAGAGGAACACTGGAACAGAAGAGAGAAGAAGAGTAAGAGCAACAAATGAAGTTCCCCACCGGAAATGACATCACCTGCCCTCCAGCCTTATCGCCTCAGGCACGGAAATCCTGGTCAGCTGCCCTCGCATTTCGCTGGTGGCCTGGGGCAGAACAACAACACCAACTACAACTCTTTTCACTTCTTCCAACTCACAACAACTCCCTCAAGACTCCGTCCGTGCATTGAGGGCCCTTTGATAGGCCTGGCGATCGCGTACCTCTTCCGCATCGGTGGATATTTCCGGTACGCTCCACCGGCATCCATTGGTCCTCCAACACCTCGTAGGCCCAATGCCCCTCCCCGTCCCTGCCAGTGGCACAAGGCACTAATCCGTTCGCTTCGGTAGCGCGATGAGGGCCTCACGCAATATCTACAAGGATGAAGTCGACTTTACCGCCCTGGCCTTGCAGTCGCCCGACTTTGCGAAGCAGTACGTCCAGCCGAGTGCAACCTGCGCGTTTCCATCCAACTAGTCACTGAAATTTTTCCAGCTTGAAATCCAATGGGCAGCTGGACTTTAGCGACCCGGACACTGTTCGGTGGGTCTCGACTAACCTGAATGGTCTATGCATTTGCCACTGACACGTAGTACTCAGGCAATTGACCAAGAGTCTGCTGCAACGAGACTTTCAGCTGGAGGTCCAGGTTCCGGAGAATAGACTCTGTCCGCCGGTATGTTGGGCTGCCGCCGATTGCCGTTCCTGCAGCTAATAACCACACGTGCAGGTTCCAAACAGGTAATCAATGGCTTAATTGCCTCCAATATTACTCCCACTCTGACCAGACAGGCTCAATTACATTCTCTGGCTGCAAGATCTGCTCGACTCCACGGGGGACGAATATCGTGATAACTATGACCCCGACCGAGAAGTCATCGGACTAGACATGTAATTCACTCACTCTAGCCTGATAACTCCATCTCTAACTTGCCTAGTGGGACAGGATGCTGCAGTATTTACCCCCTCCTGGGATGTTCCATGCGACCTCATTGGCGCTTCATTGCAACGGGTACGTCGCCTGCTATACTGCGTGCTCAATGGCTGACAGATGCAGACATTGACGATGACAATATCAAAACATCACGAGAGACGGTGTCGGCAAACAAGCTCGATTCCCGGATCGAGATCATCCAAACAGACCCGAAAGATGACCTGATATCGCTAGACACAAAGCTCAAAGTCGACAGGTACATACACAACTCGACCTCCTTCACTATCAAAACTAATTCCCCCCAGACTCGACTTTACCATGTGCAATCCTCCATTCTACGCCACTCGCGATGAACTTATCGCCTCCGCAGAGGCCAAAGAGCGACCTCCCTTCTCAGTACGATCCCCCATCAGCCCCCCATCCCAAACCCCCAAACCCACTAACGCAGCATCAGGCCTGCACCGGTGCAGAAGTCGAAATGGTCACCACCGGCGGAGAAATCGCCTTCATCACGCGCATGATCGAGGAGAGCCAACACCTTCGCGAACGAGTAATCTGGTACACCACCATGCTCGGCAAACTAAGCAGTGTATCCGTGCTCATCGAGACGCTTCTCGAACACAAAAACAACAACTACGCAGTGACCGAATTCATCCAAGGCAACAAAACCCGACGATGGGCCATAGCCTGGTCCTGGACGGACCTCCGTCCGACAGTAGTACGACTCCCTTCCTTCCCCCCTCCCACCCCAATCCTCTCCTCATCTCCTAACAACCCTCAGACCGTCGCACGCGGCACATCCGCAATCCCGAAACACCTCCTCCCCTTCCCATCCGAATACATCTTCACCACACAAAGCGAGTCCCTCGACGAAGTCAGCACCAAAATCGACACCGAGCTCACCTCCCTACACATCCAATGGCTCTGGCGCAAGAATCTATCCACGGGTGTAGGATTCGCAATGCAGAACGTCTGGTCTCGTCAAGCGCGCCGGAAGATGCAAAACCCGGACGCAATGTCCGATAAAGCTTCGATAGATGAGACGAATGCCGCGCTCGGATTCAAGGTCCAGTTGAAGAAGGATCCGATTGATGAGAAGGAGGTGAGGGTGATTATACGTTGGCTGAAGGGGAGAGACACGGTCTTGTTTGAGAGTTTCTGTGGGATGTTGAAGAGGAAGGTTGAGGGGAAGTGAACTTGAAGCTAGTGAATAGTTTTCGTCCGGATCTGGATATCTCTGACAATATCAAAATCAAAAGAGGAAGAAAGAAGACAAAATGAGACATAAATAGATAATAAACTCTGATAAAATCTATATGCAGCATCTGCTCACATTCCTCATAATCAACAACGCATAAACTTTTCCCTTTCATAAACACATATGCCATATACCATATCCAGTCACATCACAATCACAGTTACGAACTTCCCACCTCAGTCTGCACCTCCTTCAACCGAGTCCACCCCTCACTATCTTCCCAGAACTCCTTACCCTTACCCAGAATACCTCGGACGGCACTCCTGGCCTTGAATCTCCAGTCCTTGGCCACGAGGACCTCCGCATCCTTCGGCTCACCTTCCTTATCCATCGGGCCGTACCGGGCATAGCCATCGCGAATCAGACGTTCCGTGGCGCGGACAATCTCCATCCACTTCTTCTCGTCGCCCATTTGGAAGGCGCCCTGAGTGCAGGAAGAGACGGTCGCGCGCCAGGCCTTTTCGTGAGCCTCGAAAGCCTTGGAGGGACGGTCACGGAATTGTTCGACGCGGGAGACGAGGAGCCACAGAGGGGCGGAGTGAGTGATGAGGGGGACGATGTTGTTATCGATGAGGGAGAGGATTTGGCCGGCGATGGTGCCGCTGCGGACGACGCGCTCGGAGGTGGAAGAGTCGTCAGTGCGGATGAGGAGGTCCTCGTAGTCGTAGGCGGTGACGAGGTGGTCGACGAGCATGCCGACGATGGGCCCGTCGATGCATTTCTCGCCGGTCTTGGAGCCGAGGAGCTCGATTACGCGTCTCTGGGCGGTGATGACTTCGCGGAAGGGAGTGAAGGGGGGAGGGATCGAGGCGGCGACGGTGAGGACGTTGTCCCAGATGCGGGCGTCGCTGTGTTTGAGTTGCGCCGCGCGCTGGAGGGCAGCGAGGGCTTCGCGCTTGCGCTTGTGGGGGTCTTCGGGGACGGGCTGCTCGCCTTCCTCGGTGACCTCGTCGGGGAGGGTTTCGGGGATGGGGGTTTCAGTTTCGGCGGGCTTGGGAGAGCGCAGGATGGCGGCGGCGAGGTTGCTCCAGGCTTCGGCGTCGCTGTCTTCCAACTGCACGGCGCGTGTGAAGGAGTCGATGGCGTCGTCCCACTTTTGGAGTTCAAGCTGAACGCAGCCGAGGGCGAACCACGCGCTGTGGTTGAGGCGGTTGATGTGCAGACTCTTGTGGTAGGCATCCTCGGCCTTCTCCAGAGCCGGGGGCTTCAAGGTGAGATAGTGACGGGCGAGAGAGCGCTGGGCGCGAGCGTATCTGTTGTTCGAGACTTCCCACGCACGCTCATACATTGCCGGGTCGGTGTCGATGTCACCCATGATACAGAACAGGCGGGGAGCATCGGCAGGGAGAGGAGAGAGTTCGGGTCCGTCGAATTTCTCGTTCTCATCGTCGGGGTCCGTGCCGGTGGGTTGGTAGAGCTGTCTGCGGACGAGGTACTTGGCCTTGTCCTCACGTTCGGTAGCGGCGTAGCAGAGAGCTGCCTCAGCCCACATCTGTAGGCGTTCGTAGATGTCCAGGGCAGTTCGCAGACCTCCGAGGTTGACCCAGCGAGTTGCGAGCTCTGCCTCGAGGCTCCACCGAGTGGAGAAGTTCAGGATCCAGATGTACTCCAGACGCTCGGCGGCGGATGCAGACTCCGATTTCTCGGGTCTCGGGAGGAAAGTAGTAGGTCCTTCAACGGCTATGCCTGCTTGAACATCGGAGGTGGCGGTGTCGGCGATGACCTGGTCAACGAGAGCCTGCATCTGCAAGACGGCTCTCTCGATCGTCCTGGCTTTGTAGCCCTCGATCCGACTACGCACCATCAGGGCCTGGGTGTACACCTGCCAGTTCGAGCTGCCACCCTCCAGGACGCGGGTCGCGTACGGCTGGGTTTCCTCCCGGGTAAGACCGTTTTCGGGGGCAGTGTTTGTGATTGCGGATGCCAGAGCGAGGAGAATAGCAGAGTCGACAGGGTCAAGCTTAGGCTGCTTGCCAGGAACCAGAGCAGCCAGGGCTGGGGGCAGGTCCGACTCATCATGGACGGTCACTTGCGATCCCTGAGATTCCTGTCTGTCCGTCTTGGTAAAGGAAATTGACTCCAGGAGAGTATCATCATTGAGGTCGAGGTTCTTCGGGCCGGAGAGCTTATCGTTCTCCGACTCCGTGGCAGCACCCGTTGCCTCTGATGTCTCATCGGCGCTCTTGGCTAGGATGACGAGCTGACTGGTATCACGCTCCTGGAACTTGGTCCTCTTTCCGAGCTTACCGGTCAACGCGAACTCGAACTTCCGCTCAACCGCAGCCTGTTCAAGATCCTTTCTGGCCTTCGCATCAAAGCTGTGGTGAGTATGGATCGTGGCCCGTTCCAGAAGGAACCTGCCCTTCTCCTGCGCAGTGCACTTATCGCTTATGACGACCTTCTCCAGCTCTTGCAGATCCTCGTAGATCGCATCCTGCAATGTGCTGGTGACTTCCGACAACATCTTCTGGTGAAGGAAGTTGATACGAACCCTTGCGGTCCTAGCGATCACTGGGCCGTTCGACAAGACATCAGCGTCGACCAGGATAGCCTTTGCCACAGCGAACAACTCCACGTTAGGGGTCAGCTTGTAGGCCGCTTCACCATCCACCGAGAGGTCACGAATGACACGAGCACGAACGGCACGGAGGGCCGCCGCGTCCGGCCGCAGAGCAGCAGGAATGATGACATCTGCCGGGCTGAACTCCAGAGGAGGACCGGTCACGTTCGACTGCAAAAAGGCAAATAGGGCCGCGAGACCGATGTGAAGCAATTGGGAACGCTGTTGTTCGGAGGTCAAGCCATCCACTGGTGATTGGGCGACCGTCTTTGCCTTTTCAGACAAGAAGGTAGTATAGGAGATCTCTCCGCCAGAGACACGGCCGAGAGCACTCTCATCTGTCGAATCATGTCCAAAGACCGCCTGCGCGGAGGGCAGCTGCAGCAGGGGAGTAATATCCGCATCTGTCAGCCGGATGGGGCCATACTGGTCCCGGAGCGAGGACGTCTCGTCGAACAGGGTGTTCAGAGACGCGGGGTAAGGAGTGGTGGCGGCCATTTTGTTGCACAGAAAGAGTGTTCCCTTACGATAGGTATCAGAAGAAGAGGTTCTGCGTACTCTGAGGAGATCAATGCGATCTTCGACAGGCTTCTAGTGGATTGGATTAATAAGACGGGACCAGACCTGCGTCGGCCAGTTCTGGAGGGATTGACTGAGCGGCTGTCTCAGGAGAACCTGCTCTAGGTGCCCGGGAAGTAAGTACACACCACACAAGCCTGACGCAAAGGAGAGCCGTCCGAGCAGAAGATGAAGGAGGGAAATGAGAACGCGGCGCACACGGACAACCCCGCCATCCCGCTTTCTTCCTTTTTCGCACTTTTTTCTGCCGGGTTATCGATAAGCCATCCCCGGGCGGTGACGCGGGCGATCGTCCGTGGCATTATGATAGCCTTCGCCATTTGTATCTATGCGAACACTAATAGTACTATCTCCACGCACCTCCTATTCAGAAACGCACTATATCTTACGATGCTCGATGCCGGACAGCTTCTGCTGAATCTCGGCGGTCTCGTACAGATGCCATGTGGTATAATGGTATCCAGCTAAGTCACCAGGAATTGTTGTGCATTCAACTGTAAGGCTAATATTTGACCAAAGATAGACACCACCCTATTAGCCGTTCAAAATCCATTAGATGTGCTCTGGGGTATCTGCAAATACAGACGTCAATGCATCCAAACAACCATGCTCAACACCGCAGCCCTGTCATATAAACAATGCTCCTTGTGTCCAAGGGCCAACAGGTAGCAACAATAAACAAGAATCGCTGTATCGCTTCAAAGCCGCGGCGAATCTCCGGATTCGACCAGGCATATGTACCATGACGTTTCACATTTCGTTCAAGAATCACCAGTCCTGGCCGCGGTCCTTCATCAGGATCTCAATCGCCTCATCTTCCGGGACCGGATGCTCATTGAGCTCTTTGACGCATTGCGTCAGTCCCTCGGCAGCCTCGTCCACCTGTTCAGCGGTCCACCCCGTACAGGCCATGACCATGCGTCGGTAGTTCTGGCCCAGAACCACGTTCTTGGACTTGAGCCGCTCCACTTCGTTTAATATGTCCTCGTTGAACTTTTGATAGCACCCCAGCCGTTGTTGTAAGCCTTCAGGGGCAGGCAATGCGCGAAGGAAAGCCATCTGCTGCTCGGAAAAGCCAGACGCTGGGTCGAAGTTCTCGGGGAAGACGGCCTCAAACCCGGCAATGTCAATCCCGTGGTCTTTGTCGGCATCCCCGATTGTGAATTTCTTCGACAAATCCAGTGGATCTCCCTGGATCGTTTTCAAGATCACCAGGAGGTCCTCGGACGACTTCTCTAGGTTTTTGAACCGTCGGCTCAGTTCCACGCGCTCCGAAGCTTTGCATTTAAGCTCGTCCAGCTGCTTCTGCTCGATCTGTCGTGCTTTGGCCGATTCCCGAATCTTCGAGTGCCAGTGGTCAAACTTCTCTTGCTTCTTGGCCAGGGTGGAGGCCAATTCTCGGTCGAGTCCACCCAGCGTCTCTTGCACCATTGATGTGATTTGAGCCAAGGTTGCTATAACAGTTAGTAAGTGATGGACAGGTCGGACCGGAGCGCTTACAATCTAGAATTTCCTTTTTCGTCTTCTCCAGCTGGTTTATGAACGAGTCACTTCCATTTCCAGCTTGCTGCGACTGGGAGTTTCCGTCCACCATATCTACCCCAACACCGTAATCTGCGGGCCGGAGGCCGGTGTGATTGGGTATGTGGGGATCTGCCCCAACCTCTAGAAGCTGGGGTACCAGAACAGAGCGTGCGCGTCCTGCCAGGTTGAGGGCGGTATCTCCCTGGTCGTCCCGAAGATTGACAATTTCCGAGATGAATCGGCCAAGGGTTATCACTTCCCCAGTCTGAGGTAGGATCGTTCCATTCTCTGTAGCTCCGTTAGGAGGTTGTTGGCTCATCGACGTACCCCCATGGCAAACGATGAATTCTAGCAAGCCCTCCAGGTAGTGTTTAGCAGAAACATGACCCCCGCCCCCTGTAGCGGCCATGACGGCAATATGGTGGAGGATGGTTCGCCCACTGTAATCGACCATGTCAATAGTTGGAGCCAGCACTTGCAGCAAGCGCGGGAAGCTCCTATAATCAAGATTGTTTCGTGTTCCTACCGACTTTTGCAGCGCGGTTTCGCCTGCGCCGTTCAGGCGGAAGATGCTAACCCCTTTCTCGACCAGAGCATAAACCAGGGGCATGCGAGCAAGCATGGCCGCCCAGTGCAGGGCATTATTGCGATATTCATCCAACGGGATCTCCAGATCCTCCCCGCTCAATTGCATCAACGCCGGATGGGCTGAGAAATCCCGGGTCTTTTTATCAAGGAACAGTGTCATTATGAGTTTCATTTTCTGGAATCTTTCCGGGGTGGTGGCGGGAGGCAACGGTTCAAACCCGCGCTTGCTGCCATCCACGATCGAAGTAGAGACATCCATGTCTTGGTAAAAGGAATCATTTGGCTCGGTGGGCGTGGGTTCATGTATGGACAGGGTCGAATGCTCGTAGGGAAGCCCGAACGATTGCGTATGGTGGGACACAGACCGTATGCGCTTACGAGGGGGTTCAATTGGCTCCTCGTGGTCGAAGCTGGCACCATCGTGGATTGGGTAGCGGCCATTGCCCTGGAAGTTGCTTCCGAAGCCGCTGTCAGATGCCACACTATACATGCTTTGCTGGCTGTTGAAAGGAATGTGAGTCTCTTGGCTGTTCATCTGATGCGAAGGCTTCCGGATGACGCTGGATCGCCTTTGGTCAATGCCTCGGGCCGCGGGCGAGTCAAAGCGAGCTTTGCTCATGGCATTGACGGCGGTTGCGGCGGTGCGAGAAATGTTCTGGAAGAATGTGCCTTGCTGCGGCTGAGCCATCCCACGGTTATCCATCCCGCTGTAGAGTCGTTTCCGCTGCGCCGCCATCGCTTGCTCTTTTGTCGGGGTATCCAGAGAGTCCTGCGCTGAGCCGGTGGTACCGTTGGGGCCCATGTCGTATTCCAGAAGAGGTCGCAGCAGTTCTTCGACGTGGTATTCACGGCAGAGGTCCACACCCCTCTGATAGTTCACCCAGGTCCCTTGATATTTACCATACCCTCCTTGGACCTTTTCGTGTTCACCAGCCGCAATCTCCTTTTCCAGGGTCTTCGTCCTCCTTGCCTTGACCACACCGGCGACTTTGAGAATCTGCGTAGCGTTGAGCCAGGAATCGGAGCGGCGTTTCATGACCGCAACTCCATTCACTTCCATTTCGTAGACGGAGACATTAGAGTAGACGGCCTGTACGGATTGAGCGAGTCAGTAAAGCTCGGATCCGATGCGCAGATGGTAGTAACACTGACCCGGTAAATCTGAGGCTTGAATTCTTCATGATACATCATTGTGCCATAGCCATTCATATCTTCGAACCCTGCGAAACCCGGTCGAGGGCCGTGCGGCATACCATTCGAGTAGCCAAACGACATGTTGGATTGTTGTGATGCTTTCGGAGGTGTTGTAGCTCGAGGGGTGGACGATACGGACTGGGAAGCGTTGAAGGAGCTCATCTGCGATTGTGAGAAGGCCATGCCATTGGCCGAGCTCATGCTGCTCTGCGAGTAGGACATGGGGAGGCCCGGGCGGGCTGGATGGTGATTGTTGGAAGCCATTGGGAACGGTGAATCTAGTGTTAGGGTGCCCGACCCCGACACCGACCGACTCGAGGCTGGCTGGCTGTGTCGAAAAGAAAAAGTTAATAAGTCCCGGATTGCAGCCACGCAAGCCAATAGCAGGGGCAGTTCAGCAAGCCCAAAGCATCCTGACAGAAGGAGAGAATGAAAGCATGTGGGGAACTGCACCTATCCTAGGATCTACTGTTCCGGGTCTTACTGACCAGGCCAGGCGTCGGAAAGTCGCGCGAAAGAGAGGCGCGTGTGGCTAGCGCACCGACCGCGAAGGGATGAGACAGGTCAATTGAACAAGACACTGAAACGGGGGGTGTGGCCGGGAGATTTCCAACGAACCCCAAGCCCACAGCGATCTGAAAGTCAGGTGATTCGGTATGATGCTGAATCCACCAAATAGCCTTGCATGGCAAGAATGGGGGAAAGAACACGATGAGGACGAAAGTGAAGCGCGGGGCTTCATTATTCGTCCGGTCGCGTTCGCGGCTAGCCCGTTTTCGCGTTCGCTGCCTCCCAAAACATTTATTGCCTGTTTGGGATCTCCCGCCTCACCGCCTGCCTGGTTCTTTTTATGTCCCTGTTCTTAAGTCCGGAATCACCTCAAAAGTGATCAATTGATGTGCCTGGCAGTACGTCAACCACGATGTCGACTACCAACTTCACTCGTGAAGCATGGCTACACCTCTACCGGGCCTTAATCCGCCAGTGCTCCTACCTCCCGGACCCCATCGCCAGGGTCCAGATGCAGGCCTACATCCTCGACCGATTCCGACGGTCTGCCGCCGAGGAGAAGGAGCTGCCCCTGCTTCGACAGCAAGCGCTCCGGAAATCAGCCCTCTCTGAATTGTCTTTGCTCAATCGGGCCAATGATGGATATATTAAACCGTTGGAAAAGGTTCTGCATCTCGCATATGGTCGCCGAGGGAAACGGAGACACGATCTGATTGAGGCGTTCATCCCGCCAGCAAAAAAGGGTGCGCATCCCGTGACAGATTTCAGCGATGGGTGGGAGCCTCCCTCGCACATGGTCGCTCTCCTCAAGGCCCAAAACCACAACGCAATGATTACCCTACTGAATGCCGGCTTGTACGTCAAGGAGACCACGCCAAGCATCCCCAGCGAGAATATCTGGGGGAAGCCACTTTCTGAATCTCGTCGGATGAATATCAGGAGCAGATGGTACACCAAGGCGCGAGGAAATATGTTTCCACCACTGCCTGATAAGGAGCTCAAGCTGTTAGAGGGCCTCATACTCGGGACCACTCCGTGGACGCCACCCAAACGAAGAAAACCAGTCGAGACTTCCCCAACTCACGTCGACTCCGATATCAATCTCGCTCTGTTTCTGGAGAAGGGACCACAAAAGGGAGATACATTTGAGAAATATGCAGACGGACGACCCCATATCATCACACGACGATTCATGCAGAGGCTCTGGAAGCGCCTGTCTTGCCTAATCCCTCGCGTGAAGTGGGATACCAAAACCCGAAAGCCTATTTTCAGCTGGGATGTGATTCACAGGGGTCCCAAGCTGGCCGTCCTTCTGGAAGAGGACCTTGCGAGTGAAATCTTTGGTGGCGTCGATGCCGCGGGGAAAAAGATCAAAGATGATAAACCCCAGATCGAGGATTCACAGTCTAACTAGGACAATAGCAAGCCACAAATACATCCTTTGCTAATTTCACCAACTCAAGCACTCCCATAGCTATTACCGGAACTGCACCCGCCCATACTTGTCAATCCAAGGTCTCTCATGCGGACCACACCACAGTCTCCCATTAGCCGGATTATCGCGCTCAAATCCCCTGGGCCAGATCTTCTCCATCTCCAGTCGAAAGTCATTTTTCGGTTTGCCGTCCCTCACCCTCAACTTCTCGAAGAACACATACGCCGCATAGAAAATGACCCCAGAACTGCCGGTGGTCGGCCCCTTATACGCCAAGAAATCCGCCATGGACTTAGAATTCAACCTCTTGACGCTCTGGGGGAATGCCGCCTTGGCGATATCTCGCAAGAAGCCCGCCTGCGTGAACCCGGGTTTGCGAAGATGTGCCTTCATCTTTTTTCTCACCACATCGCATGTGTCGAAGATTGGCACCTTCATATCCTCGTCCCCGTCCAGATGGATTGCCGAAACATCGAAACCGGGTGCGGGTGCCGGATTCTTCTTTGCTTTTTTAGCAGGGGCTGGTGCTGATGCTGGTGCTGATGCTGATGCTGATGCCGTTGCCGATGCTGATGCAGGTGCTGATACTGGTGCGGATGCCTCTGCCGGCACTGCAGACTGCACCGCAGTCAAGGGCACCACTCCCCTCCGGTCCTGAAAGAACTTGACAGCATTCCTATACGTAGCCGACCTGGCCCCTTTCTCCGTTCCCTCCTGATCAAGAACTCCGAATACGACCGCGGTGACACGTCAATAGCGCGTTGAAACTCAGCCGCGTCCATCTCCCCCGACGCAATGAACTCGCGTATCTCTTTGCGAAACTCATCACAGGTTTTCTTCGTAGATGAATTCACTTGCACTGGTGCTGGTGCTGATGCAGCAGCAGCAGTCTGATTCTCCTTATCAGACCCGGTAGTCGCTATTTCAGCATCCACCTCAGACTTTCTCTTCCGGGGAAGCATCGTGATCGTTGCTTGTAATTAACAATTTAAAAATGTATACAATCTCCAAATTATAATCAAATCAACCAGAAAATGGTATAATAATACAATGTTGATTGACCGATGGATGATGATATGATAGATATATAGTAGTTGTGGAAAAACAGAGCACGCGCAGACGCGTCTGCGTTTAAATAAAGCATGCGTCATACCCCGGTCCGGGTGGAGCGACATGACATGCCTGCCAGCCTGCCTGTTGCCTTCGTTGGCGGGTGGGTAGATGGTGGGTAGGATCAACATTGAACAGGTCGCGAGGGATCATGTTGAGGTGTCATGCTGTTTCTTATTTAATTGTAGTGGGTTATTGGGACTTGATTCTGAGTACGATGCTAATGATTGCTTCGCGTACCCGTGTCTTCCGGGGAGTGATCCATACAGCTGCTAAGCAATTCTTACTATGTAGGTTCGTAGATCTATAGTAACCATTGAAACGAACGAATGCTACAAATCAACGATCAATTTATAATATTCAACAAGCCAAACCGAAACTAAAATTCACGATACGCAAGCTCGGAACTCCAAAACATTGCGCCTTTTCCTACCTAGCTGATTGTAGATCGACGAAAAAATTGAAATCAGACCATAGTGCACCCGTCATCCATCACATCACCATCACCATCACCATCACCACGCGGCGGTCTACCTCGGCCGGCCCTATGATATTGTACAATACAATGGATATTATGAAAGCAATCCCACTCGGCTCCTGTGTCCGGTCGTTAAAAAGTTATGAATTTCTCCAACTGTTGAAAGCATGTCGTTCGTACATTACAGGTCCAACGTCTTGTAGTCGGCCCCTGTGTCTGCGCTCAGCGGCTGCACGCCTCTCACATCTCCTCCTGCCGGTTGGAAGTTGTAGCGGTTTCCGATCCCCGCCGTGGCCGCATCTGCGAGCAGAGCGTTGGTCTCCTCGCCCGGTCCCCGCAGGCTGATGGACTGCAGGGTATCCTGGACTTCCTTGACCCGCTTCTTGAAGGACATCCGGTCGAGGAAGAGCTGCTGGCGGGCAAGCTCCAGTTCCCGGCGCTCGGCTTCGATGATCTCCTCCATCTCGTTGAACTGCTGCAGCTTGATTTCGAACTTTTGGAGCGTAACGTTGACGGCGGCCGAGACCAGGCGAGTCATCTCCCGCTCTTCGTGAGAAGCCAGGGCTCCAGCACGGGCGGCGGAGGCGGCAAGAGCCACGGTGGGGAGAGAGGCCTTGGCCTTATCCGAGCCAGCAACCTCCAGGGCTTGTCCAGCTTCATCCCGAGTAATATCCACGTCCATGGAATCCTCGGCCTTGACTGCCGTACCCTCCTTCTCTTTGCCCTTATCTTGCGCCCCGGAGCCCTTCTCCAGCTGCTTCCGCAGTTCTTTGCGGATCTCCTCGACGGAGCGACCGGCGGCAGCAGCAGCCACAGCCGGTTCAGCCATCTGTGCCAGGAAAGCGACCACCGACAAAACGGGGTTCTCAGTCTGGCTGATCGGCTCCCGGCCATTCGCCGCCCGCATCTCGGGCATGTCATCCAGGTACTTGTCTTCGATCTCCAGCTGCAAGAACTTCATCACACACTCCTCCTTGGTCCGGGACCCAACATGGGTGGCGATCTGTTCCCAGTTGTCGTCAAAGTTCTCCAAACCCTCCAGCAGCAGGATGAGCTCGGAATCTGACCACGGAGCCTCCTTATCGGGGGCGATGGTGTATGGGCTTTCTTCGAGCTTGACAAAGTCGGAAGCACTGTGGCTGGACGGCATCCGACCCTGCAGGAAGCAGTTGGGGCAGAGATCGTATTTGCTGTCCGGTGCGGCGGGGTTGGCGGTGGCCGGGGTTGCCTTGGCGTAGTGGAATCTGAGGCGCGTGCAGTCAATACCGCAAGAGAAGCAATGGAACTTCTTCCTCGGCTCCTTGGAAGCACTCTCCAACGCCTTGTTCACATCGCCTGTCGTACCGTTTGCTGCGCCTTCGCCGTTGGTCTGTTTCTCTTTGTCGTCGGCGGCAGGAGTGATCTCCTTGCCCTTGTCGTCGTAAACATTGCGACGAATTTCGAGGTTCAAATCGGCCTTGGTAGCCGGCGTGGCTGATGCTGCGCGATCGGTAGCGGGCAGGGGCTTTCCGGGCTTGACGAAATGGTTAGGCCCGGGCTGGAAGGGCTGGAGTCCTCTCGGGGTATCGGCGACCACTCTGAAATGACCCGTGAACGGAGGGCCAATGTTGGACGGGCGCGTTTGAGGATCCACCTGGGTTGGACATCAGTATCTCAACGTGGAATCGCACCGAACCGTCTACATACCTGATAGTTAATGAGGCCCCATTGCTCCAGGAAAGAGTGCACGCGCATGATCGCGCACACATCTCCGGCAAGGTTGCGGCGGCAGGCAGTGACTGTGAGGTACTCGATGGGGTTCAACCGGTAAGTGTTGATCATGAAATCGCGGTAGTCCTTGTAGACGGCGGGGGTCTTGCTGCGGTTTCTGCCGTTGAAGAACTCTGCCAGAGCTTTCTTCTCAATGGGGTGGATAAGGTGCATGTCGAACCAGGTGGAGTAGCTGGGGAGGATGATGGCGTGGGTTTGCGAAACGAGATGCGAGCGTGCGGAGGCTTCCACCGATGCCTTGGCCTGCGCTGGTTGCTCTTCCGCGGCACCTTCAGCACCAGACTGTGCAGCGACGTCGGCCAAGTCGTCTCCTCCGTCGGTTTCCTTCTTCGTCTCCGTCTCGGTGCCGCCCATCTCTTCGTCCTCGGGTTCGCCATCGTTCTGGGGCTTTGGTGAAGCGGGAGCGTCTAATGGATTGTCAGTCTCCGAAACAGTTTCCGTCTTCTTCTCAGGAGGTCCCTGATGCGATTGCGATCCTGGGTGTCATAATGGAGAGGTTGACAGGTTCCCCTTGGGGGCGGAGAGGGCAACGCACCAGAAGTAGAGATCAAATCACCTGGGGCATCTTGGGCCAAGTTGAGCGCGTGGGCATCCTCCGCCCCAGGCATGATAGAGGTGTCCTCCATCGTGTCGGCTAGACGACGGGAAGCTGAGGTCGCGATGGCAGCGAACAAGGAACTTGGCTCTGCTTGGGATAGATGTAGACAGGGCGCAGACGCGGCCCTCAATCGGTTGAGGCGGGAGAGAAAGAAACAGTCGGGGTATCCAAGATGAATGGGGTGGATGACTCCACCGGACAGCGACGAGACGTGATGAGGAGAGTGGGTTGAGCAGAGCAGAGCAACTGTCGCGACTCGCTCCGGCGCTCCAAAAACTCGCGCCAAGCCTGTCAGGCGCGCTAGCCATATTCAGACTAGCATCTCCACCCTCTACTCTACCTTCTACCCTCTACACTCTACTGCTTGGAATAGACATCCATTCAATAATATCTCTTATATACCCGGATTTCAAACATGAGAAGCTCAAAGCAGATCGTACAGCCCATCTAAGAATACAATCAGCGCGATCGATTGGCAATTACATCTGCCATGTCCTTGCTAATCTTGATGATGGCGGGCCTCTCCCTTATCCTCTTCAACCAGGAACCAAGATTCAAAAATTCCGTCTCCAAATCCACCTCATTATCAGTAACGAGCCCAAATGCATCATACCACGGCAGAAAGGAAGCATCCGCGTAGCTAAACCGCCCACCAACCAAGTACTCGCGATCATTAAGCACCTTATCCAACACTCCCGACACCCGAAGAACCTCATTCTTGTACCTTTCCCGCGCGCTTGGGACCTTTTCCGGATGCCAGGTCCGAAACCAGGCGGCCTGGCCAAAGTACGGACCCTGTCCGCTGACCTGGAAGTAGATCCACTGTTTGGCATGATAGTATTCGGGGGTGCCGGCGGGGAAACTAATCGTTTTGTCCTTGTCGTATGTCTCGACGAGGTATTCGATGATGGCACCTGACTCCCATAGGGTAATTCAGGTGTTGGGATCTTCGATGGCGGGCAGACGGCCGTTGGGGTTGATGGAGATGAACGGCTCGCTTTTTACTTCTGTGAGGGGGACGTAGGTGGTCTTGTATGGCACGTGAATGTTCTTCGAGGATCATGGCCACTTTTCAGGGGTTGGGCCCGTGAGTGTGGCCGTAGAGGGTGATAGGCTTGGACATTTTGTTGTCTGACCGTAATCAAAGTGGATTATCGGGGGTAGTGTCTCGAGCAGAAGATGATTGCGCGATCAGATGTCTGACCGGGTCCAGTGATCTTAAATACATGTCCCGTCTCACCATTGTGCACCTGCCCGGGATTCAAGCTTTGACCTATATCCTCACCGTCAAGCCTCCCATCGGATCGGGATTCAAGTACGCCGCGGTCTATTGGCTGACAAATTCAGTCTCAATATCCGACGCATAGCAGGTATACAGGGTACTCTCGGAGTTATGGCTGCTATGTACAAATCATTGCGGGGTATTGATTTGTAAGGCGTCCCAACCTTCACTATGCGGCTTCATCCAGGCGACTATCGACATTATAGTAGGTTAGGGGTGCTTTCATTGGTTGGCTGTTCGATTTCTGTCTATGGAGTACGGAGCTTGGTGGTCTCCTGTAGTGTTTGGAAATATACTAGCGGTAGCGATTCATTCACTATACGGTTCCCACCACAGTATACCAGCTGGTTACCAGTGTACCGGACCATTGAGGCATGGCATCGCCAGGTAGTAAGCAGTGTCATGGGGTACCTATATACTGATTGCCAGGAACATTTGAACACTGTGTATTCATTTCTAGGTGCTGTCTTAGTGCAGGCGAACAAATATATATTTAACCCTGAACAAAGACCCAGCCACCAAGGCAGCAACCCATCGCAGCACAGCACAAAGCACCAAATACAATACTATTACACATACCCAAGCAGGCATATTAGCAGATACAACCATGCATACAAAAACAACACCACCCAGGGAATATGTACAATCCTACCTCAAGCCTATATTTCTTCACCAAATTTAGTATTGCATTAGAAAGGATAGTTATACAACAAAATCGGGTCGATAGCTCAGTGGTACGAGCGAGAGATTGCAGATCTTTAGGTCGCGTGTTCGATCCACGCTCGGCCCTTGCTTTTTGTTCTTTATTTCATTATCTGTATACATTCCTGGTTCCAATGGATGAAGGACATTGATTACTTTTTGGTCAGTAATTACTTGACAATTATTTACTCGGATAAATTTTTCCTTTATGAAAACACATCGATTACATTGAATTCCAACCACTCGCAATTGAACCGTTGCCCGGTGGCTAGCTATAACCCCCGCTCAACACACACTGCATACAGCTCGTATCACTGAGCCTTCCATACATTATGAAGTATTGATTACGCAGAGTATTGTCCTAATCAATTTGAATCGAATGGACTAGGCTAGCCCTAGAATGAAAGCAAGCAAATATGAACATAGGCATCAACCCTCTAAGATTGACCACACTGCATCGCATCTAGACTGATACGCACCCTCTACGCAGTATGTGACTACTCGTCTTAACTACCGGCAATGGTGTATAATGCCATAGAATTGGCAGATTCTCAAGAAAGGGGCCGGTAGCTCAGGGGTAGAGCGTGGGACTGCAGATCTTAAGGTCACGCGTTCAAATCGCGTTCGGCCCTTTCTTTTTGTTTTTGCTCATACCATCTGGATTCTATTTTGTTCATTAGCATTTCTCATTGAACGAGCTGCTGTTATTTTATGGAAGAAATACCGGAGCTGGGTTGCAGCCTTGGCCGTTGGTAATGTATGGATCTAAGTTGTGATGAGTTTCGTACCTCGAACCGAGAACCTATTATAGTATACTCCCTAGATACTGAGAAGTTGAAACAAGTATATGAGGTAGTCTATTGCCATGCGGCCAGGTATCTAATCAAAACATACAAGCAGGTATCCCGAAAGCCAATATATACAAGAATCTATATGCGGGTAACCAAAATCAATATCTCATACCGGGCGGATTCATTCCGATGAATCAGCTGGGCTCATTGGATGAGAATACAATGGCATCCCCCCTTCGTCGTCTTCTTCCGAGGACGACACATCATGTTCGTGTGTATCGGGTAGGTTATCGTCCGAGCTGGACGATATATCGTCATCTGGTGCTGTCTGGGCCGCCTGCCGAAGGCGAGCGCTCCGTCTGACTGTTTCTCTGGGCTTGGATGGGGTTGACACTACGCTTGATCCCGTGTCTCGGGATGTTCTGCGTGGTGTATGCGTTGGTTCTATATGGCCGTTCTGGAAGTCGTGAATTAGGCGGGTTGCAACCGCAGATACCGGACTTTCTTCTTCTGGTGTTGCGTCTTTTTCGGGAGTCTCTGCCACTTCATACTTGGCTGGTGTTGAGTCGTTCATTGACATATCCAGATAGTGTTCCTCGCCGCCTTCATCGTCGTCTGTTTCATCATCGTGGTCGTCCTCTTCAATCTCAGGTTTCGCTGGTGCTGGCTCGTCCATGGCCATTTCCTCATCGTTTCCCTCATCGTTTTCCTCATTATCTCCCTCATCGATATCCTCATCGATATCCTCGTCGTCTCCCTCATCATCTCCCGCACCATCATTTTCATCATCATTTCCCTCGCCGTCGTCATTTTCATGATCATCGTCCTCGTGCCCCACACTGGCAGTCCGCACTGGAGAGTAATGCTCAAGAATCGGCACCGATGACGGCTGTTCATCTGCTTGTTTGTCGACACGTTGCCGTTTCCGTCGGTTCTCTGAAAGCTCATCGTAGAGATTTACTATATCATGTCCATATTCCTCCCACTCGTTGCGATAGAACGTCCTGTCGCGCCAATCAACCAAGTCTCCCATCGTTTTGCGCTCCCCAGTCGGCTTCCGCCGGTGAGCACCGCGCGCTTCATCTGCCTGGAGTTGCGCTTCGAGAGCTTGTGGCGACTGCCCAATGAGCTTCCAGAGATCCACTTCCTCGAGGCGACTCATCTGTTCGTCCACCTGCTCCGCATGGTCATCCTCGGGATCCATTGGCTCTTCTTCCAACGGAGATGACAACGGCGAAGAGGGTACGGACGAGACCGGGGAGGACGGCTCGATCTCGTCGGAGTCTTCATCCTCGAAATCTGTATGCTCCGCACGACTTGCTGGTCTCCCTTTTGAAACGCTTCTTTCACCAGTCTCCGTCTCAAAAGGCACCTGTCCAGATAATATATCCTCAACCTCATCATGCTCCATGTGCACCGCCTTCCACCCCTTTCGGTGACGAGAATCTTCAACCCGTAGGCTGCATCTCCGCGCTAGGCCGACCCAGAAGTCGGAGTGGCCCCGTTGCATGTTAAGCACGTCCACCGCCGTCTGCACATCGCGAGACCTCACGACGTTCGCCTTTTCGTTGCCAGTCTGTCGCATATTCCGCCGCCTGGACATGGCGAAGAAGAGAGTCGACTGCACCAAGCGGCGCGTCAAACTAACGGTCAGGGCGTAAAAGTCCGCCAACGCATCCGCCGTCATGGATGGGGTCTCGCCCGCAAAGGCAACATTGGCCCAATTGTCTTCCAGCCTTGTACCCCCGAAATTCATGAAAAAGCGTTCGGACAGCCGGATCCACTTCTTCACGTTCAGTAGTTCGGCCGTGAGATGTGCGCTTGAGTTGGCACCTGGATCCGCGCCCTGGGATTTGATTTCCCGTCCCAGCTCTTCGGCTGTTTTGCGATCTATTATCCATAGGTCATGGTGCTTTTGTTTCCCGGCGACATCCTCCGCCAGCTGCTCCTCCAATGCAGCTAGCTCGGCATAGGGATCGAGCGCATCGCAGCATTCCTCGCTGATCTCGGCCGCCGCGGGGACATCACCCAGAATGACCGTTCTGGTATGGCGGTCCTTGAGGTGCTGCCTTTCCAGGCCCGCATGGAGCAGTTTCAAGTGCTCCTGAACCTCCAGCTCCGATTTGGTGCCGAGCTGGCGGGAAATCTCCTGGATCCCATCCTTGCCCTTTCTATCCAAAACGGCATATAGCACTTCCTTTTCCTTCGGAGTCCATGTCACGATTCCGTTTTGTGTGGCCCTGTAGTTTTCCCCACCAATGGTCGCAGGAACAGGCGCATGGCCTTCGGTAGTTTTCGCAAGCACGTCGGAATATGCCTCCACGGATGTTCTGGGCAGCGATGATTGTAAATCCTCTAGCGCCTGGGCTCGCGTGCCCCTGGTCGATCGGCGCGTCACATTCGAGGGTTGTGCAGGTGGATGGTTCGAGGACGAAGTGGGACCGTCGAATGGAGGGGCCGGTACGGGGGCGCTGGTTTGGGACTGTTGAATCTCGAGCTTGAAATCCGATGCGTCGTCGTCGTCTTCGGGATCATATGGAATTGGGCTGCTCATGATCAAAGGAAAGGGCCAAGAGGCAAGCGCACCACAGGCATGGGATTGGGGAAGACGACGAAATCATTCCCCTTCTCTCTCACACCTCGGATGATCAGGAGCGCATTGCGACACTGTCAATGGGACAGGGCCGAGCAGTTGACTGATCAACTTTGGCGATGGAATCGGGAAAGTTTTCGATAAGACGCGTGGTTTGCACTGTTTGTTTTCCGCCCGATTCCGCGGGACTCCATCTCCTCAACCAACTTTCATACCTACCCAATACTCCATACTAGAGAAGCAACGAGGTGTGCTCCAATCCATCCGGGTTGGACTTTGCGTTGATCCTAGCAAAACGAGAACAATGCTATAATCTATACTAGTCTAAACTCTAGCTGAGGGCTCCACTTGCATGATTAGACAGTTGGAAGACAGCAAGCGGCCCGCAGCCGGGACCGATGCCGTTCATCATTCAAAGAAGCATCATGGGCACTCTGTTCTTCATCTCTGCCTATTCCCACGCTTTGAGATCATTAATTCCATATATAATTTAGAGGACAGCATTATATTGCGCACTGGCAGATTACGGCCCCCAGCTACTAGGTTTCAATGGATTCACCGTCAATCCAGCCTCGCCAAGTCACCCCGCACCACCGTGCAGTAGCTAGTTTAAACTCGCCAGCTGGTCTAATCGGGCAGCTCTTCCATCCTATGGGATTGGTATATCTCTTCATAAATCCCGCTCTGCTCCACACTGCGATTATGAGCAAACTTTACCACAGTCCGCTCGTGGCTAGTTCGACTCCGTCCTGTCGTGCCAAACAGATCGCCTGCCTTGGAGTACTACGGAGTAGCTCGGGAGACTCCGGTAATGCAGCTGTATGGCTATGCGAACACTAGCCTGCAGCCCATTAGGACCGGCTGTTGAGTTTAAATACAAGGGCTCTGGCATCCCTGACAGGGTGACGAACACACGAACTCACGATGAAGGTCTCGACCGCGGCAGCACCCCTTCTGAGCATTCTGCCTGAGGCCAATTTCCTGGTTGATCCTGCGGACTTTTGTGTATGCTGACCGCTGGTTACTTAGTGGTGTGAACTAACCAGAATTTAGTGCACCGCTCTTCAAGCCACTTCCCTGCGTGACCAGGTTATCTATCCCACCAGTGCAGCATACAATGACTCCGTGTCAGTCACCTTCGCGGCAAATGCTCGACTTAGTCCCTCTTGTATTGTCCAGCCTCATTCTGCGGAGGACGTCTCAATCGTGATCTCCACTCTGGCACAAACGCCCTGCCAATTTGCCGTGCGCAGTGGTGGCCATACCACCTGGCCTGGCGCCGCAAGTATCGAACAGGGGGTAACCATTGACCTCTCCACGATGAATGACACCACATACCACGAGGACAAGGGTGTGGCATCAGTCTTGCCGGGTGCGCGGTGGCAGTCCGTATATCAGACCCTCGAGCCCTATGGGGTCACGGTGCCTGGTGGACGTTCTGGAGCAGTTGGCGTGAGCGGATTTTTGATTGGAGGTACTTGCCCGGTGGCATGCGTTTAAACCTGGCTAATGCTACGAGACAGGTGGGAATTCGTTCTACACAGCACGAGTAGGCTTCGCATGTGACAATGTCGAAAATTTCGAAGTCGTCCTCGCCAGTGGAGCGATCGTGAATGCCAACCGGACGAGTCACCCGGATCTTTATCAGGCCTTGAAAGGCGGCTCGATCAACTTTGGCATTGTTACCAAGTACGATCTCAAAACGTTCCGTCACGAAACCCTTTGGGGCGGGCTGATCACGTATGACAACTCTACCACTGACCAGCAGATTGATGCGGGAGTAGACTTTACCAACAACATACATAACGACCCTTATGCGTCATGGATTGGCATGTGGGGATACAATTCAGTCACGGGGCAGAATGCCATGTTCAATGCACTGGAATATACCAAACCCGTCGCTTATGCGGATGCATTTGCAGAGTTCTTGAAGATTCCTAATACGACCAGTACCATGCGATTCGCTAGCATCTACAACCTGACCATGGAGCTGGGCCAGACACCAGGCTATCGGTAGGCTCTTACTTTAATATACGATCATGAGCTTCTGACTAAGGTATAGCTATATTTACACGACGGGTACGTACAGGAATGACGCCACAGTCGTTCGCAAGGCGATCGACCTCCACAACAACTACATTGAGAAGGCCAAGGCCGATGTCAAGAGCGACTACTGGGCTATCGATACCATGGTACAACCTTGGCCCAAACTTTTCTCGCAGCGTAGCGTCGAGAAGGGCGGCAATGTGCTAGGCTTGGAGCGGTTCGATGAGAACCTTATTCGTACGTTGCATCGCCCTTCTCCTTACATGACTAACCTCGGTAGAGCTACTTTTTGACTTCTCCTGGGACAATCAAGACGATGACGCTCTGTTCTACCGTCTGGGCGAGTCCATCCTGGAAGAGCTTGATGATTTTGCCAAGTCGATCGGGGCGGACAACGAGTATGTCTACCTCAACTATGCGGACAAATCACAGAACCCACTCAAAAGCTACGGCAAGGAGAACGTGGAATTTATTTCCCGCGTTGCAAAACAGTATGATCCCGATGGAGTGTTCCAGGTACAGATTCCGGGCGGATTCAAGATTAGCGAGGTGTAGCGAGGTCCAACTGAGTCCAGTGAAATTGTCTAAGTGCCAATAAATGGGACATGATAGAATACCTACGGACAGCTCCATTAGGAGAATTCAGCGTAGTCAACAGGACGACTCGATCAAGCCCGCACGAGCCGTTGCGAACGATCCAATTAGCGCGATCCCTGATGCTCCTCACCTCTTTGTCTTCATGTTGGTATCCTCCGCCGATCACCTCCGCTGCCACTTGGCATCGCCCTGGACAGCGATTGGAAGCCTGCGCCGCAAGGAATTCTGCCAGTCATGGCACTGCCATCAGGGGGTATTGCCACTATTACCGAATGAGTTACACATCATTGCCTTAAGGATCGTGCACAAGATGTTGTGCAACATGGCAATTACCGATGCCCTCGAGATAAAGAAAGGAAAAATAGCTTGCTGTGCCAAGGCTGGATGACTTGATGCTCAGGGGATCTCAGGAATATAAGCACGTAGGCTTCCATTCTATAGTCTGTAGCATCAGATTGATCAATACCAATGGCCGAAATCACAATGGCAGTGCCTCCGCCAGGAGAGACGTACGACTTTGATCACTCGCATCGCCATATGTACAGGGCCAACATGGCGGTGATCATCACGGGATTGATCACTTGCACGGGCTGTCTCGCTTTGCGAGTGTATACCAAAGCATATCTGCTGCACAAGTTCGGATGGGATGATGGTTAGTTGTCATAACGTGGATGAATGTGGCTGACCATTGCAGTCTCCATCATCCTTGCCTGGGTAGGTTGATACCTCAAACAAATCTTTGCTAACTTGATACCTCAAACAAATCCATTGCTAACCTGCTCAGGTCTTTTCAGTTGGCACCCAAGCCTGTTCCATCTGTAAGACTGTGCCTCCTCTCCTCTACCTAACTAAACCTATCCAGACGGATACGAACACGGAGGCATGGGCATCCACTACTGGAACGTGACCCCCACAGAATTCAACATCTACACCAAGGTACACACCCCAGCCAGTCACAGCATTCCTATCTAACAATATATCTAGACCCTCCTCTCGGCAGTCATAATCTACGTTCCCACCCTCGCCCTCGCCAAACTCAGCCTCATCGTCCTGTACCACCGCACGCTCCGACAAAAACGCTACCCACGATGGATCCTCTACAGTCTAGCCCTGATGATCATCGGCTACAGCTTCGCTCTCATGTTCGCCTTCCTCTTCGGATGCCATCCCATCCAACGCGCCTGGGATGCATCCGTGGGAGGGACCTGTCTCGACCAATACACGTTGTATATCGCCACCGCCGTGCTGAACATCATCTCCGATGTTGCCCTCATTCTGGTCCCCATCCCGACGGTGTGGAGGTTACATATGCCATCGATTCAGAAAGTTGGTTTATTGTTGATGTTTATGATTGGTTGCGCGTACGTTTATACTCCACCTGATCCATACCATACCACTCCCACCGACTAACTAATATCATATCATGATAGAACCCTGGTGACCGGTATTCTCCGCCTGCTAAGCCTCCTCCCATTTCTCAACTCCAAAGACCCAACGTACGATATCGGCCTGCCAAATCTCCTCATGTAATCCCCTGCCCCCCCCTACCTCCTCCCACCCAACACCCAACACCTAACACAGTACAGCAATATTGAAGCCAACTTCGCCATCATATGCATCTGTCTCCCCTTCCTCCGACACTTCCTCCGTCGCTACGCGCCCCGTTTTATCGGCGAAAACAGTAGTCTGGCCCGTCGGTACATGAACTATACGTTGACCGGACGAAGCACCACGCCTGGTCGTCGGAAGGAGAATCGGAGTCCGTTGCAGGATGAGATTGAGCGGGCGGAGAATGGCGCCGCGGTGGGGATTGTGAAGAAGGTGCAGGTGGAGATTATCACGGAGGATAGGTCGTCGGGGATGGAGGGGGGAGGGGTGGGTGTGGGTAGGCAGGAGGTGGTGGTTTGTGCGGAGTAGGGTGGTACATAGTAGGGTGGTACATAGTAGGGTGGTACATAGTAGGGTGGTACATAGT